TGAGAGGGAGAGAGAGAGAAGGCTGCAGCTGCTGGATGTAAACCGCAGAGGTCTTTTAGTTAACATCACAATCAAAAGGCCTCGCTGAGCAGAAACGGAGCAGATCCGACTGAGTTAAAGACTGAAAGATGCAAATGTTGGTAATCGCCAGTAGAGGTTGTATTAGGAAAATCTTTGATTTCTCTCTGTGTTTCTTACCCTCTCTACCCAGGGTGCCAAGGTGTTACAGATGTTCATGTGGATCTTGAACCCTCGCCAGGTCTTTGACCTGTCACAGGGGGGGCTGCGAGAGGCGTGAGTACCCTTCAGTCAAGGCACTGTTCACCTTCATTAAAAATTCACCTCTTCACACAAGTCAGCATGACATTCTCACTCTAACAGCCTGGAATAGACTTCAAACCGAAGGGCTGTGATTTCTTTCGACAAGAAAACAGTTCAGGAGTGTGTGAAGAGTGTGGCTTCAGTGAAAGTGTGTTTTCCATCCTTAGATTGATGATAGTTTCCCATTACAAATCGTACTATTTTCATAATCACCTGCTGAGAGAAAATGCATCATGTTCTCACTCCACTTTTAGAAAGTATCCTCTTTTATTTGAACGCTCTGCTCGTGATTTCTGTAATTTTGATGAAACTTGCACCAATTACACCCACTCAACACCAATCAGCTCTATTTACAGTCCAAAAGCCTCTTTTATATTCAGCCAGGCCTCTCTCTGCTTTGTGCTCTGTTTGAATATCAGGTTGGAGTTGTATCGTAAAGTGCCAAATCTGAGGATCCTCGCCTGCGGAGGGGACGGCACGGTAAGGGGGTCCATTCTGCTGTCATGTCTTTTCACTTGTACACATACTCTGTTAACTCACCGCAGTTTACATTCTGTGCGTTTGTGTGTGTGTCACAATAGGTGGGGTGGATCCTGTCTACTCTAGACGAGCTGCAGATGAACCCCCAGCCTCCGGTTGCAGTGCTTCCTCTGGGAACAGGAAATGACCTCGCCAGGACGCTCAACTGGGGCGGGGTGAGTTTGAAGCCTTGAATTCTGAGAAGGACAGGACGCGGCAGCCTCTCCTCCCTCGCTTTATTGATTCACATACGTCTTTGTAGAGAGACGCGTGTGAATCTAGAAGAATTTTGTTCTGTAAGCTGACGTTAGTTAAAGATACAATAGTACTATGACGCATTTAAGACTCCCCAACTACCACTGCATGCATTTGTTTGTTTATCTTTAATGCTCCACATGTTGTTGATAACATGTGAAGTACTGCAGGCCAGCATGAGATCGACTGCTCACACTGATAGTTTTAAGAGTCTCATCTGTAAATGTTTACAACGTCGTCGTCGTTTTCTTCCGCTTATCCGGGTCCGGGTCGCGAGGGCAGCAGCTTCAGGAGGGAAGTCCCAGACGGCCCTCACCCCAGCCACTTCCACCAGCTCCTCCGGGGGGATTCCTGGGCACTCCCAGGCCAGGCGAGAGATATAATCCCTCCACCTGGTCCTGGGAAGGCCTCAAGGTCTCCTCCCGGTGGGACATGTCTGGAAAACCTCTAACGGGAGGCGTCCAGAAGGTATCCTAACCAGATGCCCGAGCCACCTCAGCTGACTCCTCTCGACGTGGAGGAGTAGCGGTTCTACTCTGAGCGCCTCCAGAATGTCAGAGCTCCTTACCCTATCTCTGAGGCTGAGCCTGGCTACCCATTTCGGCCGCTTGTATCCGTGATCTGCGATGAGATGAAAATCAAGCCATTATGGAGCCACTACATATTTTACACCAAGCTGCAAGAACACAAGATCGGGGTTTCATTAATACTCAGTGAGGTTTGAGATTTTGCAGCTTAGTCTTACTTTACAACTATTTAAAAAGTATAGGGTCAGGACTTTGAAAGCTTATGAAGAGTAAAAAATAAGATTTATGTGGTAGATATCTTAAAATTATGTGCGATATGCCAAAAATGAATGAGTTTTGACACCAAGATGAAATAATCCATCATTTTAAAACCCCAACTAGACTGAGCACTAAAGAGAACGTCCCACATTCCAGGAAGTCTGCTGCATGTTCAGTCTTCTTCCCTTCATAACTCAACCCTTTAAACCCTAAGACAGGGAAGGGTATTCTCCTCAATTGTACATAATCAGGACTCCAAATGGATAACGCTGTTCGCAACATCTGGATATGTACTGAAATTTAAGGACTGATATGTTCAACAGATATGTTCCCCTTATTAAATGATAAAATATTAAGATGTGTTTACAAACAGTCAAAGTCCAAAATGTAGTTTTGTTCTGGTACATATTTTTCTTGACATTCCCCTGGCCCTCTTGATACCATCTTTGAATCTGTTTTAACCTTCTCTTTACGGGTGACAACCATCATAAACACTCGCTCGCTGTCCTCGAAAGGCTGAGGCGTCTAGGGAAGGTGGTTTAAGCTTTTAAAAGTGAAATACAAAGCATCATCTCTCTGTAGGAGGGCTCTTAAGACTCTGAAGTTGGTGAAGAGCTAAAGCACCAAGAATCTGCCCCTTGACACACACACACAAACTCAACACTTCACACACACTGATACACATTGCATAACAGCAACATGGAAGAAGAGGCCTTTACAAGCTCCCACATTCCTCCATTAGTGTTTTCTTAAGAGCAGTTACGTGGGCTTGTGGCAGGGATAACACAGCAAATACTTGCTGGATGAGTCAAAAGTCAGACGAAAACCTGGTACCTTTTAAGTTATTCCACTTTTTCATTATTTTTCCCGATCATATAACCCATTTTTGTTCATATTCAATTTTAAGAAGTATATAAAAATTAGGAATGTAATGTTGCCTCACAGACAGCTAAAGATTTTTATCAGCAGGGGGTGCTGTCTGCCATTGACTTGTCCTGTTTGACATCGATGCATCTTTTTAGAGTTCAGGCAGGTAGGAAACATTTCAAGAATGTAAGAGCTTTTGCCTTTTTTAGTGAAGCTAACAAATCAAAATAGTTTGCCCTTTCATATTGTATCCATAATATCATATTGTGAGGTATTGCAATGCATCATGTCAAATCGTAATAGTTAATACTACTACTAATAATACTAATAATAATCATAGTGATAATAATAATAATAACTTTATTTGTATAGCATTTCTAAAAACAGAAGTTTACAAAGTGCTTTGATATATTGTCATAAAGCAATTGAAAAAAGACCAATAAAAACAAAAAGCTCAGTAAAAAACAAATTGAAGGCCATTTTCATGTCATAAGGAACCCAGATGATATAAGAACAATGCAACATAAAATGGGATGCTGCCGTATCAAATACTTTAATAATATTTTTATATTAATCATATCATATCTTATCTGAATGTATCGTACTGTCGTAACATAACGTATCGTATCGTATCGTACTGTATCGTATCGTATCGTATCGTACCGTATCATACCGCATCGTATCGTATTGTAAAGTACCATGTCACATTATACTGTACGGTATGATGATGTATTGTATCACACTGTATAATATTGTGTCATATTATATTGTATCATGTACACTCAGCATATTGTATTGAGTCCAATTGTATCGTATCACAATTTATTGTATCGTATCTTACCATATCTTAGCACCGTATCGTATCATATATCATATCGTATTGCATCGTATCATATCATATCGTATCATATCGATCGTTTGTCATGTCATAAAGTATTGTCGTGCATTGTTCTATGTGGTAAGACATGGGAATGGATTTTATCCTATATACCTAATTGTATGGTATCATATTATATTGTACTTCATGTTACTGCAGGATGTTTATCTTGTCATATAGTGCTGTATCATATTGTATAAAAGTGTGCCCATCCTACCCTATCCTATCCCATCCTATTGCTGTGTATCATGAGGTATTCAATTGTTGGTTTAATTTATTCTTTGGTCCCTATTCAAAATCCAGACCAAGAAATAATATGATTGTATTAAGAATGATAAATAGACGTGTTTTAGTTTACAATCACTGTATGTTGTGCAGCTCGAGCATACTCTCTGCTGAAAGATGGACTGACTGAAGGTCAAGTGAATGACTCTGCAGGATTGGAGGAACACAAATCAGATAAGGTCCTGATACAGAGAGACAGAATGATAGAGGGAGGGAGACAAAGAGGGAGAGAGAGGGAGGGAGAGAGAGGGAGAGATGCTTTGAACAGTGGGAGAACATTTCTATCTCCTATGTGTGTGATTAGTGTAATTAGAGTGTCCTCTCTGTCCTCTGTTTGTGACTTCAGGCTTTACTGTAAAACCATTTTGTTCCACACTCTTTTTTTCTTTTTCTCTCTTTTTTCTTTATCACTTCTCCAAACCTGTCTTTCTTCGTTTTTCTCTGCTTCGTTTTCCTCTTGTTCTTTCCTTTTCTGCTTTCTGTCATTTTATATCCTGCCAAAGTTTCAGCCTATTTACCTTTTCTTTCTTTTGACTGTTCCCTTATTCTCTCTTTCGCCTTCCTTCCCTACCTCCTTCTTTTCTTCCTCCTTCTTACTTTTCTCCTTCCTTCCTTTCTTCTTTCCTTTCTCAGTTTCTTTCTTCCATCTCTTGCTGACTCTCACTTGTGTTACTCACCGGTTCATCTGTCCTTCCTTTCGCTCAGTGTGAGTGTGAATGTCCCCGCGACGTACTGTGTGTCTGAGTGTGAGCCCCGTTTGTGTGTGTGTGTGTGTGTGTGTGTGTGTGTGTGTGTGTGTGTGTGTGTGTGAGTCCCTCTGAGGAGGCCCTGCTGATGAGCGCTACTATCATCAGATTGTTGTGTCCTTGTGAGCCTGTGCATACGGGTGTGTATGTCTCTCTCTGTTGTTTGTGTGTGCAGTCTTTATTACACTGATTTTTTGACCGTGTCCAGCAGGGAGAGAGAGAATAAAATACAGATGGACAGATGGATAAAGAGTAAGATTGAGCATTGAAATACTGTCCATTAGCTCCGACTGAGATGACTGATGTGACGGCGGGTGAGGGAGACGAGGGTTGATGATTGTGTTGGTGTGTTTGGCTCTTTGTTTTCAGGTGAAGCCGCAGCCTCTGTGACCACTTGTTGAGAGCAAATTATTACCTGCTGTGTGTGTGTGTGTGTTTGTGTGAGTGTTGAGCTCTTGTTAACAAGCAGATAAGAGTGAGAGAGAGGGGGACAGAGAGTGAAAGGCTTTAGCAGTCTGACAGAGAGGAAGACAAATGCAGACCATTATTTAGCTAAGGGGCGCCCCATCTCTCCACATTAATTTATCCTGCATCTATCTCTTGTCTTATTTTCTCCTCTCCAATTTGTTTCTTTCTTTCTCTCGCCAATTTCTTTTGTTCATTTATTTTTTGAAATCATCCTTTTGAGAGAAATATCACGTTTGATTGAGGTGGCGCGATGTAACAAGTCTGTCGATGTTGTTTCTGTCTTTATCTTCATCTCTGCAGGGTTACACAGACGAGCCGGTCTCTAAGGTTTTGTGTCATGTGGAGGATGGCTCTGTGGTGCAGCTGGACCGGTGGAACCTGCTGGTAGAAAAAAGTACTGCACAGCCAGAGGAGGGCACACAGAAGGTTAGAGGACTTAAAGCATCCTAAGAGTGTAAATGTACAAGTAAATATGAATTAAAATTAACGCCAAATCTTCAAATGGTCTTCTGTTTTAGTTTATTTCAGAAAAAAGAAATTGTGCAGAACTTTTTATGATTGTTTTTTGCAAACAGAAGTAAATTTTGAATTTTGCTGAACTGTTTATCATGATTTATCTCTGCCGCTCATCCAACAGCCACTGACTTTTATATCCATTCCTTTCTGAAATTTCCAAGATGTTAAATTAAAACCTATAAGCTCTGGAAAACAAGGTTCTGGTGGTGCATTTTGTGTACCTGTGTTAAAGAAAGATAAGATGTGAACTCTTGCTGTGTGAATAAATTGTGTAATACTCATACTTCAGTATTTTTATCCTCCATCCTCAGCTGCCTCTGAACGTGTTCAACAACTACTTCAGCCTGGGCTTCGACGCTCACGTCACCCTGGAGTTCCACGAGTCGAGAGGTCTCTGAAATCTATTTAAATTCCTGTTTTTTTACATTTCCCTCCGCATTAGCTCTATTTATATTCCATTAAGTTCTCCTCTTTCCTCTTAATGCACCCTACTCCACTGAAAGATGAGCAGAATAATGAAATATTCAAAACAGACTCATTCAGATACACAGATCAGCCGTGCGTGCACAAACCAGTCACAGTTTCTCACTGCCGTACTCGACTTCAACTTTTCAACTTCTTTAATGTATTCTGTTTCTCTGCCTCTCTGATCCTGTCTCTGCAGAGGCCAACCCGGAGAAGTTCAACAGTCGCTTCCGCAACAAGATGTTCTATGCAGGAGTGAGTGTCCCTCTTGACTTAATGCAGATTCACATATACACACACAGACAAAGTCGGACAAGAAGTGTCTTTTACCGTAGGATTAAAGGGAATCATGGGGAATTTATGAAGAGATGAAGTAGTGTGAAGAAGTTTGAGGAGAAATGGTGCAAGATGTAGGGCCTGATTTATTGAAGGTTTGCACGTGTAAAAACATCTTGACACTTTTTTACACCTGAAAAAATCTTAAAACAAATGTATGTTTTAGTAAACATTGGTAAAGCGAAATTTAAATAGATATACAGTATATTATTTAGACGTTTTATTCTGTGTTTGTTCCATCTGAGTTTGTGGAAGTCTTTTAACAGATGTGTTAATCAGTAGAGAAGGAGAGATGTCTGGAATAAAACAATAGAAGTGTAAATGGAAAATAGGGGATAAATCTTTTTTTAATGAGGGAAATTTAAGGATTCTGTTTAATTATGTACCGTTTACTCTGTGTGTTTGCATGTGTGCGTGTGTGTGTGTGTGTGTGTGTCTTCACAGGCCGCTTTCTCAGATTTCCTCCAGAGAAGCTCCAGGGATTTGTCCAAACACGTCAGAGTCGTGGTGAGTGCTAACACACTCAAAGTCTCAAAGTCTGTATCGCCTTTCTGTGTCGACATGTCTGGGCAGCCGGTCGGTCGAGCGATTACATGAGTCCGTCCTTCAGCTGCTCTAGTAACATTCACCGCTCTGAAGTGTCCTTCAGCGAGACACTGAACACTCAGCGGAGCCTCTACAAGTCTGCTGACCTCTGACCTCTCTTAAGAGGACGTAAACTAACGCCTTTTCTCGTTTTTCGCACTATAAGGCGCACCTGATTATAAGGCGCACCATCAATGAACGCGTCTATTCGCGTCTATTTTTATACATAAGGCGCACCGGATTATAAAGCGCATTAAGCCAAACAAAACAGTCAGATAAGTCAAACTTTATTTAACTCATTCAATGACTCCACGAGACTACGGTAGCTGCAGTGCTCCGACAAGCCAAAAGGATTTTAAGTGCGCCTTATAGAGCGAAAATACAGTAACACTCATTTTTTTCACCCTGTGAACAATTTCCTCATTTTTTGAACACAAAAGTGAGACAAAGGTTAAAAACATGATGCAGCTGAAGTATTTTTTTCTGTGGTGGATAATTTTTAATCAAAATTTCCAGTAGAAACACATCCTATCTTTACATAATATATCTCAACCCTTGATGAATTGTTTCAGTGTTTTACATCATGCGGTACCATATCGTATTTTAACATTTTAGTGATTACTGTATCATATTTTAATGTTTAGTAATGTATTATAAATTGTTTTATTGTATCATATTAAAATGTTGTGCTGCATATCATATTTTATCGTTTAGTTTTTATCATATATTTACATGTAAATCCTTTATCAGAGTAAAATAATTCATATTTACCAGTAATCATCATACCATAGATAACACCCAATTTTTCATGATTATGAATAACCGGAAACTTTAATTCAGCACATCATAAAGAATGAGTCAGTTACAGTTTTCTGCTGGTTTGAAACTTCTGCTGCGTCTCTGCTGGAAAGTTCACTACTTCCATAACTATATTGATTATTCCTGAAACATGGTTCACATTCAAAATTGATTCATAAAACCTCAGGGCAGTAATTTTTCACATTCCCTACCGCTGCTGCCGCAAGTCCTCAGGGGTCAGCCGAGAGCTGAGTGGGCTGGTCTGATTTAACCTTTGACCTGTAAAATGGTGGTTTGAGAATATTGAAATCAAAACTTTGGACAAAGAGTGAATCTTAATGTGGAGAAGTGAGTCAAAGATCAACTCATGACTTTCTGAGAATAACCAGCAGAAATTGAAGAAAATTAAGTTAAATTTTTCTTTCTTTGTTACTGTGTTTTTCTCTCTCTCTCTCTCAGTGTGATGGTACTGACTTGACTCCAAAGATTCAGGAGCTGAAGTTTCAGTGCATAGTGTTTCTAAACATTCCCAGGTAGGTGGATACTCAGTCTTTGATTGTGACTGCATGATTTTTCCTCTGTGTACTCTCTTTCAAGGATTCAGAGCCAGTTCTGATCATCAAAACTAGTTGAAGGAACATTTTTCTGTAAAAAAAAGCATCCTTGTTGTCATTATTCATAATTTTTTGGTGCAGTGAAGAAGCCCGACAAACAAATGTAAAATACACTGAAGCTCCCCAGTCAATACAAAGGTTATCTTCCTTTATTCGATCGTTGGACTTTGGCATATTTGAGATTTGTGTTATTTGCAGGTACTGTGCAGGCACCATGCCATGGGGAAACACAGGAGACCATCGAGACTTTGAACCGCAGCGCCATGACGACGGCTGTATCGAGGTCATCGGCTTCACTATGGCCTCATTGGTGAGAGAAACAGTGGAGGGGTGGATAAATAAATTCTGAATGAAGAAGTAGTGATAAGGAATTACGGCAGATGGAGCATAAAAAACAGTCTTGTATTTGTATGTGCTTGTTGTTGATGTAAGTCCTCCTCTCGTCCATCAGGCGGCGCTACAGGTCGGCGGTCATGGAGAGAGACTGCACCAGTGCAGGGAAGTCGTTCTCACTACCTTCAAGACCATGCCTGTTCAGGTGAGGATTCAAACACTTAACAGCATCACAACTAGCCTCTGGAGTCAATTATTATACAGATTATCATTTTAACTTAGCTTAGGTGAGAGCTTTGAATCCAACTCGCTCTCTGTAGATGTAGATGTTTGACTTTTAAACAAGTTCTCTGCAGAAATGAAACAAAGTTCTCAAACTAAGAAACACTCGAACGTTTTGAATCATGAAAGTAATGTATTAAAATGGATTGATCTTGATATCCCTCTTCATCACTCAGCTGTTATTGAATCATTTGCTTTTAACATTGATTGCTGTGTCCTTGTAGGTGGACGGGGAGCCGTGTCGCTTGTCTCCTTCAACTCTTCGCATTTCCCTCCGCAATCAGGCCAACATGGTCCAGAAGAGCAAGAGGCGCACCTCTGTCCCCCTGCTCAACGAGTGAGTCACACACACACACACACACACACACGCACACACAAAAACACACGCTCGTGTAGAGAAGAGGAACTAGGCCAGCAGCGTTGTAAAAGCCCGGCTTGCACTGAGTGAGTCATACAATCTGTTCAGTGGGAGCTGACATTCACTCCTCTCAATGTCCCACATCCCTGTTCATCTCGCCAAAATAAAACCACGATCCGAAGAGTGATCTGTCTGTTGTCCGCTCGCATTTATCAAAATAAAAGCACCAGGGGGGTTTCTCTACTGACACACTGACATGTTAGACTCTGTGGTTCCCTTCCTCTACTCTAAAATCAACTGAGGAGTCATAAGAGACGATCATTGATCTGTTTCCAGTATGAAACCACACACAGTATCAGAAAACAATGTTAACATGGAATAACATAGACTGTGTGTGAAGATGGACGACTATTTTCCACCCCTTCCTGTTGTAAAAAAAGTGAAGCCAAAATACTCTCCATCTGTGGCACTCATACGTTGAACATTTGGAGTCCAGAGTGTCTAAAGTCTGGGCCCGTCTGCTGACCAGAACACATTTAACTGATGACAGAGCAGCAGGGGTCCATCAAGTCCAAAAGAGGAGTGATTCGAGCAACAGGCTGAGACAGACACATGGTGATGATCATTGGTCATTGGCTCATGCATGAGTGTTCATTACTTTTGATCCCAGTCAGTATATGGACATGATACTAAGAAAATGGATTTCATGTTAGTCAGGATAAAACTGGACTTTTGGAATAAATGTAAACATGTTAAAATGTCCAATTTCTTGTAGTCAGACAAGTAATACAGTTGACAATTAACTTTCTTCGTGTAAACACGGCAGTCGGACTCAAATTGGCCTAAGTGTTCTGCGCTCGTGTGTCAGAGTGTGACTCAAAACCTGTTCCGAGTCACAGAATGATTTTATTCCAAGTGTTCCTGTGGCTTTATGAACCCAAGTCCTTATTTTTCTGAGTTTGGAGCAGCTGTTTCTCCATCTTATTTACCAGAAAGCAGACATTCGACAGGTGTAGAGATGTGAAGAGACGGGAGAAACCCACTTCCTGAGCTCATTTCCCACGTTGTCGTCTCCTGCAACTTGCGTAGCAGCTGCTCTACCAACCAAAATCTTAGAAAAAACTTTTGAATCTGTGAAAACTGGAGAAAACTGTCCAAGAGAAGACTGTCCGATGTTCAACAGTTCCTCTCCGGTGAACGTTGCTAGAGAAGGAGAGCAGGAAACCAAACAAAAACACAAAATCACTTGTTATCTTCCCATTAAGTTCACTCAAGCTGGACTCAGTGGAGGATGTGGTGGAGAGATCTACACTGAGGAAGGTGGAGACTATTCTCAAGAATATGGATCACCCACTTCACAACACCTTGATGGACCAAAGGGAAAATGGTGATGGACGGCTCCTCTCTCTTCGCTGCAGGACAGAAAGATTTAGAAGATCTTTTGTACCAACAGCCATTAGACTTTATAACTTATGTAAATAATAGATAACTTTTATAGACATATTACGTGAGACAACAGACAACTGAATTTCCCTTTGGGGATCAATAAAGTTCTTCTTATTAAGTTGATAAAAAGTGTCAACGGCAGAGTCTAGACTAAAAATCACTGCGTAAATTAAAACCGTGTCAAACTCAAGTCTATCTGACATCTACTCAAGTTCTAAAGTTTGACCCATGTCCCATCTGTTAACATGGAGCCGGCTGGCTTTATGGTTTTAACTGCAGAAAATCAGCAGGGGGAGCTCTGAGTGTTTTGGCTTCACTTTCAGGTTGCTGTCACACCATCCATCTTTTCCACAGTCTACATATGAGACTGTTTGGATACTAACACTCGTTCATCACTGTAGCACTAATCGCCTTCATGTATTTCTATCTGTGTATATCTGTGGCTCTATTGAAACTCTGCAGGCTGCAGTAACCTGCACGTGATCAGAACTGATTCATCAGAGATTAATAACCACAGTAGAGTCTCTGCTTCCTGTTCTGCTGCTCTGCTGTCAGTGTTTGTCCACTTACCTCTGGGCTTCTCTCCTCCTGTCCCTCCTCCTCTTCCTCCTCTTTTATTTATCTCAACATTGATTATTTATTGTTTTCATTTATTTTCCTTTCTCTCCATTTCTCCCATGTATGTCTTACTCTCCTGTTTCATTTGTTTTTGTCCTCCTCTGTTTCCTATTTTCTCCTCTCCTCTTATTTCCTTCATCTCCTCTCGTCCTCTCTCCTCTGTTTCTCTATAACATTTATAATGTTCTGCTAATTTTTCCTCTCTTTATATTCTCTGTGTCCTGTCTTGATCCATCCCTCTCTTTTTTCTTTTTTAATTCTTTTCTTCTCCTTCAATGGCCCTTGACAAATCCCCCTTTTTTCTAACTTATTCTACCTTGCTTTTTTCCTTATCCTCTTTTTCCCTCTCTTCTATTGTCTTTCTTTCTTTCTTTCTTTTTTCTTTCTTGTGTCCTTTATTCTTTCTTTCTTTCTTTCTTTCCTGTTTCTTTCTCTCTTTCTCTATCATGTCTTTTTACTCATCATCCTCTCATATATTCTCTGTATTTTTCATCTACCACCTCTCCCTCTTTCACAACCTTCTTTTATTCTCTTCTATTCCTTTTCTTTTATCCTTGATTTTATTTTCCTTGTTTCCTCTCCTTATTACCTTTTCTCATGTCCTTGCCACCTTTCTCTCCTCATCTTTTCTAACATTTCCCATCTCTTCTTTTTCTACTATTTTTTCTACATCTTCCCATCCCTTGTTTACACTTCTCTTTCCTCCCCTTATCTTCACCTCCCCTCCTCTTCCTCTCTGCCATTCATTCCTCCTCTCCTCTGCGTGTGTTTGTGTGTGTTTGTGTGTGTGTGTGTGCGCGGCGATAGTATTCAGAAGGTGTGTGCAGCTGATCTGCGCCGCCTCTCTGCTCCCCCCGACTCCTTCTCTGTGTAAGTACCTGAGCCCTCTGTCACTGTGTGTTTGTGTGTCACTGTGTGTGTGTGTGTCTTTGTGAACGGATGACTTGATACCAGTTAGTGTTCTGTCTCAGGTTCAGCTGATATTTGATTTCTTTTTACTTAAACATGAAACTTTTTTATTCAGTGAAAATTCAGTGAAAATTCAGTGATGTGCTTAATATTAAAATGCATTAAAGCTCCAGTTAACCTCCATATCGCAAGTAGATGTTTCTAACATTACTCTCCTGTGTCAGTTTGTGTCAGTTGTCTCAGTTTTTGTTTTGCTAACCTCTGATGAATTACATATAGTGAAGATTTATGTCAAATCTGCAAAACAGAGCTGTTTCTCCAGCTGCTTTGCTGACACCTAACCCCTCGCACCAGTTTCAGGCATTAAAAATTGTGCCATAAAAATCCTCAGTTTTGTTGTTGGTGGTCTCATTTTCCTGTCAGGTGTCGTGGAATCAGTATGAATTTCAGTAGGGATGGGAATCGAGAACCGGATCTTGTCGAGAACTGGTTCCAAATGGTTCAATCCATCGACATTGTTTACATTTCATTTTAAACGGGTGCTTTGGAAAATGCTCTTGTGAGAGGCGGTCGTCGCGAAGGAGAACAGAGGCTTTGAGGAAAAAACACGGTGGATGGTGCGAAAAGTAGGCAGAAACGATCTAAAGCGTGGCGTCATTTTACCAAGAAAGACAACGAGTCTTGTATGGGAGTTTTGAGTTTGTGTAGCGTGGACCAACTGAGTCAGAAGCGCGTAAAAAACACTCGACCCGACCAGAAAAACCCTCAAAATTTTGCGCATGACTCCACTCCCATGTAGCCGTGTCCCCTAAAGTATTGTCACCCTGATTTGACTTAATAGCAACCAAGTAACTGTACAAATAATTTGTCGTTTAGTTATTTTTAGACATCTTTTTCTGTTTTTCAGACTCAATAAATTTTTTAGTAAACATTGAAAACCTATAGTCTACTTTTTTTTAATTAAAGAAAGGCATTGATAAGGCAATCATTAAAGAATTGATAAGCAGAATCTTTAATGGCTTTAATCTTTAAATCCTATCAATTCCCATCCCTAAATTTCAGTCTATTTTACGACCATCCAAAATCTCCTGAAGGGAGCTTTAAGCACATCTATCCTGCTAAATTAAAACAGCACTAACTATTTCCAGCTGCTTTGTCTGAAAAGTTGATATCAGTTGAACCTGAGTAGCTTGTTTCGAGTCGTTTAATGTTTAGTGAGATATAAATCTGTGTGACTGAGAGAATGCATGCTGAAGCCTTTCCATATCTAAATGTGCTTCTCTGTTTCTGCTGCTGTTGTCTCTTTGCACTAAACTTTACTGTGAGCTGTGTGTTTATTATACCTGCACCTACCTGCACCTGTCCTCTCCACTCACTCGATGTTCACACCTTTCCTACCCCAGAATAGCCTGTGCATGAATTTTCCTGGTCTCATGAGCGCTTTAGTGAAGTAGATCTGGTTTGTCTTCATTTGCAGAATAGAGTTTGAGCATTTGGAGGCTGTGTAGTTTGGTAATCTCTCCAACAGCTGACTGCTGTGTTTTCTGGTTGTTCTTTTCGCTTCTCGCCCACCATGTTTGTGACGTCAGCACTCTGCCTCCATCCTCGCTGAAGGCATTGTTGCCCACAAATATTGACTTCAAAAATGAGTTGGCCAGTCTCAAACTCTGGAGGAAAGCAGAGCCTTTTATCTTCACTGCGAGGAAGGTTTAATATTTTTACCATGATCTTTTATGTAAACAAACACCTTCAATATCAACTTTTTCAAACTCGACAACAAAACTTGTCAAAAGTTCAAACCTGGAAGTGTGAAACAATCCAAAAAACAAAGAAGGCAGATGAGGACTCTGTTGTTCAGATTTTGTTGTTTATGTTTTTGTGTCTCTGTCTCTGTCTGCATGTTTGCATGCATGTCCTGATCACTTCATGTTTGCAGGGGTCTGACTTGTGTGTTTGCAAAAGTTATCTTATGTATGTGTGTATTTTTTTACAGTCCTCACGCAGTTCCAGATCGTCTTCGTCTTCGAGTGAACCGTATCAGCCTCCAGGAGTACGACCGGCTGCAATACGACAAAGAGCGACTACGAGACATCTGTAAGGATGCTTTGTGTGCGTGTGTGTGTGTGTATGTGTGTGTGTGCGTTTGTCTTCTAAAATCATATATCATTAAGTAAGGGATAATGTATAGTACAGTGATCAGGTTGATGTAGCAGATAGGACCCCTAGCAGGACTCCACTGACCACCTTCTCTCACCTGTATCAGCGAACATGAGTGCGGCATACTGACTTTTCAAGGCAGTGCACAATTTGACCAGTAGGTGTCAGTATCTCATCAAAGAAAACAAGAAGTCTTCTTGGCGATGTCGATCAAATCTGGAAAAGAATAAATAATGTTACATGACAGAAAACTAGTTCATTCTGCATCCTGCAAAAAGTGTCTTCTGCAACTAAAAGAAGTGTTAAAAAAAGATCTGTTTTACATTCAAACGCACGCTTTTGATAGAAAGACATCTTCACAGCAGTGGAAGATGGTGCTCATGGGAAACGCAGTGATCATCCTAGAAAAGTCCAAAAGAGTCACTAAAATCAACACAACATAAAATTCCTCACAGTGCCTGAAAGACTTATTTACACCAAATGTTGGTTTGGAAATGATTTTATTCGTTTTCTGTGTTTTCTTCAATTTTGTAGATGTTTTTGTTGTAGTGGACAGTTTTTTCGTTTCTTAAACCTCTCCTGTCTTGCCCCTGCTCTCTTTTCTTTGTTTCCCCACCATGAGCAAACAGACATCAAGCTAACCAGAATTGTTTCAGCATGTTGATGAGACTGCAATCAGTCCTTTGGAGTTATTGATTAAAGCCACACCCCCTAGTAATAGACTGTTATAAATAACAACTTCTCACTGCTTCCTTGTAGAACAAAAAAGCAATAAACCCAGGAGTTTTATTCTCTAATGTTGTTGATGTTTCTCTACTCCAGCCATCCCAGTAGGCATTGTGGTGGTGAGAGGCGACTGTGACCTGGAGACCTGCAGACTCTACATCGACAGGTTACAGGAGGCAAGTTCCCCTCACTTCCTCATGTTTATCATGCCTTTAACTCTCCTCTCCTTCTTTCTCCTTCTTCCTTGCTCTCATTATTTCATGATGCTTGCTGCAGCATAACCCCTCCTCTCTTTCAGTCTGCTTTCTATAAATGGATGAGTGAGCAGCGCTGATGGGAATGCAGAGCTGCTCTTTGTGTCTCTTGTGGGAAACTAACCGAGCTAACATCTGTGGAAGTTTTTGCTGTAAATGCTTTGGCTGTTTGTTAACCTTGAAACCTGTCTGCTGTGCTTGCTAGGACTTACACCAGGCGCCATCTACTGGCCACAGAGTGCACTATCAGGTATATCAGTTTTGGGTGACTTGGAAGAAAACTTTGGTTATTATTATTATTATTATTATTATTATTATTATTATTATTATTATTATTTTAGAAGATATTTACCACTTTTTTTATTTTAGGCCTGGAATCCCTGTTTATAATTTTACTTTTTACATTTTTTGCTTGCATGGTTTAATTTAGATAATTTTTAAAAAGCTGTTTGTTGAAAATTCCATACACATATGACAAACACTACAAAATAGAGCTTCAAACAATAAGTTAGATATAGGTCCTGCAGACTGACACCTACACTGTGTGAAATTCTCTCCTAACACACAGGGAATCAACTTTATTTTAATATGAGATCAATATTATAATTATTAATGTAAGCTACACTGCCTCATTGTCCTTATCATCTGCTTCCTGTTTCCGATCGTTCAGCTGCTCTTTGACCTTTTCTCTGTTTGTAATTTTCCCTTTTTTGCTTTTTCCCTTTGAGAAAAAATTCCCTCTTTAAACTTGTTACTATCATTTTGTTTGCAGAAGAATTTTATACACTACAGTGACTAATATCTTTAATTTCAGGATGAATGTCGAGGCATCCCCAGGACCAGTTCATCCAGTAGACTCTCTCCGAACTGGAGCTTTCTGGATTGTGAGTCACTCCACATCAATAGATTATTTTTTTAATAATATCTTTATTGACTTTCATTTCACGTTATTCAGACAGTTTTGTTATGTAATTGTGTATTACAAAAGCCTTTTTTTCCCCATTCGTTTCAAACACCCCCCCCCCCCCCAAACAAACAAACACAAACATTAATCCCTCTCTAAAAAAAAGAATGCACAGAACATAACCAAGTCATTTATACAATCAATAATTCCTTGTTTGGGATAAATTGTAAAGATATAATAATATAATACATACATTTTCAGTATTTACATCCTCTTATTTATTTTTTCCTTTTTTGGGAGCTATCAACAAACCATTAACCTTCTTTCATTCAGTGTTTACATCATGTAGAAGCCCTTCAATATCTCCATTCTTACTATAGCTATCAAATGGTTTCCAGATTTCCTCATAAAGTGTCAATTTGTTTTTCAGGGTATATGTTTTTCCATTGACATACATCATTAATAGATATTTAAAGTGGACAAAATTACAGTGAAGACAAACTGTAGATCCTCCAAAAAAAAAGACAGAGGACAGAGGCAACCGGCGTCTGACTAAGACCAGGTCATGTCCTTAAAAAAACAAATAAAAGTCGGCCTTCCAGGGCTAGCAATGTCTCATCTTGACTATGCTGAATTCTATCCAAAATGAAAGGAAAAGTCTAAAACCATTTCATTGTGTGCAAATTCATCAACTTACACACATGTCAGAGTTTACTAAACTTATGTGCTGCAGCAAGTAAGTAAAAAGCAGCTGGTTTGAGGTTACAGAAAATAAGTGCACAGCCTGTTACCGGAACTGAGCCACAGACAGCCCAGACTGATCTAACACTCATCAATACTACGGTCTATTACCTCCGACTGTATCTCTTTAAGCCTTTTCTGTCATTATAGTTTCACAATTTGTATTTCCACTGTCTTGTTTGTCAAATATAAAGTCGCCTCAGAGATCAAGTTTTCTTCTTATTTACGTTAATGTTTATTTTCATGTATGTTTCTTCTCTACAGCCACGTCAGCTGACCGCTTCTATCGCATTGACAAAGCTCAGGTAAAAACAATTTAAATGTAGAGACACTTTGGTTTATAGATTTTAAGTTTTTAAGACTCAAATTTCCACCAATCAAATGACTTCTCTTCTGTTTCTGTGCCTCTGCTCTAGGAGCACCTGCACTTTGTGACAGAAATCTGTCAGGAGGAGGTTTTTATCCTGGACCACGAGGCTCCAGCAGTGAGTCAGGGGTCGTCCACAGGGATGCCTGATCTGGTGGTGGAACCGACGTCTGGGTAAGTCAGCATGTATACAGGCACGCTCTTTATTTTCTTGCGGTGTGTATTGACTTGAGAATTCATGCTGATTTATGGTGGAAAAAAAAAACGTCAGTAGATAGATTTTGCGCCATGGTTGGGCCAGATTCGTTGTAATGTTGCAAAGATATTTCAACGAAAGTTTTTTAATGTAACAAAATGCAGTTGGAGACCAAAAATATTCTAAAGCCAATATTTTATCTTCTAAATTGTCTCTCATGAATTTCTCAGTCTTATTTCATGACTGATAAAGTTTGAGCTGGTTTAATAGAGTAAATATTAAATTAAGAGACAAGTCTTTAAAGAAAAAGATTTTCAACTTGTGTCATTTTTCCTTTTCAGCACTCCCTTAACATCAGAGGAACAAGGTACAAACCACACACACACAAAATACTCGTATTAAGGGACTTGTGTTTTTTTTTTTGTCTGCACTCTTGACCCTTCAAATTCTGCATTTTCTCCATGTAAACTCAGCACGCCCTCATTCAAACTCTGGCCACATTAGGAGTTTTAGTTCCTCAGAAACTTGTGTGTTGATTCTGGAAAGTTAGAAAAGTTTAGGGATGGTCACTCCCGCCTTGTGTACTTTGGTCTCGTGTCAGTGAGAGGTCTTTGTTGATCCTGGGACTCTCCAACAGAGTAAACTCGTTGTTCCTCCTGCGGACATGTCTCGACATATCACCACTTTGTTTACTTTCAGTTTTGCTTTAATATTTGACCCCTGATTGTAAACAACACCACACCAAGTAAACACAGAGTACCGCTCACCTTTGATACTTTGAGAGCATTGATACAGGTTTGTGCCAATTTCACAGTCAGCTCTTAAAAGTAGTCAGATTTGCCCTGCAGACACAGAGCATGACTCATCAAAACACTAACATGACTGAGAGCTGTGGACCACTGACACAGGGTGTGACACAGGGTCTGAAGGGCAAAGTGCAAGTGCATTCAGGGTGAGTGCATGATCGTGAAGTGCAGAGATGGTGTTTTGCCCTGAGGTATTCACTGTTTCTTTATGTACAACATAAATGGAGACAAGGTGGTGCCATCTATTACTTAGAGGAGGTGCACGTGCCTTACTCATGCCTTAGACTGGAATCCACCAGGTTTCCTGGAAAGACAGAAGAAAGGGAGTCAGTGTCAGTGTATGACCTCTCCTTGCAGAAGGCTTCAATGCTTAAGAATAATAACAAGAAGAAGAAGAAGAAGGAGAATACATTTTATTTATAAGCGCCTTTCTGAGCACTCAAGGACACTTTACAGAGTAAGAGCAGCAACATAAAACAGCAAGATAAGAGCAATAGAGAAAATGAAATATATATATATATATACTGTATATATATGTGCTGTATATGTATAAATAAACAAAAATATGACAAGGTAAATTATAAGGAGTGTGCTAATCTGAACAGGTGGGTTTTGAGTCTGGATTTGAAGAGAAAGAGAGAGTCAATTTTCAGGTGGGAGTTATTTCCAGAGTTGGGGAGCAGAGCGGCTGAAAGCTCTGCTCCCCATGGCTCTGAGGCGGGCAGGGGGCATGGTAAGGTGGATGGAGGAGGAAGATCTGAGGGAGCGAGAGGAGGTGACCACGCTTAAGAATGGGATAATGCATAGTGAAAGGATGGTTATGCAAGTTACATTTCTGACAGGGTGAGCAGGATTCTGAGACGCCACATTATTGCTATTATTATCTCTCTTAAGGGTTAAATTGTTTTATAGAGATCAGTAACTTTTAAAATAAACTGACCATCTCTGTTTAGTGTCATTATTCCCTGAATCAGCCTGTCAGTCTGAGGCAGAGACTAAAATTTTGGTCGAAGTGTTCACCAATTTAAAACGCTGACAGAGAATAAGAGCATTTTTGCTACAGTGTCAACAGGAGGAGGCCACAACTCCTGAAACCCTGGTCTGGCAGATACCTCAGTGACTTTGAGTTCACTCATTTGCAATTTTTCAACATGTGAACGAGAAAGGTTTGACTCCACTTTTAATAAAAACTTTAAGGGAATGATCGTGACTGTGGTGACCGGACACAAAGCAGTCAGGTTGTAGATTTAAATGGAAGCGAAACAGAAAGTTAAAGATTTCAAAGAGTCACTTCAGGAAGACTGTTTGTTCTTCTCGTTTCCTGTCTCCAGACATTATGAGTAACATCTGGTACAGTTTAAAAATCCTCAACACTGCACTGAGTTCATCATGAGTCATTTTTTCTGAGCGTCAGAGGAGGATCTTTATAGAGAAAGAGGAACAGGTGTGACTACTGAAACTTCTGCTCATGTGCTGAGATCTCACATGTTGCTTCTTGTTGTTTTTATGTCCACAGCGCTGCTGAAAGCTGCCAGCACAGGAGATCTGTCTATGGTAAAGTTCAATGGGTCACACATATCACACTCAGACATCTCTATGGAACACAGATAGTGGAAAACCCATTATCAAAACTAGTTTAACTTGTTTGTATTTGCGTAACTTCACTGGGTTTTCCAAAAGAAACATGACTCAGCTAAAAGCCTTGTTAAACCATATCACCGTGAGCAACAGGATCACTAAAATGTCTATGCTTGTTATGAAAATACATCCTACGAAAGTTTTCTTCATTCATTTCACTTCCTACTGCAATTCCTCCAGAGTTGGAATAACACTTTTTTAGCTCTCTGAATATTTGTTTGAGTTATTTTGACTTTGGTGACAGCCTTAAAGCTTATTGGGAGAAATGAGGCCTTGGTTTGTTTGGAGGGAGCGGAAGACATATGAAGTCTGCTCAAGAGAAAAAGAAAACACTCTGACCTGACGTGCAGAAAACCTTCCTCACAGCAGTGTTTGATTTACAGTGTAAAATTGTCCCGAGAATGACCCTGAAAGTTCTGTAAACACTGACAGAGCCAGTCCTCATGTTTGCATCCTTCTTCACATTTATCAGTGTTGGCAGTTCACTCTGAAAATGGTCTGATTTAAAGTTCAGCTCACACAGATGAAAACAAACTAGATCATGTTGATATGCCCTTTTTTTCTAATTTTGAACTTAGTTTATGATCCAAACTACGAACAAGTTCATGTTTATTTCTTAGGTTGATCTTTAAAGGGATATTCTGGCGTAAAATTAATTAGGGGGCAAACACACCTAAACATAAAGTTAGACACCCCCTCAGAGATGAATGTTGCCGACCGCTTACTTCTCTAGTTATACCAACTTTAGTAACGACCGCACGATAGCAATACACAGCGGTCTGATGAACCATAAACAAACCTCAACCAAAACGCCACTCTATAGCCACAAATAATGCTCAGAACAGCACCTAACTTCATCAACAGTACATATAGGGTCCTAGCCACAGCACTAGCCACCAAACATCTTTTTAACTTTGCCTGATTTCTTTATCAAAGAGACTTAACACAACTCACCTACTCTCTTCCAGCAGTCGCTTGTTTGTAGCAAGATTTGTTGGTTAGATATTTGGTTAAAGCTCAAAAGGACTTTTTTGACATTTATGAAATAGGCTGAAACTTGTTTGCTTTATCATAAAAATGCATCTGTATGAATTTTAGCTAATTTTGTAAACCTCAGAAAACTCCTCACTGGAGCTTTAACTAAGAAAGAAGGATGGGGGTTAAGAAACAGCTCCTGATACCTCTCATAACCCCATGAGATGTTATTATGTCTCACTATCACTAGAATGAGCCCCATTGTCCCCTTTTCCATTCATCAGTTCCTAATTGAGCCAAACTTACACTAACTCTGAATCCAGATCTTAAGAGTTTCTTGTTTTCTCCTGTTCAAAAATTAAAAAAAATCTTTCACTCTTCTCTGCGTGTGTGTCTGCAGTTGTCTGAGTGTGTGCGTCGGGGCGTCAGCTTGTTGGTCAGGGACTCTGGAGGTTGTTCGGCGTTACACAAAGCAGCTCAGAATGGACACTCAGAGCTGGTCAGCTACATCCTGCAGCAGGGTAAGAGAGTGTGGTAGTGCTGTACAGTTACAGTTTCATTTAACCAGCCATCATGACTTGATGATGAGTAAATTGTTAATGTGTAACATCTAGATTTATAAAAGTCTTTGTTTCTGTTTCAGGCTCGAAGGTTCTTCTGGATTTGACAGACAGAGAGAAGTATGTCGGTTCCTTTTTATTTTTATATTCAGGCTTAATCGTGCATGTTGTTTGTTGTTTGGTGAGGCCAGATTGCATCAAATTTCCTGATCTGTCAGATGTCATTTGCACACATGCCCACCAAATTTTGTTTTGATATAACACAGCAGGGCTTGGTGGTTACAAGAATTTCCATTTCAGTCGCTGTTTTGGCTTCTCAGAGTCATGAAAACAAGATAGGCACGAGCCCGGCCTTTAAGGGGCAGCTGTCACAAACTGTTTGAGATATTGAAGATGTATAAAAGCGACATATTCTTAGTCTTGGATCAGGGATGGTTATCGCCACATTATAAATGCCTCAGAATTTAACGAAACCACAAAACAGCTTTCAATTGAATTTAAAATGACTAAAAATCCAAAGCAGGTAGACATGGCTTATATGGAAAATTACTGCAAGTTAGTTTTGACTGTCTGCAAGTTCACAATTATAGATTTTGTGTGTGTGGATGTGTCTTTGTGTGTAGAGGGGACACTGCGTTGCACAAAGCCGCCTCAGAGAAGCAGCACGCTGTATGTCGACTTTTGGTGGAAGCCGGGGCGTCGCTCGAGAAGACCAACTTCCAGGTAAACTCAAGCACACCTGTCCTGCACGTCATTCTACCCCTGATATTTCCCAACTGTCTTCAGAGTTTGCAAATAATAAAGGCAAAAAAAAAATAAGACGAACCTCTGGACCTGGTCAGATAAACACTTTTATGATCAGCAGAGAAATTTTGTTTTCACTGCTGCTTTCATTTTGTAAAAGTGAAACTTACACTTGATAGTCAGGGCATGTGGTTTTTTAATGTTAAATTAGAGGAAGTCCTGAACCTAAACAAGAAGTTTTAAGACATGTCAGCAAGTTTGAAGCGGTTTGAAGAGAATTTAAAATTAGGTTTGCGGGAAACTGGAACATCGTGTGTTTAAACTGAAAATATACCCTCATTTTAATCTTGATGCCACGGGTTATTACTTTTGTGAAATTATAAGTTATAGCTGCAATGTTTGACCGAAGTAAACACGCTTGTGTTGAGTAAAGAAGTGACTATTTTCTGTATAAATGATAAGAGACACTCAACTGTGTCAACTTGAGTATTTTAGACATGTAAATCTTTATTTCTTAAACTTTTTAGACAAGTTCATTATCTGTGAAACTAGCTGTTTAACAAGACTACAACTGACTGTTTACTCTTTTTTGTTTGCTTTAAATTTTACTGTTTTGTTTGTTTCCATTAGGGGAAAACACCAGCCGAGGAAGCAGAGGGAGACTCGGAGCTCACCACATACCTGAGCGCCCGACAGAACGCACCTACTGCGCCGCATGAGGACTTAGAGACGGCTGTCTGAGGCACACACACACACACACACACACACTCACACTCACGCTCAGTGTCTCTGTGGACTCTGCACACACGCTCGCAGTGGAAACAAAAACAGAGAAACAGACTCTGGTTTTTATCTCCGGACCAGGCAGAGGATTGAACTGCTTCAGCTCTGCAGAGGAGATTTTAATGGTTGACTATTTATTTGTATTTATTTATTCATATTCTATTTATTGGTTGTGCTGATGGACTGATTGACCGAGTGATTGATTGATTGTAGGACTATTTAACAGTTCAGGATGTAAGTGCACTTTGAGCAGCCGTTTGGGTGGTGAGTTCACTTGAAAATGTGTCTTTATTTCTGTTACAGTTCATATTTCACAGAATGAGTTTGCTCATGTTTATATTATTTCTGAGGAAAAGAGTCACAGTTACATAAAGTTTTCGTCCAGTTTTATTTATTTATTCAACCCCCAAACTTTTGTGCCAAAGACATTAAACTCACATCTGTGTCAGAAATTTTCCCAGAATCCATCACTGTTATAAAATGCCAAATAATGCTAGATATAATACCAAATTATTAACAGTAAGGGCCTGTGTCCACTGATGGCATTTGTTCTTTACACTGGCAGAGTCTGTTTCCACACAGAGCCAGTGCAGTTCAGTGTTTTCGGCACTGCTGCACTTGTCAATGTCACTTCACCAACCAATCAAAATCAAGAGAGGGCGGGACTTTTGATTTCAACTTTGTCAACAACCATGAGCGGGTCCCTACTGTAGTGAAAGTTAGGCTACGTTCACACTGCAGGTTATGATGCACAATTCTGATTTTTTGTTAAATCCGATCTTCTTGTGCGGTCGTTCACATTACAACAACGAATGCGGCATCTAATGAGAGTGTCTGTGAAGAGACCTGCATGCGCACAAAGCACAAACTGCTTTCCGCGCCTGTTTGTGTTGTCGAAAAATGGTGACGTTTGTCGCATATTGATGCCGTATAGATGGGATGAACGTGATCTGAGCGTCCACACTGCAGTCACAACGAATACATATCGGATTTATATCCACATACAGAAGAGGCCTGGGTCGGATTTGAAAAAATCTGAATTGCACTGTTCACAACATGAAAAAATCTGATATGTGTCACATATGGTTGAAAAATCGGCATTGACCTGCAGTGTGAACATAGCCAAAGTCTCCGGGTAAAGTAGCCTGGCTGGGCCATCCTGTTGGGTGAATCACTTGCTGTTCCTTCACACAACAGTCTGGACTTCGGCCAATTGGGAGCCCTGAAAGTGGGCGGGAGTACTTTCCTTGATAGACAGACTACTGTAACCAATCGCCGTAACCAAACATCTGACGTCATCACAGTGCGCAACTTTGTTCCCTGCTGGGGTCTCAAGCATCGAGTAAAGGTTTGGTAATTTTTTTTTGGTAATATTTCAACGTGTGCGAGCAAACAATGTCTTTTACGTCGTCTTCTGCGGATATAAACAATTTCTGTCGACTTTGCAAAGTCAACTGCATTAACCTGAAGTGTGGTGAGATGTCTGCGTGGAAATCTTGCAACATTCAAAGCTGAAGAAATTAAGTTTGTGGGCACTGCCAGTGTGAAAAATGCTATTAGTGGACACGGGCCCTTACACATCAGTTAATTAAAATCTGCATTACAGGGTCAAAGACATAAAACTCTCCTAAAAGGCCTTTTTTTTTAAACATTTAAATACCAGAATACTTCTGCAAACAGCAACAAGCGATGTCCCAAAGTCAGAAAAAATAAACAAAATAAAAAGTTCAAGCTCTTGTGACGAGTTTTCTGTTAATCTTGGTATCATCTTAAAGTCTCATCTAGATATTTTTAAAACCAATATTTGACCCCTACAGTGAATATTTACAATGGAAAGAGTGAAAAGAGGCTGTTTCTTCAGCAAGTTATCACTCAGTCAGTCTGACACCCACCCCTTCACAGCAGCCACAATTATTTCTGTCTGTTTCATACCTTTTAAAAGTCCTCACAGAAAGTTAAAATTAACATGTTACTGAATGAACAACCACCCATATGCACAAGGAACCTCTATGTGAGCTTTTCCCTACAAAATACCTTGTACTCTCATCCTTTTAGGCTTCTTCAAACCTTCTCAAACCAACATAAACAATATTAGCTAGAAAAAAAACAACGTTTTTCCCTCTCAGTCGATATTTATTTGTATTTAACTGTCTCAAGCCAAAGTATTGATGTTCCTCTCACCATGATGGGGCTTAACCTTCATCACAGACTGTCTTATAGAGTGGAGTTGTTCAATTTGAGATGCAGGGTATGGTTTAAAGATATAAAAAAATAAACTTTAAGGGGCTTTAAAATAAGTCATTTACACCCAACTGTATAATTTTAGCCTGTATGATTATTTTCAATCCTTGCTATCTTGACGCTGAAACCATCTTATCGCATAACTGAAAAGACCAAGGTTAGCCCAGTATCACTGAGAAACAGCGACATAAACCTTGCGCGGTTGTTCTCTAACATCCATAAGAGCAGCCTGTCAGTTCCTCTGTCTCAACCAAACCCTGTTCAAAATAACACCGTTTTAACGCAGAATTACTAAAGAGGTCATTCTCAAACTGCTGACTCCTCATTAACTCATTCTCTGGTACTTGTATCTGGACCCAACAAAGCTTTTAACATGCAGTGTATGTGTATGCTTTTGTATATGTGTGTTATAATGTGGCCCATTCCATATCAAACCTTCTATGAGAGGTGAGTGGAGCTCCCCTGGTGTTATAACAGTGTGTGCGTGCATTTGTGTGAGTGAGTGTGTGTGTGTGTTTGCAGCATCTATCCAAGAAGAAGAGAAGAATCTGAGCCATATTCAATGCAATATGAGTGGTCGACATCTTTGCATTTCTCTGTCATCGTTTACATTACATTAATGTTTCTAACGTAGTCGTCCGTTGGGCACCGAGGAGAATCGAATGTGCAATGTAACTCCAGTGCAGGTTGGGTTCACGATTGTCTGTTTTATTTTCTTTTGTGTGCATGTTTGTCGATGCTTTGAAACAACCCTGTGAGGTGTCTTTTTGATATAACCTGTAAACTCAATTTAAATTAAGCGCAGGAGCGGCTTCCTTGGCGTGTTTTCACTGAGACTTTGGGAGATTTTAGAGACTCAAACGAGACTTAAAAGAAGTTAATGCACAACATGAAGTTCAGTTTCCAGCTTCTTTAAAGATCACAGTATTACTCAGTTTGCCTTTTTTATGTTTATTTGCTTGCATTTTAGATTTACATGAAAACTTTGGTGATTTCTTCTATTTAAACTTATGCAAACCTGTTTTGTTCATATTTTTTTTCTTTTTGTAGTCAAATCAAACAATCCAAACACCGATTAAAAGAGTTTGTTGCATCGAAACATATTCCACAAAGGGATTCACACTCCTTTTTTATTTCATTAACTTTTGAAGCATCTGTAAAAATAACCACAAGCAACAGCAGAATTTTACCAACAGACATGTTTTAGAGTCTGAAGATGTCATGCAGCTTTTTATCGGTGAGACTCTGTGGAAACACAACCAGTGAGAACGTGGTGTCTTCTCTGCTCGGGACCACTCATGTCAAATTAAGTCTCTTTTGAAGATACGGCTATTTTCCCCTGAGAAGGAATTTTAAAATTTAAACATTAGAAGCTAAAATTTGATTTTTGTTAAAGTCACTGTAAGGAGTTTTCATGTTGTTTTGATTTGAGCAACCTCATTGGACGAAATAAGAACAAGACTGCCGATAAAGTGATGAGGTGGCAGAGGCAGAGAAACAACAGCGACAGCAGAGTAGAGTGAAAATATTTTAACATCAGTGTAAAACTCCTCACAGTGTCTTTTACGAAATCAAACTTTTGCAATGTGAAAGGTTGCAAAAGCTAAATCAGTCCCTCATTAGTGTGGACTAGTGTGAGCTCCACTGATATTGTTCATGATGGTGAAGTTAAATGACAATATGTAATTTAATAATCAAATAACTTTTGTTTAAGCTGTTAAAAGTCATGTTTTTAAAGCCAGGAATTTCCCTGAGAACTGAAAATCTTTTACAGCACGTACTCTTCCTGTACTGGATCCTGGGGACATTATCTAACCTCCTAAAAAGTCCCAACTGGAGGGGATTGTACCAAACAGATTAGAAGGAAGTTGGCTTTTCGATTTGGGTGTGTTTTATTCATTTCTCTAATTCCATAAAAAATAACTTGTAAAAGGAATGTATCAATATTAGTTTGTTTCAAATGAAATAATTTGGTAAAATGTAAATTTTAGAGACATTTTTCAGCCAATCAGTTTTCCCAAGAGTGTTTTTTTCTTAGTGCACAGAAGAAAACTGTGGGAACAAGTTGTTATCTTGTACGCACAATAAAAAAAAACTCATGGAAACAAGCCGTCTTGTTTTTAGTTGTGTGCACATGATTATTACTTTGTGGGAACAAGTTATTTATCTTGTTTACACGATGGAAACAAGCTATCCTTACACAAAAACAGTGAAGTCACTTGTGTGCACAAGCTAATATTTTGTTTGCCTAACATAAAATAGTTGTACTTTTTGGGATTTAAGGGGCTGCTTCATTTTTATTTGATTATTATGATGTATTTTTATTGTTTTGGGATGACTGTCTGAAACTGTGAAAAGTGTCGATCCGGGGCTTTGAAATATAAAATTTGATGAATGATGTTTGAGGTTGGACTTTTTTATTCATTTTGTTGTAAAACTCAAACCACACTTGTCCTCATTTTTAATAATAAGGGATGTTTTGCTGGATTCTGTCTTACATTTATCTCCATTTTAATCCTCTCAGATCTGATTTCTCGGTCACTCTATTTCTTTTTCTGGTAAAAATGTCTTCTCTTTCCCACAAATGTTCTGTTTCAGGACTTCTACGGGGGGAATCAAACACTGAGACCTTCCTCTGAGTGTGTGGAAACTAACAGTGTAGAAACTCTGTGATGATATTTTCTATAAGGTGACTGTGGTGATCAGCTCGGCCCACTCTGATCCACACGCTCACAGTTCTTATCACTCTTTCTAACGAGTAGAAACTTTGCATCAGACTGTGTTTCTCTCAGCGTCGGTTCTGCATGACAGTACCTGTGTATGTTTATCTTTCTTTTGTTTTAGTATTTCTTATTTTTCTGCTGATGATGATGATAATGTGGATGATGATGATGATGATAATGATAAGGATGATGATGATGGGATTACTTGAAGTTTGTTGTTTTATTATATTAATTTGTTAAAAGAAGATGTGATGCAGTAGTATTGTCTCTGGTCTTATTTCTGTCTGAATTATTGCAGAGGGACATCTACTAATTAATGGAAAGTGGCGCCAAACCAATAGATAGTACTGGGGTTTATATTCAACCCTGCTCAGAATGGTTAAAGGGATATTCTGGCGTAAAATTAATTTAGGGTCAAACACACCGTAACACCGAGTTAGACACCCCCTCGAGAGATGAATGTTGCCGACTGCTTGCTTCTGTAGGTATACCAACTTTAGTGATATCATGTGGTCACTAAAGTTGGTATAACTAGAGAAGCAAGCGGTCGGCAACATTCATCTCTCGACGGGGTGTGTAACTCTGTGTTATGATGTGTTTGACCCTAAATTAATTTTACGCCGGAATATCCCTTTAAAGTGTCAAAACAAGTGATTATCACTGATTGGCTGCCTGAACAGTGAATAAGGGTGGAGTAGGCAGATAAACAACAAAACAGGCTTGGCGAGTGCTCCAGAAGAACCCATGTCATTTTGGACCTTATTTTTGGGAACTAGTGAGAAGTCTTAAATTAAAGCTTTGTTAGTATTTCAGAATTGGATCCTGCCTTTCTTTGAGTCCAAAAAGGGACCAGTCTCTGCCACTTTTATCTCTGTGCTGGATGGCGATGTCTGACACATGCCTATTCTCAGAGTTTAAGTGCTGTTTACATTATGAAAGTACTGACCAACTTGATGGCCCATTTTTAATTTAGGGTCTTTTTAGGTCTGCTTCCTCTTACATAACATCAGGCAGAAGAGTAGAGGAACTGACCCTAACTGATCTCAAGACCTTTGCTTCCTGTCCATAAAGAAGGTCAGATTGGTCATGTGGTAAATATGGTTAAGTAAAGGGGAAATAACAATGATTATGGAAAAAAAATACTCAGGCTTGGTTGGCTAGAAAATGACTCAAGTATTTGTAAGAAAAAAAACAAACCACGTGGTCAGTTCTCAACCTCATAGTTGATCAGTCCAGTGTACGAAGTATTTACTGATAACTCAGTGTTGCAGAGGACAGGTGAAGTGAAGCCTGTCTGGACAGCTGTAAGGGAACTTGATGGAGACATTTACAGAAAATCTCTAAAGAATTTTTGATGCTGTTTTATTTTAAGTTTACAGTTTCACAGACTGATATTTAAACACTGTAAACTATGTAAGACAGATTTTAGAATCTTTTAAATTTCATTATCTTGGTTTTTAAACAGTTTTGTTTAAAGTTATAAGGATATGCACTCGAATATTGTTTACTCACTGAATACATAACTGTTAATCATTATCACGGTGAGGGAGTGTAGAGTTATGCAAGGGTGGGGGACTTTGTAAACAAAACTTTGCTGTTACCAGGCAAAGCAAAAACCAGGTATTTCCTCAACAACATGTTTCAAAAGGTCACTCAATGTTCGAGACGTCAGTGCTGATAAACAAACTCACACAAGCATTTAAACCACGTGATATTTCCTGTTTTCTGTAACTTTTCAGCTGCAACTTTTGTACATAACAACTGAGTTCATGCTAATATGAGTGTAAAGAAGGTTGAGGTTTTATTTTCCATCAACACTGTCACATTTGATGCAAAGAGGAAATGAATCCTCACACACATACCTGTAAAAAAACACCTTGAATGTGGCAAGCAGCTGAGAAGTTTCTCAGGTTGCAGTTAAAGTCAAACAGAGTCTCAGTGAGTCAGAGCGGGAGTTTCCTCAAAACCTTTACAACCATCATTAAGCTGGACATACAACGGGAATTATCCCACCGAGTCTATTAGGTTACAGTCTCTGAGGACAGAGAGCAACTTTAGATCTACCCGAGTGTTGAGATCCATGGCTGGGTCAGTAATAAAGTGCAACACAAGTAAAAAGTTTGTTAAAACCTGATAAAATATGACAGCACAGAGAAAATTACAACTAGAACTGAAAACTCCTGTGAGGATCTCAGTTTGTGTTGATTCTGTGGTGTCCCCTGTGGACATATTCAGACCTCTTGCTCGTGTTTAACTTGAGTTTTCCAAAATAAAAATAAATTCACGCATTTATATTTTTATGCATTATACATTAGACGCCTCATCCATACAAAATGTAAAAACAAGCTGTTGTTGGAGGCATGTGTGTAATCAAACCGATTAACAACTACTCTGATCAGCTGTTAAAGAAGGAAAGAACAAAACAAAAATGATATTGTTAGGGCCTGTCTTTTGACAACATGCATTAATCTTTCTTTTTTATCTGAAGGCATGACTAACATCTTCTAATATTTTTGACAGGAATTTTCAAGCTTTTTGATTTTTTTCTACTTCAGTTTTTGGTTTAGGTTTGCACTTATTAATGTTGTGTCTCAAGAAACAAAATTTGGATTTTTGTCTCTTATTTTTCATTTGGAAAAAAAAGTGTTGTTTTTTTTTTATTTTACGCTGTGCTATCATTTTGACCCACGAAAAAGAAGTCACAGCTAACTTTAAATTTTTTTTAGTTTCTTTTTCAGTCATGGATCATTCTCGATAAAAACAAGTGTTTTTAAAACCCACCCCACATGTGATCTCTTAGAGATAAGGGGAATTTCCTCTCGCTTAACCCCTCTTCACATGTTGCATCATGTCTGAAAATATAAACCTCAGCCTTACATCTGTATTTGTTTGGCTGCAAAGTCATGTGCAGATGACTCATGTTTAATTGTAGTTTAGCTGCACACAATTCAGACACACAAGCATTGACTCTCAGCTGATGAAATGTAGAGAAGGAATGTCCTGGCAGTTACTGTAAAAACAAACACAGGTTGATTTTCTAAAAATACATTCAAGATCTATAAGGTATAATAAAAACATTAGGAGAGTGGAGTAAGACGAGCCATTTTTTATATTTTGGATCACAACATCAAGGCAATCATAGTTTTGTCTCTAACTATACTACTAATCATAATAATAATAATAAAAATAATAATAAATTTTCTTTATAATGTGCTTTTACAGGTGCTCAAAGACGCCTTACAAAGAAAAAGAAGAAAATAAATTAAAAAAACCCACACAATTTAAAACACAGACAATTATGAGAAATCAATGATGTAAAAGGTTGAAAAAAAGACACAATAAAAGAACAGATTCACAGGTTAAAAGCCAATTTAAAAAAGGTGTGTTTTTAAGGGTGATTTAGAAGTGTGGGGATGGGGGGGGGGGGGGGGGGGCAACGGAGAAGGCTCTGTCTAGTGTATCTGCATATATTTCAAGATGTTGTGCATCCCTGCAAACCTAAAGAATGAGTGTAAACATAACTGTCTCGATAATATAGCATGAGCCTATCCCTACTACCCCTTGTAAGTCCTCTGAACTAAAATGGTGGACTTTGATGCTAGGTTTTTAAAACCCCTGGTTGTAGCTCATATATACCACAATTGATGTATAAAACAAATTTTAAATGATCTTTTTTGGTCTGAACACAATTCTAATAAAACTTATGACAGACTAAATTCACTTGCAAGAGTGAATTTTTTTTTTTTTTTTGTTGTTGTTTTTTTTCAAATAAATGTCTAACCCCTTCACCCATGTACTTCTAACCTTCATAGACTCCATGAATTGATGCGCATCTCCTAAATATTTGGTCACATGATCAATATCTTATACCATTTCCAAGCAAAAAGGGGGTGGCATTCAGATTTCCCTGCCAGTCAAACCATGGTTCAGTTTGTGTTTCTGTACGTGATAGTTTCAAATTTGTCACACTTCTGCTTTTTTGAGTGCCAAACATAAGGGCAATAAGGGCAAGAGTTTTTTTTTTTTTATCTCTTTCTCAAAACAACAGAGATTTTACTTCCTCTTTTTCAACCAGGGAGGTCTAGAAGCTTCTGTGACAGTTAAAGACACGTATTAGTAAACTTGGTGAAGTTGTTGGTCACTTTAAAATGTCATGAACAGAATATTAGATGAAAAAAAGTATGTATATTAATAAAGCGTGTTACTGACTGATAGGTTGAGTGTACACAGAGTTATATCATCGTGCTGTTGCTAACTGTTGTCATGTTGCTAAGTGTTGTCGTGTTGCTAACTGTTGTCGTGTTGTTAACTGCTTCGTCACTGTTTGGTTTCACTTTCAATTTTACGAGTTTTGTAAAGAAAACGCACCCACTCAAAAATCTACTTTTCTACCACTTTAATATCTTGGTTTCAATCACTTTTCCCTCAAAAATATTAAATTTTAATCGGTTTGAACGGATAAAAACTTGGCAGTTGAGCACAACGTTATCAACTGTAATATGAGCTACGTAGCGTGTGACCTCTGACGTAATGACGTACACGTTATATAAATAAGTTTTGGTTTGCCAGCTGGGTCAGAACAACTCCAGATTCATGAGCGGAAAACTCGATATTTGAGTGGATTTTTCTCCTCATTTCACCGTGTTTTTGATCGTTTGGACCGTAAGTAGTCGTGTGTTTTTACATATCTAAACTTTTTGCCGTGTGTTGTGTGTTTTACGTAAGAGTTCCGTTGAAGAAGTCATCTTGTAACTCTCAAAAGTTTAATTAAAACTTAACTTGGTAACAAAACGACAACTTGACTGAAGCTGGACAGATTTAAAAAGAGTGAACATTAACATCGACTGAAGTCATAACCTTCTCCTGTGACATTTTAAAACTTTATTAGTGAAGGTAAGTGATAAGGTAAGCACAAAGGAAGCAGGTTCGAGGTGTTTTTGTCGTTTTTAATCAAACCAATCAATCAGTACATGTTTCCTCAAGTTTCATTTTACTGGAGTTTTCCACGTTTGAGTTTTAAAGTCTTAAAAACAACCGTCAGAGCTCAATGAAGTGTGTCCAGCTTACTTTTTACCTCTCCTTAGTGTGTCTTGAAAAGGAAAAACAAACACTTTTGACCTCAGATAACAGGCTTTTTTAATTTATTTATTTTATCTAACTGTAATTTAATGTTTGCTATTTATTGTAAATGGGTCCTATGGCTTGTAATGGGTGTTAACCATAGACTGTATATACTATATTCTAGATACAGTTTATGGTTAACATGTCTTGACATAACTCTCCAAGTGCAATGAATAAGAATGTAGTTCTCACTTTCGACCACTAGAGGCACTGTGATTTTTAGGGAATTGTAATATTTTTCACTGTTGATATTATCCTGATGCCTAATGAAAATAAATGTGAAATAAAAGTAAAATACTCAAATTACAAGGTGGAAAATTGAAAGAAACAAAAGCAGAAAAGATTAAAATGATCCAAATTGAATTAATATCTCCAAGTGCAGTTTAATCGATAAGTAGACTGTTTTCGAGCAAGATATCTGCAGCATATATGGTCCAGATTGACTTCCCCCCTCATTCTTATAAACATGTGGCATCATTATTTTAAAGTTTATTTAATTTTCTTTTTACTCACTGACCTTGAAATAACTGTCTGATTTCTTTCTTTTAAACATCAGTAATCCAAGATGGCAAACGGTCATGTGGAAATCCACGACCCCCTCACCAACAGCAGAGACCGCAGCAGCAGCAAAGACTGTGACCCCAAATCTACGTCAGACATGGAGGACACCACAGAGTTCAGACTCCTCATGGCCTACGCTCAGAGGAGGAGAAGAAAAGACAAAGTCTTGATTCCAAAGGGCTTGGTATTAGTAGGACAATGTGGCTTAGCTGATAACGGATTACCTCAGGAACCACCCAAGGCCGAAAACGAGGTGAAGAAGGGGAAGAAGAGGGGGAGGAGAGGATGGAAAAAGCTGCCAAAGCTTTTGAGCTGCATCAGTCATGCAAAACCCGAACTTTCTCCTGCACCTCAGGGACGTGCTGCTGATTTCACCTGTCGCAGTGGAGATATTAAAGAAGGTGAGCATCAAGACAAAGTGTCAGCAAGTCTTTTCAGATTATTAAAATACCTCCACTAAGATTAGGATACTATGAACTGTGTACATAAACAAAAATGCAAGAGGGGGAAAAAGATCATATTCAGTGAGACCATATTTGATCAAAATGAAAATGCCAAAATAGCCTTTTATGTACAGCAAGAGCAGTGTTTGCAGTGATTTTTTTTTTTCAAGCTCTAGTATTGTTTTTTGCACTTTTGACTCATCAGTTGGTTAAAACAAACAAGTATAATGTGAGCTGTCATTTAAAAAACAGTTTCAAAGACAATTCTAAAGAAAAAACCTGGTGGGTAAAGGCATCAGACTCGTGACTTATAACAGTAATGCGATGAGCTGTTCGTTGTGTCACGAGCTCACCTTTTTGTTTCCCTTACCTGCCGCCTGCTTTCCTCCATCAGATAGTAAGATGATTGACCGTTACAGCAGACCAGCAGAGCTTTATGTGAATTATTCACAGTCACGAGTTCATTCATACAGCATGTTTACAACAATCACGGCTAACCAAAGTGCTTCTCAGGGTTTGAACTGTATCAGCACAAGACCAAATATGGATTAAGGATAATAATAAGTGCAACCACAGTGAACAAGTCATTCAGTAAACTCATCACAGAAGTTATCTGAGGACACCTAAATGAAAAAGCTGTTCTAGACCCAAAGGTGCTACTATATCCTGGTGACCTGCTTTTAGTTCAACCAAAACTCCCTGGTCAGTTTTCCTGCTTGTTTTTCCCCATGACGCATGTTCCTGTCAACTCCCAGTGCGTAATAAAACCTCAGTTTTTACCTTTGTACCCGAGGTTCAGCATTTTTCGAACGCAGCTCATCAAGCAGGCTGCGGTTTCACTCACGTAACCACGTGTTAATACTGCTGACTGTTCAAACGTCATCGTTCACCCCGCTGGCTGTGAGTCAGTTCTCCCTAAATCTGACTATGATCTTTTGGGAATTTCTCAGGATGATGTGTTTCGTTCCCACTCAGAGATTCAGGCTCGGACAAGTAGCTAAACTTTTTAAGCATTTGTCATCAGTGTGTTTTGATCATTTCTTTCAGATGAAGTAAAAGAAAAGGAAAACTTGGACAGGGCGGTGAGCAGACTGACAGAAATCATCAGCGACGTCCCATTCACCCCGCCAGAGGTAGAGACGGATTCCTCAGACGGTAAGTTTGAGTTTCCTCACGACAACATAGACACCGAGGTTAGACTCAATCTGAGAACATTCAGCTATTTTTGCTGCACAAACTTGTTTATCAAGTTTCAACAAAACAAATATAACGTGGATTTATTTAGGTGTTTCATGATGTTTGACTTCGAATGTGAGTTTCTGGTTATTGACCTTTTTGTTTGTTTTTATTTTTTAAGATGTGGAGAAAGTTATCGGCCTGCTGCTGAGGGAAGCTGGGGACAGACTGAATGAACAGGTTGGGTGAAAACATTTCCTTTTATTATAAAAAATATCCAGATTTCTTTACTAATAGAGAAGAAGAAAGGCAGCAACACTGAGTTTGAGTCAAAAGAACCAGATTCCTATCATAAAAAGACTGATTAACTAACACATTTGGATGCAGAAATCCTGGATTCAAGGGATTTCAGTGAGCTTTTAAAAACTGCAACGCTAAACGTATAAGATACGACACCAATAGTGCAAATATTTGTTACGTATATGTCATTTTACCTTCAAATGCAACCTCATCTCTGCCCTCTAAAGTTGTTGAAAAGCTTTTGTTTCGGTGTGTAAATCAGATTCATTGTCCTGAACAGAAAAATGTGTTTTTTCTTCAGGAGGAGGAGCTGAAAACAGCTGTTTCAAGGATTTTCTGGAACTATGATTTCTTCGAGAGGCTTCTATCGACTCTCCTCAACAGGATGGGTCTCCTGCCCTCTAACCCGGACTCTCCGGGACCACAATCATCGCCCAAAACCCAGATCGCTGTGACCTGTGAAGTAAGAGCAGCTCTGACTTGTTATAAAAACTAAATAGAGTTGAGGAGGTGGGACATTGAGGTGAAAACTAATGTCTCTTTATAATCTACAACAATAATACAGAAGGCTGACTATTTCTGTAAGTGTATTTTTAATGTCTGAAACTGTTGTGGTCGTCAGTACGCTAGAGATGGTAGTGAGACATTTGACTCTTAAAAGACAGCAGACAACTTTTTTTAAAATCCGAATCATGTCTCACTTGTACAAGACAAGTGATTTTAGGTGTTAAAAATTAAAGCTATAAGAAGTTATCAGACTTGATGGTTTCATTTGATTTTAAAGGTCGCAAAGAGTCATTAAAAGCAGTTTTTGACTCGGCTGAAAACTCTTCATAGAAACTTTTAAGAAAATTAAATTTCAGTTTATTTAAGCCTCTTGACATTTAACAGAGAACCTTCTAAAAGCATTTTACTGTTTTAATTTTTTGAAGTCATGGGCTTAAATGATAGAAAACAACCCTGCATACGACTCTTTTTTTCTGCTGTTGATTCAGACGTTTTGTTTTCCTAACAGGTCACTAGTCGTCTGTCTGCAGCTGACACACTGCCTATGCGCCGCCTGCTCGGACACGGAGCGAGGTACCTGCAGGAACATTACTCAACCTGGGTTCAGCAGCAGGGCGGATATGTGAGTTAAACTCATTCACACATTTTCTTTATCATCCCTCTTGAGATAGTGCGATTGTGCAGGATTCTCACTCACATTTCTTCCTCAGGAGGAGGCTTTTTACAGTGATAATGAGGACGATGAAGAGTGAACGGACAGGGTTTTTCTAAGTCGATATCGCCCTCTTCAGGCAAACAGAAAAACTGCCACATTGTGCCTTCAACCTGCCAGCTCATTAAGCAGTTCCTTCTGTTTAACACCTCTCAAAGAAGCCACTTACAGAGGTGTTTTTAGTGCTTTCAGCTCTGGGTTTTTCCACAAGGAACAAATAAAGTCTCAGGACATTGACTGTCAAATCCGTTGACATGCACATTAAACCCAAACTGGACAAGCACTCATATATCAGTGTCAAAATGCCAAAAACAATTAACTGTAGCATGCGTGTGTGTGTGTGTGTGTTTCTGTTAAGTAATTTTTATTTGTAATAAGTGATTAAATGCCAACATTTTGCTGATGTTTGAAACGAAACCATTGTTATGCTGTTGCCTCATCATGTGGTTAAAGGAGAAGACAGCGTGATATTCCAGCAGTGACTGTCAGATAACTCTTAATATGATCCAAGAAAATTCCTGTTAAAAGGGAATTTATTAAACAACAACTACCTGTGATTTTCTTGGTGAGTCGGGACTTCTACGTCTTAATGTCTGTTAAATCATCTCCGTTTCTCTTCTGTACTTTGATTTATAGACATTTAAGTGAGAAATCAGAGTTTTGCACATTTGTATTAGCACTTTTTTTCCCATCTGAATCAGTATAATGGTATCATGTTCCTCTCTGAGGGATGTTACCTTTAATTTTTCATTGTGGAATTTAATGTATTTGTTTTTTTTGTTTTTTCTACTTTATTGAAGAATGTCAGGATCGAATTTTGACAAAATGTATGCTTTATATTTAAAAAAAATTCTATCTATGCAAATGTTTTCATGGCTAAAAATAAACTTGAATTGTCGCATAAACTCTTAGCTTCATGTGTCTTAAAATTTTTGTAACAGTTCTGCACTTCTAGACCAAATACAAAGGATGGCATGAACTTTGAAAAATCTGGTTGTGGTAGTTGTGAAAGGCAAACAGTGGTAGACCAAGAATACAAACTCAGAAATTACTCCAATACTTGAAAAAGTTGCTCCTTAAAATTATGATTATTTAAATGTAATTATAGGAGAACTTTATTTTGAAAATACTAAATCAATGAAAATATTTCTGAAACTGTAACACCAGTAAATTACATATTGGTGCAGCTTTCATTAAGTTTGTAAAAATGAATAGAAGTACATAACTATAGAGTAAGCACAAATGAGGGTCATATCAGTGGGAAGCAGAGGGTGCACCATAATCTTCCAGAAAAGAAAACAGGAAATCCTGGACAAGATAGTGGCGCCTCAGTAAGGCAGTCAAATATTTAGTTTGTGTAAAAGTAATTGAATGATGTAATATTTCAGATGTTGCTGAAAAATACAATAATTTTCTCACTTATTAATCTAAAAGTTTCACTGTATTGATGGTGCAGTTGCATTTGCCTGTTTCACCACAATTGGAGTAACTGCTGCTGGTAAGATTGTCAACTGCAATAGTGTCCCGAAAAGATATTTACCGATAACCTACCTCTGTGTGTGAGCTTCATGTCAAAAAGGACATGAAGACTACTATTCTAATGTAATAAAAAGTCTTTTAATTGTTTTCCTGAATTAAATGAGTGTTTTCAGTTCAGTAAAAAGCTGAATTAATAAAATAAGTGAGATGAAGTCGCAAAAAAACAGCACAACCCCATGGACAAAAAAGAAACTGCAGGCAGAATGAGTAGCCGGTGTGACCTTAATTGAATTTTTCATCCATCTCCTTTTGTTAACATTTTGTAAGCTCACAGCGAATAAACTATCAAGTGACAACTTGTTTCAATTTTAAGATTGATTCGGCTTGATTATGTTTAATCCTAACGGCATTTAAAGTAAACTTTATCAACAATGTGAAATCTTGCTTGTATCTTCCAGCAAGCATTTCAACTGTAGACTTACAGACTTTAGACTGTATATAGAATGGGCGCCGTCTGCCTCCTCGCTGGGTGAAGCCACTCTGAGAACAGCACCCTCTGGTGACGGGCTGCAGTATAGGTCATAAATCCCGCCTCCGCCAGCAAAGCCTATGGGGCTGTGGACAAACTTTTGAAATTTATTACACAGAATGTAAATTTTTTCCCCCCTGCTTGCGATGTTGACATGTAGTTATTGTAAGACTGCTTTGTGCTCAAGTCCTCTTTTTTTCTGTGAAGCTCAATTTTCAAAATTTTTTACGGGGTTCATGTTTTCAATGATTGACACCTGATACAGCCTATGGTCATACGAAGATTGCGTATTTAACCCCAGGGCCATTTTTCATTAATTTTTTTGTAGGATGGTAGGGTAAAGTCCCGCCTCCTTCACCTCTGATTGGTTAGAAAAGCTTGAAACATCATTACACACTCAAGCCAAACGCAGGCTGTTTGCTTTGTACATCGCACAGAACATAACAGAACACTATCCCACTTCTAAATCTCCTAACCCTAACCCTCATCCTAATCCTAACCCTAACCCTTAGCCTAACCCTAACCTGACAGACAATGACATTTCACAGCCATAAGGAATAACCAATCGGAGCCCAGCACTTCTAGCCAATCAGAAGCGAGGAGGGCGTGACTTTCCCCTACCATCCCACCAAAAAAAAAAAAAAAAAAAAAAAATTCGCCACCCGGTGATACGCTGTTTGAGCCGAACGTCATTACAGCGACTCTCGGCGACTCTCCCGCCAAATGCGCACAATGCTACTGGGTAAGTGGTGTAGTGCGTACAACGCTACTGCGCGATGTTGGTTTCAGGAAATGGAGAAAAACGCGGAATTACCGAGAGCTTTTTGGCTTCAAATCCGTATACTGGCGGAAAGCGGAACCAAGTTGTCCACAGTGTATGATTTCGACTCACAGCAAGCGCCGAGCCACCGAGAGTAAAAGTTAATATTTTTCTATGCGTGCCTCTGTAAAGGATAACAGTTACGCCGAATTAAAAAGAACAACCCACTTCGTTAAGCAATGCATAAAAGTAAGGTTTTTACAATGATAACGCCCTTAGACACGCAAATACCCCTCATATTAAGGTTTTTTAAATGACATTCGGCGCGTGCAGTCTTCACGTTTCAGGCTGCAGCTCTGCATTCCGTCTCTCGGTGAAATGAGATCCAACCTGTTCCTCTGCTCACCTCTGACTGCTTTAACCTGCTCACCAACAACAAACACGCGCTCCGAGAGCATGTCGGTGTCATCACTGACGTCTCACCAGTCTCACCCTCTTTAATAGTCTGCTCCTCTACCGACTTATTACGCATGAGTATTTAAGGAGTGTGCGTAATGTTTAACGTCGTGCACCAGGGTCGGAAATACGTCCCAACGCGCTCGTCGGTCTCGGATGACTCCACGTTATCCGTGCAGGCTGTTCATATCAGCAAGAAACCCGGTACTCTCAGGGAAGGACCGGAGGCTACGTGGCCGCCACCGGGAGCCAAGATGCGGATTTCTAAAGCCAATAAAGGCGGAGTGGTGAGAGCTGTCCGGCGGCATCCGTCTCCTCAGCCGGCCAGCCTGGAGAGCCTGGAGGCGGCGTGGAGCGAGAGGGGACAGCCGGAGGTGAAACCACCGGTGAGTTCACCGAGCCGAGAGATGAAGAACGGGGAGGATGAAGGAGCCAGGAACGGGATGGAGGGAGGACCACCGAGGAACAGGAAGAAGGGGTTCAGACCCCCCGATGTGAGAACTATTTTCTCCCCCGAAGAGAGGGACCCAAGGGTGAAGGAGGAGTCCGGGGAGGGACACACCTTCGAGCCTGGGGGAGAGAACACCTGGTGTGATGTTTGCTGCAATTACATCTTCCAGCATGGTCTCACCTGTGCAGGTGAGTCTGCAGCTGATGATGGTGGGAGATGAGGAGAGCTCAAACTTTGTCTGGGGTCTGGTTTCCTGAGATTTTGATTAGAAATTTATAATATCCTTTCTTCAAAAGTGACACTTTTTCATGCAAGAAATCAACTTTTCACTGTTGGTTAAAGGTAGTGAGGGAACTTTTTAATTGTGGTATTAGAATAGACACGAAAAGGAGGATGTAAAAGAGTTAAAGATCATCATGATACATTTAAAGCTCTTGTAAGAACATGAGAAAAATATCATATTCTCTACCAAATTAGAATATAAGACTTTTAACAATAAACCAAAGATTTAACTTTTCATCTAATAAATATTAAAAATACACGACTGTCAGGTCTACTGGTGCAATCAGATGGTCAGAAATATGCAACATTTGGTTGGTGACCTTGTTGTTAGCAAGCTAAACACATAAAACTTATCATACTATCTTGACATCGTGGACAGAATCATACTTGCTACATTGATTTTATCAAAACATGCCAAACATATGCTTACTTTTATTGTATTTTGCTCAAGGATTTGATATTTATTTTCAATTTTATACCACAATAAGGTGCATGTGATTGTGATTAGCATTTCACAGACTAAATGCATGAAACTATTATGTCTACAGGAACATTTGTGTTGGTAATTTATGTAAATTGCACCTTAAATGTTCAGCTTTCTAGAAATATGACTAAATTACTTCTTGTCTAAGATGTATATTCGAAGAGTTGGAGGTAAACGAGCGAGAGATGACAATTTATAGAGTTGTTTGCTTGACCAACATTAAAGACTTTTAAGGAAACCCTTTAACCATTATAACAAATCTCAAAATGTCACCACCTACATCAACAGGTAGTAGTCTCTGACATGCAGCGTAGACCGCATGTAGGCAGCGCTCTGAAACACAGCTCAGCGGCTGGAATGCAGTCGGTATGCAGACAGACCAGTTCAGGTCTAAATGGAAACAAGTGTCCTAGAGAGCAAACTCTGGACCTCCCTCTGTGTCTACTTCAGCCAGTCCAACATTACTGTAGTAATAAACGCAGAAAAAAAGGCTCTTTCTCCTCGTGTTTGGGGCTTTAAAGTGGTTGCCATGGTGCTTTGTCAGATTGTTAATGGAAATGAGAGTCAGAGGCTTTTAAAAATTCAAGCAAATGCTTTTAAGATAAATTCCCTCTCCATTTCTGTCAAGTAGGACGGCTCTTAATGGGATTCAAAACATCATAGAAAGAGATATTTACAGTTGTTATGCAAAAATAATGAAAGGATTAAAGAATAGAGAATATTTCACTCCTTTAAAAATACAACATACTGCCTCTATTGATACTACAAATGCTCTACTACCCGGATGTAAACAAGCACAGATGATAGAGGATATAATGGTGAAGTTTGTCAGTATTTTGATCTAGAAATGTTGATAAAGTTGTATGCAGGAGGTGTCAAGTTAAATTGGCATATAAACACAAGACTGGAGCAATGCATAACCAGCACACGCATGTGGGTGTTACCCTGAAGGTTGATGGTGCGAGCTCTGCTACTGTTTCACACGCTTAGCAAACCGTTACAGCAGCGTTGAGTGTATGTGATCAGTCTGGGCACTTAAATTCGCCACTTTGCCAAAGCTTTGCAGATAAAGTTTCCTCATTAAACTGTCACGCAGTTTGTTAGGAGGCTGAAAGATAACAATTTGCGTTCTTGTTAAAAAGTACATGTAAAGATAAACAGACAACAAGTGTGGCATGGATTGCTTATTTATTAAACCAACAAACTAGATCTGATTTTTGGTCCAAAATGACCTTTACTGTCTTTACTGACACACAGCAGCAACAAAATATAAGAGAATAAACAAAGAGAACATTATCAAAAATTCAAACACAGCAGATACTAAACCATCTTCCGGCTCTGCCTCTGTCCACTTAGCATTTTAACCTCATTATGTTGACAGACATCAGGCCTGCACAGTGAGCCCTGTGTTTCCCATCAGCTCAACCAGCAGCATTAATGCAGTTTATGTTTGTGTGGATATTGAGTTTCTGCTCATTTAAAGTACATTCCCATCACTGATCTCCTCTCTGGAAGCTTGTTAATGGTCCATTTCTTGGCCTTAACGTCAGCAAAGTACAAAGTGTCCTTGCAAACTTCAGGAGGTACCATGTCTCATTAGCAACGCCCTTCAGATCTCTGCAGGAGACTGTTGTTGGTCACTAGTTCACTTATTAACACACATAAACAGTCACTTATAAATCAGGGCAGCAGCTTATTTGTCTTAAAAATGATCTATCGTACTGCAAACACGAGGCTAAACTGAGACTGTCTGAACTGTACACACTATTTTAAGATTAAATACTAATATTTAGATTAATTTGAAGGTAAACAGGAAGTACTTTGGCCTTGAATTTTATGATTTTGTTTGGACATTTAACATAAAACACTCTGAGAAAGCATGATAACTGAAGTCTGACTGGTGCTGACTAAAACTATAATGCTATTGCTCATTGTTTATATCAAGTAAATGAAGGTAAAATAAAATTAAAAAGTATTAATACAAGAAAATAAAGGAAAAGAATCTATTCATCCATCCATTATCTGTCCTGGTTATCTTACCCACAGATATTTCATGGTTTAAACATGATGTAAGATTGGAAAATACAAAATTAAAAAACACAGGAGGAGTGAAAGGCAGAAACAAGCTCACTGTTGCACAGGAAATAAATTCAGTTTCAGCTTATTTGAACTCCATTTGTGTCATCATAAACTGAAGGCCACATTTGAAGACTGAATCCATCACAGCAGCAGCGTGTCGAAGGCTGCCCCATTTTAAGGCTTGTCCAAATGCATCCGACAATCGTGTCCTACTTTTCCCAGGCTGTGAAGGCTGTATCAGGTGCATCCTCAGCAAAAACAAAAATATGTGCCAAAACAAATGAGATGGAGGACTCAGAAACAGCTAGTTTAAACAATGTAAAGAAATATATATGTATATATATTTCACAAATGTGTTAGAAGTGTATTCTTTAGAAGTTGGTCCTTCGAATGCTTGGCCCCTGAAAGACTGTAGCTGTCGCTCCTGGACTGGAACACATTTGGTTGTTTTCTCACTGATTTTCTCAGCAGGATAGTTTTAAAATTATGCAGCCTCCTGCTGAATGCACACAGTTCTACTGCGCAAGACTGGTTTCAGGAAATGGAGAAAAAACGCAGAATTACTAAGAGCATTTTGGTTTCAAATCTGTATACTGGTGTAAGGCGGAACCAAGTTGTCCATAGTATACAGTCTATGGTTAAAACACTCTTAAAGTGGATGTTAATATCACAAATTAACACAGATATGTTTCTGGTATCAGCAGGAAATTTTGTTGCAGTGGTGGATAATAATATGACAGTTTGCAGATAACCTCAGATAAATTTTTGAAGTGCTGAAGCGATATACAGTACTGAAATAAGCTAAAATTAGCCTTTAATACCTGTGTGCTGTCTCCACATGGTAAGTTTTAAAAGAAAGTTTCTGGCGGAATATTATTCATGTTTCCCCAGACTGGAATATGTAGATAGCATATATAGGCTATCAAATATTTTGTATTCATAACAGACTTGACACATTAGCTCAGTCTTTTGGTAGTTTTAGTGAGCATTGGAGAGAAACTCAAGTTGCAGTGAATTTACGTATTCAGGATTCTCAGAGTGGGTCAGATTAGACTCGATAAGGACAGATCCTGGACTCTTTCTCTCTCTCTCTCTCTCTATCTCTCTCTCTCTCTCTCTCTCTCTCTCTCTCTCTCTCTCACTCTCACTCACTCTCTCTTCCTTGTGCTCTCTCGTCCTTTCTCTCTCTCAGTGTCATTACAACATGAAGTAACACAAACCTGCTGCCGGTATCAGGAACTTCTTTGTCTGATCAGGTTCAGTGTTGCACCAGATACTCTGTGTGAGTTCATTAATCCTGGGTTAGAAGAGGGCAGGAGAGTGTCTCTAAAGAACTCTGATCCATGTAAGAACCGTTTTCCAACATTGACTTGATAGCAAAGAAAAATGATCACATTTAACAACCTAAATGCTTATATTCATTCATTTTAAGCGACTCATGACTTTTCTTCTGCTGACACTCTCAATGCAAATTTTAATTTTATGTTTCCTGGAAGAGAACTTTAGTCAGTTGTTGTTTTTGAAATAACCACTGTATTATTTCATGTAAATAAGAGGGAACATTTTGACAACCCTGTGTTTTTAAATCTAAGTTAAGAGCCTCGTCTGATGACAACACATTTTTCCGTGCCTGTATACTTAAGTTGTCCTCCAGTCTTACAACCCTGAGAATGAGGAAGCAAAGCAACCTCTCCATTGTCTCTGAAGCCCACCCTCAGAAATACAGAACTTCTACAAAGTGACTTTAGTTAGTATGGGTGTGCAGAACTACTCCTTCTCCTCAAATGAACCACTTCCACCGACACTTTTTTTAAGTTTTGCTGGAAAGTTGGAAAAACTTATAAATATCATTATACCACTTATTTTACCTGTAACCATGGCTGCAACACTGACAATGATCCCTCTGAATCATGTGTTGTAGGGCTGGGCGATAAACCGTAAATTTACCGATTTATGACAATAACCCACATCATTTTGCCCATATCAGTATATTCAGTGTTAAAAAAACAAATAAATAAAAGTTGGTTTTGGATGTGTGTAGGTAGGCTATGGTCTCGTGTCCCTTTAAGATGCTGTCCTACGTCAGAGACGTGACTCCACCCCATCCAGTCCGTAACAAAGAGGAAAAGACAAGTGAGGAGATGGAGGACGGTTCAAAAGTTGTAGCGGCTGAAGTAGACGAAGTTAATGTGGGAGGGGGTGAGAAGCTTGTGGAGAAGTTATCATCCATTTATCATTATCGAGGTGAACTGCTCAATATATCGTGTTATTGATTTGAGGCCATATCACCCAGCCCTGATATGTTGGGTGCACTGTTAAAGGTTCTCCTGGAGCACTCGCCATGTTTTGGGTGTTTTTCTGCCTCTGCATCTGTCTGCTTTGGAACGCCCTCTTTTAAATCCAGTCATGGCGCTGACCTGCAGTTACTTGCCACTTTAAAGTCGAAATTTGAAGTCTGCAGTCTACTGCAAAGTTAATCAAAGTTGATCAAAAAGCACAAGTTATCATGAGTTTTATGATTTATTGATATTAGTTTCAAAGTAAGGGTGGGTCATCTGCCTTCAAAATAAAAGACTTAAATGACATCAGGAAGGAGGCAGAGAGAGTCTAACGTTGTTGTGCAGTTTATTACAGAGGATTGAGGCTCATTTTGAACCACTGTGCAAAATACTGAAGCTGCCCACAGTCTGCCCTCTCCTTGTGTGTGTGTGTGTGTGTGTGTGTGTGTGTGTGTGTGTGTGTGTGTGTGTGTGTGTGTGTGTGTGTCAGTGTGTGTGTGTGTGTGTGTGTGTGTGTGTGTGTGTCGGCAGCTGCCACCGGACGAGTGTATCTTGTCTCTTGTGGAGCCAAACTGTCACCGCGACTGAACAAACAAGAGACGGGAGCTGACACATTCACACACATTCAGACAGATGGGGGTCAGTGTGTGTGTATGCGTGTGTGTGTGTGTGTGTCTGAGGGGAGGGACCAGGACACACCACAGACACAATCAGGGTAAGAGCAAGAGAGAGAGAGAGAGAGAGAGAGAGAAACACTATGGATGGAAGTGAAGGATGACTTTGTCCAAAGTTTGGATCTACATGAAGTTTCCTCTGGATTTACCTCAACATCTGGGTTCTTCGGGAGCTCTTAACATCATGCCTGTGTTGTTTATGTGTGTTACCTGTTAGCCAAAGTGTGTGTGAGAGAAAGAGGAAGAAATGGGTTTTGCTAAAAACTTTGGCAAAACTTTGAGGAGAGTATCAGGATTTTTCTACCGTTTTCCAAAAGTGATGCGACTCTCTGGTCGGCTGGAGGTCAGTCTGCTGTGGAGAAACTCTGGTGAGCTTTAGTTCGAATTTTTCCAACTTTTAACATTTATTATATATATTATTATATATTTATGCTTATGAACTTTAATTTAATCCAGCAATTTTTTAGGATTGAAATATTCTCTTGATGGGAGAAGTTACTGTCTAATGAAATCCCAACAAAACAGACAGAAATCACAGACACCAAGCTCCCAAGGCAAACCCTTAATATAGCTTTCAATCACAGAGATATAAAGCTGGATCTCATTTGCTGATTATTTATGTTTGCTATAGGATGTAGGCTAGTTTCAGAAGCTTGTTTTACATTCAATTTTCTACAGGAAGCCAAAAATATGACCTGCAGACATCAGGCATAGAAAAAAGAAGTCAGAACAGGTGCAAATCTTTATGAATTTAGACGTTATTTCATGGGAACATGCAGAAAATACTTAATCTCTTCAGAAGATCTCTGGTGTCACACACTTCCATTGTGTCTGCAGCCTCTCAGTGCTGTTTTAGAGCCGTACTCGACTGTCTGTGTGCATGTGAGTGTGTGTGTTTGTATTGTAATATGATGACTCTTTCTATTCTGAGCAGCTCAGTTTTGATTACATGGTGAAACGCCGAGAACGCGTCCTCACATGTTGAAAGAAAACTAAAGAAAAGGGAAAAGAGAGACTATTATAAAGAAACAGTGGAGAACAGATGGCTGCTGTATGTTTATAGCAGACACCTGTCCTCGCACACACACACCTGTCTTTGTCTTCCACTGTACAAGCATTTGAAGCTGATGATCTCCACTGCATCAGAGCGAAACAGCAAAACCACTCCAACTATCTGAATGTAGCATGTATAGAATATGGGAACCACATGAAAACTTGAGCACAGACAGCAGCCCTGTAGTTTCACTCATTATAATAATAAAATGTAACCTCTCCTCTTTAATACAGTCCATAAATACAGTGCTCTACTGTTTTTAAATACTTAAGGTATTATTGTAGACAGCCACACGTCATTTCAGGCCTGCCACTGGTCATTACAGATTCATCTACAGGGCATTATTAAAACACGCATGAGTCAGTCAGCTCAGAGGTACTATACACCAGAGGTTAAAAAAAAAGTCAACACACATGACAAACTCTGGAGAGGCACATATCTGCCTGCATCTGTTGGTAATGCCTCTATGAAAACACGACAAATGGGCAGTAAAATGCACTCTATCGTATTATATGCAATGGTATACAGTATCTGATCTTGTTAACTGTATCATTATATTGGCAACAAGCTTAGAAAAGCAAACTTAAGATCAGTCCTTATTCTTGTGAGCTAAGGGATTTCTCAACATGAATGTAAAGGGGTGTTGGATCTTAGAGTATTATATCATATTGAATCATCTCATAATATCATACCGAATTGTTTCATTTGCATCCTTAACTACATCAAGTCACATCAGCCCTCATTATTCTTAATAAGCCAAGAGATTTCCCAGTATACTAATATCTTACTATATGATATTGTATAATTTCCATAGACTGTATATAGAATGGACGCTAGGTGAAGCCACTCCGAGAACAGCACCCTCTGGTGACAGGTTGCAGTTTAGGTCATAAATCCCGCCTCCTCCAGCAATTCCTATGGGGCTGTGGACAAACTTTAGAAATTTTTTACACAGAATATAAATTTTTCTCCTCCCTGCTTGCGATGTTGACATGTAGTTATTGTAAGACTCGTTTGTGCTCAAGTCCTTTTTTTTCTGTACATCTCCATTTTTAAAAGTTATTGGGGGGGTCATGTTTTCTATGATTGACACTTGATACAGCCTATGGGCGTACGAAGATTGCGTAGCTCACCCGGGGGTTACGCTGTTTGAGCCAAGCTTCATCACAGCGACTCTTGGCGACTCTCTCGCCAAATGCATATAATGCTATTGCGCATTGTTGGTTTGAGGAAGTGGAGAAAAAATTGGGACTATACTGGCGGAAGGCAGAACCAAGTTGTCCATAGTATATACAGTCTATGGTTTTGACTTACAGCAAGTGCCGATCCACCAAGAGTAAAAGTTAATATTTTACAATGTGTGCCTCTGTAAAGGACATTAGTTACGCCGAATTAAAAAGAACAACCCACTTTATTAAATAATACATATAAGTAAGGTTTTTACAACGATGACGCCCTAAGACATGCAAAAAACACTAATATTACGTTTTTTTAAATGACATTTGGCGCGTGCTGTCTTCACGTTACAGTTTTTCACCTACTGAAGCGACGGTGTGTGTGTGTGTGTGTGTGTGTGTGTGTGTGTGTTTCAGCAGGTGAGTGTCAGAGCAGCTGAAGGCTCATTGTGCTTCTCTCTGCACACACAGAGCTGATTAGAGAGTCTGTGTTAAAACTGTTTCACACACAGGAGAAAAAAAAAAACTGTCGAGTCTGTCCAGATTGTGCTGTCTGACCTTTGACCTCTGTGCCGAGTTTTACAATAAGAGCACTCTGTGGGGATTTACAAAGCGTCTGTTGGCAATAAGTTGTCAATTTTGAGTCACACCGGACATTTTGCTTACTGCTGTAGTTTTATAAGACAAATCAAAGTAAATGTATAACATATTTATCCAAATCCAAGACACTTTACTTTTAAAAATTTCAGTCTAAGCTACAGAGGCTACACCATAAGTCTTGCTTCTAATGTAAAAGCATCAAAATTAAAAAGGTTTGTGCATGTGTTTCTGTGCCTGAGTGAGCGTGTGACTCCAGCTGATTGAGCGTGATCGATTGTTGGCGTCTGGGAAAAGCTTTTATCCCTCAGACAGAAGAGAGGAAGAAAACAGAGCGAGGCAGAAAGGATGAAACAACAAGAAAAGTTAAATCTCACAATTATAAAATGTCACAGCCATGTTGTGCTTGTTTCGAAGTTTCACAAAGACGTAGAATCACATCAACACAAATTAATAAAACAATCATTTTTAACCAGATGATGACTTCTTTGAATTACAGTAACTCAGCTGCTTAGGCTATCTTCCTACTGAGTTTCCAAAGGTCTTTGGAGTCTTTGCCAACTTTAGCTGGTAATCATCCTGAATGCTATCATTTTAGTAGAACCTCATCCATTGGGCCCTCATACCTGGCTGTCTGTAGTTGTGAGAAACAGCTAAAGTTGGCCCTCCTGCGCCGCTGCTAGCAAGATAGTTTTTGGATTCCTGGGCTGGAGTAAAGTCACGACCACATCCTATGGGAATACAAACTCCTCTTCAGGTCTACTTACATTTACAAGTCAGGAACACAATGCAGAGTGGGAGGCAGGTCCTTGGCTGTTGTCTATCTCCTTGGAGGCTTCAGCATATCTGGGTGGTGGTGCCTTGTTCTTGTTTGCTCTGACTCTGCAGGTCAACACATTTGGCAATTCCATTAGGACCTTACTATCCTTTATCCATATCAACCTTCTCATTGCGCTTTAGGACATCCAGTCAAGATGTGGATCTTCTTTCTTGCTGCCGGTCCTTAGATTACTTGGTGTTGGCAAGATATCAGCTCCAGCATGTGGGAGAAAAGTCAGTTTCTCTTGGTCTGTGCTCCAAAGTTTTGTCCAGGGAAGTGTTGGTTCAAGGTTCTGCTCCCATTGTACCCACTGACCCTGGCAGACAGGCCAAACCACTTTCACATATTCCAGGGTAAATATGAATGTATGCACTTTTTCAAAAGTGATCGATCCAAATATTGTAGTGACGTGTAATGCAAAATGTAGACAGTCAACCTCATGGTGGTGCTAAGGATTGAAATCAGAGGATCACCAATTTAGAGAGAAACATCCTCTGAGAAACTTGAATGTTTGCACAAAATTTAGTCAATATCCAGTGGATGGATATTGAGCTATTTTGTCATTTATACATTTGTGAGTCTGTCTTTTTACATTGACCCAAGCAGTTTTCACAAAGTGCCGAATGGATGTTTGGATCGTTAGGTAAACTGATAGAGGGATGTTAAAAGCTCTCCCTCTCTTCCTCTTTGGATCAAGTTCATTGTGAAAAGGTTTTAGACGGATGACGGAGCGAACGACCGGATAGAGCGAGAGGAAACTAGTCATAACAAGCTACGTAAGAGAGCAAAGAGAAACAGAGAGGAGAGGAGAAAGAGAGAGTGATTGAGTCAGCAGTCCCACATCCACCAACACCACCTCCACCTCCAAACCCCCCCTTCCTCTCCTGACTGTCTGTGCGTCCGTCACTCTGCGGCCTCCATTTGACTGTTAAATCACCCACTCAGCACAACAACACAGCAGCACAGAGACAGAGACAGAGAGAGAGGTGGCCGAACAAATCAGCATCTGAAGTCAGATAGAGAGAGACAAAGCACGGGACAAGAGACACCGAGAAACACTGCAGAGAGAGAGAGGGGAGAGAGTGTGTCAGTGCTGATTTTGTGTGTGGTATTAACTCCTGTGTGTCTGTGAGGTGTTGTTTGTGAGTGTGGAGATGAAGATGGGAGATGGGAGCAGCCATGTGCAAACTGTCGGATAAAGTTGGACAGCAAGTGAAAAAGAGGTCACCAGGTAGGAGGAACAAGAAACACACACACACACTCACATAAGAAGTGTGTGTGTGTGTGTGTGTGTGGTTTGTTGACATCTTTTGGCGGCTTGTTGAAGTTGTGTTTGTTGATGGGAAATCTCTTCTATATGAGTCATTCTGCTACTTAATGGGGCCGCTGGATTCTGGCCAGTCTCGAAGGTTCAGGTTTTGTGTTTGTTGGACTAAGGGTGGGCAACAGGGACAAAATCAATATTGTAATAGTGCCGGTTTGTTACGTGTTTCTGTGTACTTACTCATTTCAGTGTTAATTCTCTACTTGAAGTCCTTGAAAATCTCCACAAAAGATAAAAAATGTCAATGGCATGTCTTCTAGATGTTTGTTAGGTCTGAAAAGGATTTGTGAAAGAAAAATTAAAACCATATTCCAGGTTAAAGATGAGGTACAGAAGCATAAAAATACTCTGTTAAGAGCTAAATTCTTAACTACTGTCTTAGTAGTTAACTTGTCAGAGGCCTTCAAAGGCATCAAAATACTAACGCATTAAGGTTAGCTTCAGAATAAAGACACTCTTGTACTTTTAAGTCTTTAAACATTTAATTCTTGTACACTTTAATTTTGCTTCTGGTAAAAGTAAAACTAGTTTTAACTACTTGAAAACTTTTTTAAGGTATTTTTGGTTTGTGTCCATCTTAGTGCCCATCAAAGACTACACCTTGCTGAGCTTTCCTGTACATACCAAGGTTGTATTTTTTAATAAGGGTATGAATAAATAAAAGAAACCCTCATCTTTGCAGTCAAACATGTCACTTATGAAATTTTGCATTTTGTGTTAATGCTGTTAATCATAAGTAAAAAAAAGGACAAAATATTTGCCTTCAAAATGCCAAAATACAATAGTAAAATTCAAGTGTAAAAATGTGATAACTGGATGTTACTTTTTAGTACCTCAAAATTACCTATTTAGTCTTTGATTTAGTGAGTTTTATTAATGATAAACAAATCCAAAGGCCTGAGAATATTGACTTGTCTGTTGTAGAAAACACATAGATAAAACTCTTTCATATTTTGCCTTTTTCTGCTTTACTGAAAAAATTAACTAACTTTTATTTGTTGTGGATGTTTTTTCATCAATTTTTTCAACTCTGAAAGTTATATTAGTTCAGTTTTGTCATATTTTTTCTTGCTTGTGTTTAGTCCAAAACCTGAACTTGTAGCCTGATGTGATTTTGAATTTCAATCATTGAAATTGACTTTAAATCTTTCTCTACCTTGTCTCTCTCAAATGTATCTATAATTTTTTTCTGTTATTATTATGCTTAAATGTTAACACTCTGCAGAGACATATTTTACCACTCTCAATCTCTTAAATAAATGCCTACAGGTCTGTAGCAGTATAATGTGAGTTTTCTGAATGTAAACAACATTTCCAGCAGGTTTTATTTAATATTTGCCACGTCTTTAATCTGAGTTTTTGCCTTTTTATATTAGACACAAATGTAAGTCTGATCCTGAGTGACCTTGTCTGTAACATTTTCCAGCTTTATTATTCCTCTGGTCAGAATTTGCATGTTACAAACGTGGAAATTTGACCTCAGCTGTGGATATCAGAAGATTATTTGCATATACGTTAAAGTTCCCATGTTTTCTGTATGGACACACCTGTATCCCGAACAAGACAGATGTAACAGTCATAGATATGCTCTTTTTTTGTCTCTGCAGGTTGTAAATATGCATGTCATGCTGCATGTAGAGACAAAGTGTCATTGGACTGTCATCCTGCAGCATCACCTGTCAGTCAAGATCAGTTCAACAACAACACACCGCCCCATGTGAGTACCGCTGAACTCTGTGTGACCTTTCCTCTGTTTACGTCATCTACTTATTATTCCAGTCAGTGTTGTTTGCCTATAATATGGTTTTAAATACCACTCTTACCATTCTGTGTTTTCAAGACTTCACACAAAGATGGCTGTTGTTCACTTTTCCACCACAAGAGTGCACTGTAGTCAAACTTTACACCGATGAGGTCTATAAGTGTTTTCTGAGGGGTTTAAAACTGACCAGAGAAATAAAGCCCCTGATTATAGAAGAGGGACCATTTTACCACATTATCAGAAATTTTACATGATTGATTGATTAAGAATAGAAAATCAACAGATAAGTTGATAGGAAAATCATCATGTGATTAATACAGACAGTTGACTATTAGAGGTGAGCAGCATGGAAATTGACCCAACAGAGGAAAATTTAATAAAGACCAAATAACAGTCATTACCAGAAAGTGTGCATGAGTAAAGGTTCCCAAAGCCACAACAGAAATTATGTTAAAGCCCCCAAAAGAGTAAAAAAACAAGAAAGTGTGTGTAAGTAAGTAATAGTTCGCAGTGATGTTTAAACTGTAATGGTCTTTCACTTAAACTGGCAAAACCAAAATCTAAGCAAGAGGGAGCGTATAAAATTAAGTCCCCAAAACAACAGAAAAACCCTCAAGTGTGTTTAAGAAAAGTCTCAACAAAGATATTACATGATAGAAAATCCTTTTTGTGTTTCCAAAAGCGTCAACAACGCAGCCCTTGAGAAGCAGTTTGAAGTCCCCATAATAGGATGAAAACCAATTAGTGTCCCTGTACTGATAGGAAACCCAGTGGGTGTGTTTCAGGTACATACCCCAAAAATTAGATGAAAAAGTCTCAGTATCAGTAAAATGAAGACCTGTAAATGTGGTCCAGGTTAAAGCCCCAAATAGGTATAGATGGTACGGTCCCTGTGTTGTATAATGAAAGTAAGAGTCCTCATATTGATAGGAAGACCAGCGGTGGTGTGTGTAATTTTTACAGGACAGCTGGGTGTGTTGCAGCTCTGGTTTATGTTAGACTTTCTTCAGACCACACTGGACTGTTTGAGAATATTACATAACTGTACCTCTCCGGTGGTTCAGTGTCAACAGTCATTTTATTTATGAAATGTTATTTTCTTTCAATTTTATAATATTTTAAACACAATGGGACCAATGTTCATGATTTAATCATGGCAGTGTTGAGGACAGAAGTCAACAAAAATATGTAATCAGATAAAGTGACTAAAATCAGAAATGTCTCTTGCCTTTAACTGACTTGCTTGTGGTTTTATTTTGTAAGGTCTTGACCTATTTCCTGTTTTACAATCAGACATTTTGCCAATGTAAACTGAAAAACTATTGCTGGAAAACAACCTCACAATGTTTACATTTTGCTGGCCAATCACACCAGTATGAAAACCCAAGTTGTCACTGGTTGCAGGCTGGTTTTGGCTCCACTGTTCCTCCACACTGATGTTGTTTCTTATCCAGCATGAGAAGGATTATCTCAGCACATTTCAAACTAATGCTGATCCAACACACACACACACACACACACACACACACACACACACACACACACACACACACACACCCAGACTCACACATGCACACACTATGATACTGCTGAATAGTGCTGAGTACAGTGCTGTGGCTTCTTCGGCTGTGCCAGTTACTTCATGAAAATACATTTTTGGTGTGGTTACAGTGGGGTCAAAGTGTGTGTAGTTACAGATGTGTGACAGGACTGCAGAATGTGTGGGCAGAGAGCTGCTGAGTCTTCACAAAAACATGCTTCCCTGTCAGTCTGTTCACACAGACTGTATAGATTAGATGTTATATCCTTAAGTCTGCAGCTTGTCGCTGACTGAGAAGTTATCTGAAAGAAAAACTTTAAAAATATAAGAAAACTATGTTGAAAAACAAATGTAAAATCAGTCTGGTCGAATGCAAAACAGGATTTTAAAACCCCCTTTTCCAGTGCTTTAAATGAATGTATGGTAGCTCTCATAATTGGTTCATTTTAGCATGTCAAGTAGTCCAACTCCATAATTTTAAGTGTTACTGCTTATGTTATGTGGTGAAAGTCAATTTTGCAAAACAAAATAAACTCAAGGCACCAAGGGGTTACAGAAATAGTAATAGAAACATTTGATTTATATCATACTATTAATTCAAAGCAAATATCAAAGATTACAGTAGATTACAGTAATCAATCAAAATTTAACGGTAAAGGGATATTCCAAAGCGACAAATATCTTGGTCAGTGTGATGAAAATTTAAAGCACATGGCAACAAACAGGGTCAAAGAGTATTGGGTGAATAATGTCTAACTGGTTTGCAAAGTGTGGCTAATGAGTTACGAGATCACAGCTTCAGTGTGTCTGTAAGTTCATAATGAGTTTGTCTTTATTACACCGAGATGCATCTCTCTGCACTTCATAGCAGACTATTTATGTTAAATCTTCCACTGAGTCTCCCTATTTCAAAATCCCAAAAGCGTCTAAAAGTTCAACTCTGTTCGCCAAAAGTTCTCCGTGTGTTTCTTTCTGTCTGTGGTTTGCGGTCAGGGAGCTGTCTAGCAACTGAATGTCAGAGATAATAACACGATACGCAGCCATGAGACTGTCAGAAGCTCTCATGTGTTTCTGCAGGAGTGCGTATGCATTGTTGTGTGTTATGGTAACAAATGAACTTTTCACCCGTAGAGAGTATTTTGAACTGTGTCAACTAATATGATTCGCTCAATTTCCCACTTGTGCCACCAGGGGGTTGATCTCCTGAGAACTTGGCCTTTTAATCATGTTTTTACTGAACCATCTATGTCTCCCTGTTTTTAATGTGTTACTGTGTCTTGTTTTATTGTTCATGTTAATTGTTTGGTTCTTTTTATTTTGTTTTTAAATTTACTGTACAGCACTTTGGTCAGCGCTTTGTTGTTTTTAAATGTGCTATATAAATAAACCTGGATTGGATTGGATTGGATCTTTGTATTTTCAGCGAATTGTTTCTGCAATTCACTCAAAATTTGGCACAACCATTCATTATCCTCAGAGGATACATCTCTGGACAAGAATCAAAGTCGAGTCCAAGTCACCAGAGAGAGATCAGTGTCAAGTCTGAGTAACCAGGGAAGAATCCACAGAAATAGCTTTTGGTTGGAGTTCTCGTCACAAAAATAAATAAATAAAAAATCCAAGTCCAAGTCACAAGAGAAGAGTCTGAGTCACTGCAGAGAAATCTGAGTTGAGAAATTCACTGGAAAAGAATCAAAGTGGAGCCCAAGTCATATGGAAAGAATCAAAGTTGGGCATAAGTCACCAAAGCAGCGCGTTGGTTGAGTTCGAGTCACTTGAAAAAAAAAATCCAAGTCAAGTTGAAGTCACCAAAAAAGAATCTGAGTCATATTCAAGTCTTCAGAAAAAAAACTGTGCCAAGTCTAAATCACTAGGGATTAATCCAAGACGAGTCTAGGTTACCAGAGAAGAATCTAAGTCCTGCTCAGGTCATCTGAAAAGAATCAGACGAGTCCAAGTCGCTACAAAAGCACAAGTTAAGTTGGAGTAACCAGAAGAGAATCCAAGAGAGAATTTGAATTGAAGTTCAAGTCCATGTCCCCAGTTGTAAAGTGAGTCTAGCTCAAGTCACAAGAGGAGAATCCTTGTCGATTGCATGTCAAGTCCCCGTAACAAGTCGGAATTACAATCACCATTACCTGGAATAATCCTCACGTGTGAATCCTGTATCCTGAGTTCAAATCCACATTATCAGTTCTTAAGTCTCAGTTTACTTGAAGTCCTGATGATCAGTACCCGAGTTAAACTCAAGTCCAGGTCTCTTCAGTTGAGTACTACAACAATGATAAGCATACAGCAAGAGGTGTGAGTCTCTTTGGTGTGTAATTGCTAACTAAGTTACACACGCTCATCTGTCACAGTTTTCATAGTGACAGTGATCCCAGCTGGCAGAGGCATGTGGTTTGTGTAACACTGGTGCAGGAAAGTCTTCCTGTCAATGTGTGTTTTTGTTGGACACAAAAAGAAGTGGGTCAGTTGGTACCAAAAATAAAACCTTATCCTCTCAATTGCCACAGTGTGATGGTGTGAACCAAATAACCAACCCAGGACACTACAAACAGGTTTAAAAGAAGTGTATTTAGCCTCGTTTAAGTCCTTACAGATACGAATCACACTCTTTACTGAGATTTAGCGCTTAGCTGCCTAACTTAATCACCAGATAATTCAATCTGCAGCCAGTAAAACAAGGTCAAAATAACCCTTTAACCTCTAAAGCTGATGATTTCTGTGCTGTAAATGAAATAATTCATCTTTAAACAGTCTTTTCTATCCTAGTTCAAGAGTTTTTGCTTTTTTCTCCTTTGAAATGAAGCCCATTAAGTGACCAAATTCAACAAAATTACCGTGAAATTACAGTAAAAACCTAATTTTTTGTAAAGAATAGAAGGTAAAAGGCGATCGCAAACCTTAAACAGTTCTTTACTAGCAAGTTTAATCTACACCTGGGTGCTAATAGAGCAAGAGTTCATCATCCTCTCCTGCTTTGTGATTGGTTTGACTAAAGGGAGAGGCGGTAAATGATTGACAGAGAGAATTAGAGTTACTGGTCGGAGGGTAAACTTCCTGCCTGCTGGGAAAGACAAACACGGGCGGTGAGGAAACAAAGAGGGAGCAAGGAGGGAGGAAATAAAGATGGATAGAGAGGAATGTTTATGTGTTTTCTTTCTGGCTCTAATGGCGACTCATTAACACGACCTGATGTCACGTTAAAGACCAGTTTATCTCTGCAAGTAAATCACGGATTACATATTTATGGTGACAGATAACTCAACGGTCAACGAGTAAATATTGCATCTAACAAGCTTTTTACAATTTACTCACCCTGGTTAGAGTAAAGGAGAAAGATAATGGTTAGAAAGTCTGAAATTTAAAGAGAAGGAGGAATGTTAATGTGTTTTCCCTCTGAGGTTTTATTGTTACTCATTAACGGCTCTTGGCGAGGGTCGGTTTGACTAAGGCCTGGGGAACACAACAGCAAATACACACTCACAAACACACACAAGCAGGAAGGAAAACTGTCGTAAAAGTGGAGAAAACATATTCCAGTGTGGGAACATTTTCCTCGCCCTTTTCCTTTTGCTTTTCCTGCCTCCTTTGTCTCTATTGTGTCACGTCGGTCTTTTCCATTTAAGCTCCACTAGGCCTGTTATCTGCAGTCTGGGTTAAGGGTTTCACTTTGTTCAAAGTTGTTGTATTTTTAACCCCTCTCTGTGCTCATGACCTGGCTCTATGATGTCACCTGTCATTTAGCGGAGGGTCGCACCGTTTGAAGGCCGATGTTTGGGTTTTTCAGGAAGTTGTGAACACCATGATAAGACCTACAATATGATTGGTAAATCAGTGTCTAAACTTTAAACTACGACTTTAATCTGGGTTTCCCATCACTTTTTTTCATGATGTATTTAAAGCTCCTGTAAAGTGTTTTGAGGTAGTTAGAAAACACACAGAAATTCAAAGCGATGCCTTTTTTCGACCTACAAGAGCAAACGAGACCATCAGCAACAAGATGGACATTTTCCATAGTAACTTTTGAAGGCCTAAACACAGCATGAGGGGGTAAGGGTCAGTCGAGAAAATCATCAGTTCTCAACAGAAAAAAACGGCCTGCTTAAACTTTTTCCTCTAGAAGTTTTCACAGTGACTGATTTATTTGACTTTTGAAGAAAGCGGGGTTAAGCTGAAAACATACAGGATCCATATTGAGCTTGTTCTGTATTTACTCTATAAAGCAGCTCTGGGTATCACATACAGGATGCGTATTTGGAGCGTGGCAGCAGCGTAGTGCAGCCCCAATCAGCTGGGCTCAGTAGAGAGGAAATGACATGCTCACAACAGGTTGTTTTTCCTTTCTGTGGTCTGTTTCCTGATAATTTTGATATAATCCAGTGACCATTGAGCCTCTACTGTATGTGAAAAAGCAACATGATTTTACAGTTTCAGTTTTTGCAGGTTTACTCGTGTTTTATAAAGTAAACTATGTTCCTTTATGCTGTGCTGTTACCTTCAGACAGAGTTATCATTTAAAAGTCCTGTTGGGGTCCACATGGATCAGGGATTGACCATCAGATCGTTCTGTGTTACTGATAAATCCATAATCAGAAAGTGTTTCTCATCTACACAAACTGATACACAGTTGGGAGTCCGCATATGGTGTTTTATTTTGAAATACCGGATGACATACACGGTTTTCGTGCTTGACTTCCTGTCTAGAATGATCTTCTCTGTGTGGACTGACGCACACTGGAAGCGTAGAGCAGCAAAAATAGACTTGTTGCGTATCTTAAGCAGTGCTGCTCTCGATACGCTTTTGATACGCGTCCTGTATGCGTTGCTGCATTGATTAGAATGGCAACCTATTTGCTGCGTGATACGCAACACTCCAAATACGCATCCTGTAACTCCACCCAGACGTGTAGAGGGGATCAACAAAGACAGAAGAGGTATGACTGCAATAACCTTGAGGTGAAAATCTGATACAACAGCCTGAGATCACACCTCATTTGCCGTGCTGTGTAGAGCAGGCCATAAGAGCTGACCAAGTGCCTCCATCCAGTTGGATGAATCTCTGGCATGTCAGAAATTTACACAGTCACATGCACACTCTGGCACAGTTAAAGCGGCTCTTAAAGGTGACTCATTTACTACAGGCCTTTTTTTCCCCCCTGATTGCACTGGTGCAAAATGGTTAACAGTGTCTAGAAGCTCCTTGGAAACACCACACATGCAGTATGAGTACTCAGGTAATGCCTGACAGGTGTACCATATTTTTCGGGCAATAAGATCCACCGGATTGTAAGGCGCATGAAGCATTGATTGGTTTATTGTTGCTTGCGTATACTCCAGGCCCGGGCTGCCTTACATGAATGCACTTCTAGTTTAGACATTCAGGCAGTCAGGCAGTCTTGTAGACTGCTCAGGGGTCCTGTTACAGGGCTGATCAGGTAGTGACAGAGCGTACCGTAATGCTCCCAATATCCATTGGGCGGAGCAGCTTACCAAAGTTGTACTTACACACTTTGACAGATTTTTGAGCGCATTGTACCACATAAAATCGGTCAGTAAGCATGACAAGTTATCATACATAAGGTGCACTGGATTATAAAGCACAGTGACAATTTATGAGAAAATGTAAGAATTTTGAGTGCGCCTTATAGACCGAAAATACGGTAAATTTCATCCTGGTTGCATATAACTCTGAACGGCTTATTTACTCATTACTACTTTGCATTGAGGTGTCGTGAAACCCCTGAAACTGCAGCCATACTACAGTGAAATTACTAGAATCAGCACAGATGTCAAATGTTTTTTTTTACATGACAAAAAACTTCTGAGCCATTCGGGGACTGAATGTCTAGGCACCCCTCAACGGTCCTGTCTCCTCACTATCATTAATCTGGTTTCATACAGTCCTTCCTGTAAACAAACATCATCACCATCTGGTTATCAAACCTCTCTCTTCCTCTCCATGCATCTATCTCAATCTTCTCTTTCCTGCAGCCCTCTAATCAGCTGTCTATTGTGTTAAAGAAATACAAACAAGGAGGAGGTTTACCTGACAAGCACAGGGAGCAAAGAAATACGGGAAGAGGCAGAGAAACGTCCTACATGATGAGATTTTTAAAAAGTAAGTATAAAGACTTAAGTACTTTGGAATCAAAAACTTTCGTAGCAGGAGAAACAAATGTCAAAACCATAATAACACACAATATTCAAAAATAAGCAGGCTATAAAACATCCAAAAACCACACGACCTCCAAACTCAACACACAATTTAACACTTAAAAGTCTTGGTCGCCTTATATTATTACAAAGCCTTTCATTATTATAAATAAATCTGACATTTACAGCTTCTTTTGAAGGCCGCCTTTCAAAGAGTGTCACTAAAACAACCAAAAGCACTCAGTCAATAAAATTACACAAAGTTCAGAGGCTGTCAGAGCTTTCAAAAAGTTGCTTTTATGGGGTTTTTTTCAGATTGTAATCCATCCTCTTAAATATGCAAACAGACCGCGAGTCAAAGACACTCAAAGACAGCAAACCAAGAGTGGAAAGATGAATTATCTCAACCAGAATATCACTGTAATCTTCATGGATTGTGGAGGATTAAGTCCCCCGGTCAGAAGCAGGTCTGACAGATAAAGCTCCCCCATCATCAGCTGCCTGTTGCAGAAACAGGACACCAGCAGACGGATTAGAGACCCAGTAACAGACGAGTCCCATTGATTTCCTTCGTTTACTGCTTCTAACATGTTCCAAACTGTGCAGCTAATACATTTTATATTGTAGTAATCGAGAACGCCAGCTGAGTCACCCCTGAGGAGACTCAAATGTCAGTTTTTGTAATGTTTCATGTATTCATTGAAAATTATTTTTTAAGTCTTTGTTTTTATCATGAGTTTATCACAATTTGAAAACAGCTTTATTTTGAATATAGGTCAAAACCAGCATTACCAATAAACAATTAATTCATATTGTATACCCTTGCACTGTATCAGTAGAGTGACGTAGGACTGTGCAAACCCTGATATAGCCAAAAACATGGTTTTCAAGATTTCCAGAAAGAATATCACAAACATTGCTGGTGTTCCTGGATCATGTTAACGTGGCTCACTTTTGACCTCTGTTCAGAAAAGTGGATTTTGGGAGTGATTTTGGGCCCATGCAGTGATTTCCACTAGAGAGTCATGTCTTTTTTCCAATGAAAAGTCATCTGGGATCCAACCATCTTGTTTTTTTTTTTTTTAATTTCTATTTTTTTTAAGCTTTGTCTTATTTTAAAGACACTTTTTAGCGTTAATAAAATCCTATGCTGAGGACCATTATTTTGAAATTATTTGAAAAATGTACTCACCCAGTCTCTGACAAAGTGGTGAACCTCTTTCTGTCTTTACTTCTGAGAGACTTAAGATAGAAAAAAATACCCAGTCATGTTATCAGCCTGTTGTAAATTAACTTTCTCAGCAAACAGACACTTCCCCAGGTGCATTTTTTTAGCATTAAACTGTTTATTTTTCTCACATTTGTAATAATAATAATAATACATTTTATTTAAAAGCGCCTTTCTGAACACTCAAGGACACTGTACAGGGCATAAAAACACAGTTAGAAACATAGTTAAAATAAATAAAAACAACATACAAGTGTGAAAGTGGACAGTTAAAGTGAATATGTAGTCCCTGTCCCAGTAATTTGGAAAATGTACTTGGCATCAAATTATGAAACCATAAAATCTTCCACCTGCAAGAAAAAATGTTGTATTTGCAGTGTTTTTCGATTAAATTAAGGGATTAAATGGTATGAAAGCCTAAAAAATCTGTATTTATCAAAATTTTACACATTTTTTCAAAATCGTGGTCATAAATAAAGGTTATTTGAGTCCTTCGCAGCAGCGCCCACCAAAAAAACCTGTACTATTCAGCTAAAAAGACCTGAGTTTGAGTCATTTTTGACCAAACCATCCAGAAAAGCTGTAAAAACACCCCCAAGATCTCAGTTGTAATCGGTGGAAAATGTCAGCTCAGTGTGAAATTAAAGGCCAAAAAACATAGAAAAAGGATGTTAGCAAGGAAAGGCTCTGTCTTAAACAAGTCTGCAAAGATTTGTGACTGTAAACATGCACCAAGAGGTCAACTGAACTCCTTAAAAGCAAATCTAAATGATTTTTGTGCTTGGATTGTGGGAGTTTCAAAAGAAAACACAGATCTGTATCAGGGCGAGACTCTATTACAGACTCCTCGGTGTGTTTATGAGTGTGTACATGCTGCTAAGTGTATGTTTGTTGGCTCTTATCTTGGATCCTGTCCTTATCCAGGCGCACAATCTCAGCCTCAGATACGAACCAAGTGGGACAAGAGTTCTCTGTAAATGACACACATTCATCATCCACACAGCCCTCACAGAACAGAGACACACCGGATTAACTGTCAGCAAAATGCAGAAAAAAACATAAATGCACGGTAACTAACCCTAAACTTAAACTGATAGACCTGCAGATGTGCACATAAACAAACAAAGAAAACACCTAATTTAATGTAAAACCTTCAAAATCAACAAATTTAAGCTGGTTAAGATCATTTATTGTTCTGATTTAGAGGAAAAAGTGGTTTATTTTACTCTTTAAAGTCCTTAAAATTTGATAAACTGCAAAAGTAAAGTGGAGCAGATTACGTTGGCAGGGTAGGAAAAACATATCACTCTATTAAACCTCCATGAATTGAATTAGTGTGTATTTAAGCGGATGTGTGTAAGTGTGTGTGTATGTGTGTTTGGCTGGTGACTGTACCCCTCACAGCTCTGTTATTGTGCTGCCTCTGCAAAACAGTTCCTTTCTGCTGCTCGAGTCCAGGCCAGCTGCTGCTTCCTCTTTATCCTGTTAGATTTCAAGTAATTCAATTCCCAGAGAAAAATATTATTCTTTCATGAAAGGGCAGTTTCCCCCCAAATGACCTGAACTCCTGAAAAAAAGAGCTGTGCACCTTGAGTCGAATAAAAACATTAATATGAAGCATTAAATGTAGACTAGCTCAGGTGACATGAATTTAAGTACAAAATACTTTCAAGAGGTGGAGTCGGTCGTTTTTAGTGTCTCTAAAAACTGCAAGAAATTAACCAAATTCACATGTCCTCTGATATCAATCTTAACAGGGGAAGCTTAAATGCTGTTTTAATGTTCTGTCTTAAGATTATACGTGATAGAAACACAGGAAGCTAGACGGTCTGTTATCATTTCAACATTTCCTTACTGATAAGAAACTGTACAGTTGAAATGTGAAAATCCTGGGGAACATCAGGCCAACTTTCAAAGATAAAAACACAATTCATTACCCACTTAAGACTACAACTATTGCAGGGTTACCATATTCTGACTTCCCAAAAAGAGAACACGACTACAGAGGGCGGAGTCATGGAGTCTGAGAGTTTTTCGGGTTGGATCGAGCGTCTTTTACGCACTTCTAATTCAGTAAGTTCACGTGATACAAACTTGAAACTTACGTACAAAACTGCGGACATTTGAACATTTTTTAACTTCCCTAGACAAACCCAGACAGCCCCCAAAAAAGAGGACATGTCCGGGTTTAAGAGGACGCATGGTCACCCTAACTAATGTTAGCATTCAGTCATTACTTAGCCAAACGTACAATCTACTGGAGACTGGCTTCTTTGCCGTAAGAATTTTAAAAGATAATTTAGTTTTTGGTGACTTTCTTGCTTACTTTAATGTTAGTTGGGTAGTTGCTGATTGCTAACATTAGCTAATATCAAGTATGCTGTTTTGACTTGAAATGCAGCACTGCAGCACCACATTGTCAAAGGTAAATCTGGATTTTAAAAAATGATCAGTGAAGGGCTTATTTAATCAAACCCTTCATTTCCTATTATCCATCTTTTCCTCTCACTCTGACTGTAATGTGCATGTAGAGGCTTGTTCTAAGCACAGCTGATCTCTTTATTGTTTGTTTAAGCTAGCTTATCTAACATTTGTAGCTTCCAGGCCCACACAGGTAGTTTGCCTCTTATTGTTCCTATAAAAAGCTTGTTCACTTTCATAATTTCACATTTAAAACTGAATTGACTGGCTTTATACCGACTCTGTTATGTTTTTGTCCATGAAGCCGTTCTGGGCAAGATTCCCTCCTGCTAATCCTCCTTTAATCTTGGGAAATGAACAATCCAACCTTAATTCTCTGAACATTGTGCAATTTGTTTTTCCAAAACACCTACAGTATTTTTCAATAGACAACAGATGGATTATTAACAGGTTATAATCAGCTTGTAAACTCTTAAAAAATCACTGTTGCATTGTTGCTCCTTGAAGTGGTGGAAACTGGCCTGGTAGATTAAGTAAACTACTTCCTGCCTAAATCCTGCTATTGCGTGGATTGCAGGACAGGAAGTTGCTCCACTTTTCTCTTTCCTGTAGCTCCCCAGGCTGCTCTCACATCTGTGTCTGCTGACTGTCATTATTACCCCGCTCCTAAAGGCATGGTTGACGATCTGAGAAAGAGTTGAAAAAATCTGAGCCGTTGAGGCACATTTGAAAAAAGCGTCCCACCCTCCACACACAAACCTCTCCCCTCTGTGCTCCATGATAACTCCCTCCCAAACCTGTATCGCCCTCCCTACGACACACCCCCTCTGGCAGAGCAAGAGGCCGGCTGGTAGAAGACTCTACGCTAGCTTCAAATAGGATTCACCATGTCGGATTACTAGTGACTAGCGGCAGTAAACGCCAGCTCTGCTAGCGAGCGCCATCTGCAGCTACCTGAACTGCTACCGTGTTGACATTACAGAGACTAATAAGAGTTATTTATGTAACATGTGCCTCAATAAAAGGCAAAAATCACCTGTTCAATAAAAACTTCGGTGTCCCAGCGTCTGTTTTCAGGCCTAAAATCCGGGTGGAGCTTTCTCCACCGCTCAACGGATGACCCGCTGTTTATTCGGGTTAGATTCCTCGCTTGGTCACATTTCCTCTTCGTCTCTGCCCTCTCCTCCGTCGGCTTGTGTTTTCTTAGAACTTTTTGTGGTGGGGCAAGCAGAAGTGTTTTTTTTCCATCCTTCTCCATCACAGCTTCTGTAGCTAAGCTGCTACGCTACTTTTAGCTGCTCCGAGCTCTGAGGAGGGCGGGGAAAGTGGAATGGGACAAGTCGGAACTACGGGAGAGAGGTGTGTTGAATACAGTGAGGTGATTAGATGGAGAGGTAGAGCAGGAGATTGACCAATAGGAGCTGGCCGGGACGGATAGCTCCCATTGGTCAATGTTTTTGCAGCCCTGCACCTGCTCAGGTGAACGCATTTTTTCCATTCTTTTTTCTCTTCGCTTTGTGGAGATCGCACTATGGGACCATGATCGCCATAGAAACGAGGTTCATTATAATTACCAATCTCGCCAATCGTCAACCATGCCTTTAAGATGAAATGTGTTAAACTCCTGTTGGCATATCAATAGATGTTGTTGGGTAATCAACACAGTGCGGTGATAACAAGGAAAGTTAGGCATTATACTTAAATAAAACAACAGTTTTATGAAAAGATTTTTTTCAGTTCTCTAAAAAGAAAGAGCTGTTTAGACTAAAAGTACATTTTTACAGCTCAATAATTTTCCCTATTCACAGCAATAAAATGCATGATCGATAACAGTTATTTTTGTGATTTAGAGTGTTACTGGTTGCTTAAAACTTGAGTGTAACATCTGTTCTTGATTTTCTTTCTGATGTAAAATAATCTCCTTAAAATCTGTTCAGATCTTTACCAGACGTAAGCAAAGAAACATCTATCTTCCTTCTCTGTCCCGCATTAACCATCAATAGCCGTGTAACTCGGCCTGACCAGCTGCACTGTAACCTCCAGGCTGCACCCCAGCTCTCGCTGCCTGTCTGTGATTATGTGATACACCGGGGCTCCTTGTGATCCTCCAACAGCATTCCTCTGCACTTTGATCAGGAGACGCTCACTGTTTTGTCTGTCAGGATGAAATAGTGGGCCTCCGGGATATAAACACACACACACTCAAGATACTTGGGGGACTCACTTTCACACACACAAACACTCACTAAATAATGTTCTCGACGGTATCTGACAATCAAAAATTCACTGTGAGTACCTGCACATGGGGGAATCTTGAGGAGATATGTGTAAAAATATACCCCACACAGCTGCTTTCAGGCACTTTGTGGATCAGTTTCAAAGTCCCCGAGGCAACATGGAGCTCAGGCTGGATATTTAACACCTGTAACGGCAAAACAAAGAAGACACACTCCCCCTCACAGGTGTTATAGGACTCCCACTGCTCTTCTGCAAAACCGTGTCTCTAATTTTTTTCTCATTAGCATTTCAAGACAATTGCACATGTGTTTTTACCTCCAGGGTTTCTCTTTATTCTCTCCTCTGTGTTATTAGTCTGATTGTTTCCAGACCGCACTCAGACATTTGATGAATCCTCTTATCATTTACCATGAATGAGAAACTCTTACGGACACTTATTAATATTTTTACTGTGTTTCTGGCTTTGTTTGCTCAGGCTAGCCCTGCCTAACTTGTTTGTGGTACCAGAAGCAATAAGAGAGATCCGTGTTACCAGTTTCCGAGTCTACATGGGGAAAGCAAGTGTGCAGGGTTGGTGTTGTTTTTAATCATGTTTTTATCAGCCCCAAAAACCAAGATTAATCAGCCCTTCTTTTGACGTCTAGTCCATTCAAGACTTTTATCCCCTCCTTTATTTTCTAACAGGAACAACTCCAAGCTGTAGGGGGACATGTATGAACAAGCAACATTGCCAAATTTATGGGACAGCCCACCTGATAATCACTTAGAAACTTTAGGAATGCAGATGTGAAAGAGGGAGTATAGAGTTATTTTGTGTCCACATTACCTCCACTTTCCTACTTCTGTAAGTGACTGGAGGTAAACAAAGTAAAGAGTATGACAGATTAAAAGTATTTGCATTTCACACAATACTGTATTTTTCCAAAAGTCCTCTTTACCTGTAATTTGATTTATATTTTTAGAAAAGAATTACACCCAGAAGAGCTAATTATACTGCTGTAAAACTGAAACACACTCACTCTTGGTTCTCACGTTTTAAGTCGTAAAAACTTCCACGCCCACCGCTATCAACACCCCGACTGCCTTTAAATTAGACAACGCACATACACCCACTTGCAGATAAAAGAAACACACACACACCCCACTAGCAAACACACACCTGTTCACGTGCACAAACTCACATCAATGAAGTCTCTTGTTTCTGTCCCTTTCACGGTCACCTGCACAAAGTAACGCCATCTTTGCTTTTAGTGAGGTCATGGGAGCCTGAGGGGAGAGAGAGACGACCCCCTCTGCCTTCCCTCAACTGTTCCTGTCTCTCCTAAATATGACACATTCCTCAAGGTTTGAACTTTGACCTTGGTAACCTGTCTACGCCTACAGCCTTAACCTCCCAGAAGGTGTGGCCCCTCACCCTCCATATTTATCTGTCTTCCCCCCAAAGCCTCAAAACTATGTTTAGGCTGAGAAAACAAAACTTAACCCAAGTCCCTTTTACTTAAAGCCAGAATTTGCATTTACTCTTGTTCTGTAATGAAATAACAGTCAGCTATAGTAACGGAAAAGGTAATGTTGAAGTCTTAATTTTTCTACCGTCCCTTTCATACCTCCATGTTAGCCGCCACAGGGTTACAGTACAGTGTCTACATGAGAGCCAGGAGACAACTTCACTGGAATGTCTGAAATGTTTAACCAGACTGGCTCCAGGCCAAAGTGACTGGACAGCAGATTAACACCAGAGGACACCCCCCAAAACACACACACACACACACACACACACACACACACACACACACACACACACACACACACACACACACACACACACACACACACACACACACACTGACTCTCTCTTCTACTGTGTGAGAAACCTTGTCAGGGTTAATATCACACACACACACGAGGTCAACTCTTTGAACCCTGGTGGACAGAGTGTGTTTGTGTTTGTGTGTAGACCCTCATACATCTACTCATCCTGTATGTTCATATTCAAAGCTAAGACACACCTGAGAGATTCATGATGTCGTACTGTGGGGATGCAGTCAGCAGAGAAAGATTCATGAGAAAGATTTTATGTAATGCGCTCTCTAATGCATTTATTTGATTCATGTGTCTAAACTGTGGTTGGAAATCCACTTGTTTGACATTGACGATTGACTAAGTGTTAGCAAAATGTGCACAAGTCATATGCTTAAATACAGAGGTATGAACATGAACGGTAAAAACCTCATAAACAGCCCAAATAAAGTCACATTCATTTCTCTTCCAAAGACAAAAGCTCCAAGAAACAGTAAGAAGGTTTTAAGGTTTTAGGACAACTGTCTGTGATGACTCCTTTGCAAACAAGGGCTAGTTCAAGCTGGATTTGTGCCTGAACTGTCTCTAAAACCTGGGTCTGTTCAACCTGTGAAGACCCTCCATAAAGGGCCTTAACCACTAGCTGTAAGTAACATTATAACAGCAGGTGATGTGACAACAGCTAATGGGGCTAAACAAGGAGCAAAGTGGTCCCCTAACCTCAGATATTGTAACTTTTTGTTTCAGGGCTGTGTAAAAAGTAACACTTACTACCTGTGTCTAAATTTACAGTAATGAAATAGCAACCATAATAAATACATACAATGCATAAATAAGGAGTTTATTGAGCTGCAAACCATGGACCAATATTTGTCAAATCAATAAATGGTGAAAAGGAAAAGAGTCAATTTTTACCCTGTTACGAATATTTTTCCTTTGACTGTTTTAAATTTGACTTATTGAAAAGCACCGACCTGCTTCAGCCTTTTTCTTTACAACAATAAATAGACAGCCAACTGAAAAATTAGCCCCACCAGCTCTGAGCTTTGCACACTAACTTCAAATATTTGCACAACAGTAAAGGTACACTACGTATGAATCAAATGTGGACACAAGTTATGACTTAAGTATATAAAATGCAAAATAACATCAAAGTTAAATTCCTTTTAAAGTGTATATTTCAGTCTTTGCCCTCTTTTTGTGTCACTCTGGACAGTTCAGGAACATTATAGTGGCCTGTCTGCTCATCTGTGTGTGTGTGTATTGGACGGATCTCTTCAGTATTTTAAAGGACAAGATGGTGGTTTGGCTGCCCCAGATGTGGCATATTTATTTTTGGTTCCTGTTCTAACCCCGCTGGTTTTGAATTAGAGCCTGTCTATCTGAAAATCTCCCAGATTGTCCGCTGCTTCTGTGCGTATGCGTAAATGTGTGTATGTGTGTGTACTTGTGTGTGGGTAAGGCTTGATTTAGTGCAGATGTACCGTAGATTTCACCCCGCAGCTGAACTTGCTCTGCTAATGGTTTTTTGGCCTTTTTGTGCAGCTGGGTGGGCTATTATGTGCACATACTACATTAAAAACTTAAAACTCTGCATGTTGTAGAGAACATGGTGCTGAAAGTAGCGGCAAACAGAAGGTAGGATTCATTACTTTAGTCGTCTCTGTGCTCAGTAATAGCTTACAGTTGCCGGTCCATGAAGGGGCGATATGAAAGACTTGAACCACCCACTGAAAACATGTAAAACTCTGATCCATTTTACGACCACATAAACGCAGCAGTGTGCTGGATTTCAGCTCTACTGAACAAGCTGAATTAGAGGGTTTTAGCATGTCCTTCATGTCTGATGTATGTTGCATGACGACAGCAAGGAGACGCTTTTCTTTGGACACTATAAGTCATTTTAAACATTTTTAGAAACACAGTGAAAAAACTTCTTTTTATTATTTTTATTTATGCATGCAGTTTAACAAAGTAAATTAACAGTCAAGCTTGCAGATGTGGGGCTGCACTTCCATCCATCCATCCATTTTCTACCGCTTATTCTCGTTGGGGGTTGCGGAGGGGGCTGGAGCCTATCCCAGCATCTTCAGGCGAAGGCGGGGACACCCTGGACAAGTCACCAGTTCATCGCAGGGTTGACATATAGAGACGAACAACCATCCACACCTACGGGCAATTTGAAAGTGACCAATTGATGTGGATGTGGGAGGAAACTGGAGTACTCGGAGTAAACCCACACAGACACAGGGAGAACATGCAAACTCCACACAGAAACGCCCTGACCTGAATTCGAACCCAGGACCTTCTCGCTGTGAGGCGATAGTGCTAACCACTGCACCACTGTGATGTGGCTGCTCTTGTACTTGTTAATTTTAACCAACCTTCAGTGTTGAAAATGAAAATGAAGCTAATGCAGAAGTGCAAAAACTTGCAGTTCCCCAAGTGTCCACTAGAGGCTGGTCTCAAAAACCCAAGGATCCCCATAAACACCCATGTTAAAATGTTAAGGTACAGTACTAGTACTAGATACACCTCAGTAGGTTAATTGATTTTTTTTGTTACTTATATTTTTATTACAAACTACCTGAAACTATCTTTTTCAGTGTAAACATGTTGTGGTGTTTGCCTTTTAGAACACAGTCACAGATTTTAAAACTCCTTTTTTCTTCCGAGAAATTATTTTCTTCTCCTTCTCTCAAAAGTCAGCTGCATTTCTTCACCAAAAAGCACCCTGGTATGGTAAAAACAACCACACCACATTCAGACTTTTCATTTGGGTTGGGCTGAATTTAGCCTAAGGCTGCCCTTTTTCAGAGGATGCTTTGGCAAAAACAGATTGGAAAAACAGATTTATAGTTTGGCATTTACCAATTACTATGAGAAATGTAAATATTATCACATCAATAATATTTTTAACCCTCTAGCTTTGGGCTTTTTGTCTTCATATTTGGGTTTTACAGAGCTAAGTGCTGCTTGTCTTGCTGTTTAAAATGACATACAAGTGACAGACAGGTTGGTATTTTCTTCCTTGAAGGGTTTTTAAGATTGTGAAGTGGTTTAAAAGCAGAGCAGACACTTTTTTAACGTGAAGAAATAAAACTAAATGTCTATTAACAAATACCTTGAGAGCACCTGCTTATTCTCACAAGGGATTTAAAAACCGAGAATAACTTTAATGAACCTCTTTCTTTCTGTTGTTTTATCTCTGTGCTCATTAAACCATTCTCTGCAGGTTGCAAAGTGAATAAAGTCCTGGTTTAGTTATTCGCATCTTGGTTCATAATCAGTTTAAATAGTAAAAAAAGATGCATGCAGAAAACTTAACCTCCCACAAACCAGCAGCTGTGAAACCTTTTAAATGTCTCAAAAGTAAGACTTACGCGACTCAGTTCCACCCAATGAGAAGGGTGCCTTCCTGGCCCTTAGCAATTAAACACATGCACACAAAATGCGTCAGTCCAGCCGTCTTTTAAATGCCTTTGGTGTCTGTATTTTTAGTTTACTTGATTCAGGCAGGAGCAGGGAGAGCATGATGCAGAGGAAGAGGCTAAGAAAGCTCATGATAGTTTGCTGCATATTGATTGAGGTAGGACCTTAAAAGTGTTTTTTAAAGTTTTGTGACTTCTTCAGGGAATAAGTAAGTTAAATGTTTTTTAAACTAGAGAGGGCTGCATGACCTCTGACCTGCCATTTTAGGCATGTGTGTGACTGTATTTTTGACTTTCATGTGTTTTTTAAGCTTTGTTTTCAGTTTGCTGAGGTTTGGGGTTACTCCACGCAGACAGGGAGAGTTCTTTTTTTGCCTCTGGGCACTGTGGATGACAATTGAATATGCGCAGACCAAAAACTGCAAGCTCAAGTCTTTGCAGCATTCCTACACCCAGGGATACAGAGTTTGTTTTTGCACTTTTTCAATTGAATATTTGAACTTTTTCTGTATGTGCCTACTGTACAACTTTCAATAATGAAGTTAAATCTTTCTTAAGGGTTATGAGAATGTGGTCCAAAGTCCTATCTTCAATTCAAAGTTAATTTCTAATTTAATTTATCATCCTTGGACTCTAGATCAGTGGTTCTCAATTAGTCTCACTCTGGGACCCACATTTTCCCATGGTCCCTAAGTTGCAACCCACTTTTATAAAATTCAAACCAAGCAAATTAATTTTTTTAGACAAGAAAAAAAAAAAACTTTTAAAAGACTCAAACCTTAAACATAAATACACCCATTTTATTGAGTAAAGTGCATTTCAGAGCACATGAACTGAGGATGACAACTACTAAAGTTGCATATACAGAAAATATCAAATTGCCAAAAATAAAGATAAAAAAAACAACAACAAAAAAACAACATGTATTTTTACTGCATTCAGACAACATTGATAAGAAACCAAGGAGGACCATGACCTCAACCTAAACGCCACTCTATAGCCACAAATAATGCTCAGAACAGCACGTAACTTCATCAACAGTATATATAGGGTCCTAGCCATAGCACTAGCCACCAAACATCTTTTTAACTTTGCCTGATTTCTTTAGCAAAGAGACTAAACACAACTCACCTACTCTCTTCCAGCAGCCGCTTGTTTGTAGCGAGACCTCAGGACAGTTCATTACAGACTGCAGCGGGGTGACGCAGCTCAAGGAAGAACATTAACGATATTTTTTGTTGATTTTAGTCAGTTCTTGATATCCAATCATGAATTGATCCAGCCTTGAATATTAGGATTGTTTTATACTTTTGACTTGAAATATTGTTAAAATTTTTTACTTATTTTTGCCTTACTACCATGTTTTTTAATGTCCCTTGCCTATTTTTAAATGTATTCATGGAATAAAACAAAACAAAGATGCATGTAATGAACAGAAAATCCAAATACAACATATAAAAAAGCAGCCAACTGAAAAGGAAACATTTTGAACATACAACTGTATTTGTTTTTATGTGAAATTGTTGAAACTTTTACAACTTTTCTTAATAATCAAAAATTTTTAATCATCTTCAACCCAAACCGTCATCTGTATCACTCAAACTCACTATGAAAGCGTTGATTGGCTGTCAGGTATTTTGGGCGTGGCATCGTCAACTGCCATACATTTGATTGGTCGGCTGCGTTCGCTCCTCGTAGTGGGCGGGGCCCCACTGTAGGCTGGCTGTCACAGATAAGTTGAAGGATACATTCAACAGTGTAACGGGATAACAGTTGGACGTCGCGTTGAGGGGAGTTTTTCCTTTGATTTTTTTTTCGTTATCTCTCAAAAACAATTACAATTGATTGAATGTTGGCTGACCTCTTTCTTTTGAAGAACTGTCCTCTTGGTTTTTTGTCACAAAATGTGAGCTTTTGAATGAGTTTTTTGACCATGCCGGTGGAGTAAAGCGGGTGTGTTTGACAGGAGACCTTTGAGGGATTTTAAAGAGGAAACCAACCCGCACTCAGCAAACAGACCTTTGTTTCGTTTCTCAGCTAATTTTTTAGCTTGTTTCAAGCAAACAGCTGTTCACTGTCGGAGGTTTTAATGAGGGCGAGTTTGAGTCGAGAGGTTTTTCTCCTCAAATGACGTGGAATAGCACGATGAGCAGTGGCTACAGCAGCTTGGAGGAGGACTCCGAAGAGTACTTTTTCACGGCCAGGACCTCTTTCTTTAAAAAACCTTCAGGAAAAGTCACAGAGAGCAAGGTAAACACACAAAAGCATGTGCTTCTTTGTAGAATAATACCTCTTGTATGCAGTTTGAGTCACTAAGACAGGCAGACCAACTTTTAAAGGACAGGTTGTCTCTTAGAGGGTCATCGCTCAGAACCTCATTGCAAAATCTGTCAACTTTGATTTTCATTATTTTCTTCACAAAAGCACAGTTGGAATATTAATTAAATCATCATTATCTACTCTTTAGAAGTCAATCTTGAGTTCGGCATACAACTAGTACAAAAAAAATCTAAACTTTTTTAATTGAAAGATCACTTGTGCATAAAGTTCACTTGTCGTTTCAATTCCACTTCGCCACGTAATGCCAAGATTTGATAAAGGAATGCCACCTCCAAAACCCCCAGTTTTGTACATTTTTTGTGCCGAACTCAGCAGAAGAGTATAAAAATATATGAAGTCATAGTTTTAAGTTTAATCTTTTTACTCTACGTTTCCTAAGAGTAAGCAAACATTGAAACAAGACAATGGCTTCGAGGGATATGGTGCAAGTGGCAAGACACAGCTGTTCGACTATGGGGGGAAAAGAGGAAGCTGTAAAGTTCATAATGTTGTGCAGAATTTGAAAGAAGGCCTTACAGAGTTTTCAAAAGTCAGTTTCAGTTTAGTTTTTGTTTTTTGCATGACCATAAACTAGAAAACACTAAATCAGCAGAATTGTTTAGTAAGCTACAGAGCTACTCACACAAAGAGTCTGTGGCTTAATCCTGTTTTGACAGTTTTGATAGGTTTAGTCTAAATTTCATATGACAATGAGGATTGAGTTTACAGCCTGTTGCAAATAGTACTCTAAAGCTGAAACATTGAAAATATGAGTTTGTCCTCCATGTGAGGGCATTCAGGACTGAGCAGTAGGTCTTCAATAAAGCAGTAAAAGCTTGTGATCAGCAGGCCAGTTATTATCACCCCCCAGGGACTCACACAAGACCCAACACAAACTGAACCTTGTGACCAAATTGGCCCAAAACCAGCACTTAAAACCACTGAATGAAAGATGCTTTCAGGGACAGGTTTTTAAAGTTGTTTTTGAAGGCGTTCTTTGCATGCAGACTGACAGAATTATGTCAAGCCTGGACATGGGATTGAGTTAAAACCAAAGACATTCAGCTTTATCATGTCTGGAACTTGAAAAATTAGGTCACATTTCAGGTCCTGGAATAAGTACCGGGGCCGGCTAGACTTCAAGTGGCTCTCACACACACTGATCCACTTGTCCGCACACTCGCATGCACTCAGAGGCTCACAGTAACTCAGACTGTCTTGCAAACACAGCTGTTTTGTCCCACACTTTTCAGCATACTGTTACAGAATTGAGCTATTCTTCTTCTTCTTCTCAGCCCACTTCAAGAGTGTGTGTATGTGTGTGTGTGTGTGTCGCTTGCAGATTCTTGCAGCAATGCATGACCCTTCTCTTTCCCATAACAGACCTTTAACTCTCATCCTCATTCCTCATGGCAGTGAGTGTGAGTGATGCACAATGTGGGACACTCAGTGCTGCAGAGGTTGCGACCTGTGGTTTCTCAAACTGTCAACTTGAAATGGGACCCTGGCTGCTGTATGCTGTGCATGCATCCCACATGCCAGCATAATTACAACTATCACAGGGACGTGTCCTTTCGGAAAAATGTGTGGCACTGCTGTATGAAATTAGTGGTTGTGTATCGGAAAAATAGAGGGTTATGTGTGAGTTCAGTTGATGTGTATTTTTGTTAACCGGTGAGCTGTGACTGGTGTGAAAGAGAGGAATTGGTTCAGGTTAGGAGAAATGACTTTTATACTTTTATACCAAAAGTGATGCTGATGTTGTGTTGTGCATTAAAGAGAGAAAAATCAAAGTTAGTTTATGATTGCTTTGCTGTTTGGAGGCTCAACCTGCTTGATTTGACCATCGCATGTATGAACTTTTGAACCATGGGGTTGACTAAGCAGTAGTACTCAAAGCCCTTTTTTGTACAGTGATCCCACAACAATACTGTAAAGAAGCGCCTGTCATCATGCCAGCTTTGCTTCGTTTACACAAAGCCAAACAACACAGACATACAGTGCTGCTGTCCTGAGTGAGCGTTTTATTATATGGTGGAGATGGAGTGGGATGGATGAAATAGAGATGCACTGATATATAGGGATGGGAATAGATAAGATTTTATCAATATCGATGCCAATATCGATTCTGCTTATCGATTCAATCTTTTAACGATTCCTTCATCAATGCCTTTCTTTGATTTGAAAAAAGTAGACTATAGGTTTTCACCCTTAAGGTCCTTACACACCGGGGCCGACGCGAATATAGAACGTGAAATTACGAAATATTCAGAGGTGAATTTTGACGGGCCTGACTACACACATCAAGCCCGATGCAATTTTGCGAATTTCCGGGGTGAAAAAGAAGCATCCTGGGTAAGAATTGTCCCGGGCAAAGTGCTGCCTCCTTCGCCTCTGATTGGCTAGAAAAGCTGGAAACGTCATCACACGCTCAAGCTTAACGGTCAGCACTTATAGCCAATCAGAGGCAAACTATTAAAGCACACAAACCATCTTGTTTGTTGGTGTTTATATGTTTTTACAGCTTGATGAGACTGAAAAAAGATTTAAAAAAGCAGTGTACACGTGTTTTTAGTCCACATTGTCCTCAAACTGTGCTAAATATCAGCTGGAAAGTCACTTTCACCGTATAGTAATGTCATTTAAAGTGCAAGTTGGCAGGAATAATGGCGTGTTTATGTGTGTGTTTATGGATTTGAAATTAGGGAAGTGCCCCACCTTCCTTATCTGGATATGACCTTCGGGAATGAACTTTTGACTAAAGCTCACGTTGAATAGTAGTACTCAGAGTAACAGGCAGTAATTTAAGCACTGCACAGCCAACCTATTCATGACTGTTAAACTGAAATTAAACTGCAGGGGACAAGGAGACACTATATTTGATACAGGTCCTCAAATTTTGTCCATGTGGGTCAAACAGCAGCCTGAAACCCAAAACAAAAATCCTCATGTATGAAAGCATTGTCTCTCTCTGAGGTGAAGTAGTTAATTGACTGAATTGAGTTCATTTGATTTGAAAGCCACATAAAACAGAATTTCCCTTTTAAGATTATATCTGTAAACCCTTCAGGCTCCAGAGTAATGTGGGTAGATAATCATTTCCAACTTGCTCTGGATCAGGAAAACCCCTGAGGATTTCAAGGAGGGGTAAAACCAGACCCAGATGACACGGTTTACCTTCTTCAAATGAAATCTAACGCTTAATTTCTGCACAGTCTGACACTTAAACTTTTTCAACATTTAAAAAACAGCCTCAGATTATTAATGACCACAAAAAGTGAAGACCAACTGTGGTTTTGGCTGGACTGTAATCACATCGGTTCCCAGGAGACACTTCACCGAGAGGTTCCAGAGTTTATATAAGAAAGTGAAGTTTAATGAGGTTTAGAGCAAACAGAAGAGACAGGACAAACACGATGAATGATGGGTAATAAACCGATTCTGGATGGTCTAACTGGGAAATGAGACGGAGCGGTCTGTCCAGAGGTGGATTTATCTCCATATGTCCATGTAGATTCTCATTCATCCAGGTCATAGTTATCTTGAAGACTTAAAAAACAGGCAACTGGACTGTGTACTCTACACAGTCCAGTTGCCTGTTTTTTAAGTCTTCAAGATTTATCTCCATACTCCCCCACACACACATGCGTACGCAGAGACACACACGCAGACATTGTCACCCCCGCTCGCCCAGTCCTCCACCTTCTCAATGGTGTTTCTGTCGGGGAAATGTCACTGTGACCAGAGGGTCTGTGTGTCCCATGGAAAAAAAATGCAAGAGGGTAATCCCACCCAACCCCCCCAGAGTCCACACACATACACACACACTTACAAACGCACAAATATTAAAACACACCCACACACTAGACGGCTAAAGCAGCTCATCTTCATTTCAAATCATCCTCTCAGACGGCCCGCTCACACTCTGCTGCATTCATCATCTGTTAGATGGGATGTTTGGAGGTTTGTAGGCGTTGTTACAGCACTGACGCTGAATTATTTTTCACAACAAGGAAAAAAATCTACTGATTTGTGTCAAAAAAGGCTTTACATTCCTACAAAATTCACCAAACTACCTCAAACTGGTGCATGTATGTTTGCCTCGTTTGTGGTGATTGTCCTAGCATGCACCGGGACAAATGCAGAGGGGATTACAGCATTGAAAAAACACACAGATAAACAATGCATTATTAAGCTATTAGTAGATAGAAAGAAAGCTGCTACATTTTTATATTTCTACAGTAGTTTTTCAATCTAAATGTCAACGTTGTCTGCTTTTGGGGTCACTTTTGAGATGAAATTAGGATTATTTATGCTGATTGGATAGAAAATGCAATTTATAGATGCATGTTTTGGCTCTTGGTAACCTTGATAAGCATTTTTTTTCAGTATATTGTCAATCTGCATAATGATAAATAGTGATGAGATTTAAAATAATTCAATGTAGCAGAAAAGTTGTATATTGCCCATCATGTTGACTTGAAAATACACTAATCCACTGGCTCAAATATGCAGAAATCTTTGCTTTAAAACTCTAATTTGAAGTCTCTGATTGAAGTCCATCCGTCCTGGTTTAATGAGTGTTTGACCCACTGCTTTTGTTTTCCATATATCGCACATTAGCTTAGTACAGAACATCTAATGTAGTTAACTCCAACAGTGCTGCTGCTGTGTCTGTTTAATGGGTGGATGTCAGCAGGTCAGCAGCTTGTCCTCCACTCAGCAGTGTCAGCTGATCATGAATAAGTTAATGTAGGATGGTAGTGAGGGGTCGATGTCCGTAATCCTCTCTGGTTCATGTGGCTTCACAAGAAGAAGGATGGTTTAGAGCTCTGCTAGAGTCCAACACAGGGTTGCACCAGCTAAGTTCAAATGGAGTATAATTCAATATAGCATAGTATCGCGATATTTTGCCTGGTGATATATCGTATTGTCTCATTTACCAAGTATAGTTGTTTTTTTTAAATAATTGCCAATATCAAGTCAAATCTATGATAATGGAAAAATAAAATCAACTGTTTGTCCAGTGAGGTTGGCAGAGGTGAAATCATAGAGCAGGAGAAAGTTAGTGCAATAAATATATATATATATATAAGGTTTGCAAGATGTGCTACATGAAAATAAAATACTGTGTAAATAAGACGAACATAAAGGAAACATAACGTAACAGTTGAAAAAAATGTATAAATCCCAATATATTGTATCGTAGTACTCACTGTATCGAAAAAAGTTAAAAATCGCAATAATATCATATCGTGGCCCAAGTATTGCTACAATATCGTATCGTGGGACCACTAGTGACTTCCACCCCTACTTGGCACTGCTGTGCCAGACGTTTGCACCCAAATACTCATGCACTTTTTTAGAAAATGCTGAGTTTTAACCTAGTTTTGGTGTTGCAACGACTTCTTCCTCCTGCACTTCTGCTGTCTGCATGTCAAAGCGACAGGAGTAATAAGTTAAAATTCAACAGCATGCAAACACAGAAGGTTGTTATGATTTATTTTACCTTTTCTTTAAATAAAACTCTAAACATCCTCTTGAATTTAGCAAATCCAGTGTTTCCCCTAGAAATTTTTTTCAGCTGCAGCACTGTTACCCCCAATCTCTTACCACTCAAGGAGCTACGCTGCCATGTTCAAGTTATGTTACCTGCGCTACTCGCTTTCTTGACCGTGTATTAGCTTGAACGTTACCCTTCACATTAATGGAAGAGGGTCTGACAGGATTTGATGCGCTCGTTGATGAGTTAAAACATGTCAAAAATAACATTGTGTGTTGTTGTGCTCACACAGTGCGAGTAGAAATCGTTAGTGGCGCATTGATATTAATGATCATGTGAAATTTCAGTAGCGGCGCACGTAATTTCAGCGGCGTTGCACCGCTGAATGAATGTCGGGGAAACAATGAAATCCATGCTATAACAGCCTTAAAAAGAAAGATTTTAAAAACGCATAACTTTTTATTTATAGCATCATGTCTGTTGATTGATTTATAAACAGTTTTAAAAAAGGTGGCCTGTATTATGTCATAAATGTGGCTTCTTTTTCAAGAGGAAATAACAGATTTAGTTGCAGCCAACATTTTTACTGGTATGAAAGAGCATTTTTTCTGCCCTTTTGTTCTAACATGGTGTAATTTTTAATCTGGATTTGAAAACAGCCTCAGGCCAAACAGTCCTCATGTCTGATCTGAACAAACAGACTGGGTTAAAAACTCAGTAGGAGCTTTAACCCCTCGCTGTCTGGGTGTTTTTCCATTAAGTGCTTTCAGCCCGACCACTCCTTAAAGCTGTATTCCCAGCCTTTAAATCAGCTTATGATTTCATCTGCAGTGTTTTATGACAGCATGAATGTTTGCTTATCACCACTGTGTGACAGATCTGTTAGAGGAACTCTGAATGTGTCAATCTCAAACCAGAAGTGGTATTTCCTCACAGTTCATGCTGTAAAGTGAGCACACTGTTCTCACTCGATGTAACAAAGTGCGGCCTGTGTTTACCTCTTACAGTACCCAAATGACATCATATTGTGGGAGTCTGTGTGTTGTTCCCTCTCCCCAGCTGACCGCTCCTTACCTCAGCTGATAGATTTATGGTTCAGTATATCTACCTGACCCTACCTGCGCCCTGCAACCCTCTGCCGGTGTGTTCTCTTTCACTTCTGTTTGTCTGTAGACCCACTCGCCGTCATTCCTTGTGTCCAGTCTGACCAGTTTTATTTTTTTGCATCTTTATTTAGTCCTTTCATGGGAACTTCTTTAGAAACTCACATTCAGAGTGATGTCATTCTCCACCGCCGAGCTTCAGCCTGCTTATCTGTCACTCTGGGAAAAGTACCGTATGTTCTTTATCTTTAAGGGTGATGGAGAGACAGAGGGAGTGACTGTCAGTGAGAGACAGATACAAATCTTATCTCTACCTCTGTTTCTTTCTCTTTTTATGTCTGCATCTTGGACTAGGTTATTGTTTATTGCAGCTGCAAACCTGTTGTCTCATTTGGTGTACTTTGACCACTTTATTCCCTTCAGTCTGAATCTGTTCACGAAGAGCTTTAGAGTTATGTGTTTATATGACTCTTCTGTTATTTCCCCTCCTTAATGCCACTTTGAGCTTTTTTTTTCACTTTGTCCCAGGAATCTTTTTGTCCCCAGCTAATAGGGACATTATCGGGCAAGAGGGGTTCTTATTTTTGTGTTTTAGTCAGTTTCAGGTTCAAGATTCTGCAAACTTAGAGCAACAAATCCTGTTTGTATTTTTGACCATCATAGAACCAATACCCCGTGTTGTCTTTCTCTTCCTCTCAGACACGTGAATCCAAATCTGTCCCCTCTCACATTCTCCCTCTCTAGATTTCCTTCCTCTGTCTGTTCAAACTCACCCCTGTCCCCCCTTTCTCTCTCTCACCCCTTTTCTCATCTTTTCTCACTTGTTCCTCCTCCATTGTATGTCACTTCCTCATTCCTCTTTGCACTACATCCGGTTCAGTCGACGCTAACAAGGCCTCCCAGACCTGGTTGTTGGTCACAAACTATAACCGTGATGTTTGGTTTTACACATTGATTGGATTTTTGTCCAATGATTTGGTCGTGTTACAATGAAAAAAAACGTCTTTGTTTCCGTCATCTTGTGTCTAATAACTTATTGTAACCTGTCTTCCTTCTTCTGCAGAGGTTTCAGTTTTTCAGAGCAGATTCCTGAAATTCACTCATCCAGTTGCGTGGCATTAGCCTTCTCTCTGACACTGTAACTAAAGGCCTTAGAGTTCAAGTTTGACTAAGAGTTGATCTTTCCTTGACCTTCTTTAAACCTTACCAAAGACTATTAGGCCAACTGCACTGATTCAGATTATACTCATGACCCACACTAAACTATTTACCTCTCTTTAAAGCCTTGATTAAATCTCAGATCTGGGACTTTTCCCTTTGAGAAAACTTAGTTTTATTAATGTCATTGTGCTTCATTGGAGTCAGTCTTCTCTTCAAGCTGCCCTAAGAGGCCACAAGTTGGTCTCCTTCTAATCTGAGCTTCAGGTGAATGTGTGTGGAGGTGTTTTGTGTGTCTTATGTGAACTACAGAGGTGTTTAAGCTTCTTTGAGACGCCTTTGCAGTGTTTGGACTCACAACACTGCCATGCCAACCATAAACACAGGAGTTGGTGCCGGGTCTCTTTGCCTTTCATGTTTGCGTCCATGAGGGCTTTGTCGATTGTTCTGCTTGAAGCTTGGTCAAACAGTTGCTCAATGTTTTCCCTCGGCTCAGAAATGTGGCTAGAATTTGGTGTTTTATTGCAAAAGAACATTTATTGGCAGCTTCAGCCACTTAGAGCAGATTAGTCTGAAGTGTTTCCGTTGGTATTCTTATTTTAGAAAGGAAAACTGCTGTATGGAAGTATTTCCCTCTCCATCACTGATGTCAGATTATAATATGTGTACAGTAGCTGTTGGTGAACTTTGTCTCAACTCGCCTGGAGGAATGCCATCAGTCTGATTTTCAGTTTGGTTTTATGAGTCTCTTTATGGTTCTAGAACTTTCACACCCAAAGAAAACGCACAGAGGGACTTTAACTTACAGGTAGAGTTAAATCTCCAGACTTTCCATCAGCAGCATTGAGTTACCAAATTTTTTCAGTTCAAGTATGTAGGTCGGTTAACAAATTTATGAAACGCAAGAAATACAAATCTCAGTTTCTGACTGTTTGCACAGTAAAATGGGATTAATGCTGTGTTCCAGTTACCTCAGAAGTCAGATGTCAGAACTGGGAATGACGTTACACCCAAGTTGACGGCGATCTAGTAAACAAGTCTGAAAACCATGATGGACGCCTACAGCGTCGTTGTTAGCTGTTATTTACAATTGTCAGCCGTTGTTAGCCATAGTTAGTTGTTTTATTAGCCATTGTCAGCTGTTGTTAGTTATAGTTAGTTAGTCTTGTAAGTTACCAAAGTTGTAAACAACGTATAACACAGCATTTTACTTGTAAACACCATAGCACCGTGTTCACAGTTTGACCCTGAGCAGTACAACAAATACCACTTATTTAATTTTACAAAAACAACACAGAAGTACTAATAAATAATAAATTACGAGAGCTTTCACTGTTACTCTTTACTGTTGACACACTATGCTGCCATCTTGGATAATGACGTTGTCGTCAAGTCAGTGTTGGTGAGGGTCGTCCGACTTCAGGAGTGCGTTCCAGATGAATTTCCTGACTCGGAGCTAGGAAATTCCGACTTCCATGTACAACTGAAACGCAATATTATTACGTATCATAAAATTATGGCCTCTCATTGCAGCTAGCATGGCTTCCCAGACCTGATTACATCCAAATGAACCCATGTATTGCGATGGTTGGATTCTGCAGTTATTTTTGTTGAATATAACACTTTTAAACAGTGTTGACTCATTTAAGACATCAGCACTGATATATTAAAACAAAAAAATCCCCACACAAACCCTCCACTGATGTTGTAACTGTGACTACTGTGGCTTTTTCACTCTGACAGATATTAAATTTACAAGGACCACCTCTGTGCTTTAATGCACTGGAAAGACTTTTCAGTAGATATCAGGTTCAGTCAACATAAATGTCAAATCTGCTACAAAAACATGACGATTACATCATAACTTGTGCACACACTGTGATATCAGTCTATCTTTACCCGTGAGCCAGCACAGGTGTTTTGTGTGTGTGTGTAAAGAGGGGAGTCACTGCAGTGTATTGTTTTGAAGTCCAGTCTCTGTGTTCTGTCTGCAGGTTACATAAAGGTTTTTTATGAGAAGCTCTGCATGTCCAAAGGAAACATTAGTGGAATTGTTCTTAACTGTGCTGCCCTCCCTATCTCTTCAAACACAACCCAAGTGCTTTTATGCCTGGAAACGCACACACACATACACACACACACACGCGCCTGCTAACACAGCAGTGGTCTGTGTTGTATAATAAGATAAATCTGCCTTTGAAAGCACCCACCTGCGTCATGGAGAGTATGAGGAGTTAGTAAGGACTCTATGTGTGTGTGTGAGAAAGAGAGAAAGATGCAGGTGGTTTAACTCCTTTAAGATGCATTCAAGATGCAGTATTTGACTATCAAAATATCCTTCACCTCTGACTGAATCCACATGTCATTTTACTATGCAGCCTTGGCTCATGGTCAACCTGCTAATGGAAACATTTCCTAGCAAAAAATGTGTTTGGAGGTATTTTTAATGTTTGCATTCGTTCTATTATTTCACATTCTGTTCTGTTCTATTCAGTCATGTTCTATTCTATTCTACTGCATTCTATTCTATTTAATCATGTTCTATTCTATTCTCTCTACTACATTCTATTCTGTTCAATTCTATTCTATTCAATCATGTTCTATTCTATTCTATCTACTACATTCTATTCTGTTCTATTTATCTACTCTATTCTATTGTATTCTACTGCACTCTGTTCTTTTCTATTCTATCTACTGCATTCTGTTCTGTTCCATTCTGTTTATCTACTGCATTGTATTCAGTTCTGTCCTATGTAATCATGTTCTATTCTATTCTATTCTATTCTATTCTATTCTATTCTATTCTACTGTGTTCTGTTCTATTCTATTCTATTCTACTATATTGTGTCCTGTCCCATTCTATTTTAGTTTTAAACTTTTAATGTTGATAGAAATATCTTTATTTCATCCCCTGTTGGATAATAATCTTGTTTTTTTAAGAATGAACATTTTTAATCTGAAGATATTTTGACAGTCTTGTCTTATTTCCTTGTGAACTCAATGCCCTTGGATTTGTTCACAGCTAAACATCTTTAGCAGTTTTGACCAAAGATGCATTTAGTTTTTTTGTTCTCTCTTCTCTAACATTTGAGATATAATAAAACACATGAAAATCGTTCATCAACAATGAAAACAAGCAGTAACTCTTTTACTCATCCATTCGCTTTTGTAAATGCTGCTTATAAATCTCGTCTGTAGTGATGAGTCATCCAACCAGCTGCTTTAAACAGACTCCTCACTGTATGGCAGCGGTCCATACTGTCTGAACAGGTGGTGGAGTGGCTTTCCTCCTCTAGCCTTCACTTCATTTGACCTCTTTGTGGAGGTTATACAACAGAGTTAAAAAAAACACCACAAGTGAGATGTTATCAACTTTTTAAAACCACCAAAGAACTTCACTTTTACTCTTGTTGAAAGTTCTGCTCCCTCTTTTCCTCTCTTTGTCGTACAGTCTGAGATAATTTGACTTTCCTTCAAAATCACTCATTAAAATAGTTGTTTACTGCCGTCATTATTTCAGTTTGTTTGCACTAAAGCGAGTGTGGCCTCCTGCCCCGTCTCCTCTGTGTTTACAGGATCAGTAATGAAGCGTGTGTTGGTTGATCTCTGCTGCTGTGAGCTATTCTGTCACATACCATTCTTCAGTTAGAAACTCATCTGGGAGCAGTTCAGACCGGCTGTGATCTCCGGGGTCGCCATTATCACCAAACCGCAGCGCACTTTGAGGCGGTTGGCGCTTTCTTTGATGTGCAGAGCAGAAAGTGAGAGTCAGATGCTGAAGAATGACAGGGCAGGTTTACGGAAAGTGTGCGTTGATGAGTTGAAGACCACCTCCTCAGAAAGCCTTCAGAGGTTTTCTATTAAAGGACAGATATTTTTGGTGTTGTGGTCAGTTCAAGGTCAGAGAAAGCTGCTGAACAATGGGCTGTGACACATTTTTCACATAGTGTTTCTTTTTATTTTTTATATGCTTACTGTAGAGATTATTTACCCAAATTTATCTGATGTATATGTTTCACTTTAATCACTGTAATATAAAAATCTCAGGTTACACCATGAAAAGGGACGTAACAACAAAAACTTGTTGAAAGTAGGGGTGGACTGATATCAGCTTTTCAGGGCTGAGAATTAGGAGTTGATGAAGCCAATAACTGATATTCAGATCAATATGCAATGACAGTAAAAATTAAAAACTCATGTCACAATGTCGGATTCAGAATTTTGAAAATGAAACACCTGCAGTGAAGCCAAAGCAGCACGCTTATTAATTCATCTTATCAGCAAAATGTGTAATAAAAGTCTGATAAAGATAGTCTGTCTGAGCTGAACTTTGGCCCCGATAACTGACCAAAGTGGAGATGCACCGATCCATTTTGGCCTCACCTGTCTTTCCCTCTTTGTTATGGACTGGATGGGGTGGAGTCACATTTCTGACGTAGGAGAGCATCTTAAAGAGACATGAGACCATAGCCTACTTACACACATCCAAAACAAACTTTTATTTGTTCATTTTTTTGATACCGAATATATTGACATGGGCAAAATGATGTTGATATTGTCGTGAATTTCAGTATCGGTTAATTCTCAGTATATTGCTCAGACCTAATATCAGATTAAAACGTGTATAAAAGTATGACCTTTTTTTTCTTGTGAGTGCAAACGTGGTCAACTATAACTACATTTGAAGAAAGAAATGAATGATACAAATACATTAATACCTGCCAATCTCTATTTATAACTTGAACGTTTCTTTTCAAAATAAGACTCTGCAACCCATTTGAACATCACACAAGCAGAGGTTATTTGAGTGCAAACTGAAAAGCTTTGAAGTGAAACTTTAAGGCCTCAGCTGTGATATAAAAACAGAACAATCGCTCCAAGTTGGCCACATTTTTGCTGTCCTGAAATCCAGTGAACTCAGCGCTTCGTGTAATATGTTCAAAAATAAGGTGTAACTGTGTTATTGGTCTGTGAAGACTCTTAACAGCATTCCACACTCCCCACTCATCACACCGCAGCACACCTAATGTCGGGTCTACTCATAATGATGGTGTTAAGAGTCAGGCTTGCGTGCCAAATAAACCATCCTCCTCATGTGTGTCATTAGTCGTTTCATGTGACACTTAAAATGGAGCAACAGACCCGTGCTGAATGTACTGTTCTGTTCACACACACACATCAGACACACACACACACACACACACACACACACACACACACACACAAACAGAGTCTCAGCTGTAAGCCTTCAAGGTCTGTGGGTTCTGGATGTAGTGGCTGGTCATTATGGCGATGTGTGAGGTGGTTTTGAGTATTAGGATTTGGCTCACATGGTTGAAAATCACTCAGACTGTGTTTTGGCTCGCTGGATGTGGGAATATGTGTGAGTTTGTGTGTGTGTGGGAGTGTTGAGGCTCTTTTAAAGGGATTTTCCAGTGTTGCAGAGGTGAAGGACTGACAGTATAGTCATCACACACACACATAGAGCATTATATCTCACAGGTATTGTTTCCCTTGTCTCTATTATCAGGCCTCGGACAGACACGCCTGCTTTTCACGGCCGCATTGTGTCTGTTGTATCACAGAAACGACTCATAGTACCGTGATGCTACTTTGATTGTAATTTTAGACCCACTTCTACCTGTCACATAGGCTGTGAATAAAGAGTATCGAACATAGATACTGTCTGAGTTCGTCTTTGGTTGGAAATATCATACATTTAGAAGTTTGATTGCTTCGTTAAACTCTCCATAGAGCCATTTCCCAATCAAAGGTTGGTGGTTTGATCCCCAGCTTCTGCAGTTTAAAAGTCCAGGTATCAATAAGCTGAACACTGAACCTCAAGCTGCTGCTGCTGCCTTGTTGAAACATCTTATTTTCATGCTATAATGCTAGCATGCTAAAATTCCACTTGGTAGCATCTGATAGTGCTTTGAGTTGTAAATTGTGTAATCTGCACAGTCCATTTCTCATGCAGTAGGAATTTTTGGACATGAAGAGGTTCATTAACTAACAAACATGTCAGAGGTGATTAACAGTGACTGGCTCGTCGTCGATGTGTTGCTTCATGTCTGACTCATAGAAGCTGTTAAGAGGACTCCTCTGTGTTTATTTATTATTTTTGTTCGGCTGGATTCTTCTTATAAAATATACTTAGTCTTTGTAAATAAAAAGTCACTTTAATGAGGGAGTTTTTGACGAGGTCCTAAAAATGTATCATGGATGGCCTGAAGGGTTGGAGCTTCAATCCAATGAGGTCATTTTAGCGTCGACCTGAGTAGTCACAGACGTGTTTGCGCTCATAAATGACATCATTCATTTCTCTCTCAGCTTGATGTGTTTACATAAAGTTAATGATTATTAATAATTACACCTGTGTTTACAAGCTTGTCCACATTTGTGCAAAAAGTAACAGAAGTAACATCCCTGTTCTTTTTCTACTGTTATTTTGAGAAAAACAGCCATTACGAGTTACTAGAAATAGCTAAAGCACTACATGTATGTACAGTTTTTTGAGTTTTCTTCCTGGGGAGAGAAACTCTCCAGAGGCAGTCTGACTTATTGTTGGCAAATACACACACACACACTTCTATTATTTCACCACCCAGCCCTCCTCGCCTTCCTCGCCTTCCTTGTCTTCCTCTAAGGTCAGCATGAAGTTTCATAATCTCAACCCACACATGCTTACTCACCTCCTCCTCCCCACACACACACACATGCTCATACACAGACAAACACACACACCTCTTACCCTGTTACCCAACTCTTCTTGTGATAACAAATGTTTCATTTTTCACCTTTTGCTGCTCGTATTTTGCAATCCTTCCAGTTCAGGAGTATCTGATAAACTTCAGCTTTAGTTTTTTTTTTTTTTTTTCCTGGCATTACTGCGTTTATGGAGCAGTGTTACTCTGAGTTAATGAAGGACGTTTTTCAATCTAATGAGAACATTTCTCAGCAGGAAATAAGCAGTTTAGACAGCGACTCCAGTGTGAGCTGACACTCAACACGGCTGGACAGTATTGTATTTTCTTTTTGTACTCATCTCCAAAGAAACCGAGTAACTGCATGACAAGAAGTTTTGTTAAACCTAGAAAACCACAGATGAAACTGGTCACACAAGAAACTCTCAGTCATTTAACCCCCAAATGAGTGTCTTTTTGGACATAGATGACGAGTTACAGGAATTTCTGAGGAAAACAACCTTTGTCTGGCAAACTTTAATCATCTGGATGCATTAGCCATCTGTTTAAGGATACAGGTGTAGACTAATGTGTTGACCTTAAGCCAAGATTCTTCAATGCATTGTCTTTGTTTCCAGTCCGAACCCTTTCGCTCTTGGTACAAAATGTTTCACACTGGTAGACTAAACCCTCCGATCATAAACAGAAATCACAGAAAAACTTACACTAAATTAGGGCTGGGCGATATGGCCTCAAATCAATATCACGATATATTAAGCAGTTCATAGACGATAACTACTCTACCAGCTGCTCACCCCCTCCCACTTTAACTTCGTCTACTTCAGCCGCCACTCCAGCCACTACAACTGAACCGTCTTCCATCTCCTCACCTGTCTTTCCCTCTTTGTTATGGACTGGATGGGGTGGAGTCACGTCTCTGATGTCTTAAAGGGACATGAGACCATAGCCTACCTACACACATCCAAAACCAACTTTAATTTATTGACTTTTTGTCACCAAATATACAGATATGGGCGAAATAACGTCGGTTATTGTTGTGAATTTCGGTATCGGTAAATTTTCGGTTTATCGCCCAGCCCTGCACTAAACAGAAACTTACACTATTATGCAAAGAACTTGGAAAATAAGCACCATCAGGACAATAATGAGTCTGGTTTTAGTTAATATGTTTTTTACTTTTACTACCAGAGAAACAAAAATTATTTATTTGATTTTCATTCAAGCTTTGAGTCGCTCATATATCTGCTCTTATCTGTGTAGGAAGTGTCTTCTGGAAAATAAATCTCATCTTGCCGTGTTTTAAGAGTTCAATTTATAATTCACTGCAGATCGTTTCCGTGCAAGATTTGAAAATAAGCTGCGTCTTCAAGGCTCCCATCCTCAGGCATTATAATTACTAGAAAGAAGTGGTTGATCTGTTGCCGCTTGTAGCTTATAAAAAGCCATCAATGATCATTTCAGTCTCCTTACAGGGATTTTAATTCTATTCAATGTTTTCTGTCCTAACACGTGATTGTTTTCCTCTTTCTTTTTTATGTATTATGATTTTCTCTCTTCCCATTTTCACCATCTTCCCTTTTCTTTCTTCCTTTTCCTTGTTATCCATCTTTTTATTGCTGTCAGACAGTCGAGGTTTTTATCTCTGGGTGGTCTTTTCTCCAAACAGACGTCTTGTGGTCGAGTTGAGCAGTAACTGTGTATCCTGTCGCTGTCTCATCTGTCCGTGTTGTTCTTACTTAACCACTCTTTGTGATGTCAGTCATCCACATTGGTTCACATCGAGCCGCTCTCTTGTCTTTGTGCGGTCCGGAAAATTTAGTCTGCAGGTTTCACTTCCCTGCTTGTAAAGACAATAGAGTCACCTCCCCTCTCTCTTCCAAAGAAAAACCAACCATTTTTAAATACAGTACTGTAACGGTGTATGAGGTAATCTTACAATTATAATGGAAGTTGCAGCCAGGGCTAGTCGGATAGAAGTCACTGAGGTGGCTGGAGATATCTGCTCTGTATTGACGTCTATTAACATGGGATTCGCTGTTTATGAATCCTGTTGTGTGCATGTTTCTGTCCATTAGCGGGGGTCAAATGTTAAAGAGGAAAAGGTGTGAGCATTTCCACTTGTTCAGCACATTAATGTTCTCCAATATGTGCATGTGTGTGTGTACCCATTAGTGCAGGAATGCTGGGAGGAAAGGTGTGTCCGATCTCCACTTCCCCCCACGGACTCAACAGGAAGTAGCAAAGAGAGGGAGGGTGGGGGGTGGAGGAGGGTTGACACGTGGATACAGTAGATATTTGCTTAGAGGGGGAAAAAAGAAAAGCTGATTCAATATGGATAAAAAAAAGAGATGAGTAAATGTATGAGTCCACGCCTTTGTCTTGAAGATCTATTGGTAGACAAAGTGAGGACTTGTTTCTTCTTTTTTGTTGCATTTTGAGCTAATCATTCAGAAGTGTACTGTTGGATGAAAAGAAGTAAGTAGTGGCTAACAGAGTGGCTAACGGGAGCCAGCGTTGCAGCCCTTTAAGGCCATGATTTTGCATTGAAAGAAATTGTAGGTCAAGACAAATGGTACAGCAGTACATAGAGAATAAGTATAAAAGTGGGGTAAATAACATAGAGTATATTATTTAGTAAGAAATTACCATGGAAAAGACGCCTCACTTTAAAATAAGTGGGTGCCTGGAGTCTGAGCAAATTAATCTGGGGGGAACTATTCACATCTCACAACTGCTAATGCCACCTCTACAGAGCTAAACTACCAGACTATTATTTACTAGAATGGCAAAAAAACAGATCGTACAGGAGCTACACAGCTACATACAATCTGCACATTGCTGACTTCACTGATTATTAGATTGCTGACTTTCTTGGGAAAGCCCTAAAAACTAACTTATTGACTAGTATGACTTAAATTCCAGACTGTATGGGATTCACAATATGGGAAAACCTGAATATATTAATGCAAAAGAAAGTTTGTTCACTTGCTATTATAAAGGTTGACATATTAGTAAAAATACATTTTCCCTGTATGGAATGATTCGTTTACCCCTAACGTGCAGATACTCTTAAGTATCTCCTGTTAATTTCAACCAAAATAATAGAGTTATAATCCATTAAATGACAAATATTCAATGATTACTTATTTAAATATGAATGTGAATGTATATGTTTCAATGTTGTCTCTTATTGTCCATTCGTGGAGAACAGTGGTTGTATTACTTGATAACAAAAGTGACATCAGATGGACAAAATAAGTGTCTTAATGTTTTATTTGACCTTAATTTTAGTCTCGTCGAACACATAGCTCAGAGGAAGATTTTCACGTGAGGAAGTAAACACAAAACAAGACATAAGATCTCTTTCTTCTCTTGTAATGTAGGTTAGATAAAGTTAGCACAGTCACATCGCTGTGTTTAGTCTGCCTGTAGCTCCCACAGCACACAAAACACACAGGCCAGTGCTTTAAGGCCTGTTTAGCCAAGCTAAGCATGTTTTGTCTGCATACACACACACACACACACACACACACACACACACACACACACACACACACACACACACACACACACACACACACACACACACACACACCACAAACACACATTGAAGCACAATCACATGAGGTGATGTCATGTATTTACAGATGGTGGATGCAGATGAGCAAGGTAATGCTAAACAAAGGCAGGAATGCTGCAGGTGTGTGTGATAAAGGCTGAAAAAAAAAAGAAGACATTTCTGTTCCTCTCTCACACAGACTAAACTTTAGCTATCAGGGTTATTTCTATTGTCATTTGGAGCATGGAGACTCTGACATACAGATAACGTCTCTGTGTTTTCTTGCATCTTCTCTTCTTTTTCAGTCTCACACTTTTTAGTTTTTCTCTTCTGCTTTTGGAGAAATGTTTCCTAGAAGCCCTGAAAGAAGAGTCTGTTCTGCTTTTTAATGCTCTTACAAGTGTTTTATTAAGACACTTGAGATTAAGATGAAGTATTCTTAATGCTTACTTACATATTTTGTACCGGAAGAGTATTTTATGCTTCTGATGAGGCCATGAAAAGATTAAATGAGGACGTACAACTTCTTAAAAGCAGATATAAATGAATAGTTTGCTGGTTTAATGTCACTCGGCATCCATGGTGCCAAACTTACCCTCTGAAACTATCTCATGCAACATAAAGCCCAAGTTTCAACACTCATATTTCTACACTCATGTGCAGTAAGAGATATGTAAAAGAAAACACAAAAGTATTATCGCTTAAAAAAAGTTTGTGTGTGAATTAAGACAGAAAAATCTGGGGATATGTCAAAGGCATTATGATTTGAGGGATTAATATGTAGAGTCCCATGTTCATTTGGTGAGATAGTGCCAAAAAATATAAGATTTTGTTATTCCTACATTTAGACTTGATGTTTCCAATAGTTCTGCGCTGATTTTTCCTTATTCTGAAACAAATCTAGCTTGCTGTGATTCGGCTATATGCAGATGATTTTGTGCTCTATTACTGACAAACATTTTGAGGGCTTTTGATTATATGCAGACTATTTTGATCTCTGTTTGTGAAATAAGCTTCATTTGACTAAACAATATGCACACAATGTAGCTTTTTGATTATGGAAAAAAAAACATAATATGCTGTGATTCCACTGTATGCAAACGATGCTTGGCTATATTTCTGATATTGAGCTAGTGTGGTTTGAATCGACTCTATGCAGATGATGTTGTTTACTGACTGTAATAAATCTCAGCTTTAACGCTTGTGTAATCTGTAACATATGTTTTTGGTAATTAGGCTATGACTGTATGCAGATGATACCCCTCTATGACTACCACAAACTTACATCACTCAAAACTGCCTCAAAGAAAGCTGCACTGATGTGATAATTTCACAGACACCAATTTGACCCTTTTGCCGAGTTAAACTGTTAATATTTGACAGATGGACAGGGATATTGGATACAGGCCTGAGTATCAACTTTACTCATCTGGCCTCACTCTAAATAATTCTCCGTCTCTAGTTGAAATAAACGTCTCATTCTGCAGGTTTATTTGAGTTGTCTGTCATGTGTCGGCAGACTTTTTGAAATCCAGCTTCTGTCTTTTCCTTTCTCTGTTCAGTGTTGATCTTCCAGCTTCAGAGGGAGGATCCTCTGCGCTCTTAAATGGGACCATGACCTCATTGTTGTAGCTCCGCTGTGCTCTGCTTCTCTTGTTTGTTTGGATTTGGTCGCGCTCACCCTCCCAGTTCCTCTTAACCCTCTCCATCCTGGACATTACATTAGGCCTGGACTGGACTCGGTCTCCCGCTGAGGCTAATATAACATTATTAGGGCCATAAATATCATTGTTTATCAGAATAATCCAGCTATGATATGATCTAGTGAGGGAAATAAAGCTTAGTGGGGGATTTCTGCAGTCTCAAGTGGGAGTATCGCTGTGTGTAAAACTCGCTGTGATTCCTGTCAGAAAGACTTTGAGTTTGTGTCACATGAAGGTTTAGAAATCATTCCTAAAAACACACAAGACAAACGAAACCTTTGTGCTCTTTTAGGCAAAAAAAAACCCTTTTAAAAAAGCTTTTCGCTTTTCTTATTACTATTGGGCGTATCATCAACTGAGCTAGTTCAGTATGACCAATGCTTTTATGTTTCCACAGTGAAGTTTATTGTAAAATTCACTCTGGTGTCTCGTATGTTAAATATGATGTATTCAGATTTATACTTTGAAAGTTTCCTCCAGAGAGAGGGTTACATAAACAGACAGATGAATAAGACGAGTGCAGGTTTTACTAGTCAGTGAGTGATGTAAGGAGAGCTTATGTCGCTTGAGAGTCACTTAGTCTACTAGGTCACAGGGTTTAGTTTTGTATAAGTATAAATACACATAAACATACATTACGGTCATGCGAGGAGGGATTCCCCTGAGGCTGGATCATCGATCATGTTTCTGTTCTCTTTCTCTTTCACTTATCAGCTTTCTTTCCCTGCCTCTGAATATCCTTCTTTCCCTGAAAGGTAAGGTAACAGATAATCTCTTAACCTGTCACAGTCCTGCTAATAGGCTTTGACTCCTCTGACTGGAAGGTGCTTAAATGAAAGCTAAATGTCAAAAAAAAAAAAAGAAAAGAAAACCCTCAGGTCAAAGTTGAAAAGAAAGCGAGACAGAAATTTAAGATCTGAACTAAAGAATCTGTTATCTTCAGATTAAAGGTATCGATAGTGGAAATAGAAATAACATTTCTGCTTGCATTTAGAGGCATTGCACTTATTAGTTTTATGTAACTCTGTATTTATACTCCACTCCCATTCAGTTGAAAGTAAATACTGCAGTTTTTTTAAGGTGGTGGTTGATGAAAGTGACTTTTCCAATTCAGGCATAAAAACCGGAATATGTTAAGTTTTTAAAATACGTCAAATTTAAAGTTTAAGTGGAGGTGAACCTTTTTTGTCTACATTATCATGTCTTTACCCTTTTAGACATTTCAGGTCCTTCTAGTTCAAAGCTCCTGTAAAGAGTTTAAAAGGCAGATTAGTTTGGTTTGAAAATTATAGATTTTTGAGGGTTGGACTGATGTCTTTAAGGTAGTTTGTAGGACCTAAGAATACTTAAAGCTCTAATTAGGTACTTTTCGTTTGTGTCAATTTTTTTTTCTATCACTCATTGAGAAAAGTTGTTCTTGAAAATGTGAAGAAGGGGATAAGCATGAAGTAGATCTGACACCTACCTCCCTGCGTGAGGTTTTAGGCATTTGAAAAACTGTATAGAAATAATCTTGCTTCTTGTTAATGGTCTGGTTATTTTTGGGGGGTCATAAAGGGACGTCTATTTTGATTTCAGTGTCTTTTACAACCAGCTCAAAACTCCTCAAAGGGGCTTTAAAATAATTTTCAACAACTGTTCAATACCACGAAATATACAGAAGTTAAAAAAAAGAGTTTTTCATTTTTTCCTCCCTAAAAGCTTATTGTCATTTGCTTGTTTTGAATCATACCACTGAAACGTACAAAAATATATATTTTTACAATTTCATACAAATTCTACTTCTAAGCTGTTTGTGCGTAGCTCCCAGAGCTTAACAAAGACTTAACACTCACTTGGTTTTCCCATCTTTTATCCTGGGACCCTTTTGTGGGGCTAACTCCAAGTCTGAGCTGACTGTATAAAGTAGTTAAAACTACCTTAATACACACTGATTTATCATTATTAAATGGTATTGAATATGTGTGATTTTTAACCTTTACAAGTGTGCCTGTACATTCTGGTGTTAGTCCTTGAGGGAAAAAGTCGTAGCTCTTTGGGAATTTTCCAGTTTGGGATCAATGAAGTATATCTATCTATCTAGCTATCTATCTGTTTATTTTCTCCCACTTCTCTTTGTGCGTGTGTTTGAGCAGATTGTCGAGCTCCACTGTCCCTGTGTGTCCTCGTCTTTAATCCTGGTGATTCAGTGTTTACATCTGTCAGGTAAAGGGAGAGGTCAGCAGCACTGAGGTGTCAGCTGTCATGACATGTTGCCAAATGTACGTGTTTCAGTAAGCCCTGATGTCATGTACAGATGAGTAATCCAAGCCCTTTAATTAACAACCTTATCCGAGGCTTTTTGAAACTCTGATTGATGGTTTTTCTGTCATTTTGAAGACATATGACCTAAAGAAATCTTGAAAAAATCACTAAAATCAATAATCAGCATTCAAAGTCATCTTTTCTCTCTAACAGCCAAAAGTCGGGGGTTTCAGTATGTGTTTGCAGAGCTTACAAATGCTGTATTGGCACCTTGTCTTTCCCTTGAGCGTTGTGGGTTCTCCATATAAGGGTGTGTGTGCCTTCAAAGCCTCCCTGGATTCTGCACTATGTGTGTGTGTGTTTGTGTGTCTGTGTGTGGTTTTTAATAGATGTAGAGGAGAGCTGCACTATGCCCATGTAAGCACAGACTACAGTGGAGAATCAAAGTCTGAGGACTGTGCATTGGCACTCACAGACTGTAAACATACAGATGAGAGGTATAGGGCAGCTGGAGACTTGAACTTTAACGAACTACGCCCAAAACGATCAAAGATTAACTTCAGTTTACAACGAGATTTTAAACTTTGATTCATGAAATGACAACAGATGAAATTCAGGTGACACGTTAGATTGAGGATCACATATAGGCAATCAATCAGTGTCTTATTAGCAGGTATATAAGCAGCATAGTAACCTTAATTTACTCATTATAAAGCACCTATTAACACCTCCTTCTGCACACCATGTTCTCCCTTAATGAATAACCACTGCTTATACAATGCAACGAAGGAGTTCTCGCACATTTGTTACCATCTTAATATTCTTTGGTGGCGGCAATAAAGAGACTTACATTTGTCCAAAACTCAGCCGCTGGACTTCTGACAGACACGCCCAAATCTGCTCACATTCACCCGTCTTACCGCATCTTCATTGGCTACGGGTCAATTTTCATGGTCAGGCGCTGCATGGTCAGGCCCCCCAGTACATCACTGATTTGTTGTGTCCCTACTCCCCAGGCTGCACCTTTCGGTCGTCAGACCAGAACCTCCTAATAGTGCCGAAGACTTGTTTTAAAACTTGGGGAGACTGGGCTTTTAAGACTGTAGCCCCCAGACTCTGGAACGATCTGCCCCTCTCCCTTCATTTGATCGACTAAGTTGATGCATTAAAAAAGCAGTTGAAGACTCTTTTATTTAGACAAGCTTTTAATAAACAGGGTTTTGTTTGTCTCTTTTACTTATCTTTTATATCTGCACTTATTTCCATACCTACCTGCACTGTATTCGTATTTGTGTATATGTACTTATCTTTTGTACCGTTTATGTTTATCTAATTGCACTTTTTTAATGTAAAGCACTTTGTCATTTGTATCTGTGAAAAGTGCTCTATAAATAAACTTTACTTACATACCTACTTACTTACTTTGCTCAGTAAAGGCTAATAAGAGATTATACCACCCTTACCAAGCATAAGGTAGTTAATAATCTAAAATACCAAACTTACTGTTGTAAATCACAAGTGTAGTGTAAGCACAGACCATGCCAAAAAACAAATATAATGGACTGGAGATTATTTCATTGTTTTTTTTCAAGGCATGCTTGAACCATGAAACCCTCGCCCTCATGGTCACAATTATAAGTTCTCCATCCCAGATATTTTTTCTCATTACATTGGCAGTGAATTTAAGGTCGTTCTGAGGTTTTAGGTGGTATGCATGTATTTGAATTTGATTTTGAGCTGCTGCTGCGATGGTGGACCGGTCTGAGCTCTCTGCGTTGGTTGTTTATGTGCCTTTTTCCCTGAAAACCAAACATCTGCACACAGCGACTGCTTGAACATTTTAATGGGTCTGAGGGCAGAGGAGAGGCCTTTTTACAACCAGTTATGTAACATATTGCTGTTGGTCATGTGACCTTAATTATACCTTTGTATGCAGTTTTTACGCTGTTGTTAAATGACTTTGGCAAGATTATTCATCCATGTGTTGTGATTCAATAACTCATTCATTGAATTTTGTTGTGGTTGTCAGAGTTTATATGCTTCAGATTATTTATGCGGTATGCATGTGTCAGTCTCTTGTCTTTAACTAGAACTTTCTCTATCAGCTGACCTTCCTCTTGACCGTCCATACCCTCCAGGCTTCTTTATCTCTGAGGTTATTTTTACATGAACACTGCATCAGCTGCCGACTGTGCGACATATACAGTAAAGCCTCCTTCATACCGGGCGTACATGCACAAATGTTTAATCTCAGGATACCTGCGCACTCCTCCAGCTCTTTCCTGTCCAAACAGAGCCTGTATTGTTTTAATGAAGCTGACCTGACCTGTGATTTCTCATGTCGTGTTTCCTTTTTCGCCCTCTCTGTTTGCCAGGATGTGGAGAAGGAGCGAGAGCTGCGGACCGAGTTCAGCAGAGAAGAGATCAGGCAGAGGGTCGAGCTGTACAACTCGGTGACCAAAGACCACCTGAAAATGACGCTTGTGAGTGGACCACACACACCGAACTGTTTCCCGTCTTTGAGAACATTAATGCAGCCAAGTCTGAGCCAAACACATGCGCACACACTGCCTTAGTTGGTCAATTGCATCTACTTTGAAGATTTGTACCTTTATTGAGAGGATAGGATAGAAAATAGAGCAGGAAACTGGCTGAGAGAGTGGGGAATGGAGGGCTGTAGCTTTGAATGTTGGGTGTTTGATGTGATAATAACTTGGCCGAACCAGCTCTCCTTAATCAATCACTCAGCCATTCCTTATTGATATAGAATCCAATCACAACAAATGCTATCTCAAGATGCTTCACAATAAGGGCAGGTCTAGACCACATTCTTTATTATATTCACAGGAAGACCAAAGATGGGTTAGGATTGAGTCCCAACCATAGACTGTATATAGAATGGACGCCGTCTGCCTCCTCGCTGGGTGACGCCACCGCGAGAACAGCACCCTCTGGTGACGGGCTGCAGTATAGGTCATAAATCCCGCCTCCTCCAGCAATCCCTATGGATTTGTGGACAAACTTGATAAATGTATTACACAGAATATACATTTTTCTCCCCCCTGCTTGTGATGTTGACATGTAGTCACAGTCTGACTGGTTTGTGCTCAAGTCCTCTTTTTTCTGTACAGCTTCATTTTTAAAAGTTATTAGGAGGTTCATGTTTTCTTTGATTGACACGTGATACAGCCTATGGGCATACGAAGATTGCGTAGCTCACCCGGGGGATATGCTGTTTGAGCCGAGCGTCATCACAGCGACTCTCGACGACTCTCCCGCCAAATGCGTACAATGCTACTGCGCAATGTTGGTTTCAGGAAATGAAGAACAATCACAGAAATACAGAGAGCTTTTCGGCTACAAATCCATATACTGGCGGAAGGCGGAACCAAGTTGTCCATAGTATATACAGTCTATGGTCCCAATCGTAAGATCAGACCCACTCCCATCCTCATCCACATGAGTTAGCAAGTTACAATGGAGAGGAAAGACTTCCTTTTAACAGGCAGAAACCCTGAGCAGAACCAGACTTGTGTTGAGACTGTGTTGGGTTTAAAGACATAAATGTGGGATCACAGAGTCTTTGGTCGGTGATTTTTAAGTGTGGCTACAGCCAGCAGAGCTAGCACCACCAGCCTTTGGTCCTCCTTAAAAGTTAACCTTTATATGTTTGTGCTTACATCTGTGTATTTTTGCCACTTTATCAACAGGCAGATTTAAAATGTGCTCAACTTGAAATGACATGTATGAAATGGTCACCTGTGGCGTTTTATTTGTCGTAGAGAATCGACCACTTTTGCTTTTCGGTTTCGACTTACCAGAATATTTAACACACCCTAGTAACAAGTGAGGAAGCAGGGTAGTAATACAAACACACCACGTGTGAAGTCAAAACATGCATAAACCTTGACCTGTGAGGTCTGCTGGTGTTTGAATATCCTCGCCGCCTCTCTCATCTCCGGCTCCCAGCATTCCTCAGCAGTCAGATCACAGTGATGTGATGTTATTCCTGCTATTGTTCTCCCCCACACTGTTTTCCTTGGCAGCCTGACACTTGTCTGAAAATGTGTTCAACCCACGAGACTCAGTAAAAGTATGTTAAATCCAGTCAAAATGAAACGCTTCAGGTAAAGCTGAAGCTCTGGTTTGTCATCCCCAGGAAAGCAGATCTTGTAAAACTGAGAGGAATCATTTGAAAAAGGGTTTTGTTTTTAGCAAAGAAACAGTCCAGTTATAATTGTGAAACCTGCTTTGCTGAATGTTTATCATGAGAAATGACTCTAATGGTATGTAAAGTTTGCAGACTTGTTCCTTTTATCCTTTCTTATCTTTCGCTCCGTCGTTCTGATCATCTTATCTCTCCATCTGTGACGGCACAGGTTTCTCTTTGTCCCTTTATGCCGATCTCGTTTGACCACTTAAACACCTTCCCACACATCCGCCCACACGCACACACTCGCACGGAGCAATGAGATTAAGATGCTCTCCCTCTGTCTGGGGCCATCTGTCCACACTGGGACACACTGGGCTTACTGGTTGAGCTGGTGTCTTCTGGAGAGATCATATAGCACTCCCTGCATATGAAACTTTAGGAAACCTGAGTAAAACCTTCAGTGGCGAACCCCACATAACTACTCTTTCTTTCCTTTTCTTTTTTCCCAGAATCCCACTGGTGTATACACTGGTTTCATCAAGGTACAGATGGATTTAAGGAGACCTGTGACGGTGCGTGGGGGTCAGAGAGGAGAGGAGGCCTTCTATCTGCCCAGAGGAGTCATCAACACCCTCCATATCAGCTCCAGTAACACAGTTAGACAGGTGGCTAACACACACACACACACACACACACGGGTCAACACAACTTAATTAGGATCTGATGACATATAGGTTGAAGTCATGGATCAACAAGTGTGGACAGATGTTGGGGTTACTTTAGAAAGTGGATCAGTTTCAGTGAGTTTTTTGTGTGTTTTCTGACATTATTTTTTAATTAAGCTGAAGTAGGGCTGGGCGATACGGGAAAAGTTAATCACGATATATTTTTTCATATCAGTCAATATCGATATATATCATGATAAAAAAAAGAAATGTAACAGTGCTTATTGGTAGCATGTCTTTTTCAATACTGTTTTGTCGTAAGGTGTTGTACTATAGAAAGCGGACTGAATGGTCGGCTGCACAGGCGTCATAGGCTCCTTGCTTTTGCATTGTGCGTGCTCTGCCACGTGGCACTGCTTCAGGTGGTGAAAAAGATTTGAGGTATTCTCCGACTTTGCGAGAACATGTACCCGACATAACTTGCAGTGCACATTACTCTGCTCCATCGACATTTTCATGTCAGTGTTTTCGAGGATATCATCATCTGTTGAGGGTTCATCTGCATTTCTGCCGGGGGGTAGCACTCATTTTCTTTTTTTCTCACTGACAGTGCTGTTGGCTTCACCTGTTAAAGTGCTATGGTTGCGTGTAGCTGCAGTCTGCTACTACACAGTTGTTTGCTACTTGGTTCTAATTCCGCACGATTGGTTCAGTGCGAAGTGGACTCGGAGCAACTCCCCTTTCATTGGCTATTTGTGTTGTCTACCAAAACATGGCAGAATGCCGACTAATGAAAAGCATATTGGCCTTGATTTATATTGATATTGAAGGAAATTAATTTTCAATATCTACCTTTATCTCTTTATCACCCAGCCCTAAGATGAAGTGATTCTGGATTTCAGATGTCCTTTATAATCATGAACCAGCTTTCATTGTTCAAGTAGTCGAGAAAAAAGGAGTTTTGTTTATGTCAGAGAAATATCATGAACAACGACGTCCATAAAAACGGCAAATGAAAGACCATGAAGACACCGTTTGTGAGAAATCAGACACTGTTAGATAGTAAAAGATTAGACTATATCTTTATATGATATATTTGCCCTTACATAAATGCATGATGACGTTGTCTATAAAGCACGGGCTGAGCACTGAAGTGGTCACCACAAGCTAAACTAACAGTGAGTGATCCCAATAAGCTGTGCAGACTGAGTATAAGAATAATTCATCTATAATGTAATGGAATATTGTGCAGTAATGAGGAGGTCATTACTGCTGTAATAAACAACTAAATGAAGCTCATAATGAAACAAAAACATGACACCAAACTTTGGCTTCTGGTACAAGTCATAGGACTTTTGAATGTTGTCAAACTTCTTGATTTTTATCACTCATTTATAAATATTTGAATGTTTTTTTTTCTTTTGTGTGTCTGTGCGTCATCAGGTGATCATCGCTCTGCTGAACAAGTTCACAGTCGCAGATAACCCGGCCAAATATGCTCTCTACAAACGCTACCGCAGGGAGGAGCAGGGTAAGACTGAGCCCAACGACTGTGTGTGTGTGTGTGTGTGTGTGTGTGTGTGTGTGTGTGTGAGTGAGTGTGAGTGAAAGAGAGAGTGTGAGTGAGACAGTAAAAGCGACAGTGCTGGAGTCTGTGTTTCATGCCACTCATGCCAAGCTCAGAGTCAGATGCTTCAGCACTGACACAGTGGCGACTCGGGTGTGTATTTGTGTGTGTGTGTGTGTGTGAAGGGCGTGTGTATTTCTGAATGCCTCGCCCTTGTTAGATGCTGCAGGACTTGCCCCACTATCAGCAGCTCCCCAGAAATACACACACACACAAACACACACACATACTAAGAATCAACAGCTGCTGCAGGGTAGTACTAGTGGGGTATCAAATATTATCTTTCAGCTCTCTTAGCACCTCCAAACAAGGAAAAAGAGCAACTTTACAAGCTTTGAACTGTAAAAAAAACATGCCTTGAAGTCACTCGTGAATTTATTGAATTTGTGTGACTTGTTTTTATAAGTCTGTGAAACATTTTGCAACAAAACTTTTACAGAGTTTTTGGTTGTTTTCCCCCCTCGGAGGCAGAGAGCGTGCTACTGCTGTCATCTAAGCTTGTATCCTGGTTTCACCTCTTTAATAGAGAGATACAGAGAGACTGTCTGCTAATAAAAGACAGTCTAGACACAAGAAGTCAGTAATAGACTCAATTGTACATGAGCTCAAACATGTATATATATTAAAACTTCAGTTGTTTTTGAAGTTTTTATTCAAGCCACTAAAAGACGTCATTGCGTTCTGGTGCTGCTCTTTAATCTTGAATGAAACTGGCGTAAAAATGCAGACGAGTGACCTTCGCTTTCAGGAACAGACTTAGTGACTCCTGTTGAAGTCTGTCTGCCCGAGAGAGAGAGAGAGAAGAAAAGAAGCACTAAAAATAATCTGTTTGCTCTAAAACCTGTTTGAGTTCAGTGTAGTGTCTCAGGTCTCTAAAACGGGCGGTTCAACATTGTGTTTATTAGTTTGTTTGTTTTTTGTTGCTCTAATGTAAATAAGTTGAGTTAAAGTACAACAAAGTACAAAAAAGTTTGAACACAGCCTAAAATATTGTAAAAAATATATATTTTGATGGGTTGCAAAAAATTTTAACCCCAAAGTTAACTAAAAATGATGCAATAATTACATGTCATATCATGAAACAGAAATATTGGATTGATTTGGGGAAAATTAGCTCATTTTAAATTTGAAGAAAGTGTAGAAAAAGACAACAAAACTCTTAAAAAGTTGTGTAAACATCTGGTGAAAGATCAGGATTAGCATCCCAGAGAGGCTGGTTCTCTCAGAGGTAAAGATAGGAAGAGGTTCACCACTCTGTGAGAGACAGCGTGAGCAAGCATCCAACATTCAGCAAATAATTTGGGGACTTCATCATCTCCAGTATCAAAAATCATTTGAAAATTCTGTACAAAAGGGACAGAGCAGAACTAAAACTCAAAACAGACATGACTCTGTAGTGGAGGTCACTGCATGAGCTTCAAAATCACTTCTAAAAAACCAACTGTCTGTGACGCTGTGCCCTAGATGCTTTTGAAAGTTAAGAAGAGGCATCTCAAGTCTACCAGAATCAATCAAGATCAGCACATTTCATAGAGAAACAAGGGATTCTGAAGAGTAACTTCGGCTGTCACAAGAAGGTTTTAGCATCAGAAATGTTCTGGAGTTACTAAAATTGAAGTCCGAACACAGTAAAAGTGCAGGTCACTGTAAGTTCAGTCTAACAATAAGGATCTCTATCTTTAACTCTGTTTTTGTAAATTACTGTGGTCCTTAATGTGCCGCACCCATCCTTTTATCCTCAGCCATCCCTGTTTATATGTACACACACACACATGCACGCACACATGGTACAAAGCTTTACTGCTCCAACCACAGTCATGCCCGCACGCGGCTTGAAGTAACACACAGACTGTGACACATAAATTAATGCGTCTGTTTTTTTGTGTGTGTGCGTGCTCCCTGCAGTGTATGTGTGCAAGCTGGCGGATGGCGAGCAGCCGTTGTTCCTTCGCCTGGTAGCGGGACCTGACACGGACACGCTCAGCTTTGTACTGAGAGAACAACAGACTGGAGAAGTCATGGTAACTTCACATCCTCCTCCTCTAACTGTGTCTTTAAATGTTTAATTTAAATGTTTATCTCTAATCCTCCTGATCCTGGTCCTCTTAATTTTCTTCATCCCTCTGTACTCTTGGACTTTATTTCCCTCTAAATTGATCTCAACCTTGATTTTCTTTTCTCAAAATCCCCTAAATGCTTAAAAAACCCGTTAATATTCTGTGAAATAATACACACGGATCCCAAAATACAAGAAAAAATCGATAAAATGCTAAATTAAATCATAAAGTAGAATTAATAAAATCACAAAACACAAAAAAATCCAAAAATGGTGCAGTGATTTTTTTGTTTTTTGAAGTTGGATTTTGAGAAATGTTTTTGCGTTTTATGAGATTTTTTTTTTTTGCATTCAGTGACACATTTTAGGTCGTCGATTTCGAGGCTTGCTCGTCTTTCCTCCTGACCTACTTTCACTTTCCTTCTCCCCTCGACTATTTCTGTTTTGTCTTGGAAAAACCGCAACGACAGCGGCATAAACATGATACAAAAAAACAATAGCAACCGCTTTTATTTTTATCAAGGTTTTGATTAGGGGGGAAAAGAGGAAGTACCGCTCTTCCTGAGCAATCAAGAGAAAAAGAGTTATAACAACTATCATAAATAAACAAATACTTGATTTTATTTAAAAAGAAAAAGAAAACAGGTGAATAAAGAGTTAAGGATTGTTTCTTGTTCTCTTTTTCAGTGGGACGCCTTCTCCATCCCCGAACTGCGTAATTTCCTGAGGATCCTCGACAAAGAGGAAGAGGAGCAGAGGGACGCAGTGACCCGCCGCTACGAGGCTTACCGCCAGAGACTGCAGGACGCACTGAGAGAGGTCAGAGGGCCTTCTTAGAGAGATGAACCTCCATGAAACTGGACTGCTGCCCCCTAGAGGGATGGAGGAGGCATTTCTTGATCCTTAGAGGAGTAAATTCTTTCCAAGAGAGGAAGGTGGAGAGAGGATTGAGCGCCTGGATGGAGAGATGACACAGACAGAGGGAGGGACAAGAGGACTAAAGATAAGCTAGAAGAGCAAACGAAGGACAAGTGAATGAAGGGATGGACGGATGAAACTCAGATGGACCTGCTGGATTTTAACGCATCCTGGATTCAAGACTTTGAACCTGCAGTCTGCCTGCTCACACCAAAGATTCACTTCAGAGTGCCATAATCATTCTCTTCTTCACTCTGTCCATCCCTCTCCTTCTCCTCTTCTTCTTCTCTCACTCTGTCCTGCTGTCGTATAATTTAAGCAGTTTCTCCGATTCCTCTCTCCTTTTACTCCTTTAAACTTGTGAAAGACTCAAGGCCATATGTTGACTTTTATTTAATTTGTTTGTTTTAAAGTCTGTAAATAGTTTATTTTTTCTTTTATTTATATGGGTGAAGCTTTTTTTTTTTCTTTTAACAAAAAAAAGTCTTATTTTAGTTTATTCTGCAGAGGCAGAGCTCCAACCCTAATGTTGACACAGACAATGAGAATAGTTTATCCAGACTGCCACTAGAGGTAAATACACAGAAAACAAGAGCGACAGATGACCGAAACAGTCTCTCAGGCTGCAGCTACAAAACAAACCCCCAAATATTTAGAAAAACTGGACGAGTGAAGAAGTTTTGTTAGTGCAGAAGTCTTTTTTTAGTGTTGTGTTGCCTCGATTATCCTCAGAGTTGGGAAATATTTTTGAAGTGGGAAAGATGTAAGTTGCCTGAAAGCACGTATGGAGGTCCAAGAGTGTCAAAGAAAAAAAAGAGTTTTGTTATTAACCAAACTTTTCTTTTTTTTTTCTTTTAATCTTATTTTCTTCGCGTCTCCTTTTTAAAACTTTGGCCTATATTTAAAAAATGTTTGAAATATATAACTTTTTTTTTTTGTTTACTTATTAATTTTGAGTTACCTTAAAAAACATCATTGGAATATTTTCATCTTTTTAGATGCACTTTATATATTAAATATATATATATTAATTTTCTGAGCTATAGAGGATCTTAACTTTGATTAACTGATCATTTAAAATTCCTTATTAACAATTTTAACAAAAACTGTGAAGAAAACCCTTTAAAAATTGAGACACTATATTTTTAAACATATTATCCTAAAAGTTTTTTTAAATATTTTATTTAAATTTTTATGAGTAGAGAAGAAAATTAGGTTGAAATTTGATAACATCGTAAAACTAATATGTAAAATTAAACGTATTTATCAGCAATTTCTGTTTACTTTGTTTTTAAGAATCAAGTTGCCATCAAAAGTTTTATTTGATTACACATATTTATTTCAAAAGCACATATTTTCAGAGCCTATAAGCAGCATAAAACGACTCCTTCCATATTTTCTATCCCTATTAAATCCTTAAATCCTGTTTTCTTATTTTATTCGTGAAGCCCTTTTTTGGCACTCTTGGGCCAACATAGAATTGTCTGAAAAACAGCTCGTGTTGAGGAAAGTGTGGACACAAAGAGGTGAATTCCAGGTTTACAGTCACTGAACACAGATGTGCGTAAACTGTACCTGACGTGATCAAAGAGAGGAAACATTAGAGGAGTCGGAGTTTGAAGAGTTTGAAGCTGTTTGTTAAAGTGTTGTTGCAAATGCAAACAAGTGAGTATGATAACGATGAACTGGTCGGATTTAAAGCTTTTGTTTGCTGTTTTACTCCACCAGCAGAGTTTGACGAAGCGTGAGGTGATGTAGCGTAGACAGAGATGGCCCCTGACCTTTGACTCTGTGTGGTCAAAAAAGGGCAAAGTGAAGTTTGAGTGGTTTCTGGAAGTTGACTGAGCAGTTTAGAGGAAGTAGAAAAGACACACTAGACAGAGGAAGGAAGAAAAACAGAGAGGGTTGGTTTTTCTTTATGAAAACGGCCCGAGGAGAAGAGAGCAGCATGGGAAAGAAAGTCGTAAAAGCAGTGTGATCATCACCTCAAGGACTCTTGACGGGGGTTTCCTCCATCCTCGAGTCATCGTGATTAACTGCGTGCTGGCTGTGTGCATATATTAAAGCTCAGATAATCCACAGCTGAGAGGGAAGGAGGGCTGTAAGTGCTGATAGCTGCAGAGAACAGAGGGAGGAAAAATGGCTGCATTGTGATGTTGTCGTGTTCATCCGTCTGCAGGCATTCATTTCAAAACGCTCTGCTTTTGTGCTTTAATCGCAAGTTGAAACACGTAGCCTTGACCTCCTCGTTACCTGAGTTTTTTTTTCCTGGTGGATTTAGGAGAAGGATTTGTGAAAGAGGATGAGAAGACGAAGGCAGGTTAGAAAGTAAACATGGAAAATGTGCAAAAGCTGAATGAAAGGAAGTGTTAGAGACAGAGGAAGCTCTTCATGTTGGCGCTGTAGCTCAACAGCGGCCTTAAAAATAGATTTCTGTATCATTGTTAAATTATGTGTTAGAGACTAAATATAGTGTTTTCCATGTGGTTTTGTGGAAAAAGTCTTTGCTTTGTGGATCAGAAATTTCAGTAAAAAGTAGCTAAATCATGTGACAATCATTAAGCAAACAAAAGTACTTAAATCAAGTCTTTAAAAAAAAGCTGTCAACTACTTTATCGTTTCAGCTGCAGGTACTGAATGGAGTCACAGACTACCATTGTGTAACACCGCCATCTAGTGGACAATTACCACAACTGTTATTCTTATTTCTGTGTCAGAGTATCTTACAGATTTATTTTAATTTTGTTTTGTTTTAACCAAAGATGTTTTTTGTGGTGTTGCCTGGAGCAAAGATATATTAGAGGCCTCTTCCCAATGTAGGGAAAATATATAGAGTTTTATTTGAAGGGGTTTTAGCCCTCCCTATACTTTTACTATCAAACACTGGGTTGAGTGTATGGAAGCAAAAAATGGCCAAAAAGGTTTCAACTTTACAAACAGAATACATATCAGTGACAATTTAAAGAACATATTTTTTTCATTAATTTTGGTGACTTTAAAATGATGTTATCGTTGTTTTATTAGGGGTATCAATAGAGAGATGAAATTAAAGAATCAAAACACTTTTAATTAAGTAATGTAAAAACATTTATCTGGTCACATTGGCCATTAATGGGTTTGTTTTACATCAAGTTTTTTTATTGTTAAATTTCAAACCTAAGGTCTGAACGAACTTTTTAAACCTCACAATTCTCACAAATCACAATTATTAAGAAAATCAGACACTTTAAAAACTGAATCAGTTTTGGCCCTTTTCTGCTTCCATACAATGTAGTTTTTTTAATGATGCGAAAGTCTGCATGAAAACAGTTTATTCATCTTAAAGCCATGTTGTACTTGTTGTTTGTTTCTGATAAACAAATTTCGCTGTTAGACACATCCTACCAGACTAGAGGTATCATTGATTTTTTTTTATTTTTTGGGCACTTTAACTTTGAATTCAGGGAAGACGGGTTTAGATTTTTCTTTCTTCTGTCTATCTTCAAACTTTCACAATCACTCTGTACATTATCTTAACATGAATAATCTTATTTTCAAAGATGTCGTTAAACTTCACTCATTTTTTTTTTACAAATGGAAGTCAAGTGTGAAAGAAGTTAGTTTTTTTTTAAAGCTTATTTGATTTTTTTCTGTCTCAACAAGCTTCCATATATTTTTCTCTCAGATTTAGCTTTAGACTGTGAAACATTTGTTTGGATTTAGCATGTTTTCCTGTTTGTCTCTGCGTAAACATACATGCTTACTGTACACACTACTGGGCTGTTCAACATTAAAGCATGAGCTACTCTAGAGCGACATTGAGAAGATGCGTTAAAGCAATTCCTTTTCTTTTTTTTTTTTTTTTTTTTTTTTTAACTTTTTGGTCTGCTCATGATATAAGGAAGGCTGGCTGATATGTTTAACAATAAACCTTTTGGCCAGTAGTGTTTATGAATGAGAGCTGATATACTAAGCGATGCTAAGTGTGTATTTAGAGAGCTTGATCTTGGCTGTTCAGACATATTTAGACCTTAGCTGCGTATAAGAGATGGATGTTGTGGCTTCACTTTTGAGGAGCTGGCATGTCGTCTATGATTTGGAGTCCAAACATGCAAGAAAATTGGTTTTAAAATCAAAAATGTTGGTGTGGAGTGATTGATCTTTTGTCTCCTTTGCCCTGAGTCTCACATTTGTCAAAATCTGCGAACTTTGAACAGCCAGAAACGTCAGTGTTTTATGCCAAAGATGTGTGTGTAGCTCTTTGACCATTTATTCATTTTTTTCCCCTCTTTAATTTCGCTAATTTCATTGTACAGAGTCTGAGCAGATTCTTAGTGATTTATCAGGTTTATGTCACATGATGAGTTATTAAACCAGTCACAGGTTTCGATTTCAGACCTGAGGTGCAAAATCTGAAATATACTCTTGTCCTTTCAAAACAAAGACCAAATGAAAAGAGGTTCTTATGGTTCTTAGACTCGGGTGATTTTGGACTTTTTGAGCTCAGGTCTGAACGCTGGGACCGCAGCAGTGCCTTTCCAAACTTTGACGCAGATTTGCAGACAGAAACACGAACCCGCAGGATAAATGGACAGCCTCATCAGATGTTTTTGTTGCAGTTCAAGCTGTAGACAAACAGGTTTATTTTTGTTCGTTACCTTGTGTTTTCTTTTGAAATCGTTACCAAATGTGGCCTTTTCTGGTGCAGGGCGGGCTGCGACTATTAAAGGTGAAATTCAATCAAAAGTATTGTGTGTCTGAGTGCTTTCATGTTCGATTTATCAGATAATTTACAACATTTTGAGTGTCAATCTATGAAACTCTTGTTCTCCTTTGATAAATAAGAAGTGGTCATAAGGTGGATCAAATAATGTTAACACTTTTGAAAGAGAGGAAAAACTTTTAACTTTAGAAAAGGTCATTAGCTCCAAGATTTTATAATTAAGGACAGCAATACACATTATAATATAGTTACTAAAGTTGGTATTACTAGAGAAGCAAGCAGTTGGCAACAATCATCTCTCGATGGGGTGTCTAACTTGGTGTTATGGTGTGTTTGACCCTAAATTAATTTTACGCCAGAATATCCCTTTAAATCTGTACAGTGATTGTTAAGCTGCAGTTGGCAGGTTGGTAGTTTAACTCCAGATGCTCAGCAGTTTTTGCTTCCTCCACCGCCAACAGACAGTCTTTATTTTAACTTGTCAGTGTTATTTATTGTGCTTCTAAAGCACAGGGATGTGGTCCTGTCAGTGTTTTGGCAGCTTCAGTGTCTGGAGAGGATTCAGCCGCCCCTCCTCTTGTCCTCTGTATGACCCCTAACTCAAGTTACCTCACACAACAAATGGGACCCCCCCCCCCCCCTTGCCCACCCTATGAGTCACAGCCAAACACTTAAGTTTGACATTTCTGTGTAAAGTTAAAGCAGAGAGCCTGAAAGAAGGGCCTTCAAAATAAAAGTTCAGTGTGTCGCTTCCCTTTTGGTGGGGGATAAGCACGAACTTCATGATGATAGATAGATAGATAGATAGATAGATATGATTCATCAGCAATGTGCGCACTGAGGAAACGCAGTGTTAAAATTCAAGATAAGGAAACACTGGAGGTTTAAAATCTAAAAACAAAGTAAAATAAAATGAAATGTAAGAAATAACAAATAAAACGAAATAAAAACATCAGTAAAAGATACTAAAATAAGATCACCAAAATAGCTCAATAAAAGATGCTGTAATGTGCTGTTGGTTAAATTGTAGTGCACTTTTATTTTGAAGGGCCTCACCGGTTTCTCTCCCACGCGCTCCGGTTAACCTCACAAACTCAGCAGCCCTCCGCCTCTCAACACAAACTCATTCATCCCTCCATGAAGTTCAGTCGGACCTGTTAACAAGCAGCTGGAAGGAAATGCGGATTTAAAAACTCGACAATGTGAGTATGACTCCTTTAAAAATTTCTACGCCAATGACAAAATTAGTTAACACCAACTGTCTGTAACGTGTTAGTGTGCAGAAACGGCTGAATTCGCTCGGTGCGAGCACCCAACCCTATTAGAAAATCTGTCAATTTCATATTTAAAAGCTTTAGCGCCGTGTTAAAATTCAACTTTAAGCTTTTCTTTAACCAGTACCACCCTGACTTCAATTCGGCATCAATTTAATCTGTCAGGTAGGTCTTATTTTCAAAAACAAAACGTTAACGGCAAATTCAGGAGTTTAACTGCCTGCGAGTTAAGGTAGTAAGAATACACAGCTGTAGGGCAGGCGGGGAAAGATGACACCATGAGGACTAAAACAAAATACTGCTTCCTAATCACTTTGTTATGTAAGGATTTGTCATATTTTAAATCTAGGACAAATAGAGAATCCAAGAATGATAAAACTTTTTGAATTAAGTGTAGTTTTGTGCAGTTCCTGTTGAAGTGAACATGAGGGTTTCAGCTGTTAAAGTCAACAGTTTTAAATCAGTTTTATGGGGCCACAGCTGGAAGACAATCCGTGGATACTTACTCCCCTTCCACCCACATTATTTATCCTTCAGTCAGCATATTAACCTCCAACCCTGCTGATCCAGCAACCCCCCTGCAAAATCTCTCATTTCGAAAGACTCCAGATGTCTCATGTATTATTGCAAAACCTGCAGAGTTTGGTACAAAAAGTAAGTGAACAGAATCAGGAAAAAACAATGAAGATAACATTTAGATCAGTGTGTCATATTCATAGAGTAAATTTTCTTAATCACATAATTATGCAGAGTTGAATGCTTCTAATAATATGCATGATTCATTTAGCATTTCTGTGTTGTGTGGTTTAGTTTTCACAGTTTTGTAACCAATTTGCTGTGTTACATAGTAGATTCTGTATGACACAATACTGTGAAACATCTTACAATGTCAAAGGTCACTCAAACACGTGTGACACAACACTGTTGTTGACTTATTAACTACAAACTGAGTTGTAAAAATCTGAGAGACAGGAATCTCTTCAATTAGTAGCTCTGTAGTGTGTACAATTATGTGATTTTAAAATGAAGGTGAAATGTGCTTTAAATAGATACTGACAGAAGGTGTTTTTTGGAATTGATTTTGAGCCCATGCCGTAACTCCCACTGTAGAGTTATGTATGTTTTTAGTGCAGTGTTGTTTTAGGGCCATCCATTATTGATTTATCTTCATTATTTGAGTCTTTGTCGAACCGTTTGTTGACACAGTCTCTCATTAAGTGGTGAAACTTTTCTTATCATCACCTCTGACAGATTCAGCCCCGCTGGAATGTCTTTTTTTTATAATCAGTGTTGCAAATAGCCTAATTAGGCAGTAGATGTTATCAACCATTTCAGAACTTTTTCAGTGTTTTTTTAGCCTTTCAGCCTTTTTGTTTAAGGTATTTAAAGTATTTCTCATAAAACATAAACATTTCTCAGGGTCAACATCTATGTTTTCTTTCTGTTTTGTGCTTAAAGTTCCTGCGGGGACTTAGGTTTTTAGCATCTACGATCCTGAAGAATGTAAGATTAATGCGTTTTCACAAATAAATTTTTTCTTTCTTTAGACTTTGAAAAATTGCTTTCTTTCCTCAGAAAAGCTGAGTTAGAAAAACGCTTGGCAGCATCATGATAAAGATGTTTTGGTTATGTCTGTCTTTGTCAGGTTTGGTAAGAGATCTTTGTTAGCAGCTCTGTTTGCTGTAGCTGTTGGAGTTTACCTGCTGCCGTCCCCCATAGACCCCAAACCACACGTGTAAGTACACACAAACACTTAGAAAAAACAACAAGATTCAAGGCAGACAAAGGCGATACAAAGGCTGCAGCACTGTGTTGTTTTGCTGCACTCGCAGTATTGGTTAATCCTGAATCTGTCCTTCAGACTGAAGGGGCCTCCTCCGGCCCTCGAGGGCCCACTTGCTCCAAACAAAAGACTGCAGAAAGGCCACAGGCTGTTTACTGGACAACTACACGGACCAGAATCCTTTACTGCTGATGAGGAGGGTGAGTGTGTTGGGTTTTATGAGTTTGTTTTTGCCTCACATAGCTGGTTCTTATAGCATGGTGTTACTTCAGGCAGGCAAGCTCAGCCCAAATTACAACAGCTGATCCTGTCACCACGTGTGTGTGTGTGTGTGTGTGTGTGTGTGTGTGTGTGTGTGTGTGTGTGTGTGTGTGTGTGTGTGTGTGTGTGTGTGTTCTTCAGGTAATGTGTACACAGGAACAGTAGATGGGAAGCTGTGGAGGATCGGTCCTGACGACAGCCTCACCCTCATCACACACATGGGACAGAATTTACCAGAATGTGGTTCGTTGTGGTTTCATGTTACTCCTCTGTTTCCTCTGTATGTTTTTTTTTTATAGTGGGACTATTTTTCCTTTTTCCCTCCAACCCTGATTAAAGCTGGTAATTTCCCAAATAGCCTGATATTGATGATATTGATAACTAAGAAGCAAATTTTTAAAAATGTGAAGTAAAGGATCTGTTATTTCACCATTTATTCTTTACATTCTTCATGCAAACTCAGGCCTGTTGGCTCTACCAATCAGAAGCTCTTTGGAATATTTTACCATTTTCTTACGCTCCATTTTTTAAATATTCACAATCCATTGTGTTCAGGAGTCTCTCTTAAAAGCATTTACTGCACTATTTTTGCTTTCAATCAGGTTAAAGGCACTGTGAGGAGTTTTAAACTGTTTTGGAAACAGACTGAAACTGATACCAATGCCTTTTTTATGACCTTCAAAATAAAAATAAAGACATCAGCAACAAGAATGATCATTTGTCTGATGCCACTGTGAGGGGGAGGAGTCAATCATCTGGTCTGACTCCTCCCCTTTCCTCTCAACATGTTCATCTCATGTTTTCAGGGAGCAGCACTGACTTTGAGCCGATGTGTGGTCGTCCTCACGGCGTCCGCCTGGATCGTCACGGCCAGCTGATTGTTGCCGACTCTTACTTTGGGCTGCACAGCGTCGACCCGAAAACGGGGGAGAAGACTCTGCTGCTGCCAAACTCAGAGGGTACAACAGTGTGTTTCTTACAGTGAACGCCACTGAAGACTGTTAAATTTAAAATGCATGTAAACTCTGTATCTGTGACTCTGCTGTGTTTAGACCCTCCATATAACCCCCCAGTCCCACCCAGTCCCTTATATATTATGTGTAAATAAGAACATATATCTTTTTATATATACTTTTATTGATTTTGTTTTTATTCCACTACCACTCTACCTCCAGAAAGTGCAATTTCACTCACCATGCTGCTATTTTATCCTTAGTTTCTATTGTTTTTATTTTTATTTATTTTTTCTGTATATTAAATGAAACACCATCATGCTGTGATATGGAAGCCAAGCAACGACATTTCCTTGCCGAGAGAAATCACTGCCCTGTTTTATTCTGTGCAATGACAAATGAAGAAAGTCTAAGTTTTTGTCTCTCAGGTGCTGATGGTGTTCCTTTTGCCTTCCTGAACGGTCTGGAGATTTCCTCTCAAACTGGGATGATTTACTTCACAGACTCATCCAGTCGTTGGGGACGCAGACACGTCAAACTGGAGGTGAGTTGATGGAAAAAGATGCCAAGTAGCTTTGATTTGTCTTCCTGCTCCGTCTTTTTGGATGTAAAACGGCACCATGAAGCTTCTTGAGAAGATTAAAAGAGGTGAGTGTCCACTTTACGATATTGTTAGGCCTCCTGGAGATGACAAAGCAAAAGAAAGCTGACGTAAGCCGAGTCTATTCACATTTTTCCAGCGTTGCTTGGAAACCACAAAACTCCAGAAACCCGATTGGACGCACTTGTTTCTCTTCTTGTCAGTTCGCCAAAAAAGAGAAAGCTAAAGGTCCATTCAGTTTATGAAACTGCTGAGCTGTGCTGACGAGGCTTAAGAGGAGACATTGTGTTTATTTGCATTTAAAAAAAATGAAAAAGATTTTTCTCAAAGCAGCAAGAAGTCACAGGAGAAGCTTTGATGTAAAAACACCAGCTGATTTATTTAGAGTCTGAGCAACACGACCTTCTCCACACTTAGAGCCAAACACCTCAGAGGAATAAAGATAAAGTAAGCTGTTTAAAATGTAAAGATTTAAAAGGTCAGTACACGTATTTTGTTTATGAAATAGAAAAGCTAAATGCAGTTAAGAATCTAAAATATAATGTTTTTTGTTTTTCAGGTGATCGAGCTCAACAGTCTCGGTCGGCTCCTCTCCTTCGACCCACAAACCAAAACCGTGACGGTCCTTCTGGATTCTCTCTACATGCCCAACGGCATCGCTCTGTCGCCTGACGAAGACTTCCTGCTGTTGGCTGAGACCAGCATAGGACGCATACTGAGGTCTACACACACACACACACACACACACACACACACACATACATACACAAATACACACAATGAAATAAACATGAGTGACAGTGAATAGATATTAAATCGTCTCTCTGTCCGCTCTCAGATTTTGGCTGAAGGGCCCAAAGGCGGGTACTAAAGAGATCCTCCTGGACAACATGATTGGTTACCCCGACAACATCCGCCTTAGCGACCATGGAACATTTCTGGTTGGCATAACGACAACGCGGTTCCGGAAGCTCATGCCTCCCTTCCTGGATCTGATCGCCCCTTATCCCGCAGTCAAACGCTTCCTGGCAAAGGTCTGTGCAGTCTTCACAAACTTTTTAGGCAAATTAACTGATGGTTCAAACCTTATTTTCATATATTTGTTACATTTATTTGTCATATGTCTGGAAAAAGGGACACACACAACCAAAAATCATGTTGTCTGCAACCAATATAGTGATAAATGATGTATTTGTTAAACCAGAAAACAGAACTAGATGTTTGTCTTGCTGGATTTGAGAAGAAACACTGATCTGGAGACTGTAAAGATGTAAAATAATGACTGTTTTAAGAGGGAAATATGCAATGAAATCCTCAAAATCAGCATTTATACCCAGGCTTCATATGTGACAAATGTGCCTGCATTGGTTTTAATGGTTTGGTATATTAGAATCGATTTTCTTCATTAGTTTGTGGACAAATTAAAAAGAAAAATTCACACAAACATTTTATTCAGCTGTTAAATTAGAAGAAGTAAATATCTGCAGCAGGTTTAATTGTTTTATTGCCATTTTCTGCAGTTGGCTTTAAAGCACTGACTGTTCCTCTGATCCTGATTCTCACACTTCATTTTAGCCTTTGCAGAGGAGTAGTTTATCAGCACCAATAACCAAATCTACTCTTCCATGATCTATTTCCTCATGGAGGGCTGTGTGATTCACAATCATTGAGTCTGTCACTCAGAGGAGAATAACAGCCTTTGTTCAAAGACTAGATGGTGTGAAATGTGACGGGACAGGGGCAGGACCCCACACACACACTCAGACACACAAATTCACCTTCCCACATTAGTTAGACGAACACACAAGTTACTGGTGGAAAGCACTGCTCCTCGTACAAAAACACACACACAATTGGAAGGAAAGGGCGTGAACTCCTGGTGAACTTCGGCAAATGTCAGCTGCGGTCACACTGACTGAAAAACTGAATTTAAAACAATCTGACAGGAGTACGGAGAGCTTTTAGGAGCTGAGGTCCACTGAAGCGAGTAACTAAAATTAAAATTTCAAAATGATTCTGAGAATCTGGAGAAATCTTTGTACAAACTCCACAAGGCTAAAATGTATGGTTGTGGTCTTCAGGCCCTTGAGTGGCACTGCATTAAAAACAGAGATGACCATAGCACCTGTTGACCGGGTATCTTTAACACACCCATATACAGAAGTTAAAGTCCTTGGTTCTGGTTCATTTCCTGGTCATGACCCCCATGTCTACTCTCACATGCCGTGTCTCTTTTCAGCTGTCCAATCAATAAAGGCAAAATGCCCCAAAACACAAGTTTGATGAGAAAGATGTGGACATGACTCTGTAGTGGAAGTTACTGCATAGACTCAAAATTACTTCCTAATGATAATTATTACAATTATATACTTAATTTATGTAGCACCTTAAAAAAAGAGTTTAAAAAGTGCATCAACAGACATACATAGGGGAGACTGGGACTTGTCACATGGGTAAGTTGTCACATTGTAATTATCTTTGCCACCAGAGGGCGCAACTAAAAAGTGGAATACTAGTTTTCTTCCTTTACATGGTCAGGGGTCGTGTCTTGTCTGAGAGGAGAAGAGCACATTGTGAGCTGAGATGAGCGCCAATTAACCATTTCACACAACCCAAAGTAAAAAATTTAACTTTATATATTTTAAAATCAGCTTCTTCCAGATAAAAATCCTAGCAGTGATACATGTGGACTTGTTAGAGGAGAGATTAAGTCATCCTGTCATACCTCACTCATTGTTCTGTTTTATATTGTTATTAATTGTTATTTCCAGGTGATTCCTCTGAGCTGGTACAACGCCCTTCTGCCGCGTTATGCTCTGGTATTAGAGCTGGGATTGGACGGTCAGATCATAGGAACGCTCCATGACCCTGAAGGCCGCCTAACGTGGGCCATCAGTGACGTTTTCCAGCACAGAGGGAGGACCTACCTGGGCAGCACTGACCTGCCCTTCCTGCCTGTTCTGGAGGACTGGGAGAGCTGATGATGAACCACAGCTGAACTCAGAAAACTGAAAGTAGGATCATCGATTTTTATCTTTACTGGATAAACGGATGTGACACAGACTGAACCTGGATTTAGGTTAAACCCAGAGAGGTGAATGAGTGACTGCAGTTTGAAGAATGTAAGCCTCTAAAAAGAGAAGAGATGGTGTACAGTCTGATGGAAAACATACAAAACAATGTTGTTTACATGCGCTTTTTAATTTTTCAACACCTGTGGAAAGACGTTTAAGCGGAGTTTAAACCCTGTGGACTTTTACAGAGGGAAAGAAACTGACTGGATATAAAGATGGACATCATATCCTCTCCTCCATCCATGGTGCAAATGTGAAGCCAAAATATCCCTTAGGATCCATCACTGACATATTGAACATTTCAGGCCAGAGTCTGTGCAGCAGGGTTCACATGATAAAGTAGGGCTGTGACACGCAAAACACTAATTTTCTATAAGCATAAATAACTACTGAAACTATATTTGTAAAAAGATTAACACTCTGACATAAATCTGCATGATGAGAACTAACTATTGTGAAAGAAACCACATTGAAGAAAAATGTATTTGACATGAATTCCAGTTTCAAAGTTTGATCCATGTCTCATCTGTCAACATGGAGAAGCCAGTCAATAAGGGGAGTTTTGTCATGTCATCCATCTTTTCACACAGTAAGAGCTTTGAACTGATAAAGGGATGATGAAATATCTCCCCCTATGTAGTTTTGACCTTTAAGCACTTCCTGGAATTGGACCTCTGTAGGTTCTAACACTGGATCCTTCAACTGGAATAAAACTGGAATAATGGTTGTTGACTGTCGTAGAGTCACAGTGTCTATTTGTGTATTTTTGAACTGCTGTGTTTAACCGCCTCCTTCAGAGTCATACTAAATGTTTGTGCTCAACACTGGAAACTTTTATAAGTCAAGTTCATGGGAAGCAGGACTTTCTCTCTGACAGTTTGGACTCATTTAAAGCTCCTGTGTGAGGTTTTTATCTGGTGATGCAACAGAAAAAAAGTAAGCCACACAATATTCTTCAACTAAATCAAACATAAGAAGCTAAAGACAGAGAGACAACAAAACTGTGATCATTTCCTTTAAGTTTTTCAAAGTTAGAAATTGCTGCCAACGGGTAGGTGTCAGACAAAGTGATGAACAACACAGTGCAGGGACAGACGTCTTTTTCAACACTTTTAACAGCACAGGTTCTCTCCGAGTTGTCTCATCTGCAAAGCGAAAGGATATTTGCTTTGACCACCAAATATGCCACAAACTAAAAGTTACTCACAGGTGCTTTAATTGCCCCCATCAGTGAAGGTAAGACCTAACACTGAATTGTTTATCTGACCTCACAAATCATCTGTCTGACTATCTGGAAACTGTAAAATCTCATGTTTTTGACACATAATCCTAAAGTTACCTGTAATAATTCGCAATTTTTCCTTGTTCTTCATTTGTAGAATCACTGAAATGTGTTTCAGTTTCAGGGATTTGAAGATTTCTGCTTGGCATTGTGGTAAGTTTTGAAGGTATGGTTTTTACTGACAAATCTAGAGGTCTATTATTGCACCATTTTTTTTTTTCGTACAAAAAAATTTACCCGAGCTTTGCACCTCTTCGGAAAATTTAGTTCTGACACCTATAGCAGACAAGAGGATGACAACAGGTACTAAAAACTTACATTTTAATCTGTATTTGTAATAACAAATGATAAAAAAACATGTCACCTGAAATCAACAAATCAGTAATTGAATGTAAAACTCAAAAATTGCCTCTAGGAAATTTCAAGTTTCACTAGCCACAGGGGCTACTGTCGGGAACTGTGTGCTATTACTTTGCTCTATTGTGTACCAATTTTCAAAAAGAGTATTTTCGAAAAAAAGAGTAATTTTTGCCTCTGCGCTGGTCTCACATTTGGGCTTATTCTAACAAAATGGTAACTCCTATCAGAAATAAAGCCGACTGCAGTCATCATAAGGACTTCCTGAACACTTTGATATGATTTTGGTGTTTCTACAGTAAATAGTTTGAACATACTTGCAAGTTATGAATAGGAGTCCTTTCTGCTTCTTTCAAAACACGTTGTCTGATAGTAAACCTACATCCTGTGATTTGTGAGAAATCTCGAGAAACTGGTTGGACTGGTTCTATCCAATGGAACCTTTTCTCAGAAGTTATGAGGATGCGACGGCATCCTCAGATCAAACGCTCACAGACACCAGGACTGGCAAGGGACAAACAAGCAGCTTCTTCTTCTCTCCACACATGAAGGTGGAAAGTGTCTGTAAGCTGACCTGAACTCATTCCAACAGGTAAGGTCCTTTCAGAGAACAGAGAAATCTGTTCATCATGTCTGATAATTAGGATCAGTGTGCTCACATGGTGCTGGATCACTCTTTAACTGTAGAAATCTTTCTTGATGCTGAATGGCTGTTTGAAACATGTTGCAGAATTTCTCTGAGTTTAAGAGCAGTGATTTCGGACAGATCCACCTGCTCCATAGTTGGTGTTTGTGGAGTTGAATCAGCAGCTGTTTGACAGAAATCTGAGTCTCGTCTTTAGGGAAAAATGCAGGAAGTGTCTGAACTGGTCTGACAGCCTACATCAACTTGGCTCAGGTGGTTTCATTTTGAAACTGTTGATACACAGGACAAGAGAAGACAGGCAATTGAATTTCCCTTCCTGGATGAATAAAGTCCGTCTTATCTTATCTTAGTCTGAGGTGAAGGGTTTATAATTCTGATCGCTTCCAACACTGAGACTGACTCAGTTTTACTGGAGACCCTTTAGCAGGGTCCAGGTCTCAATGTCTCAATTGTCCCAAAAGTTTTAGATCCTTGTAGATGAACCAGAGCCGGCCCAGGGTGGAAGTGGACCCCTTAGCTATCAGGGGCCCCTGTGAGACAGAAAATGAACCATCCTATGTCATCCTATGTTTTTTCTATCAAACTAATCGAATATGTTGATTTAAAGAGACTTTTTTATTGAACTCTTACTCATTTTAACAATCGTGTTTACATAATATATTAGTGTGATGATCACAGTGTATTTATAAGAGAGTCTGGGGGCTGTAACTCATTCTGGGCTCATCAGATCCTGTTTGAGGCTCCAACAAGGTTTCTGTCAGTCCTGAATATTTGTGTCATGTTATTGAGAGGAATGAGAACTAAAGCTTGTTGTCCTAACTGAGCATGTTGTATTTGTGTGAAGGTGAGGGCTCTGCTATGAATCAGTGTGAGGACAGAGAGGAGGGAGCCCCTCCCTCAAAAACCACTCTGTTGGGGGGACATGACAGCCGGACCAAAGCTCAGAGGTGAGATGAGGATCTCTAACTGTCTATGACTCTTCTCCATGTCAGAGCTCAGCACTCACATCACCAAAACCACCACTATTATTCACAATAAAACCACTGTCTGTCTGCCTGTCAAAGACTAGAACAACAAAATGAACCAGACTCTGCTGGACCTGGACCTGCTCCCACTTGCCTGTCCTTCAAGAGTGACTGGTCTATGGGTCGATTAATTGATTTCAAAGATGGAGAGATTCATGATGAGAAAAGGTGAGACTTTCAAACTGAACTGTCTTTTGATTTGTGTGACACTTTTCATCCTAACTGTGGTCAGCATTGTCTCTGTGAAGGTGGGGATATTTCGGCGTTTGTGTTTCTATCAGGATCCAACAGCAGTAAACAGGATCTGAGCCAGAAAGAACTGGACTCTGCATGTATCCTCGGGATCCAGCAGTGTTTCTACCAGGATCCACTAGACAGACTCTATCACATCTAACACTGTGTCTGTTTACATTACCTACACTACATAAGATTCTGTTTGTTCCACAGAGTTCAGCGGCAGAGATCAGAGGTTCCCATTGGGCAGTCTGTCCAGCAGCATCAAACACAGCTGGACTCCATATTTATGGTGTGTAAACGTGCAAACACAGCTCCTACCGATAACCAGAGCACTCAGTATATTTGGAGGTTTCTGGGTTTTCCCAGTGGAAACCCCATCTTCGCCTGAATTATGTTCAGACACACTCACAGTTTGACTTATTGAATAAAGCCGCACAATTCAGACCTGCACAAAGTCAGAGGTCTCACACAGACTCAGATTTCGGCAGAGTTCACAAACTGAGTCCAATTTAAGGTTTAAAGAACAGGAAGATGTTGGTTCATGTCAGGAACCACGTTTACATGTGCAAAATTTCTTGATCCGATTAAAAATTTGAGGGATCGGATAATCCGAATCCACTGTTTATATGTGTGCAAAATCAAGTATTTGGATATGTGCAGAGTTGTCTGATTTTGCTCAAACAACCGCAGAAGAACAGTTGTATTTACGCCTGTGCTGTCAACAAACCAACAAACGCGGTCGTAGCTCACTCTATCCAATTCAGGAGTTTTCCCCCTGTTAAATGTTGTCACTAGATGGCGCTCTTGCGTACTTACTTTACTGTGGCTGTCGGCTCAATAGGGGCCCAGCACTTCTAGCCAATCAGAGGAGAAGAAGGGCAAAACCTTCCCCTTACCATCCTACAAGAAAAAAACAACGCTTACCGTAGGAGCAGACACGCACCTGCGGGGGTGTTTGATGCCAGAGTGTTAATAATGAAACCTCCTGTACTGGCCTCGATAAATAACCCCGCAGCTAAAGAGTGAAGATCAAGTCAGGTAAGAGAGTCACGATCGGAATAAGTGTTTACATGGACGCGTTTTGGAATAACGATCGGCATAAACCACCCCCCTCGATCGGAATACAATTTCTTTCCGATTGAGCCGAAGTGGATCAGAATCTTCCGATCGACATGTTTGTCAGGCGTTTATTCCGATTATCTGTGCCCATGTTAATGCAGCTAATAACAGCTGCAGCATTTAGCCCCATTCTAATAAAAACATATGGTCGAAAGTCACTGCAGACTTTCTCTCTGTGAAACCACATCATTTAAGTTTATAGAAACTTGATGTGTAGAAGAAAGGACCATCATCAAAGTAAATCGTGAAGCAGCATTGTGATCCAGTCTCCATGCTGCACTCTGCAGACCAGCAGGCTCTCTGTCTGTCACAAGTGATCTGTTGTTCAGTTCTACAAGCTCAAGTTCTCATGTTGTTCTGTTCCAGCTGCTTCAGGAGAACATGATCAGCTTTGTAAAGGAGCAGCTAAAGGAGATCCAGAGGGCTCTGAGTCCAGATGACCCAGAATGCCTGGAGAGTCAGAGGGAGGATGAGGATGAGGATGAGGATGAGGATCAGAGGAGGAGCAAGGAGGAATTTCTGAAGATCACTGTGCACTTCCTGAAGAGAATGAAGCAGGAGGAGCTGGCTGACTATCTGCAGAGCAGTAAGAGGATTTGAACATGATGTTCATATGATACATATGTTTGCATCACATCTATGAACTGAGAGAAACCGATCACAGCTGATGAGCTGACGAGATGTCAGAGAGGAGGGGAATCAAATCCATCCTGATGTCTTCAAGTTGAAATTCATTAGACTGATTGCAGCTTCAGATTATTCATCACATTTCTTTTTGTTCATTCAGGATCTGCTGCTGCAGAATGCCAACACAAACTCAAGTCCAACCTGAAGGAGAAGTTCCAGTGTGTGTTTGAGGGGATTGCTAAAGCGGGAAACCCAACCCTTCTGAACCAGATCTACACAGACCTCAACATCACAGAGGGAGGGACTGGAGAGGTCAACAACGAACATGAGGTCAGACAGATTGAAACAGCATCCAGGAAAGCAGAGCGACCAGAAACAACCATCAGACAAGAAGACATCTTCAAAGGCTCACCTGGAAGACAGGAACCAATCAGGACAATGATGACAAAGGGAGTGGCTGGCATTGGGAAAACCGTCCTTACACAGAAGTGGACTCTGGACTGGGCTGAAGACAAAGCCAACCAGGACTTCCACTTCATATTTCCATTCACTTTCAGAGAGCTGAATCTGCTGAAAGAGAAGAAGCTCAGCTTGGTGGGACTTGTTCATCACTTCTTCACTCAAACCAAAGAAGCAGGACTCTGCAGCTTTGAACATGTCCAGGTTGCGTTCATCTTTGATGGTCTGGATGAGTGTGGACTTCCTCTGGACTTTGACAACAATCAGGTCCTGACTGATGTTACAGAGTCCAGCTCAGTGGATGTGCTGCTTACAAACCTCATCAGAGGGAACCTCCTTCCGTCTGCTCACCTCTGGATAACCACAAGACCTGCAGCAGCCAATCAGATCCCTCCTGAGTGTGTTGACATGGTGACAGAGGTCAGAGGGTTCACTGACTCTCAGAAGGAGGAGTACTTCAGGAAGAGATTCAGAGATGAGGAGCAGGCCAGCACAATCATCTCCCACATCAAGACATCCAGAAGCCTCCACATCATGTGCCACATCCCGGTCTTCTGCTGGATCACAGCAACAGTTCTGGAGGATGTGCTGAAGAACAGAAAGGGAGGAAAGCTTCCCAAAACCCTGACTGAGATGTACATCCACTTCCTGGTGGTTCAGTCCAAAGTGAAGAACACCAAGTATGATGGAGGAGCTCAGACTGATCCACACTGGAGTCTAAGTAGCAGAAGGATGATTAAGTCTCTGGGAAAACTGGCTTTTGAGCAGCTGCAGAGAGGAAACCTGATCTTCTATGAATCAGACCTGATACAGTGTGGCGTGGATATCAGAGCCGCCTCAGTGTACTCAGGAGTCTTCACACAGATCTTTAGAGAGGAGAGAGGACTGTACCAGGACAAGGTGTTCTGCTTCATCCATCTGAGTGTTCAAGAGTTTCTGGCTGCTCTTCATGTCCACCTGACCTTCACCAACTCTGGAGTCAACCTGATGGAAGAAGAACAAACAAAGTCCTCAATCTCTAAAATCTTCAGAGTCAGACAAAATCTGAAACACCTCCATCAGAGTGCTGTAGACCAGGCCTTACAGAGTCTGAATGGACACCTGGATTTATTTCTACGTTTCCTCCTGGGTCTTTCACTGCAAACCAACCAGAATCTCCTGAGAGGTCTGCTGACACACACAAGAAGAATCTCACGGAACAATCAGAAAACTGTCCAGTACATCAAGAAGAAGCTCAGTGAGGATCTGTCTGCAGAGAAAAGCATCAATCAGTTTCACTGTCTGAATGAACTAAATGATGGTTCTCTAGTGGAGGAGATCCAAGAGTCCCTGAGATCAGGACACTTCTCCACAGACAAACTGTCATCTGCTCAGTGGTCAGCTCTGGTCTTCATCTTGCTGTCATCAGGAAAAGATCTGGATGTGTTTGACCTGAAGAAATACTCTTCTTCAGAGGAGGCTCTTCTGAGGCTGCTGCCAGTGGTCAAAGCCTCCAACGAAGCTCTGTAGGTGGAAACACGAGAGACTAACACATTATTGTTGACAGATGAAACATTGTGTCCGTGCTAATCACTGATTTTTCTTCAGGTTAAGAGGATGTAACCTGTCAGAGAGAAGCTGTGAAGCTCTGTCCTCAGTCCTCAGCTCCCAGTCCTCCAGTCTGAGAGAGCTGGACCTGAGTAACAACGACCTGCAGGATTCAGGAGTGAAGCCGCTCTCTGCTGGACTGAAGAGTCCTCACTGCAAACTGGAAACTCTCAGGTCTGTAGACCTTAAAAATCAACGTTTTTAGAATTATGGAAGATGAATTATCTGAACAAACATTTATTAGTTGGGACAACTTTCAAGGTGTGAACATTTAGTTTCTAAGACTTAAATTTTAATGTTTTATCAATCAATGATATATGGATGATAAAAGGGAATATTTGTTGGCTCAACTTTTCTCAAAATTAAAAAAAGTTGATTTGGTGTCAACACTAAAAAATCTAGTGCAGTAAATTGCCTTGAAATTTTGAGTTTTCAAAGTTTTTTTTATTTTTACAGTGTATAAAGTTGACCATACAACCTTATTCTGTTAGAGTTCATAACCAAATGAATGAACACAAGAATTATTTAAACAAAGAGATCTTAACAGCACTTTTTTAATTTATAAGTCTGGTCAAGTCAAAAAAGGTGACTAAGTCTGCTAGATTTTGTTCGGGTGTTTAATTAAAAGTGATAAGATAGAAATGTAAAAAAATCAAGAAGCAAAATCATTCATGACATTTTCATTAACAATAAACTAAAATAGCAGCTTTATTAGAATATTTTTTTGTCTGTTATATCTTTCTAGATTGATTGGATGTAACCTGTCAGAGAGAGGCTGTGAAGCTCTGTCTTCAGTCCTCAGCTCCCAGTCCTCCAGTCTGAGAGAGCTGGACCTGAGTAACAACGACCTGCAGGATTCAGGAGTGAAGCCGCTTTCTGCTGGACTGAAGAGTCCTCACTGCAAACTGGAAACTCTCAGGTCAGTGTGGGCTAAAATGAGGAATTTTGCTCTTTAAGGACCCAATGAAAACTCATTGGCACATTAATTGAAAAATCAGAAAAAATCATCATCTAAATGGTTAAAGTCAATCAGTCTTTTGAAGGTTGGCTGTTTCATGCCAAGAGATAGAAACACTTATATTGAAGATAAAAATGGCCTTTTGAATAACATTGAAACTTTGACTTATCTTGAGAAATGAAAACATTTTTCAATGTAGTCATATCTGTCTAGATTTATTGGCTGTAACCTGTCAGAGAGAGGCTGTGAAGCTCTGTCTTCAGTCCTCAGCTCTCAGTCCTCCTGTCTGAGAGAGCTGGACCTGAGTAACAACGACCTGCAGGATTCAGGAGCGAAACTGCTTTCTGCTGGACTGAAGAGTCCTCACTGTAAACTGAAAACTCTCAGGTCAGTGCGGGGTTTCTCGCTGATTAAGCTCTGTGGTTGTAAGAATGAAACTGTTAAAATTGGTACACTTCTCCTTGTTTCATATCTTTTTCCTGACTCCAGGCTGTCAGGCTGTCTGATCACAGAAGAAGGTTTTGCTTCTCTGGCTTCAGCTCTGAACTCAAACCCTTCACACCTGAGAGAGCTGGACCTGAGCTACAATCATCCGGGAGACACAGGATTAAAACTGCTTTCTGGACTGAAGAATCCTCTATGGAGACCGGATACACTGAGGTACAACCATACAGTTAGTGGGTCACAGAAATCTACACACACTGTCTGAGGGCTAAGTAAAAGTGACAGAGTGATGGAGACTGATAGCTCAGATGAGTTTCAGCCTGTTTCTCTGTCACAACGTAGGAACTCTGCTTCATGTTGAACAGCAGAGGAAGTCATTCTGACTGTGTTTCTTCCTCCAGGGTGGACCATGGTGGAGAGCAGAGGTTAAAACCTGGTCTGAAGAAGTGTAAGTGTGGAATCAGTTTGCCTCATGATGACCAAACAACAGACTGTCAGCTAACAAAGAAGAAAGACTTCGTGTGTGTATGATGATAACCTGCAGCTGTGTTGTGTCTTTTTCTCTCCGTCAGATTTCTGTGAACTCACACTGGACTCAAACACGGCACACAAAAAGCTCAGACTGTCTGAAAACAACAGGGAGGTGACATGTGTGGAACAGGATCACTCATATCCTGATCATCCAGACAGATTTGACTGTTTGACTCAGCTTCTGTGTAGAGATGGTCTGACTGGTCACTGTTACTGGGAGGTTGAGGGGAGAGGAATGGTTAATATATCAGTGAGTTACAGAGGAATCAGAAGGAAAGTAGACAGTGACGACTGTGAGTTTGGATATAATGATCAGTCCTGGAGTCTGATCAGCTATAAAGGAGCTTACTCTATCTGTCACAATAACAGAAGAACAGACCTCTGTCTCCCCTCGTCCTCTGTCTCTCACAGAGTAGCAGTGTATGTGGACTGGCCTGCTGGCACTCTGTCCTTCTACAGCGTCTCCGCTGACACGCTGATCCACCTCCACACCTTCAACACCACCTTCACTCAACCCCTCTATCCTGGGTTTAGGTTGTGGCCTAGGTCCTCAGTGTGTTTGTGTTCTGTGTAGAAGAGAGGGTCTCCTCCTCTCTACAAAAACACCACAAACAGGAGCTGAAGAACAGTTCACCCTTTGTACAAATATAAGCTTCAGCTGATTGTTTGACTGTTTGTATCCTGTCACGTCATTGTGAATGTCTTAGTTGTAAGTAGTATTCTTACTAAGTGATATATCATGCTTTTAGATAAAGGGAAGAGGGATTATTTATGAGGAAACATAGTTAAAGGGATATTCCGGCGTAAAACTAAGTTAGGGTCAAACACACCGTAACACCAAGTTAGACACCCCCTCGAGAGATGAATGTTGCCGACTGCTTGCTTCTCTAGTAATACCAACTTTAGTAACAACCGCACGACAGCAATACACAGCGGTCTGAGGAGCCATAAACAAACCTCAACCAAAACTCCACTCTATAGCCACAAATAATGCTCAGAACAGCACCTAACTTCATCAACAGTACATATAGGGTCCTAGCCACCAAACATTTTTTTAACTTTGCCTAATTTCTTTCACAAAGAGACTAAACACAACTCACCTACTCTCTTCCAGCAGCCGCTTTTTTGTAGCGAGACCTCGGGCCAGTCCATTACGGACTGCTGCGGGGGGACGCAGCTCAAGGAAAAACATTTATGATCATTTCTTCATGGAAATATAATCAGACCGAGACACTAAGGCAGAAGAACTACCGCGTCTGCAGTGCAAAATGATTGATATGATAAGTTATTACTACAAGGAAATGATAAAGAAATGATCATAAATGTTCTTCCTTGAGCTGCGTCACCCCGCTGTAGTCAGTAATGGACTGACCTGAGGTCTCGCTACAAACAAGTGGCTGCTGGAAGAGAGTAGGTGAGTTGTGTTTAGTCTCTTTGCTAAAGGAATCAGGCAGAGTTAAAAAGATGTTTGCAGGCTAGTGCTGTGGTTGGGACCCTTTATGTACTGTTGATAAAGTTAGGTGCTGTTCTGAGCATTATTTGTGGCTATAGAGTGGCATTTTGGTCGAGGTTTGTTTATTGCTCCTGAGATGGCTGTGTATTGCTATCCTGCGGTCGCTACTAAAGTCGGTGTAACTAGAGAAGCAAGGGGTCATCTCTTGGGGGGTCTCTTGGGGGGGGGGGTGTCTAACTTGGTGTTTGATTCTAAATTAACTTTAAGGCATGTACAGATTAAGTAAAATCAGGCCCCCTCCTACATCTGCACCCTGCTCCACCGCCACAATCCCCCCCGCAACCTCCGCTCCTCCAATGCCAACTTCCTGTTCCCACCCCTCCGAATGACTCATCGATCCTGGGGGGACAGGGCCTTTTCCATTGCCGCACCCTCCCTCTGGAACTCTCTCCTCGAACCACCCACCTTTTAAAAATTTGCCTTTAACATGTGACTATTTTACTTATTTATATTTATTTATCCTATCTTATTGCTATATTCAAATTGTGTGCTTTATGTAAAGTGTCTATGAGTACCTTGAAAAGCGCTTTACAAATAAAATGAATTATTATTATTATTAGGAAGTGGTTATCACTCTATCCACATGAGGATGCCAAAACTACACATACAGAAAGTTGCTTTAAGAATAAATATACCCTGAGAGAGATATTTAAATATGATTTAAGTAAGGAGGAGTGATTTTTTTTAATTGTTTTATTCAGACAAAAACACAAGCCTAAAATACATTATCATCATCATCATCAACGGCTCTGAAAAATAAAACTATGGTCTCCAACAAAATCAAACAGTTCTGACAGATTGGAAAGTGCATCAGTGAATTGAAACAACGTGATCAGCTTGAAAAGAAAAGTAATCACAGCGTGTTTGTTGAGTCCTGAGGACTTTTCACAAAAATGTAGAATATCACAAATTCAGTCCAGGTGATCCTGAACAGACTGACTACAGAGGAGGAAAGAGCTGTGAGCGCCACAGATCATTGATTCACTACTAACCACAAGACACGACAGTTCACATTTAAATTAAAATATGTAAAAACAGATTCAGTCTGTGATGAGACTTTTTTTCTGCAGATTAACCAGGACTGAGAGACTTTGCATGTGATTCACCGGAGGGTCCTTCAGAAGTCTGATCAGATCTTTGGTTGGATGTTATTCATCTGCAAAATTTTAGCATTAAGTTGTCACCACAGATATACTGGCTGAAGGCAGCTTTAATGTAAAACATATTAGTGTGTAAAGAACTACAATCCCCACAGGTTTCTGCTTCATGAAGTGACAGTCTGACCTTATTTTATTTACGCATTTATTTTTGTTCAAGATGTAATTTGATATAAACACAAACATGATCTGAAGAAATTCCCTTACTGTTTGGAGGAGAAAGTCATTTGAGTAAAAATATCACATATAGACAGTTTTTCCATTCTTCATCATAATTACAAGCTCACTGATCAAATAAAACCTTAAATTAGAATTCAAAAGTTCTAAAATCAATCCTGTAAAAGCTGAAACTGATCCAGGTGAATTATTTGGTGGATTTCTTGTCTCTCTCTCTCTCAAATTAGCTCTTCCTTTTTTCCCTTTAGGAAGTTTATCGACCAGTTCAATTTACAAAGCTGGAGAGATAGTTTGTTTATAGAAGACTTGTGTTCCCCAACATATAAAATGTGTTTCTATCAATAAAGCTGATCACTAAATATGAAATGTTCAAGATACAAAAGTTCAAAACCCAAACAAGAAATCAATATGACTTCCAAACAGATTCAAAACAAAAAAGTTAGAAATTAAAAAAATCCTACATTAAAAAAAGGTGCTATCAAGTTAATCGAAGTACAGGAGAAAAAAATCTAAATTAAAGTTGTTTGATCATTTGATTTCAGTAATTATATCTGTAGATGTTTGGTTAGATTAAGGCTTCACTGACGCCACTAACAATCCTAAGAAATCACTTAAATTTATGTAAAATTTTTCTCTAAAGTATTCTCTGACATAACAGTCAGCGTCGCTCCGGTTCCCTTGACGAAAAAAAAAGCCAGATTATTTGTCTGAATGTGGATTTACAACAAAAAAATAAGTTCTTTGGCGTATAAAAGTCAATAAAATCTGATATATGGGATGGTTCTTGACCTCTTTTTCTACAGCACTCGATGCATTTATTCAACACTATTTGCTAAGGAGCTGATGTTCGCTTTGTCAAATTGAAAATTAAGAAATTACAGCCAACTACAGAGCCTCCAAAGGGGATCATTTCTACCTTGTGCATTCCGGTCACTGACTTGATTCATACTTATACCACAAATAGGAGGGTAAAAAACAGATTTAACAGAATTGTCTTCATGAACCTAACTTTGTTTGATCAGTAACTGATCTCATTAGATGATTTATTATTATTAAGAAATATTTGGGTTTACAAACCGGCACTTATTTCAGAGACACAAACAGCAGTTAAAGGGGCACAGACATGAGGAGGATCGTAATAGACAAAATATATCCTGTAACTTTATGTAGTTTAACAGTATAGCATAGCTTAAGGCAGCCAATGTGATTCATAACAACCTTCCTGTAACAGTTCACTGCAAGCTCAAAGAATAGCGGTGCGAATTACTTCATTTACCGAACAACCATGCCGGGTTGGTACAAAAACAAATAGCACTAAAATTACCGTACTAAACCGTAACAAACTGTACTAGACCAAGTAGGAGTAGAAACACAAAACGACCGTTAAACTGAGACAAATAGCTTGACACGAGAGCCCTTTGCTGGCTTTCAGTGATGGTCCTTCTATCACAGTATGACTGTGGTGTGAATGTAAACAGTGTAAAAAAAAAGTGCGTGAAGTGACTGGAAAAATTAAAAAGGCGCATTATAAGTAGATGTCCATTTACAATACATGATTTACCCGACTGCTTCCTCAAAGCCTGTATGTACAGCATAAAAATGATCTCATTTGGAGGACTGAAGGAGCTCGGTAGTTGACCAACTGAGTTTCCTTTAAATTTGCTCTGACAGAACAGAAAGTAATGGTTATTTTTGTTTCCTATTTAAATCTATAGTAAAGTAAACTCAGGGATATTTGTTTAGGCTCTGTCAGTATAGGCACTCATAGAGGATAAAACAACCATATTTTGTGTCTTTTGAGAAACTTAACCTGGTGCTCTTTTCTTTAGGATCACATTAACTCTTCTATCCTTCAAATATTCCTTAAGTCTTGATGTTTTAAAGACTTTTGTGATCTACAAGTATCACCAACAAACTCACATCACATGTTAACCTTTTCACTTTCACTTGTGGTGTATTAACATTTTTCTCTGGGTCAGATTTGTTGAACTGAAGGATTCGTTGCTGCACCTCAAAATGTCAAAAGTTTGGTGGTTTGAATGGTTTGAATGAAACTATTATGTGACAGTAGCCTGTTGATTACTACCTGAGGGCTTCAAAATTCATTTTATTTGTTTGTTATCACAGGAGAATCTTAATTTGAACATACCTGGTGTTTAGTTCACCTGGTTTTAGTGACAGGCTCTGTAATTGGACTGACGCTTTTGATCAATAATAGATAAAATGTTTTGTTTCTCAAGCACAAATAGAAAAATGTGCCTTTAACTTTTATGAAACTTGACTTACATTTTCTATAATTAATAACTTAAATGAACTAATTGCATTATGGATAATTGAGGGTACTAAAGAGTAACTACTGTTTGTGAAAGGGATGAAAAAATGATGTTTTATGCTCAATTTATTGGGAAAACTCAAGTGGGAATGCGGATGGTTTTCCAAAGAATTAGGTAGATGAGTTAGGAAACATTTTGACCTATAGCAATGAAATGTCGCAGATAAAACACTAATAATCTGAGGAGGACTTTAGATTGAAGTCTGATAAAATTGTCCTTTCTCCCTAACGTAACCAGAGTGATGAAACCCTGTGTGTCTGTTAAATTGGCTCAGCTTCATATTTGTATTTATGTCTATGCCAACAACTCCTGTGTAACGCCAAATTCCCAACACATTACAGCCGCCTTTGGACCACATAAAAGCAGCAAAACAAAATCGAGGCACCTTGTATTTTAACAAGTATATAAAAAAACGTCTTGTTCACTGGCTACTGTGTGGATTAGTGATATGAAAGTCTCACAAAAAAGAAAAACAATCAAAAAACTACGAGAACCGGGTCATTTTTTTGAAATGGATATGACTGACATTCAGTGCTCGTAATCTCATGAAATGTGAGTAAATGGCTTGGGCGTCTTAATCCATCCTGAATAATTTGGCTTCCCTGCACATCAACCTGCAAAACTCATGAAACAACAGCCCGAACTTGAAGCTTTACAGGCGGGTCCTGCACCCAAAGAGGCCTCCTGTCTCCACCTACTCCTACAATATGACCCCACCTGCTCCCTTCTCCATCCGTCTACAGAGAAACTGGCTCAGGAGGCCTAAAATCAAGGCAACAACAGCAGGAAAGGCTGAATACAAACAACAACACAGCCCCTCTTCCTCCTCTGTCCGTCTTCTCCTCGTCCCTGTCTGCTCCTCCTCTTATTTCATCTTCTGTCGGAGTCTGCTGAGCCGCCAGCTGTGGCTGGTAAACATCTGCCGAGGGTCAAATTTATAACTGAGGAAACAAAAAAAAGGAAGATGATGACTGTGTTAGAAAAGTAAATGTAAGTGATTATCTGCATTTATTTATTTTTTTCTGTTCGTGATTTCTAAACATTTCCTAAGGTGTTTACCATGATGAGTTTTTTTTTAATATCTGCAGAATTTAACTGACCTTGGATCGTACACGCCAGGTGTCCGACATGACTGTGCGGCGCAGGACTGCAGCATCATCAGCCGGTGGTTCATCTTCTCCAGAACCTCCTGGTCAATGGTCTTTGCGATGTTTGTTAGCTGAAAGGGGTCTGCAGTCACGTTGTAGACTTCTACAAACACCTGCATGGGAAACAGGTAGGCCACAGTCAGACACTGTGATAGTTCCTAATTCTGTCACTAGATGGCATCATGACAAGGCAATGTTGTTTTTATGATCACAGGAAGCCAAAACTGTCTCTGAAATTGAAATCACTTCTCACCTCGTTATCATCAAACTCGCAGTACTGCAGGTCTTCAGAGGGGGCGACTGTGCGCACACAGGCGTAGGTGTTGTTGTAAGAGTCCTCACACACACAGTCTGGGAAACACTCCTGCAGAAATAAATGAAAGTGAGTACGTTAGAAAATCATCCAGCTACTCTCCCTCTTACTGATGATATTAACGTTTGAGCTCATACCGACACTCCTGGTCCCAGCAGAGGGCAGGATGGGTCTGTTACGTTCCTTCCCTCTCCTTCATACTCCACTAAGATGTCCGTCCTCCAGCTGCTGCTGTTCATCTGCCCCTCCTGGTGATGGAGACACAAACATTAAAAATAACAGTCATATTTATTTGGTTACAGATGACATTAGTGATCCTCTACTATTTTTTATTTTTATTTTCTATTTTTTTATTTCTATTTTCACAGTTTTGTCTTTGTTTTTGTTCAATCATATTTGAAATAGACAACTTAAAATTCATTTTTACTTTATATAGAATATTTATGCATTTTTTTTTATATCTGTAAAGCACTGAGTATAAACTTTCATATTCATAAAGCACTGAGAAGTACATGAAACTTTTTAAATTCAGCTTGGTGTTAAAGGTGCAGTTCGTAGTATTCAGCGGCGATTACAGAAACAGACTTGGTAGAAATGGAACATTAAAATTACAGGGATGTTTAAATTAGTGTAAAATCCCCTGAATATCTAAATACATATATATTTCGTTTTTCTGAACTTATATAAGAAATGAGTTAAAAGATGTGAAGCTCAATCTCACCATAATCGGCAGGAAAGACATGCCGTCCATCTGCGTTCTGTTGACGTCGTAGCCGGCGATGTCCAGAATGGTCGGGCCGAGGTCTACGTTTGCCACCAGCAGCTGTGGACAAAAAGAGCCAAATATGTCAGCTTAGAGCGGGACTTATTTTTTCACCATTATAGTCAGTCACATTAATGTTCTGTCAGTGTTTTCCACAAGTAAACAACTCCACAGTTTTGCCTTTGAATCAAATTGGTTAAACTGGACAGATTTAGTCCACCAGAACAGAAACCGGTGATTTGACTCGTATAGGAATTACAGGCTAAATCGTTCTTTGGTGGAGTTTTGTAAAGTAAGGCATTGGCCACTATGACTTAGACCAATGCAGAAAAAAACAGGCTTTAAACATGCAGGTTGGTGTGTGTGTGTGTGTATGTGTGTGTGTGCGTTCATACCTCGTTTGTCTGGTTGGGCTTGATATTCGGTCCTCTGACCATGAGAGGAACTCTGATGTCAAACTCGTAGAGCTGCCGTTTATCAAGAGGAAGAGAGAACTGACCTAAAACATAAAAGTCAAACAGACACTGTCAGTTTTTCTTTAAATGTTCATGAAACCTCCTCTGTTTGAATAATTTCACTCTGTTCTGTATCAGTAAGACAAACACAGCAGGAGGAGGACTTAAACCTCCCAGTCCACACTGAGTGGGTTCTCCACTCAGTGTGGACTTTGTGCCTGATCACACCGAGCCCATAAATCCCTCCAACAATGCTTGAATCACTTGTTTCGTCTTAATTTTTGCATTCTTCACAGTCTGTTCAGAAGTATAGATACCTTTTTATTTGACATCAGATCCATATTAATAAAAAGTTACGTGTGTGTGCGGTTAGATACCTGTGTGGTAGCCGTTGTCGGAGGTAAAGAAGACGTATGTGTTGTCCAGTTCACCTCTGACATCCAACCTTTTCACTATTTTCTCCACCAGGTCATCCACTGACAGTAAAGTTCTCCACCTGCATTCAAAACACATTCAATCAGGTAAAAACCTTCACTTCTTATCAACTAATTTCAAAGAAAATAACAGACAAAAGGTCCTTTGTCCTGGAAAAGTCGTCAAAAGATGAAGTTCATGACGGCGGACCAGTAAAATCAAGAGTTTAAAAGGAGGAAGAGAGGCAGCAGAGACTGACCGATTCCTGAAAGCATTGTCCAGAAACTGGATGGAGGAGTTGGTCATGGGGGTCTTAGCCTGTCTGATGAGCCAGTGTTTGTCCTGAGGAGAAGAGGTGAAGAATACAAAAGTAAACAAACTAACTCCACTGAAATAACATACAGTGAGTTTATTTAAATATTTTTGTGTCTTGACAGGATATCAGAGTCGTCCAGTTTTCATATCATAAGGTCAGAGAGAAGTCGTACCTTCCCGTGGACGTTAAAGTTTGGGTCTCTGGGAGCTTTTGTATCGTTGTAGCTGTTCTGGTACTGAGGAGCCGCCGTCCACGGGGAGTGTGGCGCCGGCGTGGAGACCATCATAAAGAACGGCTGGTAATTTGATTTATACATGAGGAAGTCCAGGGACATGTTGGCCTGAGAGAGACAGACACAGAGAGAGAGAGAGAAAGAGGGAACAGAGAAGGTCTTATAAAAACATGATGTAATCTGTAAAATCAAGATCATAAAAAGTTACTGACTCACTCACTAAAGCACTCAGCACTAAATTTCACTCACAAAGAGGTATTCAGAAGAGATCACTTTATGACACGCTGTAAATTGTACAATTATAGTCATTTTTTACAACCCTAAAACTCATTTCAACAACATCAGTGTAGCATTAAAATCAATTGACTGAGGAGCCTCACCAGGACGTCAGTCAGGTAGTCCTTGCTGTAGTCCGCTCCATGTATTTGAGGTTTTCCATCCACTGACAGAGTGTAGTTATAATATTTAGAGTTCTTCTCCTGCAAAAAAACAAAAACAAAACACAAACAGCTCTTCTTAAATACTTTCTCCTCTTACTTTTACAGTAGACGTTCCCTCTTTCCACCTCAGATGTTTTCTGATACATGAGAAGTTTTCTTGCTTGAATTACAGGAGGACAAATTCCCAAATATATAGCATGTTATACATTATAAAACTAATCAGATATTCACCTTGCTTTGCTAATGCACGCAGCTATTATAATCCATTTCTGATAATATTTGAATTTACTAGAGAAGACATGATCGTCATGCTTTTATTTTGATATTTGTCTGTCTTGCCCTTAGGTTGCTTTATTTCTAACATTGTAAACTGAGCTTTTATTTTGAAATATATAACTTCTTAGTCACATAACTGGGAGAAAATGGTTAAAGCAGTGGATAGAAAGTATGAATATTAGGGCCCGACCAATATGGATTTCTTGGGGCCGCTGTTTATTCTACCGTTACTGGCACGGCTAACAGTGTAGCAAGGCTAATAGCAGGTGGCTAACTCTAATGCTAGCTTGCGTATATTACATGGCGCTTCACCGTTAACTCAGCGTGACCGAGACAACACAGCGGGGAACATCGTTAAGTGGGTTGAACTGAAGCTAACATTTTTGAACATTTTCACTACATGTTTCTAAAAAGTAACAGTAAAATCTCAGACTGAGTGCAGGCAGTCTTTTTTGTAGCTTCATTTCTAACCTCGAGAAGGTGTGGTGTTTATCATGTGGGCTCTGGCATGCTTTCTCTGACTGTTATGAACGGCGCTTATTTGTGTTGCAAAGGTTAAATTCAGAAGCGTCACATGAACATGAGCTCCTTCGCTCTTTATGTGGGTGTGTTACAGAGTTCATACTGTGTCTGTGTAAAGAAGTAAGTCAGGCAGTTCTCTCAGTTTTTCCAATGAAAGGTGTAGTGGTTTAGCCTTATCTCAAATATAGTGGCACCTTTGAGACTAATAGGTGTTGTTTGCCCAAAATCAAGTCTGAAGGAGGGTCTGGGGGTTTTAAAGGTAAAGAAGAATGACGACTGATCCATTTGTCGTCACAGCTTCACTGTAATGCAACAGCAGATATCTGCATGAGTCTCTCTGTGTTACCAAGAGCTGTCAGGTCATGAGATCCGCTCTCACATCTGTGTTTGTTCAGCAGCACTGAAGATAAACTGTTCTGCACCACAGATATGACCTCCAAGTAATAACTTCTGTCATGCAGTCAGAGGAGTACAGTAAATTCTGAGTAATCTTATTTTAGCCTTCGTTAGTCTGGCTCCTTCTGCAGGGAGACTGTAGTCACATGACCACATCAGCTTCATGCTGATAAATGACTGAACTCAGATCAACCTCACCACACAGGGGTCAGTCAGCTCAAACCGCTTATGCAAACTTTTTAATGTTCAGGAAAAAACAGAAAATATGCTGGAAAAGAAAGTTCCATTATCAGGAAAGGCTTTCTTTTAAACTTTCAAAGAACCTCTGAAACTACCCAAAAGGAGTGATTAGAGGAGAAATAACTGACAAGTAGAGTCTGATAAAATACCATAACTGGCACTAAAGTTTCCATCTGGAGTATTTTGTGCTCCTTAGAAAGTGCGACACATTTCCACGAGTTCAACAGTGAGCTGCAGTAAATTCCTGGAACAAGCTGAGCTGGTTTTAATTAGTAAGACGTTAACATTTCTGCTAGCAGGACCACTTCAATAGCTGAAGGCTTAATTCTCCAAAACTGAGCAGTGATATCAGAGGGAAAAAAGGAGCCTGGGGTAAATTTGAGGCTGAGAGGGTTTAACAGCATGGTGTGGTCTTACCAGTCCGACCCAGTAACTCCAGCCTGGAGGCACATGCTCCATCCCGCCGGCGTCTGAGTGACCGTACTGGAACACACAAACAGATTTATGAGCGTGTTTAATGACGTAAACACAGATTTAGATGCAAGAGAGGGAAACTTGTTGTTACAGCTGAAATAAAGAGAGAACATGACGCAGATAAAAAGAGGAAAAAAAACACTAGTTCTGGTCAAAACTCCATATCAAAAGTGGAGCAACATCTTGTCCCGCAAGCCAAAAATCAAACATCCACGATCCAAAAAACATTTGAATATTGTGGAAAAGTCCAGGTTGGATTTTTGAGCTGCACTTGTATGTATTTGAAGGTGTGTCGATTGCAAAGCTCTGATTCTCCTGCAGAAGTCCATCACAACTTTTCTAATGTCACCTTCTCTGGGTATGTCCAGTTTAATGTGAATGATAGCACATCTGTCATAAAGCAGAATATGTCATGCATTAAACTAGTGATTAAAAAAATCCCTTTGAGGATCATGGATGATGCATTTAATGGCTGCACAGCTCACAGACTGATTTATTTTAGTCCAGAGGAATAATTTACTGTCTGAAACTGCCGTCAAAAAAAGGAAAACATCGCTCAAGTTAAACTCCTTAAATCCATATCTCCATGCTGAGGACCTTGTATTTGTTGACCTGAGATAAAGAATTGAATTTAGGGATCTTTTGGAGGTGTCACAAGTTAGAAAGTTTCAAAACAATGAGATAAAGAGAAAAGAGAGGCTGAGGAGAGACAGGGTTCAGGGTCATTGTTTCCCATTTTCCCGTGGACCTATTTTGTAAATACAGGACGTTTTAATGGCTGTGCATACATCCCAAACTATTTCCAAATACATCAGCTGTCAAGTGTCAATAATGAAGCTTTAACTTTAAATCTCTGTATTCAGATATCTGCGTTTATGTGCAGCAAACAAGGCTTCATTAATATAGATGTCTTTGTCACTGACCTGGTTGAGGTATTTCCCAGCAAAGAAGGTCTGGTATCCGTGATTCTTCAGTATGGCTGGAAAGGTGTGAGCTTCCTCGCTCTTCTGCCAGGCTTTGCTGCTGCAGTTCCCCTCTATTGTGTTATTGATGACGTGGTGGTTGTGGGGGTACTTCCCTGTCAGGATGCTGGCACGACTGGGACAGCAGAGTGGACTCGCAACAAACTGAAGGGTTAGGGTAAAATAAAACAGACGAGGGATAGATAATGGCTTTAAATCAGATCCTTTTACTCCTTTTAATCCTCTGAATACCAGCTGATCAGACATGATGCATCATTAAAAGAGTTGGTCATAATGACTCTACTTACCGCATTTGTAAACGATATTCCCGCATCACCAATTAGTTTCTTTGTCTTCTTGAGTGGATTCTGGAAGGAGCAGATTTAGTGCAGTGAGACCTTTACTTAGTGAAACAAAGAATAGATCACAGCTAATGAATATCCCCCTGGAGCTGGACGATTAATTGGGTTTCAATTACAATTATGGCTTCCCTTGATCATAAAAATATAATAATCCATACTAAACGTTTTGGGCTGCCTGCTGTGTCTCACTCATTTTTTCCTATATGGTAAACAAAGCACACTCTCTTTTTCTTCATAAAAAGCGGAGTGTGGAAGTCCGCCCCTCCCCTCATACAGCTCTCTCTTTTCTGTCCTCATTACGAGCTAAAATCAGCGTGCAACACCGTTCAGTTTTTGCCCTAATGAAGCAGCCTTATATCTTAAAAAAACATACGACACCATCAGCGATGAGACTGGTCATATTTTTGTTGAAATCTTTAATGCCTAAACCGGTGAGAGGGGGTATGTGCCAACCTAGCAGCTGAATAAACAGCTCTATCACACTGACAATAAACATTACATACCATGCAGCAGGATTATAAACTCTCCTTTTTCAAGTTATATATTGATAAAGTGACTTGATGGGATGTTAAAGGGATATTCCGGCGTAAAATTAAGTTAGGGTCAAACCCACTGCAACACCGAGTTAGACACCCCGTCGAGAGATGAATGTTGCCGACCGTTTGCTTCTCCAGTTATACCAACTTTAGTAACAACCACAGATAGCAATACAAAGAGCCACACGCTCAACCAAACGCCACTCTATAGCCACAAATAAGGCTCAGAACAGCACCTGACTTCATCAACAGTACATATAGGGTCCTAGCCATAGTACTAGCCACCAAACATAGCAAAGAGACTAAACACAACTCACCTACTCTCTTCCAGCAGCCGAGACCTCGGGCCAGTCCATTGTGCAGTCCATTATGGAGTGCTGAGGGGTTATGCAACTCAAGGAAGAACATTTATGATCATTTCTTCATAGAAATGCAATCAGACGGAGACGCTAAGGCAGAAGAACTACCGCGTCTGCAGTGCAAAATGATTAATATGGTGATTATTACTTCATGGAAATGATAAAGAAATGATCATAAATGTTCTTCCTTGAGCTGCGTCACCCCGCTGCAGTCTGTAATGGACTGGCCAGAGGTCTCGCTACAAACAAGCGGCTGCTGGAAGAGAGTAGGTGAGTTGTGTTTAGTCTCTTTGCTAAAGAAATCAGGCAAAGCTGTATGTATTGTTGATGAAGTTAGGTGCTGTTCTGAGCATTATTTGTGGCTATGGAATGGCGTTTTGGTTGAGTGTGTGGCTCTCTGTATTACTATCGTGCGGTCATTACTAAAGTTGGTATAACTAGAGAAGCAAGCAGTCGGCAACATTCATCTCTCAAGGGGGTGTCTAATTCTGTGTTGCAATAAGTTTTACCCTAAATTAATTTAACACCATAATATCCCTTTAATAGCCGTTTTTAGCAACTTACTCTGAAACAAGTGAACTTGAATGAGATGGACATAGTAGTTTATGTATTTACTTTTTGCTGTTGTTCTATGGATTGAAAATGCTATGATTGATAAGTAAAATGTGATCAGTTAATTTACATACTTGATCTCTGTTTATCAAGACTTTACGGGCATCAGAAAAGCTAAAGGTTATTCACCATTCTCCATCTTGAACTGTGCATACTTTGGTGTAGGATTATGCTCTTAAATCTCCAGATTTCAGAGGGAATTGGGTTTATTATCGCTTCAGGAAAGAGGGAGGTAGGCGGGTCTGTTTTCTGTGTAACTGGGAGCAGACTGAACAAGTGATCAGGCTGCTGACTGTGTGAGATGCCTGAATGATGTGTCCAACCAGGAGGAATGTCAGCGGTCAGCTCGATCACGACGGACTAAATGTCAAGTTTAATTTAGTTAATCACGTTTTTCTCCAAAGATAGGTGCTGTAACAGAGCTGTAAATACACAGTCACGACTCTCCGGTGATCCTTTAAAACATGAAGCACATGTAAAAAAGACGATAAAACACAATAATTCACTTACCAGACCTCCTATAGCGATGTCTAAGTCGTCAGTTAGGATCAAAACAATGTTAGGTCTCCGGTATGATGCTGCAAATACCCCGCTGCTCAGGTGGCTCCATAAAGTGACGCAGATAAGGACACAAGTGAACAAACTAAACAAACAAGAGCGTTTAGAGCCCATTTTTATAACCTAATCTAAAACGACGGAAGATTTCCGCCTCTTCCCTCTCCTCGGTGTCTTTTAAGAGCGTGGAAATGATCAGTGAGTCCACCTCCGAAGGAAAAAAAAAAACACAACAAGAACAGACTCGGCCCTGTTTCTGATAGAGACAACACTTCCTTGTTTCCTGGTCATGTGTCGCTCGGCTACGGAAGCCCGAGTCAGCTGATTGGAAGACGTGACGCCCCCAGCATGACTAATCACTAAACATAACAAACTGTCAATCTCACACAGAAACTGTTAATAATAATAATAATAATAATAGGGGGAGAAAAGAATTGATTGGTTATGTTGAATATATGAACTATAGTTCTACTGAACATGATTATTTATGTAGACAGGGCTGTGTTGATGAATTTATTTGTGTATTTACTTTAAATTAGTATAATACCAATTTTTTTATTGTGTGCATTGTATTTATATTGTCATAAACATTTTTCTTTTTTAAAATTTTATTCTGATTTTTGTTGTACATACTTGCATATATAATACATATATTTTTTTTCTTTTTCTTTTTTTTCTCTCTTGCTTTTTTCTTCCCATGTTTATTTATTTCACTACTCGAGGCTAAATCAAATAGTGTTACTATTTTATTACCATAAATACTTTAAGGTTACCCTTTCCCGAAATACAGATAAGAAAAAAAAAGTATGAATATGATTTTGATACTAAACAGACCGACGAACCTGCCACGCTATGGTACACTTTGAGTGTTATTTATTTATGTATGCACTTATTTACTTTAAACAAAAAACAAAAAAACTTTCTCTTTTTTCTGCTTCATCCTGAATTTATGTGTATGTGTTGGTATGATTTATGTTTGATCACAAGAAAATAAAACTAAATATTAGGTTGAAAAAAAAATCCCTATTTCTAAGCACATTTATGTAAAAGAAAAAAGAAAAAATGGTAATAGATTGAAAAGTGGAATTGGTTAAGGGACAAAATTTTCAATGGTTTCCAAAGTTCAGTGGTACTCATAACTTAAAGCTCCTGTAAGGACTTTTTCGATGCTTATGAAATAGACTAAAATAGATATTAATGCCCTTTTGTGATGTATAAAAAGCAAACAAGAACATCAGATATAAAATTGATGACTGTATATTAAAAACTTTTAATGCCTGAAACCGGCACAGGAGGGTAGGCGTCTGCTTAGCAGTTGGAGAGCCAGTCTTGTTTTTACATTCGTCCACATCAAATATTCACACTAAATAATATATTTGAAAGTTAAAAAGTCAGAGGGGTGAGATTTTGTGTCAGAAGACAAGTATCCAAAATCACTGTTGTAGAAGGTAGAGGGTCTGTTGGTCTTTTTGTTGATAGTCTTGATTGCCTCTAAACACCTTTAAAAAGGTGTCAGTTTCAGTCTGTTACTCAACCAGTTAAAACCTCCTCATTGTGCTTTTAAACTCATTCACAATTTAACAAGTTGTATGATATAAATATTGACCATATTTTGGTGTTTCTTGGGAATAGGGGACAGCGGAGTAAGATGAGCCATTTTTCATATTTTGGATCACACCATCAAGGCAATCATAGGTTTGTCTCTAACTAGTGTATCTGCATATATTTCTGGATGTTGTGCCTCCCTGCAAACCAACAGAATGAGCGTAAACAGAACTGTCTTGATAATATAGCATGCAAAAAAAAGTGGTCTTCTATGGTCAACTTACCCCGTGTATGGGGTAAGTTGACCATAGGAGCGGGGTAAGTTGAGCTGTATCCCTACTAACCCCTACTCTCCACCCCAGCCCTCTCTCACCTTCTCTCTCCCTAAATAACAGTCACTTCTTTACATTCATGCGTATTTTTATCTATTATACGCTATTCAACTGGTACAATAATTATTTTTGTTATGATTGCATATAACTGCTAAAAAGCTGTTTTGTAAAAGGTCATTTTAACATGAGAATGCCTTTAAGTGATTCAGAATATTCACAGCTGTATTTTTGAAAAGAAGAGTAACACATTTCAACAATCTGAACTAAAACTCTGATCCTCTCATCAGACTCCTTTAAATTCTTAGTTCGGCCAAATGGCTCAACTTACCCCAGAACTACTATGATGACTTTATTAGTCCTCTAAACTAAAATGGTGGACTTTAATGCTCTGTTTTTGACCTCATGTTGTAGCTCATAGATACCATAATTGATGTACAGAATAAATTTAAATGATCTTTTTTGGTCTGAACATTATTCTAATGAAACTTATGACAGACTAAATTCACTTTCAAGAGTGAAAAATGTTGTTTTTGGAAATAAATATCTAACCTCTTCACCCATGTGCCTCTAACCTTCACAGACTCCATGAATTGATGCCCATCTCCTAAATATTTGGTCACATGATCAATTTCTTTTACCATTTAACAAGCAACAGGGGGTGGCTCAACTTACCCCACTCTCCCCTACTATATTTTTTATATTTTACTGTTTTACTTTGCAGTTTCCAGTAAAATCTACAGCCCAGATTCAGCCCAGCTACTGTAATATAATCAAGACAAACCGTGTTATATGTGACACAGGATTTCATACAGAGGCTTTAAAACGTCACGAGTGTAGCTTCCGGATAAGACATCTGATTGGACGAGGCACTTTTGACTCCTTCTGTGATTGGTCCGCCGCCTCTGCTCCTGCTACACCTGTCGCGCGACCTGGCCAAAGTTTGGCAGCCGTTGGGAAGTTTGACAGAGTGGGCTGGTCCATTGTTGAGTCCTGGAGGAGGGGGGGCAGGATAATCGAATCCGGAACATACAGGAAGGAAACAAAAAGCTGTCAGACAGGTCTCTACCTTCCCGAGGAGAGGAATGGAGCGCTCCAGCAGCTCTATCCTCCTCGAGACGCTCAAAGAAAAGTTTAAAACTTCGGTTTTGCTCTAAATTTGAGGAAAAAACTAATAAAACAGTGAGAGTGAGTTCACAGCTGGTTGAAGAAATGGCGTCTGAGGTGAAATTAAACGGGGATGAACTTTTGGAAGTTGACATATGCGACGGTGGCGTGTGTTCAGAAGAAGAAAGCGGCGTTTTTGTGAACTCGGTCACGTCCCTGCAGGAGGATTTCTCGGCTCTTCATCAGTGGAAAACTCGCTCCGACATCCCTAATGACACATCATCACCTCTGGCACAGCGGCAGCTCATTGGCACCGACACTGCCGCCCATAGGACCAACGGAGCCGCCGACAGCAGCGACTCTGAATCCCATGGAGGTGGAGGAAAGTGTCCGAGGACTTCCATAGTGGACTGTCTTCTGGTGGAGCTCTATGAGCACTACAGTGGAGGCGGCAGGAGAAACATGGACAGCTGGGACAGCTCCACCGAGGCGTCTGGATCTGACGCTTTCCTGGGCCGCAGTAACTCCGGGTCCAGTTTCCTGCTGGAGCTCCAACAGAAACACACCCGGAGACACCAGATGAACTACCTGGCTCAGAAAGGTGAGGGCTGGAGATGATCAGATTCATAAGGAGAGGTTTTACTTCTTTGAAGTTACATCTATTTATTCAGATTCAATGTGGTGCTTGAGAGATCTGTGACTTTTTAGGATGATTTAAAGCTCCTGTAAAGAGTGTTTTTTTTCTTCTTCTGGTAGTTAAAAAGACTTAAATTGATACTGATGCCTTTGAGTGACCAAAGCAAACAAAAAAAAGTCTATTTATTATGTCTTTGAGTTGTTGTTTTTTTGGTCATAAATGCCTGTTGGGGGTAGCAGTCAGAACAGCGTTTGTTTACATTTTCAGCAGTAAAAGGTCTTGATGAATTTGACTGTAAAAACAAAACAATTTTACATAGGTAGGAGAAAAAAATAGCATAAACATATGCTGTTTGTCTAAAATTTTTAACAAAATAATCAAAAATGTGTAAAAATGAATGGTTAAAATGAATGAAAGCACTAAAAGTTGTGATAGAACTTCGAAAAGTGAATGGTTGACATATTAGATAAAGTGTTAAAAAGAACAGAACAATAAAAGCAACATCAAGATCCATGAATTAGCATAAAAATAAAAGCCATGCAGTTCTGCTATTGGAAAATTTTCAAACTAGCCATGCAGCATGTGGCATAGTAGCTTTGAAGAATGACTGACAGGGAACAAAAAACTGGTTTAAATGAGTTTTATTAGATGAGGAATTTGTCGTGTAGCACAGATTTGACCACAAAATCATTGAAATTATGCACTACATACAATTAAAGGCCTCTTTCTTAAAGGCTTTGCTGTCGCCTAACCCCTTGCACCAGTTTCAGACATTAAAAATGACAGTATTAGAATTGTTACGCTCATCACTAATGGTCTTGTTTGCTTTTGCAGATCATATAAAGGCGTCAAAATGAATTTCAGTCTATTTGATTAATGTGAAAAATTTCACACAGGAGCTTTAAGTTACAGTTGTATGTGTTAAATAAGTGTATTAATGCAGAGGATGCTCAAAAGAAGACACGCACAGTCTGGATACAACAATTTTTTGTCTCAGTGTTTTTTTCTTTTTCTTTTTGTTTGTTTGTTTTTTTACTTTGTTTAGCCTGCTGAAGAAGTGCATCTTGGGTAAATAAGCCCCCACCCCCAGTGGCCATAAGAGTTTGCTTCCTTGTTGAAATTTTAAACTGTGTTTCACTGAGATTAACGAGACAACTTTGTGCACCAGGAACTGTGTTACTTTAAAGTGAGTCAGCGGCACCTTATTACTGAATGAATGTAATACATGTAAACTTAATTATGATATCATGAAAGAAATTACACATTTGCATCAGTTATAAATTGCAGGAGTAGTCATTCCTAGAAAACCCAATGAATGAATGAATGAATCATAAGAAGTGTTGTGTATTTATGGCTTAAGATAACTGATCATTAGTACATGTGCAGTGTTTTCATTTCAGCACAATCATGGAGGCAGAGTGTAAATAATGAAAGGGAAGTCTGATCATTCTCGCACTTTATTGATTTGATGTTGTTCTGTGGTGACTTTTACGCATCTGTTGAGTCTTTGCTGACATAAATATGTGGCTGACATTTCCTCAAAAGTTCAGGATCATAAATAACCAGCAGGAGCTTACTGGCTGGACAGTACGCCTCACAGTATGCAAATCCTCCCATGCACAAACAGAGACAGATAAGAGTGCTGACAGCTTATTTACTGCTCCTCACTCTGTGCTGCAGTGTTGCCCCAGTGTCTGTGAAGGCACGTTACTGTGTGTGCCACGCTGCCATTGTTTCCCCTGTTCAAGTAGAATCCTTCAGTCAACACACGCAGGTCTGAGAGTTCACTGTTTGCCCTTTTTACACACGTGAGGCTCAGTTAAGTTAAACAAAGCAGAGAGCGCCGACATTCAGGAAGAGGAAGTGCTGAGAAAATATCTCACAGAGCAGATAAAACCCTTTAAAACCTTTGGGGAAGGGTCATTAAATGACTTGTGCAGAAGTTTGTGTCAATGTGTTTGGCAGCCATATTTCTTAAACTTTCTTTTTTTTTTTTTTTTTCTGGGATGTAAACATCACAGAGGCAAAAAGTTTTGGAAATGGTCCAGTTTTGGTCCAGCCTGCAGCCATGAAAACCAGCTTAACAGCGACATGACAAAAGTATTCCCACGTATTTGTGCAACAGACAAGCACAGGTATTTTTCAAGTGTCCAAAAAACTCTAAAGCAAGAATCTCTACTGCAAGTTAAATGTTCTTATTAATTATTATTGATCTAAAACAGCCGTAACACCAACTTTCAAAGCTGCCAAACTCCATTGAAATAAACGCAAGTTTTACCGTACAAGTTGGTTTACATGGGAGGATGTTGGCCTACACCTGCTTAAGTTTTTTAGTTTGTTCAGGTAGTTTTGGATGGAGTGCAGTTTGTGTGTTTCGTTTTTTCTCTTCCGTTGAAGAGCATTGTTTGGGCTTTTTATGCCTCTATGAAGAGACAGGGCAGTGAATAATGTGGGACACTGAGGAGAGAGAAAAGAGAATGACATGTAGTAAAGGCCTCAAACCCATGTTACTGCTTTTAGGACTATATTGTACACCGTAGGGGTTGATTATTTTCGATTTTTCAGAGCTGAAAACAATACTGACACTGATAGCAGTAATAACTAAGTCTTTGGACCTAAAATTGATGATTGGAGTCATTAAACATTGACTCTAAAAAGGAAAATCTTTGTCTAAAATTAAAATTTGGAGTATCCCTGTCCACTCAAGTCATGACTGGCAGTCCAGAAAGGACTGTTGACAAAAATTTGGACTAACTGATTTTAAAAATAATAATAATGATAATAATAATAAAAATAAAAATATTAACTTTATTTTTATAGCACTTTTAAAAACTGAAGTTTACAAAGTGCCTTGACATATAGTCATAAAGCACATGGAAAAAGACAGATAAAAACGAAACGCTCAGTTAAAGGCTCAGTGAAGGCCATTTTCATAAGTTATAAGGAACCCAGACAATACAAGAACCATGCAACATGAAATGAGACCATTTTATAGAGTGAAAATGTTGCAGAAAGCAAAATTTTCTTGATGAGTTCCTTGAAATAACACTTAACACTTATTACTCTAAATATCTAATGTGTAATATTTTATTCTAACAATATATTTCATAACCATACCAAACTGAAGTCCCATCTCCTTGGACTCCTTTACTCTAAGATTTCTCAGTCTGAATTTAGCATCACCCAGGGATGACCAAAAATTACAGAATTTTATATTTAAATTAATTCTTCAAACCAATCAGTATTCTCCACATGAACAACCTGTTTAGGCTGGCTATACTCAGAGAGGTACAAGGACACAAAAAGCGACTTGATTACAATACATTAGTAAATGTAATCAGTCACTATCCACTCCTGCGTGTGTGCTACATTCATTTGTAATTTATTCAAAATGTAATGGTATGAAATGAAGAGAAGCAGAAAAGAGCTTTTACCCTCTGAACTCTGTCTCATGGGTTTTTTTCTGACGAGGTTAAAATCAGATTTTCTGCAGCTGAATATGTTTTGTCTCCATTATCATGAGGATGGTGTGTTTGTGTGGTTGTGTGTTTGCGTGTTAGTGTGGGGTGGTGTTCTGGTTTTCATTTGCTCTTTGCCTGCAGCTTCAAAAACAGACAAATGAGTGAGATATTTGGATCCATCAGTGGAGCACAGACCTCACATGTGCTTTCAAAATGTAACAGGCAGCTTTATTCATCAAACATCTTCTCTTTGTAATTCACTGTGATAAATATAATACGTTTTTAGGACCACCTGTGTTAAACTTTAACGTTTTTGTCTTTGTTTCTCTCTGTTTGTTGTTTTTAGACCCACAGGAGCTGCTTTCAATCATCCAAGAAGTGAAATATCGTACAGGCCTGCAGTCAGCCAGGCTACTGCGCCAGCTGAAGAGACGAGACCGACTTAACCACAAACTACAGAAAAACTACGACATCATCACGGCTTGTCTGCAGGCCGTGTCTCAAAAACGACGTAAGAACGCACATTTCTTCTTTTACTTTGAAACCAGCAGAGAGCAGCTCACTCAAACACTTCGACAGGATGTTTTGGTTTTCTAGGATTTTGGATAACAGAGAAGAAAAGCAAAGAAAGAGATTAAAACCCTTTACATACTCATACAAACATACTCAGATAAAAACAGCTCTTTAATTTACATAATAGTTTGCCAAATAAAACCCAAATCACACGATTAAGGCAGAAGTGATGTTTTCATTTTTATATCCCAAATCTCCTTACCAGTTTATTCCTAAACAGCCTGAAAAATGATTTAAATTCACCCGACTGTTCAGTTATGTAAGACATGCTCGGGAACAACAAAATTAATTTGTAGAGATTGTCAGGATGGAGATTATAGTGTAAGCCTCAATCTGATCCATACATGAATGTTAAATATTGTGGATTTACTTATCGAGGACGACTGACTGCAACCTAAAGGGGTTGTAAGGCTTGAAGTTAAATTTGATTGAAGTAGAAGGAAAATTCAAGGCTGGTTTGATTGAAAAGAAGCTTAAGTAAGAGGACTGGAGCTTATTGACATTTCCACAGAAATGAAGATTATTGTTGTGCAGGTAAAGGTAGCAAACCTGGACAATTATATTTGCAGGGAGTAGAGATAAAGCTCCTGTGAGGAGTTTTTATGATTATAAAACAGAATAAATTTTATATTGGTGCCTTTATATGACTTTCAAAGGTAATAAGACGGTGAGAGATACAGCTGCTGATTTTATATTGCAATTTTTAATGCCTGGTGCGAGGGGACACTTGTTGTGTCAGAGGCTTTCTCTCTAGTGTTTACAACATGTCTGTCACCAACGATATCTGTGGTTTCCTTGAAGCCTAATAAGGAATGCACAGTATAATCAGCATTGTATCTGTATTGAATCATAAAAGCATTGACATTGTGTTAAAATGTGAACATTTCGACCTTAAATTATGGCCGAAATTTTAATACAATGTCAACCTTTCAGCAAAGATGCATGCTGATGATATACTTGGATTGATATTGGTATCAGTATTGTTGGTACCAGGTGTGCTCAGATTGACTCGGGGTCCTCTGTCTGCTCAAATTTTGACCCCAAAATACATTTTTTAAAATTTTCTATTGCTGGTGATCACATCAGCCCAGGGCATTATAACACAGTTTATGGTTTACGGTCCTCCACCTGCTAGTACTGCAAAAACACAAGGACAAACGACACCAAAGTATGAAACTTCGTTAAGCCTTAGATGTTCAGTCAATAACAATAGGAAAATGCTAGCGGAAGACCAATGTCCAAGCTGGGAATGACGTCACACCCGAGTTACCAGCGTTTCAGTTACCAAGTCGGAAAAAAGCGAAATTGGAGGTATAAACAAGATGGCTACATCTATGAAAGTTATTTTAGTGCTCGCGATTTTAGTTATTTTAAGTTATTTTAACTACCCCTTTCTTAGATGTAGCCATCTTGTTTCGGCCTCTGATTTTGTTTTTTTCCGACTTGGTAACTGAAATGCTGGTAACTCAGATGTGACGTCATTCCCAGATCGGACATCTGACTTCCGACTTCCCAAACAGTAAAAACAATCAGACTCTTACAAAGTTTAACCCGCGATTGACTAATGAGTGGATTCCTTAGATTCTATTCTTGGTAATGATTTGATGCCTGTTGTTATTCAACTTTCAAGTATTCTTAATAAAGTTTACTTCAATGAAATACATTCACCCTCATAATCGGCTTTTCATTCTCATGTTAAAAGCATTTAGAGCTGTTTGAAGCGGCTCTCTTTCTGTGGTAAATGTCTCTTTGACCTTTTGGAAATGTGATGGGAAAGCTTTGACAAACACATTGATGGCGTTCAGGTCTGCTGTGCATCTGTAGTTATTTAGCTTTAGTTATTTACTGTTCTTTTCTGTCAGTAGGCAGCAGGATTGTAAAATTAAAAGAAATGCCTTCCTTGTTGGAGGTATTTACACACAGGGTTATGACCAGGCTGAGTTAATATTTCCAGTGCAGCTGGTATTTAACACAAACGCTCACGCTGTCTGCACCTGCACATGAAGGCTGTGGTTACCAAAGCAGCTGACAGCATGAACACTTAATTACCTCTCAGTGTTGAATGATTTGATCGTCTCCTCAGCATGTGACATGACACGTGCCTTGAAAAAAGAGATTCATGAAATTTTCTGATGTAATAATTGTTGCAAGGTCATTTATCATGGCACTCTACCACCGGACACGGAGCATGACTGATTCATTTTTCTGCTTCCATCTTGACTGTTTGCTGATATCGATTCAGAGTCATTAAACCTGCATGTGCTCTCATTCAGGAAGCACTCAGAGCAGACTTGCATCAGATTGAGTTGGTCTACTCTTTGATTGCACTCCATTTTTAGCAGGTTGTTTGTTCGAGTACAACATCCAAAATCCCCAGTATTTTCTCCTCTGTACATCTTATCCATCACCTGAAACATAAGCAATGCAGGTTGAGTTTGTTGAATAGCGCAGTGTTAATTTTGTCCCTTTGGAGATAACTGCATTTTACTCTATTTACAAAAACCCAGTGTAAAGATGAGGTAAGACTGAGCCTCATCTTGTCAGATCAGATCCATTCCCAACCCATCTTCAAGCCCATGAATGTAGCACTTTGCAGCAGAGAGGGGAAACTTCCTTTAAAGCTGGGGTAGGCAGGATCTGAGGAAGTCCCAGTTTTTGGGAGAAATCTTGAATGTAAACTCTACCCCCCCCAACCAGTTTTCCCCTCAGTTTCTCCTCTCCCCTCCGTCTCTGCTCCAGAAAAGCCCCGCCCACAAACAGACGCTCCTGCTCGCTCGTATCGTTCCAATTAAATTCAGATATAATGCAGATAAATACTTAAGATAATTACAAATGGAGCCTAGTCAACATGAAAGTAAACAGCATTGGTGCTACTGTAGATGCCAACAGACTACCAGCAAACACAATGTTTGCAGGACTTCTACAACTAGGATGAAGTGACATAGTCCAGGACCCTAAGTAAACAGTTCAGCAGTTACAGCTGTTACAGACATTTGGCGTACTTTGTTAAAGCGGTTTACCTGTCCAGCATAAAGGTTACAGGGTCTGTAAGATCCCGAAGCGTCCCCTATCGTTTTATGTTGACCCGGCTTCTTAGCTCTTGTCTGGTCTACCTCTGTTTTAAGCGTTATTCCACCAGAGTTTCCAGTATTTACTTCGTTTTCTTGCTTGTGTTGGCAGTTGTTGTCAAAGGAGGATTCATACAATTTTCTGTACTTTCTGGTTGGTTTCTACTGTTCGATATTGTAGCACGCTAACTTTGTTTGAGCTCCTGAACGACACAGGGAGCAGCGTCCGCCTCACAACCAATCAGCACTAAGGAGCAGTGGAGCAGGGGAGGCGGGGAATGGCTTTGTTTACAGTCAGTAAGAGCGGAGTGCTCTGAAATTTTAAAATGTTGACTACACAGACATAACAAAACACAGCGATATCATATTACCAAATGTCATCAATGACTAATAGCTATTGACTGATATTAAAAGCTTTTTTCTATACACACCACAAAGAAAGATGCTTCTTTAACGGATTCCTGCCGACCCCACCTTTAACAGGCAGAAACCTCAACCAGAACCAGGGCGGTAGTAGCTCAGGAGGTAGAGTGGTTGTCCAATAGCCGGAAGGTTGGCAGTTTGATTCCCCCCTATCGGAAGTCTGTCCATTGTGTCTTTGGGCAAGACATTTAACCCACCTCTCTCCCAGTGTGTGTCCTCCACTGGTGTATGAATGTGAGTGTTGTGTTCTGGTGGTCAGAGAGGCAGTAGGCGCAAACTGGCAGCCACGTTTCCGTCAGTCTGCCCCAGGGCAGCTTTGACTACTAAGGTAGTTTACCACCATCAAGGTGTGACTGTGTGAGTGAATGAATGATGTATCCAATGTAAAGTGCTTTGAGGGTTTCGGATAAAGGGCTATATGAAATCTGGTATATTATTAGGTCACGTTCACACCTAAAGGTACGTTTCCTGATTCGAATCCAACGCAAGATGATACAAGAAAATCGTGCGTATGAACAGCTCGTTAGCCAGCGAGCGTGAACTGCGGCATTAGTTAATACATAGATGTGCTACAAACAACAGACGGATAAAGACGAGACGGCGACAGGCATTAATGAGAGCCTACCACAATGCGTTTTCTCTCTGGTGTCAATCAGGACAAGTGAGTAGACAACATTTATTTCACGTGTGTGGTGCGTTTCCTGTGATTGGTGTGGATGACGTTCACACCAGAAATGAACCGCTCCAGAGATCACTTGATAGCGGTCCGAGACCACCTCTTTAGGCGGACCAGAGTTTGTTTATTTGGTCTGCACCAGAGTTCGAGGTCAGCGTTCACACCGACCCAAACGAACCGCACCAAGGGGGTAAACGCTCCAGGGTCCGGTTCAACTGGACTAAACGAGGGTGGTGTGAACACGCCCTTATTATTTACAATCATCTGCTGCTACTGCATTGGGTTTAGAGATGCATCATCAGTCTTTCTCTACATTTGCACTCAGTGACAATGTGCCTCATCAAGAAATCACATCAACATATTCAGTCACACTTATATAAGCAGATAACCTTTCAGCTGTCAATGAAATGAGTTAAAGATAGGCCAGTTTAATCTTTGTCAACAATTTGCTTTCATATTCTCTCTCCTATGTTTTTGGTGTAAGTGGGTGCACAAAAAACAAACCCTCAGCTAACCCACTTTTCTCTGTATCTGGGTTAAGGAAACAAAAGCCCACCTCCGCTCTCTTTATTCATGCTTCCTTCTTACTTCTTTCTCTGTCTTCCACCATTACCTCATCCTCTCTGTCTCCTCCCCACGTGTCCCTCCATCCTACCGCATCCCTCGGTCCCTCGCACCTCCTCTCGCCGTGACGTGTCAGGCCGGAGGAGGATGAGGATGAGGAGGAGGAGGTGTGCAGCATCAGCAGCATCAGCAGCAGCAGTTCAGCTCAACACAAGCGGCACAAACCACAAAGCGACGAGCTATTTTTGATCTTTTTGGACCATATTTTATTCAGATCTCTTGGAAGTGGGAACGCTGTCTGTTGACCAGAGCTGCTCCGGTGAAGGACGAGCTGACGGGCTGCGGTGTCTCCGTGGATAAGTCGAATTTATAAGCGAAGACCGGAAGCGATCGGAAACACGGCAAATCAGAGTAATCGATTAATTCCAACGCTGAAAGGAAAAGGCGTCAAGAGAGCAGCTGCAGCTGTGGATTCCAGGATGAATACACAGTAATCTGGGTGGACTTGAAGGGGGGATTTTTGGTGCGGGACAAGGCGATGAGGTGATTGAACGCTCCGGTTCTCGATGAGGCAGGAGCGGCTCCCCTCCGCCGGCAGGAGGCCGAGGGCGGGCTTGAAGCAGCGGCAGCAGAACGCGGGAGGGGTCGGTAACATCATTAGCAATGTCCTGAAGAAACGGAACGGGATATCCCGGAGTGCACCGCGGCTACTCTGCACCTTAGAGCCAGGTGAGACTTTTAATACCGGGGATCAAATCGACTGAATGAGGGATTCATGGTCGTGGTCAGATAGTTTAATGCATGTAAGTCTATAGGGTTAAATAGGGACACAGCTTTTACATCTGCAGCTGTGGGACCTTTATACTCCCATATCCCCTTTTGTTTACACCTTTAACAGACTTACTCTTGCTTACAATATGCATCAGCTAGGGCTGCAAAACTAACAATTTTTATCTTATAGCCCTATAGATTGTCAACTCTCACAGAGGCTCGAAATGTGTTTAGGAAAATGTTGATTTTAGACCTAAAAACTGGTTCATTTTTTGGCAAATATGCAAAAGTGCATCCATATTCTGTGAAAACTGAGTTTTACTTTTATCTTTTGTGTGCACACAAAAGGTTAGTAACCATTCATTCATGAAGATACTGTATACCAATGCAAATCTGTGCAAAATCAAAATACCACATATTTTATACCCATACAGTGTTATTTCACCAGAGTACCAAAGTCTATAAAGATGACAGATCTACTAAGGATGCACCGATTCAATATTTGATGTCAGTACCGGTCCCGATACTGAAGACAATTCCAGATCGGGTATCATGACAATGAGCTTGATACATAGGGGCCGAACCATTCAGTCTAACTCTATGCTATGCGCTATGAGTGGCATCAGAAAGTAAATACGCTGAGCGGATGCCTGCATTGTTTCAAAATGGAGTGAGCAAAGGGGTCTGCTATCTTTAAGTTTATCACACTACTCAGCCTACAAGCTAGACCGCCACTTGCAATACCTGCACAGTAAACGTTCCGAGGGGCAATGGTAAAACTTAAAGTTACAACAAAAGGTAATTCAGCGCAGCCTTTCTGCATCGGAAATGGATCAGTATCGACCCATACTTAACTATAGATATCTGCATCGTTATCGGAGGTGAAAAAAGCAGATCAGTGCATCCCTAAGATCCACATGTCTTTGATCCAAAGCTGCTTTAAAAGGAAGAGTAGTGGTCGAGTGATATTGAAACAAAGTAAAGAGAGCGAGGACAGCTTATGAAAACAAATCAGTGAAACAGGAAACAAGAAATACTTATCAGTCAAACGTTGATCTATGATCATTTATTTTATTCTTAAATAGCTCTGTTTGCAGTTTGATTATCAAACAATAAAAAGAAATAAAAAGAAAAAATCCATCAGTTGGTATCCAGGAGTTTAATTCTTTTTTGGTATAGAAATTTTGCACACACATGCACAACAAAAAACAAACATTTTTTGGTCTGGCACTGTCCAAACAAAAAGATATCCATCGTGTTTTTTTTTCTCTCGTGTACAGTCCGGTGTTAAATCATAAGATACATTTTCATTCATTGATCTTGTCAGCTTTTACACAGTTGTGATCCAGTTTCCCTAAAAGACTTTTAAGTGTCAGAGGAGCTTGTTATCAACGGTGAAAGTCCCAAACCTGATGGAGGAAACTCTTTCCAATAAGTTCAAAATCAAATCATGAGAGCGGCCGAGTGGATATAAAGTTCAGGTCTGATTTCAATTATCTGATGATGTATCACTCTGACCAAATAACTGAGGAGAGATCAGATTTCCTTTGGTACTCAGCTACCTTATCACCAATGCATTACAAGTAGTCTGTTTTTAAAAATAAGATTATTGTTTTATTGTGGTGCTTCCCCCCTATAAAACACCATCCTTATGTCCTTTTTTTGTGCATATTTCCTTGTCTCATTCTTTCCTTTCTAACCCCTTTCTTATCTCCTTCTGTCCTTCCACGTCTTCTTCATATTCTTTCTTTCTCTTCTTTTACTCCCTCACTCCATCTACTATTTTTTCTTCCCACTTTTCTTGTTTCCTATTTTTTTCCTCCTACTTTCTTCCTGTTATCTCCTCCTACTCCCTCTTTCTTCCCTTGTTTTCTTACTTTATGCATTTTTCTCCCTCTTAATCTGTTTTTCTGGCTTCTTGCTTATCTTTGCTCTCTTTGTACCCTATCTCTTACCCTTTGCTCGTTGTCCCAAATTTATATAACTTCACTCAATCCTGCCTTTATTCTTATCCCTCACCTTTTTGTCTCTATTTATGTCCTCATCCACCCTTTCTAATTTGTCTACCTGTCTTCTCTCCACATTAATCATCTCTCTCTCTTCCATGGACCATGTAGGCTGTAGATTACATATCGTCTTGCAAAGTCATTTTCAATTCATTTCAACTCTGCACAGATTAAACTTTCTCTTATTGTAACAGAGTGAACTCTCTGTCCCTCTCTGTGGTGTGTCGGTCCTCAGCTGGTCTGTATGTCAGCTGTGTCGGTGTAATCTGTGACAGAGAGGAGGAGGAGGAGGAGGAGGAGGGTTTTCACTGTTAATCCTCTCCTAAAGCTCAGACAGGGAAACGCGGAATAAAGCGACGTCCATGCAGAATGGCGCAGGACAAAACGACAGAGGAGGACCAAACAGGTTAATCACATCATTTATCCTGTTAGGCGGACTTTTATAGAAGTGAAAACGATATTAGTCATACTTTAAGTGCGTTCGGCTGCATTCAGGAAGACTGATGGATCCTCCAGAGAGAGAAAGGTGGATGGAAATGGCCGCTGTCTGAGCTGCTGGCTTCGAGCCCAGACGTGTCAGGACCTTCTCTCTTAACTTCACATCAAAGTTTAATTTCCGTTTTGTCTTCGGGGCGGGGGGTAAAGGGATTTAGTGTACTGAACTTAATATTCAGTTAAGATGTTGTTATGTGCTTGTAAAGAGGTTTAACTGATTTAAAGTAAAGCAGTGGTTGAAAAGCGGTTTCAGCACCACGCGGAAGTGGACAGCGTCTCCTCTGCGTAAAGTAACAAAAGAATGTCCTCAAAAATGGCGTTTTGTGGAAGTGAAACTCCTTACATCGATTGTTTTTCTCATTTTATCATGTAGAAAGTGAACACATTTTTTCTTGACTTAACTAACTACAAGCTATCGTTCAGATACTCCTGAAAATGTGACCGTTAGCGTTTAACGTCCATCAACGTCGTTCAAAAGTATTATCAGACGGTGAAAGAACTTACAAAAGACCAAATGTATGCTTTTCTAAATAGGTTTTTGTTTGCCTTACATAGAAAATTGCACTGATGACGTTTGCTTTTCCGGTAAAACTACTTATAAGTAGTAAGTTTAAGGTCTTTTTTAAAGCTACAGAGCTAGCTTGGACGTGGACAGCGACTCCTCCGCGTAACGTAAAAGTGTCCTCAAAAATTGTGTTTTATGGAACTGAAACTCCTTACATCGTTTTTTTTTTTCTCATTTTATCATGTAGAAAGTGAACACATATCTTTTTCTTGAATAGACTAACGACAAGCTTTTGCTTTGATACTTCTATTAACTGAAAAAGTAACCGAAAGTGTTTAACGTCCACCAACGTCGTTCAAAAGTTCCATAGAAAATTGCCCTGATAACATTCGCTTTTCCGGTAAAGCCTTGAACTACTACTCATAAGTACTACCTGTGGTTCTAAAACTACTTATAAGTGTTAATTTCTACCATCCCTATCCAGCTGCTTTTTGTTTTGTGGTTTAAACTACTTTAATCCTATGAACTTTTTGCTACTTTTAAATGGTTCATAAGGCTTTCTTCCGAGCATGTAGGCCTATTCCCCTTTGGCTAGCATAAATGTTAACCAAAAGGGCCAGTATGAGATTCTGAAGGTATGATAATCTTGATGAAAATATCAAGGTGTCATGGTATTAGGGTACTTTGTTCACTGTAAAGTTATTTTATATGCAGCAGATGGTGTTCAGACAAAGTGACCATCTGTACCTCACAATAGGTTGGATATCAAAGTGGGTCTGTACTATCTTTAAGGTACTAAGGAATTTTTCTTTTTAAATTTCTCTCTGGGACAGATTTTCCAACTTTAGGTCATACATTTTCTGTGTCTTGCAATCTGTCTGCTTACTATACTGTTGCTGATATGGAAGTTCATGCTATTTATGCAGAGCGAGCTTTATGAAGACTTGATTTATTCATTTGTGGCTTATTTGTTTGGGACAGATATAGTTCACTGATAGTGGTGAAGTTAGTAAGTTTTAAATGATCCAAGAGTTTGCAGCTTTCATCAATGAATGAATGAATGAATCAATCAATCAATTTTAATGTATGTGTACCAAAACACCACAGTCGTTGTCCCATAGAAAAGGCTGTCTGAGTAAACATTGTTTGGCTGAATGAAACCTTAAAAAGCTGCTGAAGCTCTATATGTATTCACAGAAGGGCTGGTTAATTGGTGACGAGTAAATGTTATATATGTAGCTACAGGTCAGTGCTCTCATAGCGTGTTTTTCAAGAAGCTTTGCAGTTTCATTGTTTCACAGTTTCATTAATTGAAAGCTGCTTTGTTGTATAAATTCTAAACAATTTGAACTTGCAATAACCTGACATTTTAAATGATATTTGTCACAAAACTCACAAAAATTGTAGTCCTACATCTTATATTTTAATAATGATATGCTTGGCAGTGTTTTACATTTTATTGTATGTTCACTTAACAGTTAATTTAAGAAGACAACATGGTAGGATCCTTATCCATTTAACATTTAACATGAAGAATACATGCACATGTGCATTCATTTCTCTCCTTTAATTATTACCTTTGTTCAAATTTCTCAATGGAGCATGTAATGGTGTTTATCTTGGCTTTTCTCTGGTTAATAATTACCCTGTTCTCAGTTGCTGCCTGCATCCGTGTTCTGTGGAAGAGAGAGAGCACAAAGCCTCAAAAGAAATGACTTTCAGAGAGGGTCATTGCATAACCATCTGAAGGACAGTGACAGTGACCCAGATCTTGTTTCAGACGAGTCTGACCAGGTTTTTGTGTTTGTTTTCAGGAGTTGACACGAGACTGAAGTTCACCATTGAGCCATCATTGGGGAAGAATGGATTTCAGCAGGTAAAAGACTGAACATCCTCTACTCCCTGCACCACAGAGACCCGGTTTATTTATTCTGCTTGCAGCTGTAGTGCTGTTTGAATATGTTTATGCTGTTTAAATTTGTATTGCAATCAGACATTCTGTCTGTTATTGTCAGTACATAATATGGTTTTACTACAACTTAGGTTGATATAGCAATTTCACATAAACAGCCTTAGTGGGAGTCCGATGCTGATTTTAAAAAAATAAACAAACTGTGTTTTTTTTCTGGATCCTGTAGTGGTATGACGCCCTGAAAGCAGTGGCCCGACTCCCAACAGGGATCCCAAAGGAATGGAGGAAGCGGGTATGTAACTTTGACTTAATATAACACAAAATAAAGGTTTATCGTTTCTTAATAAATCATCTGAAGAACTTTCTCAGCCTTTCAAGGGAACAATCTTGGAACAGACAGTCATTCGGTTTGGCTGACTGATGTATCTGTTGGACCATTCATTAAGCCAGCCCAAGTTTAATGATGAATGGTATTGTGTTGTCATATTTGTACGCTCTGTTGGTGATGAATATCAGCAAATTTTCATAAAATAGCAAACCAAACAGCCTCGTAACTGTTAAATTTGCAGTTCACATCTACGCAAACACTGAGTCACAATCCCTGGGAGTAAGCTCTGTTTCGGCTACAAATATCCTCCACAAAATTAACATCTCTAAACAACAACCTGGTTTTGCATTCTTCCCTTGTTTGTGTCGACTCAGAACCCAAAGGGTGTTTCGTGAGAGACACAGATGACATTGTCTTTGTGCAGCAAAAAGAGAGCATTCTTACAGTCCTAGAGAACAACATGTAATTATGTAATCTGTGCAGATTGCCTGAGTGGACCCCAGGATGAGTAGTCATACCACTTGATAGTGGCTGATAGGGATCCAAATACTCAATTAACTGAATCAATCAAAAGATGCAGAAGCACTTTGTCTCCAACACTCAGCTCATCTCACATCCTCATAACTTGATCTCTCGGGTGGAAAGAGACAGGAAATGGAAGTCATTACACCCATTTTAAGGAGATGAACTGTGAGATCTTCAGCTCTCTCCTGAGTTTACAAAACAAACTGAATCACTCTGAATGAGAGGGGGATAATCTCATTACTGACAGGAAAATAGATGCATTCAAATATTTGTTGACTACAGACAGCAAACAGAGAAATCTGTAATCTAATCTACCCATTTTTATGAATTATTCCCCTCTACTTTTTTAGTTTATCTCTTGATATCAGATCATATTTCATGTCTTTTAATTCCTGGTGTTTGTTTTGGTCTCTGTGCAGGTTTGGCTGACACTTGCAGATCAGTATCTCCACAGTATCTCCATCGACTGGGAGAAGACACTTCGCTTTGCCTTCAACGAGCGCAGCAACCCGGACGACGACTCCCTTGGCATCCAAATCGTCAAGGTAACTATATGATCTTGTTAGTTCGAGGGCTGGGAGCGGGATGAATGTATTTCTGCTGCGTGTGAGTTGAGTCAGCACCACTGGGCCTTATGTACAGACCTCAGCACTTTCCAAGACAGTGACTTTAAAAAAGCTGAACTCCAGGCCGCTGAAGACCTTTCTCCACTGTGACCTACTTCTCAAGACTCCCTGTTTACTCAGTTTAATGACGAGCGCAAGTCCAAGACAAACTCCGCAGTCAGACTCTCTGTCTGTTTATGCATCAGTTCAGATCTTTGTGTCCACAAAAACATGAATGTCTTTTCAAAAACACTAAAAGCAAACAGTGATATCCATGAGCTGATGCAAACTGCAGGAACTGGCTGCCCCAGCTTCAGAGGTCAAACCCTGTTATTTCTCAAGGCAGAACTCCTGACCTTCATACAATGAGCCGCATTTCAATATGTCATCATTTATTCAGATGTCTAATTGCTTCTTTGGAGAGATAAAGAAACATTAGAGAGAGTTATAAGAAAACATAGCAGTAGAAAATGCATGACATCATCTTTTCATGCTTAAAAGTCTTGACGTTAATCCATTTACTCGCCTTAATCAGAACATACATCATCGTCTTCACTGGAAAATATCATCACTGAGTAACACAGTCATCTCAGTTTCATAAAAGAGCCGGTGAAGCACAGTAATCCCCCTCTTAAGATCATGTTGTCAGGCTTTTCAAGGAATAAAGAGCCTCTAAAATCCTGTGATAAAAGGCTCTAATGATTTCAGCTGCTCTGTTCAGGCTCCAGGAATGACAAAGTTTAATCTCAAATAAACAGACGACACTCAAACTGTCTGGCACGGCAGCCAAAATCTGTTCTTGCATGTTGACCTAATTTACTCAAGATTGATCTTCAGGAAGTCTGCTGCTGCGCTCAAGATGCCAAATAATGTCATTTTTGATTGATTGGCCGTTCCTTGTAACTCCTGGTTACAAATCAGCTTACATCACCAATAAAACACATCATAAATCTTGGGACTGTGTGAGTGTGGAGATCAGAGGGGAGGATGTTTGTTTTTGAGTGTGCGTCAGAGAGCGAGATGACTGCATCACGGGAAGATCTCAGCTCTGTTTTATTCCTCGATGACTCAGAGATTCAACAGAGAGATGACCAACAGAGCAAAGTCCAACCATCCACCTCCCTGTGTTTGTTTTCTCATCACTGTCTTTGTCTTAAACCCATGAATGAATGTATCCACAAACATCACTCTAGCCTCCTGTAGAATAATCCATACTGTGTTTTGTGCTGTTCAGGACCTGCACAGGACAGGCTGCAGTTCTTACTGCGGCCAGGAGGGGGAGCAGGACAGGGTGGTGTTGAAGAGGGTCCTGCTAGCCTACGCTCGCTGGAATAAAGCTGTGGGTTACTGTCAAGGATTTAACGTACTGGCTGCTCTCATACTGGAGGTTACCGAGGGCAACGAGAGCGATGCACTGAAGGTACGCTAACACACTAACACACACCAAGTCAGTGGGAGACAAATGTAGAGGTCAGACCTCCTGTATGAAACAGTTTCTTCCTGCTGCTTCTCGAGTCTCTTAATAATGAATAAATGTCACTCTGCTGAAACCTTCCTATGTTTTCTTCTCTCCTTCTTTTAGATTATGATCTATTTGATCGATAAAGTGCTGCCTGAGAGTTATTTTGCCAACAACCTGCGAGCGCTATCAGGTAAACACAATGACACACATGCAGGCTGACTCACTTTTAGGGCAATCCTGAAAGACTGCAGGTTTGACGTGGTAGAAAAACTAGAAATATTTGTCCTTTTTTTGTAAATTACATCATCCATATGTTGTAGATACATTAGGAACAGGTTTATTTAGACTAGTATAGCACTGAGAGAGAAAATTTACCCTGATCTGAGTTGGTGACCCAGCTATGGAGCTGTCATGGTAACTGCAAAATTGAAAAGTAATATGCTGAAATTCATCCTGATGCCTTTTTTAGGTATCCATCTATATGAAAGCAAACAAGACTGTCAGCAATAAGATTCATGATTTATATATTTCAACACCAAAACAACAGCTTTTGTTTTTTTTAATCTGTATTGTCTTTCTTTCCATTAGTGGACATGGCTGTATTCAGAGACCTGCTGCGTCTAAAACTGCCCAGACTCTCCCAGCATCTCCACCACCTTCAGAAAGCTGCCAACAGAGAAGCTGGAGGTACAAATCTGTCATACTCAGAAATTAAACAGAGTTTCTTACATTTGTCCTTAAATTATTGAAAATATTTGGAGTTCTCTCAGACCAAAGTCACAAATTCAAGTGTAAAATTACTCCCCTGTGTCGTGTCTGTTTCCTCTCAGGAAGCTACGAGCCTCCGCTGACCAACGTCTTCACCATGCAGTGGTTCCTCACCATGTTTGCCACCTGCCTGCCGGCGCCCACAGTTCTGAAGATTTGGGACTCCGTGTTCTTTGAGGGTTCAGAGGTGCTGTTTAGGGCCGCCCTTGCCATCTGGGAGAGGCTGGGAGAGTGAGTATCTGTCAGTCACAGAAAAAGGAACTGGTCATAATGTCTACATTTTTTGTTTCTACATGCTGCTCTGTATGATTCACTCTTTATTTTTCTTCGTTTTAATTTTCTCGTCTTCTTCCGTCTGTCTCTGTCCAGGAGGATCGAGTACTGTCAGACAGCAGACGAGTTTTACAGCACCATGGGATGTCTCACTCAGGAGATGCTGGAGCACAACCTCATCGATCCCACTGAACTTATGCAGGTACAAGAACAAACCCAAACGTACTGTATAAAATTGTAATACTTGAAAAATGTAATATGAACCTAATTCTTCCTCTATTCTGTAACAAACAGGAGGTTTACTCTATGGCAGTGTTTCCGTTCCCTCAGCTGGCTGAGCTGAGGGAGAAATACACCTACAACATCACTCCTTTCCCTACCTCAGTCAAATCCAATGGAAGGTCGGTCAACACTCTTACATACAATGAACAAAAGTCTTTCCTTTACAAAGCAGAAAAGGGAATTTATTTACTATATGTATTTCCTACACAAAGACAATAACTGGAAAGGCCACCTAAGTATAATGTCAGCCCTTCTTAAAGTGTGTTTCTATCCCTGTTATATTGCCACCTTTAATGGACATTTTAGGCAATCTCGTTTCTTATTGCCTCTGGTATTTGACACACGCTGTGTAACTTGGAAAGAGACTAGCCTTAAAAGCGATCTGTACAATTTTTAAGCAATTCTATATAACATGCTGGGAGCCAGTGGAAGGAAGTGAGAGTAGGAGTGATGTGACGTTGTCTGTTAAAACCTTTGAGACGTCTAGCTGCTGTGTTCTAGAGAGATAATGCATTTTTTAAATTCCTCAAAGACCCCCACTTTGTCAGCACCTTCCTGCCGCCTACTGTTAACAGCATGTCTTCTATCTGAAGCAAAACACAATCATAAAAGAATAATAACAGCGTTTGTTTACGAGCATGAATCATCCTGCACTAGAACCCTCATGATTCTAAGTCTTTCCTTATCCTACCTTCACTGGTAAAGATGCTCCTCTCTCTGTTGGACTGTCGATTTTTTTCAGTTTTCTTTGTATTGAAACTGGCGCCCCCTGTGGACAAAATAATACCTTTTAGTTCTTGCCCTGTCCATGTGAAAGCGATGTTTTCAGTCTGTTCTACCCGTTAAAACTCCTCACAGTACCTTTAAATGATTAAAGAAAACAAAATGCCTTTCCCCTTCCTTCTTTGGTTGCACATACAGACAGTTTTGTACTGCAGCCTTACGTAAGTCTCAGTGAAATTTCAGCCTCTACAGACCATTTGAGAACCAACATAGTGTAAATATAATTTTACTACTCTGACTGAAGAGCTAAAAATGTCCCCAGAGTGGTTACAGTTCAGGAAATCTTGAGTGAAATATTTATTCTGCGTTAATATTTGATGTGATTGTGGAAAGGGAAATTGATTTCAGTTGCGGTTTGGTAGAAAGGATGTTTTTCTGTGTTTCAGTGGTGGTCTGGGCAGCTGGGAGAGCGATGATGACGCAGACATGGACGATGAAGACTCGGTGGTGACGGCGCTCGGTTGCCTGGGTCCTCTGGGTGGCCTGCTGGCCCCAGAGCTGCAGAGATACCAGAGACATCTTAAAGGTTGGTGCGGCCTCATAATTCTCCGTCCAGACTTTTAATAGCAGCAGCCTGTGGAGAGTTTACAGAGCCATCAGCCAAGTGGATCAAGACAAACCGCCGCCCCAAATCCTCCAGTTCTGACCTCGATTTGACTCCAATTACAAACCGTCTCTGATCTGTTTCCTCCAGACAAATCCCTCACTTCCTCCTCCTTCAACGGCTCCTCCGAAGAGGAAGAAAGCAAACAGCCAGAGGGTTTAGTACAAAACTCTGGTGAACATCTGAAGCAGTCGTTCGGATCTCCAGAGAGCTTTAGAAATGAGGGCTTCATTTAACCTCATAAGTGGATCTCAGTCTTAGAGATACGACCTGGTTTTCAAAGAGAAACACGGCTTGTTTTTAACTGCAGGCGTAAATGAATGAATAACAGTTTTTACAGTAAGAAAAGAAGCATAAAACCACCTCACGGTGCTTTAAATGATGCTCTGCTGTATTGAGTCTGGGTTTTATAACACAAAGAAAGGCAGAGCTGCTAAAAAAAGTGATGAGGATAAAACGCTCTGACCTTCCTCTGTAAGACTAAAGAGAAAACAAAAGAGAAGAAATGTCAAACAAATTTGACTTTGACCTCAAAGTCAAAGGCTGCTTTTGTTAACGGCTTCAAAAAGAGAAAAATCAGGAACGACTGACTCAGTTTGCTGGGAGGGTTTCATCCACAGACTTGAAAGTGAATGCATCACTGTCATGTCCAAAGCAGGTTTTTATCCCGGCTTTTGAATGTTTCGATGTTGGCGGGATTTGAAATCAGACGAGTTTGTGTTCCTTTTACTCTCCAGACCAGCGAGCGGAGCAGGGGAACATCGCAGAGCTGAGCCCCGGAGCGGTGGGCGCCGTAGCAGCGGGAGGTGGAGGAGGAGGCGCCAGGGCGGAGCATCAGGCAGCAATCAACAGCATGATGATGGAGAGGATGAGCACCGACATCTATGCCCTGAAGAAGCAATATGCACGCATCAAGAAGAGGCAGCAGCAACAGGCTATGCAACTCTACATCCGCACAGGTGAGGGAGGGGCGTTAGAGAGTTTTCACTGTCATTTTTTATTTTTAACACTTTTCTTTTCTTTTATGTTAACGGAGGAGAGCATCTGAGTCTTTACAAAACAGTTTGAGTCTAAGTCAGGCAATGTATGAACAAGTTAAGGTGGCAGTAAGCTGTTTTTTTTTTCTGCCAGACTGAAAATGTCACTTTATCAATAATTTTGTAACATCCAGGTTTGAGCATCAACAACAAAAAAACAACACAAAGAAGACAGTGCTACAGGCCTTGCACTTTGCAACCTGGATAAAACTCTTTTTCTTTTTAATCTGTTTATTGGCATTTTCAGTTTAAACATCAACAAATCACATGTTAAATAAATGTACATAATAAATCCCTCAGTCCCTCCCTCACCACCCCATGTTCCCAGATCCTCTAAAAGGAGTATACAGGGAGAAAGAAAATAAATAAATAGATAGTAATAATTATACAGATAATAATAAAGATAAATTACACTGCAAGTTATCCAGCACATACAATTTAAAGAAAGGGTATTCCAAAAAAAAAGGGTCCAGAAAGAGAAATACAAATTAAATTAAAATAATGGGTAATAAAATAAAAGAATAAATAAAAAAAACCTACATATAAATAAAGCGCAATATTCCCGATCAACACTGTTCACCAAATGTGCAGATTTAAGTACACATAGATTTAAGTACACTCATCCTCTGTTAAATGCAGCTAGGGCTGTAGCTGGGTTGGGTCAGGAGGAATCCCAGTTTGTGTCAAAGTGCATAAAACTTCTTTGTGACCAAATTTTTAGAAACATTTCCCTGCTTTCTATGTTTTTAGCGGTTAATTAGTTTATCATTCTTAATGCACACAAATTTACCTCAGAGGTACTTTAGGCGCTGAAATGACTCGCCTGTACTTGCCTCTGCATGTTCCTTCTGTTTGCCTACAGAGGCAGTTTACATCTTAGTCTTAATTAAAACATAGAACCAGTCGAGGCAGAGCTCGTTCTTCTGTAAACAGCACTGTGCGATCACATCCAAAGGAGCGCAACCACAGAAAAACAAACACTGATGAGGAGATGCCTTTCTCGGTGGTGTGACAGAAACACAAACAGACCGTGAAATAGTTTGATATTTGATGACGATGTGTGACTCACAGGACCTGGAACTGAGGTGACCACAAGTCCGGAGGTCCCCAAGGAGCAGCCAGACAAAAGCAGCGACAGTACCGACCAACACAATGACGGTACTGGTGTCAAACCAAAAACTCATCTGAGACTCATAAAGCTGGGTGGCTCTGGGGATGATTGGATTTGGTCTAACCATTTTCTTTTAATTAAACGGTACATACAGCAGGGGTTCCCAAGACAGATTTCCAATGGATTCTCCCCACATGATTTAGGAGAAATCACATGATTTAGGAGAAAGTTAAAAAATAGCTCTTAAGAATAGGTATTTGAAACATTTCTTACTTAAAATAATTGATGCCTAGGTTTTGAAGCTCCATCAGATTTAAACCTGGCTTACTTTGACCATTCAAAGTGTCTTCTAGATAAACTAAAGATAATAGAGAAAAGGCAAAAACATTGGATATCTGGTTTGGGAACTGCTGCTTCAAAATAAATGACTCCTCTCCAGGTGGCACAATTATGGAATCTGTGACAAACAAGGGTTTTGATTGTTCTAACATGTATTCATACTCTGGATCTGACAGGCGGTGATGGTTTAGCTCTATCTCCACTAAACCAGCTATGTTGTATGTTTATTTGGAGATATCTGTCACTACTCTGTATTGAAGTCCACCAGGTTGGTCTATAGAGCTGTGATAAGATGATTACAGTCATAGGGTGCTGGTTTGGCTCAGTAAAGACAGCATTCGCCCCTGTGGGCAGAGGCTGAATTCTGTCCAAATCAGCCCAAGGTTCAACTCAAGGCTCTTTGGTGCAAGCCTTCCACTTTCCCCACATATTTCCTATCCCTCTTAAAGAAAAAGTAGAACAAAATGTCAAATGACAAAATATTTGGCTAACCAGCACAAGCCATTTACATCATTTGCCGTAAGGCTAACCAGTTTCCTTATCAATGCCTCTCACTGCGGCGAGCCCAAAACAATGACATGAGTCACGCAAGAGGCAGTCGGCGAGACCAACAATCAAGAAGTTCAGGAAGTAAACATCGCAGACAAAGGACAGGAGCAGTCTAAAGCTCTGTTGTATAAGACGTATAACAGCAGTGTTAACACTATCTGCCCTCAAAATGTAAAATCCACTAGTTTCGTGAGACCATTTGCTTTCCAGTTATGAACTCTGTACGTTTTACGATCCAGACTAGTGTATTTTCAGAGACGGTCTAGATCTGTGATAAATTTATTGATAAGCAGAAGTGATAATGACATTAGTATGAGTAAAATCTTTCCAATTTCTGTCCCTTTTGCCAAGTCTTATCACAATCTATTCAACCATTTCATGTCGGAGAGCCTATCAGTTGACATTCCCTTCGACAAATTAACATCTTCGTTAGTAACAGATGTCTCCAATAAGTCATTTTGTCTTTTTAAAGATGTTGAATGTTTATTTGGCTTTGTGCTGGAGGATTTTCTGTTTTTTTTTCTGTCTCTAACCTCACTCCTTTTCCATGATGCTTTCAATCTCGACCAATATATGATCTGTTCAGCTGTTCTAACAGTATTACAGTCAGATTGGATGTTTTTTTTTTCCTCTTTTCAGATTTAAACATCTGTCCACCAGCTTAAACACACTCACCCCTCTCATTACTCTAAAACACGCTCAGAAAATCTCAGTAATCAGCTTTTATAAATACATTTACATCAACATGGTTTACGCTGCACATTACTGTACATGTTATGTAATATGACCAGAATTTATTACTTTGCACTTGGCGTGTCACCCAAAATACAATTCTCGTTCTAGGAGAAGCCTGATGGGTAAATCCTTGAGATGAGAAAATAAAAACTATGACGCCCTCTGGTGTCTGAAGGAGGTGCAGCGCTTTTAGAACAGCTGTTCCTCCTCCTCTCTCTTGTTAGCATGTTTTGATGAGATTTTCTGTTTGTCCTTTTACCTTCATCTCCCTCAGACAAGTGCCCCGCCACCAGAGTCCTGCCCTCCCAGCTCAACCCGTCCAGCACAGTCATCAACCACCTTCTTCTGGGGCGAAGACCACGGGGAGGAAGCTCCAGGCTCACATCCTCTAGCACCTCCACCCTCCCAGGGTCTCGACCCGCTTCCGTGTCCCAGAATCAGGGCTCCCCAGCAAGGCAGCGCTGCGGCTCGATCCCGTACAGCAGCAGCGGATCTCCTGGCAGCTCTGGCGGAGGCATAGGGTCACCCTGGCGTGCACATGTGCGGGTACATCGGAGGAATATTGCAAGAGCCCGCGCACAGCTTGGGTTTGAAGATTCAGAGGAAAGGGAAGATGGAGAAGAAGAGTCAGTTGGATTTGAGGACGAGGAGGAGAGGGAAGTGGAAGAAAATGAGAGAGATGGGGAGGGACAGAAATGTGAGAGTGATTCGTCTCTTTCAGCAGCTTCTGATCCCTCCAGTGCTCGGTCAGGATGTGAAGAGGCTCCACAGGTTCCTGATGAGACAAAGGAAGCAGAAATTTCTGAGGTGGTTGTGCAGTTGGACTGCTTGGATCTTAAGGACCAATCAAATCTGACCCCTACCAACAAAGCAGATTCACAACCCACATTGGCTGAGTCCAAACCTGAACCCCAAGTCCCTCTGCTCCCACCTCCTCCATCCTCCAACCGCCACAAAGATTCTGATTCCTCAGGCTCAGAAAGAAACAGCTCCTCTGACAGACAATGTCCCCCCATCGCTTTACCTCCACCCAACCACTCCTTCAACATCCACACATCCTCACCTTCCACCACGAGTCCATCCACCTCCCCAGTCCCTACATCCACCTCTCTTGATCCATCCTGCTCATCTTCTCCTACACCACCATCCACCCCAACGCCAAGCTCCACGTCCTACTTCCCATCATCCTCTTCAGCAAATGACCTGTCCTCCCTACCCCTCCCATCGTCCTCCAACTTTTACAAAACCTCCTCCCCCTCCACTCCCTCGCTTTCTTCTATCTCCTCATCGTCCGGATCTCATATATCCTCCTCCCCCTCGACCCCGGCGTTCCAGTCCAAAGGCACCTTCGCTGCTCAGAAACAGCAGATCTATTCCCCGTTCCCGTCCGTCAAACAGCCGCGGAAGTCGGCCGCCGCCAGGAATCTCGGTCTTTACGGCCCAACATCCAGAACACCCACAGTCCATTTCCCTCAACTCAGCCGCAACCTGAACAGAAGCAGCGGTGCTGGGACCATTGGGAGAAGATAAACGCTTTTACACTCCTGAACTGATGTTGGATCCACACATAAATGAAAAATCATTCTCAATCTACACCGTGTTGCCTCCTGCATACCAATAGATAACACATATCTTATGTGCAGTAGATGAAGTATAAGGTTTGAGTTATCTGATGGGGGACATTGTGGTTTATCTAATAAAATCCTAGAATTCAAAAACTACAGCAGAGAGACATTTAGGTACAGTTAACAATCAAGTGTGAAGGAAATGAATTCATGTAGTGTTTGAAATACTTTGTTCTGTACTGCCAAGGTAACGCCAGACTGTACCAGTACATAGCCCTTTACAGTGGCCTTTACTGGCCTTTCTTGACCTTGAAGGAATCATTGTAGAAAAAAATCAATGACATTGTGTCTGTGTTGGAAACCTGCGTCTCGTACATACAGATCTGTGATGCTTGAAGAAAGGATTCTCCTTGGACTGAAACATGAAGAGACTCTGGCCTGGACAACTGCTTCCTTTTTCGATTCATATGGACCATAAGTGGAAACACAGTGAACTACTTCTCTCTGAGTTTACAAAAAGCCATCCAGTTGTTTCTATGCCAAGTATTCAAAAAAGAAAGAAAAAAAGACATAGCTTAAAACTGCTGTAAATGACAAAAACTCAGTGTGTGTGTGTGAGTGTGCCCAAAATGACTTCTCATGTCTTTCAGCACTTAATGTTTTTGTTCCATCGAACAGTGGACTGGCTCAGTATGTGTAATCTGTGTCTGTAGCTTCATTGTTGAACACAAAGAATGTAATAACTTGGTCACACGTGAAGTGCGAATGGGAAAGCTACTTTAAGAACTTTGAGATCAGCCTGGTCAAGTTTTGTTTTGACCATGAGGGTATGAATAATAACTGTATAAATGCAATGTGGAAGATAAAAGTAAATATAAATATGAGGGAATTTTCCTTCATATTTACTCAAATAAACATGCACAGCACCTAAATGTGGGCTCAGTCTATAACTTCATAGTATGCTATGATAAAATTGTCATAGTATAGTATGATAAAAATATTAAATTTTAGTATAAAAATCAATGTCACAGAAATGTTTGATTAAAATTAGGCATAAAAAAAATGTCATAGTATGGTTGGTAAATATCATAGTATAGTATGTTAAAAAAACAGTTAAGTATGAAAAAAATAGAGTATAGTATGATAAAAATATACTGTCACAGAAAAATATAAAAATGTCATAGTATAGTATGATAAAAATATCAAATTTTAGTATAAAAATAAATGTCACAGAAAAGTTTAATTAAATAATGTGGGATAGAAGGTTTAAAATATCACATTATGGTATGAAAAAAATCTAAATTAAGTATGATAAAAGTGTCATAGTATAGTTTGATAAATGATCAAAGGATAGTATGTTTAAAATGTCATCGTATAGTATACGGTAATCAAAATATCCATTTTGGTATTAAAATAAATGTCAAAGTATAACTTGATAAAAAATATCATAGTAGTTTTTTAACAGGTCACATTATAGCATGAAAAGAATCATAGCTAAGTACGATAAAAATGCTAGAGTATAGTATGATAAAAATATCATAGTATAGTATGTTAAAAAATCATAATTATAGTATAAAATGACTGTCACAGTATAGTTTGATAAAAATAACAGTATAGTGTTATGGTATGGTATAATATTATAGTATAGTATGTTAAAAACTTGTAGTTAAGTATCAAAAAAATATCATAGTATAGTATGATAAAAATATCAAATTATAGTATAAAATGACTGTCACAGTATAGTTTGATAAAAATAACAGTATAGTGTGATAAAAATGTCATAGTATGGTTGGTAAATATCATAGTATAGTATGTTAAAAATTCAGTTAAGTATGAAAAAAATAGAGTATCGTATGATTAAAATGTCAGTATAGTATGCTTAAAATGTCAAATTTTAGTATAAAATGAAATGTCACAGTGTAGTTTGTTAAAATAACGTAGGGAAGTATGATTAAAATTTCACATTATAATACGAAAAAAATCATAGTCAAGTATAATAAAAGTGTCATAGTAATGTTTGATAAAAATATCATAGGATAGTATGTTTAAAACATCATAGTATAGTTTGATCAAAATATCCATTTTGGAATTAAAATAAATGTCAAAGTATAGCTTGATAAAAAATATCATAGTAGTTTTTTAACAGGTCACATTATAGCATGAAAAAAATCATAGTTAAGTACGATAAAAATGCTAGAGTATAGTATGATAAAAATATCATAGTATAGTATGTTAAAAAATCATAATTAAATATGAAAAAATATCAGAGTATAGTATGATTAAAATATTTTATAATAGTATAAAAATGACTGTCACAGTAAAGTTTGATAAAAAAAAAATAACAGTATGATAAACATATCAAATTTCAGAATAAAAATAAATGTCACAGAAAAATTTGATAAAAAAAACATAGGACAGCTATTCAAATATCACATTATAGTTTAAAAAAACCATACTTAAGTATGATAAAAATGTCATAGTATGGTATGGTAAAATATCATAGCATTGTATGTTTAAAATTTTAGTTAAGTATGAAAAAAATATCATAGTATAGTATGATAGAGAATAGCAAATTATAGTATTAAATGACTGTCACAGTATAGTTTGATAAAAATAACATATTATAGTATGATAAAAATGTCATAGTATAGTATGATAAAAAATCATAGTTAAGTATGAAAAAATATCAGAGAATAGTATAAAAATATCAAATTATAGTATAAAATGATGGCAAAGTATGGTTTGATAAAAATAACAGTATAGTATGATAAAAATGTCATAGTATAGTATGTTAAAAAATATCATGGGATAGTATGTTTAAAATGTCATGGTATAGTATGATAAAAATATCCTTTTTGGTAAAAAAAAAAAAAAAACTGTCACAGTATAGCTTGATAAAAATATCATAGCATAGTATTTTTAAAATCTCACATTATGGTATGAAAAAACAGGGGACAGGGGACCCCTCAGTGTTTCCAGAGAGGTAAAACGGGGGGGGGGGGGGGGGGGGGTGGTTATGAGGCAGGAAGTCAGAGCTGGGTGAAACTTTGAAGAAAGAGGCAACTTGAGCCACAAAAAAAATCCACTGTAGCTGAATCTGGGCCACAGACTGAAAAATCATTTTTATAAAAGCAAAAGAATACTGTGGTTAAGCCATTCAGGCCTTCATCACGCCATTTGAAAGAATGATTGTAAAAAAAACACAAAACATCTTTATTTAATCTTGACATAAAGATTTGGAAGGATTTCCATCTTCAATCTCCTGTAAATCTATTTTAAGTCTTGATAAGTACAAAAACAAACAGATGTGTACAAAAAAAACACGTTTTATTGTGCAGAATTCACAATAATGAGAACAATCAAGTCTACAGTACGCAGGGATTTTCAGTACCGGATACAAATTACAGCATCAATAAAACTCCTGAGGTACGATAACACACGTAAACAAAAACCCTGTCATGAATTTCTGCCTCACATTAACAGATCTACAGTACATCCAGAGTAGAATATCAACACAACTGAGTTACACCTATTTACACAATAAAAGCTATTTTAAAAATCATTTTTACAACCTATGAGGAGCCATGGAAAGGAGGGGAATAAAACAATTGCACAGCCATAGCTTAAGGTCAAATTTACAAGCTTGCATTGTGTTAACATCATAGAAACTATTATGAGGCACCTAAATTATTTACAACATATTTTCTACTGAGAAACACACCCCTATAAGCACAAAGATGAGAGTGTTGGATTTTTAAACTCTAGAGTGATTCATGATATGCTTTTAATCTACAATGAATTTGAATATTTGTAACAGAGTTATGACTTTAACTGGGGTAAAGATTTAATACACATTTTAAAGTTTATGGAAAGTTGTATAAAAGTCTTGTGTGGAGTGTAACTTTTATCGTAGATCTTAGAATATTCCATTTTACTATGTCTTAGCCAAATGATCTAGTTTGAAAAAGATAAAAAGAGACCCTGTGTGTGATTTATAGACAACAACCTCTTGGTGGTTTTCATTAATAACACTGTTGAGTTTTTTTGCATTCACAGGCTAGAGTTTCTGCAGTTTGTTCCAGTTTCAGGTATGAAGTGCTGGCTATGACTCATTTGTAGGTAGTAGGTTGTCGGTCTGTTGTTCAGTGGGCTGCGATGCGATTCATCCCCGGGTTGACAAAGGAAAAGTTTCTGAACATTGTCTGGTCCACGCTGTTGATGAGTGTCCGGTCGGCACAGGACAGTCGAGGCTTCTCATTGATGAACTCTTTGTCGAAGTTGCTGCAGTCACTGGGTGAAGACTGTGAGGGTGAAAAGGAAGATATGTAGTTTAGAATTTTTCCTCTCCATTGTCGTTATTTTGACAATTATAGTTTTGAGAAGTTGTGCACCCAGGAAAATATATAAAAGCACCAAAATCATCAGTGATGTCTTGCTGTCTTTGAGCCCTGATTTCATTACAGTAAAACCTCATGTAGAAGACAAACATTTAATACTCTGTCACCAAAAAAAGGGTTGCAACCTATACAATAGAAGTTGCATTTTTTCCAATGTGTTTCAATACTTCAACCAGAAGATGGTGCTCCATGATGCACGCTACCAATTCAATGGCCAGTACATGGTGGATTTAAGAAGATGGTGAAGTCTAGTGGCATCAACTTTATAGTGCTTTTTCCCCTCAAGTTTATACTCCTGTATTTAAGAGAAACACTGGTGTACATGAACATTGTGTAGTGCTGAATTTAGTGGAAAGAGCTCTTCATTCAAAACGAAGCACCAGCTTATGGGGGAGGTGCTAGTCTGGATCAACTGGTCACCAGCAGTGAGTCCATCTTTTTAAGAGCTACACATCTGTATAAAAAACTGCACATTTTTGAGCCTGAAGAAGACCATTATGTAGGAATAAAGTATAGAGTGTCCTCCGGAAATCTTGAATCTTAAAGGGATATTCTGGCGTAAAATTAATTTAGGGTCAAACACTCCTTAACACAGAGTTAGACACCCCCCTCAGGAGATGAATGTTGCCGACTGCTTGCTTCTCTAGTTTTACCAGCTTTAGTAACGACCACACGATAGCAATACACAGCGGTCTGAGTAGCCATAAATAAACCTCAACTAAAACGCCACTCAGCAATACACATTATTTTATCATTTCCTTTAAGTAATAATCATCATTTTAATCATTTTGTACTGCAGACGCAGTAGTTCTTCTGCCTTAGCTTCTCAGTCTGATTGCATTTCCATGAAAAAATGATCATAAATGTTCTTCCTTGAGCTGCGTCACCCCGCAGCAGTCTGTGATGGACTGGCCAACAATCTCGCTACAAACAAGCAGCTGCTGGAGGAGAGTAGGTGAGTTATGTTTAGTCTCTTTGCTAAAGAAATCAGGCGAAGCTAAAAAGATATTTGGTGGCTAGTGCTGTGGCTTGGACCCTATATGTACTGTTGCTGAAGTTAGATGCTGTTCTGAGCATTATTTGTGGCTTTAGAGTGGCGTTTAGGTTGAGGTTTGTTGATGGCTCCAAAGACTGCTGTGTATTGTTATGATGTCTAACTCTGTGTTCCGGTGTGTTTAACCTTAAATTAATTTTATGCCGGAATATCCCTTTAACTTTATACAAATGTGTGAATATACGTACCAAAGTTGGCTTGAAGGGCGGCGTCACCTGCCGTAGTTCCAGAGCGTTCCAGTCGGTGCTGCTGAAGAAACTGTGCTCTCTGATGTTACCTTTCATTCCCAGACGCTCCTCAGGTTCTCTCACAAACAGCTGCAGCACAAAAACACACAAATAGTGAATTAACCTCATGCAAACTGACTGTGCTGTGTACATATCGATAGAATCATAGTAATCATTTGCAATTTCAGATGTGGAGTTTGTTCCATATTCAAAATGATGTTGGCAAAATGTAATTTTTTAATGCAGCAATAGTGGAGAAATGATGGAAACTGTGGCTGCGGTGAAACAGATTAAGTCTTTTTGTGGTTATAGACTTTTTAAAATACACCACAGCCATTTTTGGATGCAAATATTTGTTTGCTTTCTTTTCCCAGTGAGGGAATTCGCACCAACATTGGCTGAAGGCAAGCGAGTTGTCTGTTATCACGTCCTGCCAAGTTGCAGCAAAATTTAATGTTTCAAAAATAACCTTATACTCCCAGAAATAGCCGTAAAACAAACAGACCACCGGGTCTGACCTTGACCAGGATGTCTTTGGCATCTTTGGTGAGCCAGCGGGGATAAACTGGGTTGTCAGTCCGTATCGACTGGAACAGCTCCTCTTCATCTCGGCCGTGGAAAGGAGACTGACCGATCAGCATCTCGTACAGCAGCACCCCGAACGACCACCAGTCCACTGAGCTGTTGTACTTCTGACCCAGGAGGATCTAAATCACAGTAACACACATCAGCCAACCGGATCTCTGAGCTGCTTTTCAAAACATGCCTCTGCTGTCTTTGGACAAACATCTGTGCCATCTTGTGTGCTCACCTCAGGAGCGATGTAGTCAGGCGTCCCACAGAAGGTGGAGGTCCGAGACTCGTCCTGCATGTTCTCTTTGCACATGCCAAAGTCTGCTATCTTTATATGACCCTCAGAGTCCAGCAGAACGTTATCCAGCTTTAGATCTCTGCAGAGGAAGAGGAGGATATAAAAAAACTTCATCAATATAAATATATACAGGAGGCCGCTCTCAGTTTGGCCCCTTGTGTATTACTCATCCACAGTTTCACTTCTGTTTCTGCTTCAGACTTTGACTCTACCTGTATATGACTCCTTTAGAGTGCAGGAACTGGAGCCCACATATGATCTCAGCGGCATAGAAGCTGCAAAAAGACACAAAAAAAAAGAAGAAGAACAGGATAAGGATGGGGTGTGTTGTCTTTCAACTTTTCTTTGTCTGGACTTTTTCTGATTCACAAAAACTCAAGTTTCCGTGACATCACCCATTGGTTCCTGAAAAGGCTCAACCATGTCGGCTATCTTTAAGGAAACACTGACTCACTCCACATTTTTAATGCTGAAACAGGCAATGAGTTAGATGTACCTCTAACCTCCTAGCACACATCTACAACGCTCTTCCTGTTAGCCAACTCATATCAAATGATGTCACCTGTGTATAATTATTAGGCTTAATAAAACCACATGCAGCAAAGGGTGGTGGCCAGTTGAACCAGCACCTGCTGCATTAAAAACCAGAGTCTTTGTTGATGGGACAGACGCTTGAACTGCTGAGCCACTCCCTTTCCCTGAGTCATATATTTTCTATATAAGTGATGGCATCAAAAAACTACAGAAAGTGCAGAGGCATAAAAAGTGTTTAACATGCTGAACAGACTCTGTGGACACGAAGTTAAACTATTAAAAGCAGCTAATGGCTTCTACCCACAGCGCAAAAAGTGGTTCCGAAAACGTTAAAAAGACATCTTATCCGAACCTTCAGAAGACGGTTTCAGAGGGGCCAGAATAAAAGTTTTTAATACGTCTTTTCTGTACATTGTTATGACGTCATCACTGAACCTCCATCAGACATTTTCAGAGGGACCAGAACAAAACGTCTTTCCTGGATGTCGCAGCGACGTCATCTCTGTACCAATAATGGAAGACTTCAGAGGGGCCAGAATGAAAGTTTTCTGTACGTGTTTCCTGGATGGTATTTTTGGTGTGCTTTAGGCATAGAAACGACGTTATATAGACGTTCATAATATGTACTGTCTCAACAGCTATCCTCAACTAGTTCTGGCTATCTGAAGATGTCCAGAATTTGGCCAGGCTGAACAACATTATGTTTGAACTAAATACAAACCTTATATAGACGTTAAGATTGTGGCACGTGTTAATGTCTATCTTTGACTAGTTCTGGTTGTCTAATAACATCCAGAGTTGGGCCAGACCAAACCTCTTGTCTCAATGTCATTAATCGACTAATGCTGCAGTCACTTAGACGTTCAGATTGTGGTCTGTCTTGACGTCTATGCTTGACCAGTTCGGGTTGTCAGTAGACGTCCAGAATTGGACCAGGCTGAACAACATCACTTCATGTCATGTTTCAACTAAATGATATCTACTTCTATCTACTTCTTTTGGACACCCATGGACGTTGCTTGCTCAGTGGATAGTCTGTTTCACGGCCAGCTACAAAACTCCTCAGTCACTGTGGTTTTATCGTCAATTTCTATCAGAGTCAGAGTTGACTCTCTTTTGCAGCCAGCCCCAAGTGGCCATTCCTTAAACTACAGTTTTCTCCACTTGCACCTTGGCTCAAGTTTTCAGCCCTAAAATTTGCTGTTTGGTCTGGCGGGACACAAGCTGGACACTTTCCATTTTTGGGGTACATACGTTGTTCTGTGCAGGTCGAACTTGTGGCAGTTTTGGATGTGGAACATGAGATCCCCGCCGTTCAGATACTCCATTACGAAGAACAAGTTCTCCTGTGAACAAAAGTAAAAGAGTTTAGTCGTCAGGTGAAGAGAGCTGGTACCCACATATTCAGTTCTCTGTTTTAGAAGTGCACGGCTCTTACTTTGGTCTGGAAGGTGCAGTAAAGGTGTGTGAGGAAAGGGTTCTCCCAGGCTAAAGAGAGGACCCTCCTCTCCACCATGGTGCACTCCACGTCATCGTCCATCAGCACCACGTCCTTTTTGAGCGCCTTCACTGCGTAAAACTGCCCGCTTTTTTTCAGCTCTGCTAGAAACACCTGGAAAACACAGTGAGATGGAAACTGAAATGGCTTCAAGGCCTCATGCTTTCCTTTCTGTTGTCCACTCATTTCTTACGCCCCCTTTGCTTGGTGATGTAAAACCCTCCACCTACATCACAGCAAAAAAGAAGTCAGTGGTTTTTATTTGGAAAACTGGCTGCACAAACAAAGACCCAATTCACTCAGCTGAATAAGAACAACCGAAGGATCACAAATAACACAGAAATTTAATCTTTTAAAAGTGAAAAAAACAGCAACAAAGAAAATGACAGCCACGGCTGTGACGCTAAGACCTTGAAAAACGTGTTCATGAGTTTGCAGAGTTGAGTGCTTATTTTTGTGTCTTTGAACCAGATCATCTGCTGTACCTTCCCAAAGCTGCCTTTCCCGAGCATCTTATGCAACGCAAAGTCATCAACGCTGAATTTGTGGTCCTTCCTCGGCACAGCGTACAGAGGCTCTTCATCCACCACCTCCTCCTCGGTGATCGACCTGCTGACATCTCCTGGTCCATCCCAAGAAACACCCTGAACCTCTGCAGGACAAGAGGCGAATACATGACATTTAGAAGACTACAAAGGATGGAGTGATCAACTGAGGGAGTGAAATATTAAGACACAATGTACCTTTGTTTGCAGGCGTGGAGGTGGCTGGTACACTTGTTACTAACCCAGATGGAGCTCGAACTACGCCTGGCTGTCCTACGCTTACCGGACCTTCACGGCCGATGATGTCTGTTTCTTTGGTGCTTCTGGCCTGGAGAGAAAAGGGAGGACTGTTAACAGCAACATCCCACATTATTTGGCACTTAAAGGGCAGATTTTCTGAGAGGAGAAAATTATTTTTTAAAAGAGCAGAAAGTCTGAGTGTCTGACCTGCTGTTTGCTCTCGATGATGGCCAGAGCTTCGGCCATCAGTTTCTGGTTCACCCCGCAGAGATTCGCTACTTTCTTCTGACATTTGTGATGGACGTTCATCCCACATTCTGCACGGACAAAACAGCAACAAAAATAAAACACTTTTGGAAAGAGCACATGGTAAATAAAGTGTAAGACACATTCACTTGCACTGGAAATGTCTGTAATTTCACACGGACAGGATGACTTACAGCTGCTGTAACAGCTGCTGCGTGTTTCTGCTCCACAACTTAAACATGCAAAATATTTGGTTTCTATTTCTGATGGGAAATGTTGTTCTGCCAGCTGTTGGAGGGGTATCATATCATTTCACTGACTGTTGAAAAAAAAATTAGGGGACTGGTAGTGAAGTGGTTTAATCAAGAACTCCATTTTTACTGGGGCTACAGTCCACATTGTAGGGGTTACTTGTTTAACACTCAGTCACATCATCTACTGCATGTCTTTCCCCCACTCTCTACTCTCTACATTTCCTGTCTCACTTCAGCTGTCCTATCAGATAAAGGCAAAAATGTCCTTAAAACAACCTAAAAATAGGAATTTAGTTTAAAAAAAGAGAGAAGTAACAAGTTCATGGATTCTTTTGGGGCAGCTTGTTAAAGGGATATTGCGGCATAAAATTGATTTGGGGTCAAACAAACAATAACACCGAGTCAGACACCCCCTCGAGAGATGAATGTTGCCAACCGCTTTCTTCTCTAGTTATACCAACTTTAGTAACGACCGCACGATAGCAATACACAGCGGTCTGAGGAGCGATTAACAAACCTCAACCAAAATGCCACAAATAATGCTCAGAACAGCACCTAACTTCATCAACAGTACATATAGGGTCCCAGCCATAGCACTAGCCACCAAACATCTTTTTAACTTTGCCTAATTTCTTAGGCAAAGAGACTAAACACAACTCACCCACTCTCTTCCAGCAGCTGCTTGTTTGTAGTGAGAACTCAGGCCAGTCCATTACGGACTACAGCGGGGTGACGCAGCTCAATGAAGAACATTTATGATCATTATTTTATGGAAATGCAATCAGACTGAGACGCTAAGGCAAAAGAACTACTGCGTCTGCAGTGCAAAATGATTAATATGGTGATTATTACTTCAAGGAAATGATAAAGAAATTATCATAAATGTTCTTCCTTGAGCTGTGTCACCCCGCAGCAGTCCTTAATGGACTGGCCTGAGTTCTCACTACAAACAAGCAGCTGCTGGAAGAGAGTAGGTGAGTTGTGTTTAGTCTCTTAGTCTTAGGCTAAGTTAAAAAGATGTTTGGTGGCTAGTACTGTGGCTGGGACCTTATATGTACTGTTGATGAAGTTCGGTGCTGTTCTGAGCATTATTTGTAGCTATAGAGTGGCGTTTTGGTTCAGGTTTGTTTATGGCTCCTCAGACCGCTGTGTATTGTTTCTCTTGTTGGTATAACTAGAGAAGCAAGCAGTCAGCAGCATTCATCTCTTGAGGGGGTGTCTAACTCGGTGTTATGGTGTGTTTGACCCTAAATTAATTTTACGCCGGAGTATCCCTTTAAATCCTTAGTTCATAAATCATAAAAAGCCTCAGCTGTATTGCCAGAATTTTAATGACTTCGTTTCCACATCTTTTATTATTGTTGCATGAGAGAAGGAAACATCACCACATCACATCAAACCACAGAAATGATAAAACTCCTGCCTCTCACCCTCACATTTCAGCCCCTGTCTGGCGAACCCCCACAGCAGAGTACCGCAGTGCTCACAGAAAGTCGGGCTCTTGTAGTTGTAGACTTTAAACCTGTGGGGCATGTCGATCTTGAAGCGCTCCTTATGGATCTGCAGGACACATAAATCAAATCACACATCTTATTAATGTTTGCGCAAACACTTCCTCCATCTAAACAGACGGTGGCAGCCAGGTCCGTCCTCTCCACTGTCTGTTTCTACGTGAGGTTTGAATCCTCTTTAGACTCATGTGTGAACTCAGCTGACACGTGGCTCGGAGAGTGAAACAAAGGCAGGAGGATAAAAGCAGCTAATGAGATAAAACCTCTGTGTAATGACACTTGAAACCACAACTTTACAGGCCTTTCATTCATGCTCTAACAGGGACATGCACATTAAAAAGAGAGAGGTGATTCATGCGGGGCAAAGAGTGTCTGAAACAAAACAAAAAAAAAACCCTCACCATTGTTTCTTTGCTGTTAATGGCTGAACCCGTGCACTTGGCGATGACTTTGTCTATGCATTTCTTGTGAATAGCTGCGTTGCACTCTGAAAGACACACATGATGCCACAGTTAGACACACAGGAAAAGGAAAAAAACATGTCATGAGTTGAAGTTTTTCCATCCACATCAGTGGAAATAATCTGACACTCACGTCTGCACTGGTAGCCTTGCTTGTTGAGACCCCTGTGGTGGTAAAAACAGGTTAAAATGACTCAGATAATCGAGATAATGGAGAATATGATAATTTCTTGTCTTATCTCTTTTTTGCATACCAGACAAACTCTTTGCAGACAGAGCAGAAGGTCGGTTGAGGGAAAAACGTGGCACTGAACTCATGACATTTGACGACATGAACTTTGGCCTGTTTGATGGCTCCTCGCCGCTGATGGAGGGCGAACAGGCCTTCTCTCTCCCGCTCAGACTCGGGGTCACCTTCTGTCTGGCCTGCAGCGTCTGAAACACACCACACAGCATTTATGAAATACATCTATATATATAAAGGGAAGCATATTGGTGATTGTCTCAGCTCACATGGACGCTGTTGAGTGCCAAGCAGTTTTCACACTCAGGTTTTAATTCTCACCTTATTGTCGTTTTAAAAGTGTTACTTCTGTCTAATCTTAGTCTCATCTCGACTGAAGAAATTTATTATTTTCATCCTGCTTTTTGTAAAATTCCTATTATGAGAAGAAGCAGCTTTGGACTTTGGTGAGACTGTTATGTTGAGTAACATAATGTTTATTTGCTGAAGTCTGCAAGAGCTGGTTTACACTGATAACATGATCGCAGAAGGATGCATGATCTCACCATTTCTTTGAAAACTTGTGCGATTCCTCGTTAGAGGTTTGATATCCTGTCAGTTATCTCTCAACAGCTCTGTGGCTTTTCTGCGTGATGCAATGAAAATTTGTTCTTGCATAGTGTGGTGTACAGGTGGATGATATCACCCGAAACTCATCTCTGGATTTTTCTCTTTTTTAAAAAAAAAAAGAATATATGAAAACCAGGACTCATAATTCACTCTTTCTACATGAAAACATGATCATGAAAGCATCATTATGAAGCTACTTAAAGGCACTGTAAGGAGTTTTCATGTTGAGGTCATTTTAGCAACCTTTTTTGCATGTAATTGGTCGTGTTTAAAGACCCCCACCACCACCACCTCCACCAAGGCTACAACAACAAAATCAAACCTCTTTTACTATTATTCATTGAAATTGTTGTTTGCCGTTGTTTACATACATCATGCAAACACAACTCGCGCAGCTTAAACCTATTTCATGACTCAGCAGCTGTTGTTGCGTCATTTAAAGTACAAACTCTTACTTTTCACTCTTTGTCGGTACTTTGATTTGAGCAGCTTATGCAACTTATAGATCGATAATCTTAAATCTGCACGTTAAGTCAGAGTTAGGATGAGATTTGCTGAGTTTAGCACAAAGAAAAAAGGCATGAGGGAACAGCTGTACTTATACGTTACCTAAACCACATATATAAGAAAGCAAAGTAAAAAAAAAGCAGGTTGTGAGTTTATTTTTAGGCTCTGGACTCTGTTTGGTGTTCTGGCAACTTCTGTTTCCAAGAAGTGAGTCAATAAATAACTAGCGTATTAACTGTTGAGTGTGTTTTTATATAAAACACAGGAAGGGGTTCCCCTGTTCAAACGGTCTCTTAGCACTGCTCTCTGTGACACCTGTTGCTCTGAGCAGTAATTTCCTATTAGCCGCATCTATTTATAGAAACGTGAGTCGTCTTCCTCTGTGACTCCTCGGGCCTTGGCGTGGTGTAAATGTCAGGAAAGCAGCAGCGGAAGAGCGAAGGAGCATCTTTCGAACGAGCGCTCTGCAGGAATGCTATTTTTATTTAGAGAAAATGTAATCATGCTTTGAAGATTACGGCTTTGTGAACACAAGAGGGTTGACGTGATACCAGCTTTTGGGGGACTACACGGACAATTTAGATGATGGCTTGTATTTTATGATGTCATTCACTATATTTAAGCAGTGTTTTACAGCTTTTAATCCCCCAGCCCATCCTCAAATCAAAAACCATCTCTTTTTATAAACTCTAGGACTGTTTCTTTGAAGCAACCAAGACCATAAAGAAGAAATCTTTCTTTCACTCACCGCTTTTCTCCAGGTAGTACCTAGCCTCCATCAGCAGGCGGCCCTGTGGCTTCAACTCCAGCTAGAAAACAAATTCAGGTGTTAATACTCCTAAAGCAGAATAAAACAGCATAAAAACACAACTTAAAAATATAGTATACAAGCCTTTTGGTTTATTTAAGAGCTGTTAGGTTTGTCTTGAATAAGAAACAACAGAGAGAAATCACAGAGAAAACTGAAGGATAATTATGTGGATGCGATGATGTTAACACAGTTTGATGTAATAATGTTTGGCTTTCCTGTGACAGACTGTCAGGCACATACAAACACGCAAACAGAGGAACAGACTGTGAGGGAAATCTTCCTGCCAGAATATATTTGATTTAATTTACCGCTTCACTGTATTTGTTTATTCGATTTCGTGTTGACTTTAAGAGACTGCGGGCATTGAGCCTCTGGTGTCACCTAAAATCTTTCCAGGGAAAATAAAAACTCGTCTGCAGGAAGAGTGATCTCATGGGCCTCTAATAAATAGAGGAAGAACTGAGAAATGAGCGAGTGCAGGGAATGGCTTCCACAGCCTAAAAACCAAAAGAACAAAATAAGGTGTATTGCACCGTATCATATCATATCATATCATATCATATCACATCCCCTTATTTCATATCATTTCGTATCATATCATATTGTTTCGTATTGTATTGTATCGGATCAAATCATATCGTATCGTATCATGTTGTGTCATATCATATCATATTATATTGCATCACATCAATTTGTTTCGTATTGTATTGTATTGTATTGTATCGTATCATCTCATATCATATCACATTCCATCGCTTTGTTTTGTTTCATATCGTATCGTTTTGTATCGTACCATATCATATTGTATTGTTTCGTGTGGTATGGTATCATATCAAATCCTATAATATCATATCAAATTGCATCGCATCACTTTGTATTCATATTGTATCATATCGTATTGTATCATCTCATATCATATCATATATCATTGCTTAATTTCATTTTGTATCATGTTGTTTTGCATCGTATCATATCATATTGTTTTGTATTGTATCGTATCATTTCGTATATCATATCATATCATATTGTATCATATCATATCATATCATATCATATCGCATCCCATCGTATTGTATCGTATCATTATGTATTGTGGAATAGCATGTTGTATCAGATTGTAACTTGTTGTATCAAACTGTATCAAGTCAAATCAGCTATTAGATTAGCTCAAGGCGAAAAAGGACAATAAACTCAACCTTACTGTGCTACATTTATTATAAATTAACTTAGAGTAAAAGTCCCTATGAGGTCAATATAGTTTGTCATATAACTGTATGGTAGGGTATCATATCTTGTCATTTTGGATCTTTTGTGAAGATGTTAAAATTTCTGTATTGTTCAACAAAATCTGACTTGAATCAGCTTCGACTGAACAATGAGACACTTTTTAGCTTCAAGTCCAGGAAAACTCAAAATTTCGTAGAAGGTGTGGCTCAAACATAACTCGATAAAAGCAGCGATCAATGATGCTGACTGCAAAAGCGATGCTTTTTCCAGCCTTACACCACCAGTCAGTTCTTTTTACACCATTCGCACCACAAATGGACACAGTAAGTTGTTTGTTTTATATGACTAAAAGGCGGATTACGGATTAAAACATTTGATATTTTGACCTTAAAGTGAGACAGCCCATCTGGATTTTTGCTCAAACAGTCCAACAGCTGGCCAGAAGGTACAAAAACAAAACACAATGACAGAGAGGAAAACAAACACACGCACACACACAGACACACAATAGTCTTTTAACACTCACCCAGATCTCCAGCTTGCCGTTTTCTTTCTTGCATCGTGTTGCAAGTGAGTCCAGAGCCACCGTGACCTCAGATTTCAGCTCTGCTGTCCGGTCTTTCACCATCACATGCATGATGCGGCCGCGGTGGACATGGGCGTCAAAGGTGGTGCTCCACGGAGGATACATGGTGGGCTTCTTCTGCTTGTACACCTGACCTTTTTCTGAAAAATAAAACAAAAAAGCAACAGGAGAAAAAAAAAGAGAGACCTGAAGTTTCAAGGTTTTACTTCAATTTTCACAGTGACAGACAAAAAAAGAAGATGAAACCAAAGCTGCTTTAAGTACTTTCACTTTGACTGTTACTGAAACACATTTGAACCCTGTGAGTCAGCGAAACGTGCAGTGCAGACCCTTTAAGACAGGCATGCCCGACCAGGAGCATTTCATGGGCCGAAGGTCAAAATTTGTTTAACCATTCATCGGCATTTTTGGCCTACTTTTAATACCTCAGGGGAACTCTTACTTTCATAAGTTTGCAATCACAGTCTCAATTCACATATGTTGTGGTTTGTGACGGATACATGAAAAGCAGCCTCAACAAAAGTCTGCATCCACAATCTTTAAACCAATTTTTAATCAATATATCCTGAAGGTGGTGAGGATTTCTGTTGTTGAAAAGTAGCGCCCTGAGTTTAGAGAAAACAGGATGAATGTAAAGCATGTTGTATGGTTTCACCCTCAGAGGATTAACTGCTCTGTTACAGCCCTGAGCCGTTATTTGAAGCTTAAATCCTTCAACCATAAACATAAAAATATGCTCATCTGATGTTATGTGCAAATGTTTACAGTGTTGTGACTTTAAACACTTATTGGGATCAGGTTCCTTGTGTTTTTATTTTATACGCAGAGCATTAAGCTCCTGTGAGGCAGACCTGTATGATATTTGACTCAGTAGTGAGGGATTTCCATCGCATTACATGGCTAAAAAATAAAATAAACCCTCTCTCCTGGCCTTCATAATTGACATCTGCTGATGTCCCTCTGTACTAACATCCTAAATGTCTACTTACATAACAGCCACATGCCATCCTGCTGCTTCAACAATAAAACCCCTTAAGCTTTTTACTCCCATCATCACCGGCTCATGGCAGCTGCTCTTACTGCAACCCAGAGAGGAAAATACTAAGTCTGTTTTTCTCCAGAATCTGCACAGACTGTGTTTTCAAAGAAATCTGACTGTGGCGTTATGCAGAAAGAGAGAGGCGACATGTTTTTGTGTCAGCAGGGACCCAGGCAGTTCCTGTGTAGTTCTATGAAAAACACAGAGGTGGCATTTTGACTCAGGTGTGCTTTCACGCCTCTACCGCTTTGACTGAGTTTGAAAAACTTGTTAAATGAAACCTTTAATTTGAGTCCTTAAACTCAAAGTTATTAATTTTTCTTTCATACAAGAAGATTTTCAAACAACCCCACAGCATGGAGCTAATCCTAAATACTAAATCCACACTAAACAAAGCACCAAATCCCTTACTAATGAAAGTCTATTAGAAACATTTGGAGCCTTGACTCAGCAGGTTTGCTCTGTTTGAATAGGCTTAAAAAAAAAAGTGGAAGTTAACCAAGAATGGGCCGATGTTTGAATGCAGGTACAAGCTGTCAAACAAGATTTTCCATCAACACATGCAGCTTTGAAAAAAAGGAAATGGCTTAGATTCAGTTACATGAGCAAATTCAGACAGCTGGTGAAAGCATGCACAGCTACAGGGCAGAATTAGACAGAAATCACCTTTAATTAATGATTAATCCAAGAAAAGTTCCTGTTCAATCAATCCAAAGCCTTACCACCCATTTACTTCCACTTTTGTCTAGAAACTATTAAACACACATCAGTCAGTCTAACTGTTCCAGTCACATAGCATGAGTAGACACTGTAGTTCCCTCTGACCGAGTTCACTCACACCTCTCTGTTGCACCACAAGTGTTTTAATCCACTGGTGAAAATTACCATCAGTGAATCAAACGTAAACCAGTATTTGAGTCATTTTTGTTATAAAACCACATGGTCTAGACTGACTGAACCGTTCAGGACAACTGACAAAATATGGCGACCAATTCTGAAAGACTTATATCTTTGGCTGTAACACTCAGTCTGCATGTTTGTTGTTTTTTCTGGACAAACTGCTTCACCGTCTGGGCAAAAATCAAGACAGGCTGATTGATATTTGTGCAAAAACAAATAGTTACCCAATATGGTATCAACATTTTGTTCTCCTGTTAAAGAAAACTCTGCAGACATTGACATTTATTGCAATTGGGGGCTCAAAATCAGCTTATTTCCTGTTTGTTTTGATCTAAAATTAAATTCCAAACACCCAGTATAATAGTAAAAAAAACAGAAAAACAGTCTAAATAGAGCACAATTTATTCAACATAGCTTAAAATGGGGTCACATTAGTTTGTGAAGCGTGGCCTGTTAGCAATACCTGCACCACCACCACCAGCTTACAGTCCACACAGGTTAATGTCCACAGGCTTGTGTAGGCTGCGCACTGCTTTGGTCGAGTCAACCACACGCAGCATGTATGTATAAATATAACTTTTCTGCTTTTCTAGATCAAATACTGCCAAACTGCACCAAATAATGAGATGTCATTTATCACCTCGGCTTGTTTCCACCCAAACCTTGCAAGTTTGGGTGCATTATTTTAGACGTCAATATATTTTTTTGAACCTGTATCATGTCAATACAAGTGTTCAAATCAGCGACGTTTTCCCGTCCTGCGATATTGCGGCATTAATTTTTTCTTATCATGGTTGAATTTTCTAAAGTTTCGCATACTGTGAAACTTTAGACGTAATTTAAATGTTGCACTTTAATCCATTACTTGATAACTATTTATTTCAAAAAGCAACTGTGAGTTGCCAAAAAAACTCTGATAGCTGTTGAGCAATATACAGTGTAGTATAGATATAGCCCAGATTTAGATTTGGACTAAATCTTTAGACTAAAGATTTAGACTGGTCTAAATTTAGACGTAGAAGAAATCTTGCATTTTTAGACCTGTGGTAGCCTTATTTTAGACCAGTTGTCTAGACGTCTATTAGATTTCTTTTAGACCAAAAAATGCTCAGTGGGAAGTCTGAAGAAATGAAGCCAAAGTGGCAGAGTAAAAAACTGCTGTTCCTCAAGAGCTCCAGCTGCCAAGTGGCTTTAAGATGCAGTTTGTAGAAATGGAAATGTTCAATGATATACAGGTCAGATTCTTGATTGAAACGCCCCTTTGCTCAAAGGTCCTGGCGGTGTAATGGTAGCTGCCTTTCAAGGAGTAAGATCCTCCGTTTTTAAAGTTTTAACCACCAAAAATATCCATTAATGTGAGTTTTCATAAGTACAGTATGTACAGCCACTAAGTATCTACAAAATGCGTGTGATACAAGTTTGTCCATTCTGTGCTACTGTAGAAACAGTGGTGCACTATTAGGACCTAGAGAGGAACCTGCTCTTTTGTAAATATAAAAGGCTCATGTTAAGTTTTATATTGAAGAGATTTTACACTCATTCAAGTATACTTATGAGTATTAAATGTTAGTACGACCAAGTCCATTCTGATAAACGCTGCTTTATAGTACATGCTACACCTGTAAGGCTCGCCTCAGCTCCACCTCTTCGCCTATGACTGGGTCGACCAAAAGTTACATTGATGACGACCTCCACCTCCACCTTTGGGCTTCAAAATCTCTGTTAAGAAACCAATGGGTGACGTCCTTTTCTTACAGAATCTACAGTGAGAACTATAGAGGAGAGCACCACTGAATATAGGCTGATTCTAAATCAAACTGGTGGTTTTTTACTGCTATGTTTTTTGGTATACTGATGATATTAATGGCTTTTTGTATCTAAAAACAAAACCACAACAGCGAAATGTCGTGGGGCCTCGACTGCTGCAGTTCAGTAAACAGTTTTTGGTTGAAACAGCAAGAGAAAAAAAACACTTAAAGGGGCTTAAAACTCAGAAGAGGACTGCAAAGGGGAAGCTGTTTATTGAAGCTTTCCATCACTTTTAATTGAGGATAAACCAGAGCCTGATGGGAACCGTCTCTCTTTTGGGAGAGAGTTTTTATATCATCAGTTTTATTACGAAAACTCAGCATGATGCCAGTGTGCAGCATGAGCGTCAAACACTGAAACCTCTTAAAAGTGAAACATTTTCAACCGCAGATGCTGAGATGAAACTTTTATTCTTTATCTGACTTAGTTTAAATAAACTTTTAACCTGATCTTAACTAATCTTGGCAATTTAGTTTTTCATCAATGAACAATAGCTAGCTTCCCATGTGTTCATTCTTAACTTGGTGCTATTTCATGCTTGAGAAACATAAAAGTGAAATAAAACTGAAGGACCTTGTCCCCTGTGAGTCAGCCTTGTGTAAAGGAAACACACACGCACCAACATATAAAGGAGCCTCTCTGTGCAGCCTCGAAGAGCCAGTTTTGTGGTTTTTAGAGGAAAAGAAACATCAGAAACTCTCCTCTTTCTCCTCTGTGGCGCTCTGTTTTTAGCTCGGTCCTGCCCTCATATTTCGCTGCAGTTAGAGACAGACAGATGCAGAAGTAAGATATCTGCTCTGAGTCTCTTATCGTGGGAAAAGTTTCCTTTAGTAGTGACAATGAATGATGACCAATAAGCCTAATATAGATCTCCAAGAGCAAAGAATTATTTCATATGAATCAACTCACACACTGGGCTATCTTTAACCCACTATAAGCAGCCTGCCATCCTATACCTCATATTCTCTTACAGAGTTTCAGTCTTTGTGTATAGACTTCAAAGAGTGTCATAATAATTACTGACGTTATTTAAACTAAACGTGAAAAAAGAAAATCCTCTGACTGATATTCAGAAACAGTAATCTACAACACCCCTGTTTACTTCTTCTATTGCCATCATTTCGCACTTCTTTTCAACAACTTAAAGAAAATAAAGACTTCACGTCTACACATCTATTTTTATCCCAAACACCCACTTGTTGTTGCTTTTCTCAACACAAAGTGCATCACTTCCTGGGAGGCAGAGGAGTTGTTTTTTTTTTTTTTAAAGACGAGTCATTGCTCTTTAAAATACCTCATGATGCTAACAAAGGGAACTGGTATTAATGTTGAATCATTATTTTCTGTCACTAGTTGATCAAAGAAAGCTGGAAAATGTCAAACTGAGGCGTAAGAAGTTTATATTTTTTTAAGTGAACAGGACTAACAAACATTTACCCTTATGAAAAGTGAAGAAATCAGCCCTATGAACATCTGGAAATTTAGTTTGCAAAAAGACTAAACTTGAACTTTAACATTATAGGAACATATTTCTACAATAATGAAATCGATCCATCAGAAAAAAAAGATTATTGTTTTTTAAACATGGATTCTTATTGTCAGATGTTTCCTATATAACACCAGTTCAACTTTTCCATGCAGTATGTGTGAGCTACTATAGTATGACACCATCTAATATGACTCCTGGGTATTTAATGCAATAGAGAGTGATACGATACGACATGATGATATTACTCAATACAGTCTGATATGTCGCAATGCAATATAGTGCAATGTGATACAGTATAATAAAATACTATAAGACGCAATGTGATGCTATAAAATACAAGCCATACAAGTCCACACAGTGTGATATCATACAGAAGGGTTTGGTATTATTTACAATAGATATAATAGATATAATACAACAGGTAGGGTATGATAAGTTATGATACAATATGATACGATATGGTACAATACAACACAATGCAATATGATATGATACCATATGATATGGTACAGTACAGTACAATACAATACGATACGGTACGATACGATACGATACGGTACGGTATGATAAAATATGGTACGATATACTTTATTGTGACCTGAGGGAAATTTGTCTTGGACTGGACAGAATTGTATCACACCCTTTGTGACATTATTTTCACAATAGAAAAACATTCATTTTCACTATTGGCTTCTTTTTTTGTATTTGTATTCAATTGTTGATTAATAAAAGAGTGAATTATGAAATGTCTTAAATTGGATCCATACCAAATCACACTTGTCCAAATAGTCTCTATTAGTTTGATTATCGGGTTAACGGCACACGCAGTTTCACCCACAAAAATGATAAAAAGTTGCTCAATATTTTGTTGAACTCTGTTGATATTGGTCGTAATACTTTAACAGTCATTATATGATACAATTTCATGCAGTGTGACTAATATACTATGATGCAATACGCGATGATGTCTAACATGTGCTACGATACGATGCGCTTCCCTGTTTCCTTGGAGTTAATTTGATTTGGACTTAAAAGCAATAAAAAAAAAAAAAACTAACAACAATCAACATGCAAACACAAACACAAATAACGTGCAGTGCATTGCACACTATCATAATTTTGCAAAAAAAACCCAGCATTAATAGAGTTAAAGGCAAGATAAGAACACTATTTCATGATCACACAAGCTTTACCGTCTCAAGAACTATTACTTTAAATTTAGACCCAAATGGACTCGCAGGAACACGACTCTACATCGTCCACCTGATGGTAAAAGCTCAGACTTAGATTGGAGGACTGGCGATGGGTCAAACAACCCTCTCTGACCCGTTAGTTGATTAACAACAACTCTAATAACTGATTAATCATTTACTCACTTATCAAGCAAAAACAGTTTGTATTTATTACTTTTCTGTTTATTACCAATAAATGGTTTAAATCTGGGTTTTGCAAAGTTGGACAGAACACTCAATAAGAGTTTAAAAAACTTGGTGCATCTTTTTTCATTAACGACACAAACAGTGACTCACCTGTGTCAATGGCCTCCTTCATGTAAACTGCACAGTACGGGTTCAGCACCTCCTCATGGTACGCCAAACCAGGGTCCATCTCAAACTTGGAGAATCCGATCCGTAGAAAAGGCGACATGACTGCAGATTTTTCACCCTGAATTCAGCGCAAATATCCAACAAAAGCCTCCAGGGAAACCCTTCAATAGTGTCTTCTGATTTGAGTCAGATTTTCAGCAGTGCTTCAGTGTCAGCCACCTTTCCTCCTCTGCAGCAAACCACGACTGGCCCTTTTCCTCCAGAGGAAAAAGAGGCTGGCAAAGCAGTGGGGGAGGAGGAGGTGGAGGAGGAGGAGGTGTTGATATTTTCCGCCCCTGACGTTTTAAACAACCTGAAAGGAAGAGACAGAGACGGAGAGCAAGAGGTGTTTCATCACTTTTGACAACTTAACCACAAAAGTCTTTATTTTCTCCTGCAAACTTACAACTTTAGAGCCTCCTCTTCAAAACAACCTTTTTCAGAAGCATCAATTTGGCAAAATACTAGAGGCGCTTTGTTTAAAGAGAAAAAAAACGTCCCAAAGCAAGTAAATAAAAACACTCTGAACCTAAATGCAACACAAATGAAACCACTCATACCTTCAGGACTTGTAAACACCAGCTGTCACGTTTGGCAGAGCCTTTCAGCACCTCCATAAAAAAAAACAATCATTTCTCAAAACTCACACCGACCGTTTATCACCAAGTGTGATAAATAACTGCACTCCTGCTGCCTTCACTGCAGCAGTTTTTGCGGCTCGGTCTTGAACTTGGTGACGGTCGATATGATATTTGAGTCCAGCTGAGGAGCTGTGTGTGTGATTTTCTGTGCGTTTGTGTATGTGAGTGTGTGTCACTCACAGTGTTGGAGAGGAGGCCAGGAGGAGGAGACTATTAATAGAGCTGAAATACTAAACGCAGATCACGGCCGCAGTCCACCGTACTTGTTGGCGTCATTATGGGAAGCAGGCAGAAGTCACCTTCTTTACTGTAAACTCAGCTGACCCTGAGTCAGCGGGGTCTTGTGATCAGACAGACATAGACGCATAAAAAGTACAGCTGGTGGATCAGCTGTGTGAGCTCTGGTGCAACATTAAGCATCTAAAATCCAAAAACTGAAGGATTAAGTTTTAGATATAATAAAGTTTGGATCTCAAATAACCAAAAATAGCAATTTAAAAGAAGAGCGTTTGTTTTCTATGTGCTTTATTTCAGTTTTAGGTAGTCTACAGGTCAGTACTGGTGCATATATAATTGTACTGCTCTGTAGGTTAAAGCTGCACTGATCAATATTTTATATAAACACCATGAAAACAGACCTCCCACAGCCAGTCGTGGGAGATCGTTATTTGCATAATCCTGTTTAAATTGATTTAAAATAACCACCAGAACAGCCACAACATTCATTCTTCTGCGCCATAAACCCAAGACTCGTGTCTTTTGCATCCTGATGTTGACATACCAATCATGATGTCATAACGTTGCATTATACTTGAGGAAATATTGCTGTGCAAACACACAGGCAGCAGGGGGCGGCTGCAGTCTGACTGTAGGTGGTCCCTGATTGCATAATCCTGTTTAAATTCATCTGTATGAATAAAAAACTACGCCGTCTTTAACATGATTTACATTATATAAGTAACCTGTAGGTTGTGCAGGATTTATGCGTACAGAACATTCAGAGATACTCCAACAAATTACAATCACAAAGAAGAAAAACACCAACGTGGGCGCAGTGTTCCTGTAGCAGATGAACTCTCACAACGCCTGTATCCACTCCGCTCACAGAAGTGAGAGTTAACTAAAAATCCAAAAAGGTAAAAAGTTCAAGAAACAGAAATGTTGTTCTCAAGTTCCAAATGAAAAAAATCTATGAGGTGTTTACTTCACACATGTTTATTTACTAAAATCATCTTTTCTGTTTATGGCTCAAAGTCAACAGTGTCGTCCTTTTATTGTGGTTAACTGACTTATGTAACTGCTCAGATGAGGTATTACAGATTATGAGAATATGCAAGAGTGTTAAATTAAGATTCTGCTTCATGCATTTTCTTCACTGTTAAAAAAATACGATTAAAAAAACTGATCATGACTTATTTAATACAAATTCAAATATTATGCTGAACAATAGAGTAGAATACAGCATTGTTAGAGCCAAAATATATTTGCTCAGCACATGATTTAAAGGTACGTCACTTCCGGGGATCGTCACTGAGGGGTGTGGTTTTTCGGATGTTGGGCGGGTTGTTTAAATCTCACTGGTGTTGTCAGACAAGGGGGTGTGGTAAACTAAATTTTCTGTTTTTCATTGTTTTTCATCGTTTTTCATCGTTACATTCATCCTGTTTTAACCTCATTTCAGCGTATCACTTTTTTCATTTGAAGGCAAAGGATTTGGACCTGGATCAGCGTGTTTTTCCTCTTTTTTGAACAATAAATCATTTTTAAACACGCAAACTGGACTGATCATTCAAACGGGTCACAGACGCAAACAAACCTAAACCCCAGCGGCTTTTTTGTTGTTGCAGGAAATCAGTTGCTACAAGCATGATAAAATGTGATATGCTGAAATAAAACACAATATAACAGGCACGATACAATGCCATACCATATGATATAATTTGAAACCAATAAAATAAAACACTGCAATGATATAATGCAATAAGATACGACACAATATGACAATTATACTATACCACACAATATTGTATGAAACAGTGCAGTATCATTTCTTCCCTGTTTAAAAAATCATGTTGTATCGTGTAATTTTATTCCATTACATGTCATTACCCCTAATAATTCCTTTTCAATTGCATTCATGTCTTCAACTGCATATAAACATCAACATTATTGTGCATAATTTGTACTTCTCACCCACACTAACCTCCACTAAAGCACAGATTCAAACGTAAATCCTGCAGAGCTGCAGCCCCCTGTGCAGACTGAACCCGTGAAGCTGTTGCCTTCATGCAGAGCCAGTGGGAGTAAAACTTCCGGAGCTTAAGTTACGACGATGTAACCACACTTCCTGTCTCTGGGCGGTTTTATTTTTCATTTGAAGCTTCGCCGGTGAAAAACTGAGACAAACACAGAACACGACTGCTCTAGATTAAAATTAGAAAGCGGGCAGAATAAAGAAATTTGATGATGAACTGAACAGAAGTTATCAGAAACCATGATCATGTGGTTTAATAAAGACATGCAAAGTGGTTTTATAGTTGAATATTTCCCAGGTCAGTTTTTAGGTTTGTTTCTGTTTATTTCAAAGGTGATAGACAGACACTCTTATCTTGACCATAAACCACAGAGCTCTTGTAGTTTATTCCATCCACAATCTACTTATTGTGTCTTTCAGCAAAGTTTACATCATCTTGTACAACCAGAAAAGGCGTCGAGAGCACGTGCTTAACATTGTAAAATAATAGCAGATGTAATGTTGAGACACACTTCTCTACGTCAAAGATTAGGATTGGATTACAACACGCATGTGTGTATGATGTAATTAATGTGGATAACATAAAAACACTTCGGTTAGAGGATGACTTTTGATTTAGCCACACTCAAAAACACAAACAGGAGGTGGTGTTTAGGCGGTAACCTGTCACACAGTTACAGTGTGGACACGGTTTAGTTTCACTGGTGTGTCTCCTCTCTTTGGAGAAAATAGTCGGGGTGTCCTGATACAACCTTTTTACTTCCAATATGAAACCGATATTGTAGCTTTTAGTACTGGCCAATACAGATATTGATCTGATATTGGCACTAAATTGTGCAAGACAAGTTTTGCACTCAGCTGCAATGTCTTTTTCGGACTTAAGGTCCTTTCACACCGGGACCATTTTTGTCGTGCGAGAATTTCGGATGTCAATTTTTTTTTCGAACCCGTATCCTGTCAATACAAGCGTTCACATCAGCGATGTTTTCCCGTCCTGCGATATTGCGGCATTTATTTTTTCGGATCGCAGTTGATTTTTCTAAAGTTTCGCATACTGTGTGTCCACTTCTGACCAATCAGATTGCATGTTGTTGCTGCCACATGGCAGACATCACTCCTACCCCTTGCTACTTTGTTAGTACCTTTAGTACACACTGTTGTTGTGGTCACGTGGGCTCTACATCCGGGTCCGGGTGATGCTAGATAGAGGTGCTGAAGCAGAGTCTGGAATGGACTGCTTGTATCAGAGTGCTGATATAAGAGTTTTTAGATGCAGGCCGATATATTCTGATATTCGTTTTTTGCAGATATCAGACTAATATCCAATATCAACATTGGATCGGGCCATCCCAAGAAAATAGTTGGAAACGCCATTATGGTAGGATCAACTTTTACTTCAGTGAGTGTGAGATTAATTTGTTTTAGTCAGTAAATAATTGATTAGTTTTCCGGTAATGGAAAATCAATTAAAACCAATACCCAGGCACTCCTATTCCCTTTCAAAAAATTCTGTCCGCAAACACTTTCCCCACTGTTTGTCAGTGTCTTCTCAGAAAACAAACCTCCACCATTCTTCATCTCTAACATGGATGCAACCAACATGCTAAAATATTAAAAACACTCTTCAGGTATAAACATAAAAACTATAAAAGCCCTAATCTCAAAACTGAAACCATTTCAAATCCAGTTTCAGATGTCTAATGCAGCCACCGTTTCTCTTCTGTGAATGTCCTCCTCTGTCTCTCTACCTCTACCATAATTTTGTACTGGAAAAACAAACAAGCTAAGAATGGCAACAGGAGAAGTTTGCCTTCCAGACTCCCTGCCAGAAAGCTGTGCCATAAAGCTTTAGGCCTTTCTTCTCTAGGGAGATCATACCCACTCAGCCCAAGTTTCACAGAGCAAATAACAAGCTTACAGTGCGCAGAGTGGGAGGAGAGAGCGTCATTCTTTCGTTTTTATGTAGGTGAACCTCAAAAATACTTTAAGGCTTGATGATGTTGATTTATATTGATTCATCTTTGCTGCCCATACTACTCAGAAGTGAGGCTCAAAGAGAGTTTGATGAAGAAAGTAAAAAGCCAATCCAGAAGTCCAAAAAACTGCAATTCCTGGAGTGTCCACTAAAGGTTGGCTGTGAAGTGTGGTTTCTGGTTTCTGTTTCTGTGTCAACGCCATGCCATAGCTACAGCTGCACGAAGTAGGAATGGCGAGTGAAACTGGTTCCAGATCAGAACTGATTCCAACTTGGCCGTTACGCTTAATGGCTCCCTCATGGGTATGGATACCAAAATAATGACCTATGGCATCGTGAGACAACCAAGAGAGTAATCACGACAGAGAGAAGGGAGCGGTCCAAAACACCAGCGTATCCAGCCAACACAGACCAACATAGTGACCGACTGTAAAATCCACCTGCTCCATGAGACCAGCAGCTTTCTGAAAGCATTGATTAACCCATGTATGAGGATAAAGGTAACTAAAAATGAAGATTTATTACTCTGACCTCTCACATCAGAATTCTGACTTTAAATTTTGAGTCTGATTCTGAGTTTAAGGTCAGAGTTTAAGAAAAAATCCAGAATTTTGAGAAGAAGTAAGAATTTTGACTTTAACCCAGAAAAAGCATTTCCATTTTTCGAGTCATAAGTTAGACCCAGAACTCAAAATTCTGACTTAAATTTCAGAAGTCTGACATTATTCAGAGTCACAGATTTTTACTGAAAATTAACATTTTTTAAGTCAGCATTCTGTGGGAAAAAAGAAAGAAATATGCATACTATCTTACTATTTTGTGTTGTATTTAGTGTAAATACTTGTATATTATCTCTTATTTTTACATATTTTACTTAATTTATCTATCTCTTTATTTTTACTTATTTTATCCATTATGTATCTCCTCTTTCTACTTTATTTGCACTGGAGTTACTGTAACGAAAAGCTATTTTCCCCCTGGGGATTATTAAAGTATTTCTGATTCTGAGTCTAAATTATGTCTTTAATTTTTTTTAATTATGGGAAAAAATTGGGGTCAAAAATTAGAATTCACCCTAGTATTTTGTTAGCGGCCCTCATCCTTTTTAAATCATGTGTAGACTGGTGAAATTTAAACAAACTTTAAAATCAGTTTTTTGGATTTTTTTATTCAAATTTATAGGAGTTAAGATTGCAGGTTTGAGGTGAATGCCTTTTTTAACACTGACCACTTCTACGGTAATATGTGACGCTTCGGAAACTCCCAGAGTTTGATCTCATATAGAGTATCACTTGATCTTTTAAAGGTGATATTAAACAGGAGCAGCACAGGTTCGAACAGAGTGGATGTTACGTAAAGTGTGAAGCCTGTGACGTCTTTGTGGAATTCCTCGGTGTATGCCCTCTTTCTTTTTCATGAAATAACAGCACTCTGGACATAAGAGGATTTAAACAGCACCAACACAGCGGTCATTGTTAAAACAAGCTGCTGAACTTTCTACTCTTAAACCTCTGATAACTACTTTTAACCAAAGCAGCAGATTAACAGCAGCTGATGGGGTCTTATGTGCTTTTCTACACATGAGGACGCGAACAGCAGCTTCTGTGTTCTTTCAACACAGGAGCCGTCAAATCTCTTTATCTGTCCCAACGCAGAGTAAACACTTCATCATAGTGTGCTGTTGTCTCTGAGCTCAGACTTTTATGTGTGCAGGCATCAGGGCACCATCTGAGGCAACAGATTCACTTTATTGACACCACCCATGGGCGCTCAAATGCCATCCCACCCATCCTCAAACAGAGTCATAGGAAGGTCGAGTACCTGAGTGCCAACGCCAGACCTTTCTGAAACCTTTCATGAGGAGGAGGGCGGTAGAGTCGATTGAGCCTCCCACCTGACCCTCTGTACCGAGCACCATCAAAGCCAACTGCTGGTGTGTGTAAGTGTGTGTGTTTTAAGCTTTCTGAAGTAGCCCAGAGAGGACGGGTCTTTGTTGTTATTGACAGGAGGTCTATGCGTGTGACAGAAACCTTTGAATCGAGCTGCTCAGACACTCTGTAAGTGTCCCTGAAGTGGTCATTCATTCAAAGAGAGAACAGGAATGGACGTGAGCGCTGACGGCTTACATCACTGGATTATAGTGAGACTGTTAGTTAACACCGCATCCAAGACAGAGCTTCATTCAGAGGGATGTTTTTACCGCATAAATCACCAATATAATGAAACTTAAGAAGCAGCAGGGGCGTAAAAATGAGAGGGAATATAATTGTTTCAGGTTGATTTGAATACAGATACCTATACTGATCTGTATCTAATGTTACCTTCCAGTTACTTCGAAAGTCGGAGCTGGGAATGACGTTACACCCGAGTTGACGGCGATCCAGTTAACAAGTCGGAAAACCAAGGTGGACGCTTACAGTTAGCCGTTGTTAGCTGTTGTTTACAATTATCAGCTGTCGTTAGCCATTGTCAGCTGTTGTTAGCAATACCAGTTGTACACAACGCACAACACAGTATTTTACTCTACAAACACCATAGCACTGTGTTCACAGTTAGACGTTGGGCAGTACAACATATGCCACTTATTTAATTTCACAAAAACAAAACAGAAGTGCTAATAAACAAGAGCTTTCACTGTCACTCTTTACTGTTGATGCACTGCGCCGCCATCTTGAATTATGATGTCGTCGTCAAGTCGGGGTTGGCGAGGATCGTCCGACTTTCTGAGTCTGAAATCCAACATCAGGGAGGCGTTTCAGATGAATTTCCGACTTCTGAGTACAACTGGAACACAGCATTAATCCATACACAAGACTACAGTGTTGAATGTCAATGTCGAGTCTCTGCGAAGTTTCAAAACATGGATCATATTTTCTGGCTTCCTTCAGAGAACTTTGCGAGACTTGGCCTGAGGTCAACGTCAGGCTCTGCCATTCATTAAGATCACACTTTGTTGATTCAGCAGGTTTCGGAAAATTGCAGCTACTAGCAGTGGGGAGTTTTTATGTTTTCAGGACAAATATAGGCACATCTTAACGCCACTTCACTGATGACCTCTTTGTGAACAAACACCAGTGGTAGCTGGACATCTTCCATCTACCAAAAACTGTAGTTAAAATTACAGCTAATGTAACAAAAGCAAGCGTATCACGGGCATAGGCAGCAACGGCTAGCTTGAGAAGTTTTCTGTAAAGGCATGACAACACTCAGTATGAATACATGACACTCGAGAAAACTGAATAATTGCCATACTCCTATTAAGACCGGACAACTGAAGTGCATGTAAACACCTTAGTCCGGCTATAATCAGAGTTCTCGCCCCCGTAACCCCGGAACAAAAACACCAGGGAAGAGAAGTAGCGTGCATCTCATCTGCAGAAAAAGTAGCGCGTACGAAAAAAACAACGCTGTACGATGCTCCATCCTCTTGTTAAAAAATGCCCAGCAACAGTTGTAGCCATTTCTGACGTCTGGTTGCTGTTGTTGTTGACATTTGTATGGGGTCGGAAATGGCGCAGCTGAAAAGACCCATATCGCCCCCTAGTTTTGGGGAGGAGGACACGTTCACGTGAATAATTTGATTTAATTCGATTCGATTTAATTCGAATAACTGGAATGGGGAAACACTGACTGTTCCATGCCAACAAAGCTGTGTAAAAAGTAACACCCTCAAGCAACGTCTATCTTCATATCAGGGGAAAAGCAGCGCAAAAACGACGTGTTTCAGACAGACAATAAACTGTTTGTGTTATTCTCAATGTTGTTTGTATGTTCAGCTAGGTTTGGTAACCGCCTACACAGAGATCAGACGTCACGTAGACTTGCACAGTACATTTAGTGGTAGTAATGACGGCTACAGCAGAGAGGGATGGCCATTCCCACCTGAGCACCAATGACCGGATCTTCAGTAGATGTTTGAGGTTTTGAAATAAAGATTTACTGGTGTAGTTTTAAATGTTCACTGCCATGACAAACTTTGACAGAACCTCCAAAAAGTCACCTGTGAAAGCATGCTGAGGTGTGTGGATAAATATCTGATGATTTTAAACAAAGTCTGTGCCTTAAGTGACTTGGTTGCATATTTTAGTCTATGATTGGTAGTAGCCTGTGAGTTGAATGTGTGAATTGACGCCCAGTTTGTGTACGTTTCACAGCTGCAATTGTCCCTTTGTGACTAATTTACAAGACAGTTTAACTCTGCAGTGTTGACAAACAAGCTAATAACAATACCGTGCTAATATGTTGAGTCTCAAAAGAAAACCTGCTGCCACTAAAACAGAAACCACCCAGCTTTAATTAAACCACAGGCTAAATGTCAAACACACTTGCAGCCGTTTGTGGGTGTGATGTTGTAGCGTGTTAGATGAGTACAAAACTCGAAAGGTCGTCAGTGCAGCAAAAAGCAGGATGATGTTTATTTTTAATACTAATAATAACTTTGAATGAACTGAGGAAATATATTAAAATAGTAACAAACTGACCTGTTAGAGAGCGCTGAAGTTGAGTTTCCTCAGGCTGAAGCTGCTCACCATCCGAGCGTTTCTCTGTCAGACAGAGTGGAGGGAGCGGAGAGGCTGCATTTAAGAGTGGTGGTGGTGGTGTAACGATGCGTTCAATGACCGTCAGGAATATCAGAGACACCCGAAAGTTACAACAAATGGCGCCAAATAACACAAGGATTACAGAATTTCACACTGTTTGATGTTAAATGTTGATTTTCTGATTATTTTACAGGAAAAATACTAATTAAAGGTAGTGATGGGCACGGCAGTTCACTTAGATGTACTGAATCACTTGAATCAGTTCACTAAAAAGATTCGTTCAAAAGATTCGTTCATCAAATCACCGAATCATTCAGCGCTTGGCAGGAGGAGCCTGTGACTCTCTGAACTGATACACAGCTGAACGGTTCAGGATTCAGTTTAATTCATAGCTTCTGGGACCGGGAGAAGAGAGTGTTGGGCTGTGTTGCTTTGGCAAACAGGTTTGTAAAAATGAACTTGTTTATAAGTCATGATGTTTTAAGTGTAGTGCCCTATGGTATACTCTTTATCAGGTCTGCTCTTTAAATTAGGCTCAGTGAGTGATTCGTTCACACTGAACATGAAGCGTCCCCTCGCAAACCGCTGCAATGTTAGGATGTTGCGGGTTCAATGCACTACTTGTTACATGCTGTATCCTATTGTAAGTTGTTGTTGAGGCAATCTAGCAGTAAAAAAAAAAGTTAGTTTTGTTCTAGAAAAATGATTCCAGAGAGTGAAGTTCAATGCGTGACTCATTCACCAAGTGATTCAGGCGTCGGTGCATGCGATCCCTCATTCGCCGGCTGCTCGCCTGGCAATGCTGCGTGCTATAGCATCTGCCCTGCTGACAGCTCAACTGAAGTGAGAAACGAACAAATCACTTGATGAAGTGATTTGGTTCAGCACGTTCACTTAAAAGATTCTGTTCTTTTGAACGAATCGTTCACGAACAACACAACACTAATTGAAGGATGTGTGCTGCATTAAATCACAAATAATCTAATTTAAATAAATAAATTTATTTTATCTTGTATTGCATGAATTAGGATAATCTTCTTTAAAGGTACTCATTTTTCGTGGAATATTTTAAAATGCCAAAAAGTCAATTTCTTCAATAAAGATATTACAGTTTCCGAGGATCATTGAACGCCACATTGATCTATCCACCCACATACACAAAGTGAAACTTCAGACAAAGAAGAGAAACTTGCAGGACTCATGCAGAGAGCTATGGTGGGGGAAAGTCATAGCGAGTTTTTACACCTTCATCATTCCTAAATAAAATAAATTTAAAAAATCTGTGAAAAATATTTTAACACCTAGAGTAAATTCACTTGCTTTTCTCCTCAAAGCAAGTTGAGGGCGACAGTGAGCAAAGCTGATAAATCATAGTTTACATGTGCAGTTTTTGCAGAGCTGAATTTTTAACACATTTCTGTATTGATAAAATAGCAGTTTTATTATTATTATCAAAAAAAGGGAAAAATCTAAATTGAATTATCGCCACTATTAAGAGTTGACCCTGTAGAGAGGAGGATTTTTAGGAGGACAGAGCAACAATATTTAAAGGCGATATGACTGATCAGTTCTGCTTCTGCATGAGTGCTGATGTAGTCACATTTTTACGATGAAAGCCGGTGACAGATATCTTGTGAAACCCTGCAACACAGTGTGAAATTAAACCACCATCACACCATCGCAGGGTCAATACCATGGCAGAGCTTTGTTGCAGTGCTGTTGCAGACTTGCTCTATCAAACAAGCATGAGTTAGCCCAACAAAGAGAATAATAAATAAGATTCAATTAAAATATGATGAAACAATTCAATGTGCAACCCCTGAGAATGGCTTAAATCTTCCTTTTCTAGAAAACAGTGTGGCGTTTTAAACAATGTGTTATTTTCTCAACATTTAATCCTACAAATATGCTTTTTTATGTGACTTTCTTTGAGTTATATTATTGCTTAATGGCTGCTGCTAAAAACATATTCATTTCTTCAGTTTGTGACTCTTTTTTAAAAGGTACAAAATCTCTCTTTCATCAAAATATAAACCTGAGTTTGACCATCCCATTACAGGATTGACATGGCCACTCTCTGCTTACAAAAATATATACGTATCAAGTTTGTCCGTTCTGTGTTACTGTAGGACTTAAGCAATAATTTAAAACTCTGAAGGGCAGTTCTTCTGTGGAAAGATTACACAGACTGGGAGTGGCTGCTGCAAAGACTGTGGTTTGAAGCCAAGATCTTGAAGCACCAAAAGGCTGAAAGTTTTTCCCTTATATCTAGAATGTAAGATCTTAGAATAAAACCACTTTTCAACTAAAAAATAATCTAGAAAACCAGATTATTCTTTACATAAGACGTGTAACATTCTGCATTTCATCCACCAGGAGGTGCCAGTGTTCATGTAATGGTTTTGTTTGAAGCAAACATAATTCTTCTTTTTTAGATGGATTATTTTTCCAGGGGAACAAAAAGAAATACCAGGAAAAAGTAATAACTCAACCTGATCAAGATTAAATATGTAGTTATAGATAAAAGTAATAATTTTAGTATCTTTTTTCTTTTATTACAAGACTTTTGAGCATGATTGAAGGTTATTTATCCACAAAACCCCTTATTCAGCCATCCATCCATTTGTTATTCATCCATCAATCTGGTGTTTTTCAGGTAATAGAAGCAAGATAGAACAACCACAGCCTCCCAAAGTCCTCTGTAAACCCTGGATATCACATCCAAAATGTTTAATGAGGGTTTCATCAGCGATTGAGTTTTGATTTCAAATCCACAGCAGGACTGTGGAGCCTTTGTGTGTTTTCTATGAGCTCGCACTTCCTCTTCCCAGAACAGCTGAGAATTTACCACCTTTTTTTTCCCCCCAGTGGGTGTTATCTAGTGAGTACAACAGCGGAAGAAACCATCATTATCCCCAACCATGGGTCTCAAACAGAGAGGTTACAACAAACTGTACATAAAAAAGCTAAATATCGTTGGAAAGAAGATGAATAAAGACTTTAAATCTGAGAAGTGGAGTCATTAATAAGTGTTTAACAACGTCAATGGTCAGCAAGAGGAAACTAAACCGGATAAAAACAGTCATTTCAACAGACGTCACTAAGAAAATGACTCTAGTTCTTTTTAAGTTCATTATCTCAGTAACCTTTTCACCAGAGAGTTCCTGTTCTTCGAGGCTTCAGTGTCAGTTCCTCTTTAATACTCTGATGTTTTTATTACATCAGTGATCTGGAGGATGAGGATCCTGCAAGTCCTCAAAAAGCTTTCAATTAGATTTTGATACTTAAGGTCATAAAAAGTCAGATTTTTACTTGTGAGGGGTCTTAAATTTGAGATGGCGTATCTACTGAGACGTCGAATATTAATTAATATTGTCTGATGAGCGTTAAAGGGGTATTCTGGCGTAAAAATTAATGTTGAGTCAAACACTCCGTAACACTGAGTTAGACATTCTGTTAAGAGATGAATGTTGCCGACCGCTTGCTTCTCTAGTTATACCAACTTGAGTAACGACCGCACGATAGCAATACACAGAAGTCTGAGGTGCCATAAACAAACCTCAATCAAACGCCACTCTTTAGCCACAAATAATGCTCAGAACAGCACCTAACTTCATCAACAGTACATATAGGGTCCTAGCCACAGCACTAGCCACCAAACATCTTTTTAACTTTGACTAATTTCTTTAGCAAAGAGACTAAACACAACTCACCCACTCTCTTCCAGCAGCTGCTTGTTTGTAGCGAGACCTCAGGCCAGTCCATTACTGACTGCTGCGGGGTGACGCAGCTCAAGGAAGAACATTTATGATAATTTCTTCATGGAAATGCAATCAGACCGAGACACTAAGACAGAAGAACTACTGCGTCTGCAGTGCAAAATGATTAATATGGTGATTATTACTTTAAAGAAATGATAAAGTAAAGCAAAAGGTGTTACAGAATGGAAGCAATAAAATCAAATGAAATCAAAATACTCACAGCAACTGTAGCAAACGCTTTACTGTACTTATGAAGAATGGTATCATGGCATTTTCTGCAAATGGGACAGAGAAGCAAAGGAAAAGGGTGAAATGAAGATGGAAACTTCTAGAATAGGATGAATGGTTAACAAGTTATTGGCTGCCTCGACCTCGAACATGAAAAATGTTCTTCTGCTGCTGCAATAAAACACTTCAAGCATAAATGTGAGTTATCAGACTGAACTGTGTAACTTACTGTTTGTTCCTCTGAAAAAGTTACTCTAATTTTTCTGCATCTGGTACTTTAAGTTTACAGTTAAGTGGTCCAGCTTTGTGCTGCAACCACCTCCTGAAAGTAAAATGTTTGACCTTTTTGTGAACAGCTGTTTTTGTGTTTGCCAAATGAGTATTAAGGTTTAATCTTGCCAACCAAACTCATGTCAGAGGATGAGACATTTGCAAGCAGTCTCATTCCTTTCCAGTTCAAGTGTGGCCGCTTTAGGCTCCAGAACTCTTGAAAACTCTTGTAACAAAAAAATAGAGGCCGGTATGTGTTTTGCTGTTCTTTCCTGCTCTGCTGTCCTCTATACTTAAGTGTCCTGTCCGCTCTCTTTCATTTTTCTTCTGCTGTGTTGTCCTCAACATTCTCTGTATTGTACTTTATTGATCTTTACGACCTTATGTGCTCCATTTCCTGTACCTGTATCTTTGAATTTACTTCCTTTTATATCTAATATTGTCCTCTTCTCCTCATAACTGCTCTATCTTTTTTTCAGTGTCCTTCACTGCTCTGAAATGTTCTGTGCTGTCCTGAAACGTCCTCTTCTGCCTCCTGCTGTTCTGTGTGATGAGCTTACAGCAGGTTTTCATCGGTGAAATATTTCCTGAGCAGAACAGAACAATAAAACCCTCAACTTACAAATGTTGTTTTTACTCTGCAGCCGATTGTGTAACATGGTCTGGCAAAGACCTGCATCAAAATCAAACCTCAGCTAAAAGGAACTTGTTCTGTGATATTTTGTGGAAGTTTTTTTGATTGTAGCTTAATCTCGTTATGTCACATTTATAAC